GCCCCGCCCCCCCCGCCCCCCCCCGCCCCCCCCCCCCGCCCCCGGCCACGGCAGGTTGACGTGGCATCTTTTACAGACCGCGTTGGTCGAACAGCTATGTATGTGGAGGCATATCCCGTAAGGTGTATTTAGAAGAGCCCGTCTATTATGACGCATGAACACCAGTTCGAGATGTGGGAAGATGGGAATTGGTTTCTTGTACATAAGATAGGTACCTACGTAGGTAAATAGGAGGTAGTTTTTGTGTTCATGGTCGATTGATTCATACATTAGACTGGAATTGATATCTATGAACTTTGCAGCCACAACGGCGGTAGGGTAGTAGTAGCTATTCTCTCCGCGGATATAAAGAATCCAAAGTACCTATCAACCACACATCCCGCGGGTTATGTGGTAGTAGTAGATTTCCTTGGCCAGTCAGGGCAGTCAGTTGGTCGTCATCAAGACTACCCTACCTTAGGTACTATCCCTAACCTAACCTAAGCTATGTCTGGTTATGTATTGTACAATACGTAGCATTGGGGGCTGAGACGAGCTGATCTGCAAGTCAGCCCTTCGCAGCCAATTATGAACTAATCTCGCTTTTGATCATTGGCCACGAGGAATGGATACGTAAAAAGGATTTATAGAACGCGGGAAAGATAGCAGCGGTCTGCGCCTTCTACCCGTCCTGGGCTCTTTTGGACCCGACGGTTTGGTTATCACTAGTTTGGGGGGCTTGAAGAAGGATGGAGGGTAGGGTAGGGTAGGGTGGTATTCAGGAGTCCAACAAGAACAATAAGCTTTTTTTTATTTATGTCATTTTACTTCATTTCTTAGTAATACCTACCTACCTAGGGTATGCTAGTTATGTATTCTGTTAACTAGCGGAATACATTATCGTCTTCCTTAAGGCCCCCATCTTTTCGGCATTTGTTTGTTTTACGAATAGAATTCCTTTCTTAGGGGGGAAGGAGAAGCTATTACAAGCCTGTCATGTCAGCTCGCCCTACCGCCCTGCCACGCGTTGGTCTAGCTCACCTATTAATAGGTATATCTTAAGATACTAAGGGCACGAGAGCATTATAACGACCCGTGCGCACGTTTCTAACATTACAGCATGGCAAACTATGAATTCGTTCCCGCAGAAATCGTTCGATCAAACAAAATTACTTCTTCTCTTTTTTTCTCCGATCTTCATAACTAACTACCGAGGTACCTAGGTACAGGTACGTAAGGTATTTATTTTGGAAGAGAACATGCCCAGCTCAAGCTACCTAGGTTAGGTACCTGTTTAAGTTACCTAAGTACTAGTTAGTTAATGTAAAGGAGGGTAGGATTACTTACATTAATTACCAAATAGAAAAGATTTAGTTATACTACCTTGTAATCAAAGAGGTAGTGTACCTAGTGCAGTGTATAACGTATACGGCGCATACTACAGGAGGTAGTATGTAGTATAGGTACCTACCTCCTAAGCTAAGAGGGATGCAGGTATAGAGCTCTCCCGCCGTTCCGGAACTTAAAAGGCTGCATGTATCACATGTACCATATGTATCGTCCCAAGCAAGCATTCCAATTCGGTCACGCCACGGTTCCACAGCATAAGCTCTTTACCGTACGGACGGGTCAGCTGGATCGGTACGGTAGGAGGTACATAGTGTAATACATTCAAGCTAACAAGGTATTAAACGCCGATATTATGTACCGATGATACCCTTAATTAAATCAGTTTCCACCGGATATCATTGTCATGTCAAGGTTGTTTCTTGTCTATTTCTCTATTATGTGTACTTTGATAATCAATTAATTATTCATGCACTCTTTCCACGTGGGGACCGGTATTCTATTTAAGGCAGGTCGGTAAATATCGCCTTGTTTAATGTAAGTACCAAGGTAGGAGGTAGGTTAAAAGTCTTGGACGTACCTAGTAACTTTTGCCCTAGCCTTTTTTTGCCCTATTGTGGTCCATGGGTCCCCGCCCAGAGTCCACTCAAAAGTCTATCCGGGCAGCCGGGTATTCTAGGGGAGGTACGTATCTAGGTCCTCAAATCTGGCCAAGACGGGAAAAGCGAACAACTTTTTCCTTTTCTTTTTTTTTCCTTTTTGCTTTTTTCTTTCTTACCCAAAGTAAGCCCCATCTGTCCCAATTTTTGTTTTGTACGACATGTGTACCATAGAACCGGGATTTATGTGAAACGTAACTCCAGTAAAGTTTGATATAGTATCTCCCCCCATTATTATTATTCAAACTATCCTGCTATCCCGGCTATCTCACGCGTCGAATCTTTGTACTGACCTATCACCTTTCTTCAACTCTTCTTCTTCTTCTCCGCCCTTGATTAACACGATTTAATACGTACTACACCGTATACCGTATGGAAGCATGAATGAGAATGACATGGAAAACACCACGGCAAATTACATGGTAAAGCAAGGGGGGAAAACCCCCTCCTAATGTGGATTCGTAGATTCATGGATTCATTCATGGATTACTATATCATAGTAGCATAGTTAAGGTATGGATTAATGTATTAACGTTTTCATATTTTAATAGCTCTTATCCCTTTAGGGTACAAACCCGAGAAGTCGGGTTTTGAATCTCTCTCCATCTCTCACCGACAGAAAGGCGCCGCTTGCGCTCAGTTCCAAATTGCTGGGTCGCAACGGGGTCATGCTTGGGTCATGGTCATGCCTGGTGCTTGGGTTTATTGCTTGGGTCGGCGCGTTCCTGTTCTTGGGACTTCTTGGGGCCCCGAGTTGCGTTCATCACCTCACTTTTGGTAAGGTTGGCTAAGGTTGGCTTGCATCTCATTGAAAGTCTCGACACCCTCCATCTGCACGCGAGCGGGGATCTCTCCCATCCATAGCCAATGATCCCCCTGTCTTGATATTGCTCGTCCATCTTGGCGGGGATTTTCTCCGTCGTGCTGGAACCAATCCGTTGTCATGATTGATCACCAACCCTATCCATAGATACTTCCCGCATTCCCTCCCGATCTAGTGGACGTAAGAAGACTAGAGGAGAGAGAGAGAGAGAGAGCCTCTTGTTTAATGGTGCTTCCTTTTATGTGATTGCAACCTTGTGTTTTTTTAAACAAAAAAAAATACAACTAGACCAATCGTAAAATCTTCAGTTCTCAAAAGCAAATAATCCTCCCCCCTGGTGAAGGAAGCTATTTCCCATCATGAACAAAGACGAGGAACAGCCCCCGATCGACGCCGATTCCATGTTATCGGTGTCGACCGACGAAGACGTATTCGATAACCTCTCACTCTCAGCTGACTCTATAGCCATGTCCGATGAAGTTCGCGATTATGTATACGAAAACTCACGACGCTACCACAAATACCAGGAAGGCCGTTATCACTTCCCTAACGACGATGCCGAGCAGGAGCGCGAAGACTTGCAGCATGCCATGTTCACGCTCCTATGCGACGGCAAGCTACATTTTGCGCCTCTTGACAACCCACGCTCGATACTCGATATCGGAACAGGGACGGGGATCTGGGCGATAGAGAGTAAGTACCTACCTACCCTACCTAACCTACCTCTCATCCCCGAAAGAAAAGAAGCGAATTGCCCATGAGTTTACGCGCCTGGAAGTCAGCACTAACAAGTCTTCCTCTCTTTTCGAGCATGAATAGTGGGCGATGAATATCCGGATGCAGAAATATTAGGGATAGATCTGAGCCCCATACAACCTTTATGGGTGCCCCGTAACGTGCAGTTCATGGTGGACAACGTAGAGGAGGAGTGGCTTCAACCGGCGGGTTCGTTGGATTACGTTCACGCTCGACAAATGGCTTCTACGATTCGAGACTGGCCCGCACTTATGGCAGAGGTATTCAAGTAAGATAATTCACAGAGCGACCACGTTTTTTTTTTCCTTCTCTTTCCTTCGTCTTCTTCTTTTTCTTTCTCTTTTCCCCTAACTCAACCTCGTTGAGACTTCACCGCAAGATCGTTGACCCGGAGGGTTGTGTGCAGGGCGCTGAAGCCGGGCGGCTGGTTCGAGCTGCAAGATCTGAAATGCGGCATCGGGTGCGACGACGACACGCTGCGGGAGGACAACGCGGTGGCGGACTTCCTGGACAAGATCGCGGGGGCGATGAAGATCCTGGGGGTGGACTGCCTGGGCGCGCTGGAGAACTACGAGCGGTGGCTGCGGGAGGCCGGCTTCGTCAACGTCAAGAAGGTCCTGCTCAAAGCCCCCGTCGGCACGTGGCCGAAGGATCCGCAGCAGTCCAAGATCGGCCTGTACAGCCGCAACATGATGTACGACGGCCTGCACGGGTTCGCCATCCGCCCTTTCACCCACGGCTTCGACTGGACCCCCGAGGAGGTCGAGGTTTACCTCGTCAACGTTCGGAAAGCGGTGCTGCGCTCCAAGGCGCACATCTACATCCCGTTCCACTGTATCTACGCGCAGAAGCCCCCGGAACCGGCCGCCGCCGCCGCGCGTTCGAGATGAGACGAGCTATTCCCTTTACGACACATCGTGGTGGGTTGAGTTGGGTTGGATTATACGCACTAACTACCTACTAGCACGGATTTATTTATTTTTTGGAGGGCTTCACACCCGGCGCTAGGCGGATGCGGGCGTACTTTACAATCTTCATTCGTGGGCACACATCTATCTGGTTCTTGTTTTGAGACGTACTTGACGATCACGATCATCCGGCGCTCGGCGACTTTTTCTTTCTTTCTTATATTCATTTAGAAGGGGCGGGTTTTCAGAGGGGAAAAAACGAGAAGAGGGAGGGGGGCATAGAGCGGGCGGCAGTCATCATTTTTACAAGTTTCTTTTTTTTTTAAAGGGTGTTCCTTGAAAAAGCATTTTCCGTATTATCCGTTAAAGCTTTCACCAGCTGTCGGGGGCACGGGTAGGTAAGGCAAATGCGAGGAACCCTTTTTGCATATTGGCCGGAGCCGGGTTTGGCGGTGATTTTTGACTTGGGAGGAGGAGTCTGTTACAAAGAGGGGGGGGTGGATATGCAGTTTTTTAAAATAAGAAAAGAGGATTCTTAAAGGTCATGGTGGGTGTTAACCCTTTAGGTACTTCTAGGTACATCTTAAGAGTCTATAGGTATAACTCGGTCGCTTGAGTACAGCATTGTACCGCGCTTCTGTAGAAATACTAATAGAAACCTTATGGCCTATTTACCGTTGTACATGTCGTTCAAATGCGTGAAGGAGATTAATTCCCGGTAGGTAATTATTAACCCATTCGTTCTAATCTTACACCCAAGAAGTCGACAGGGGGTAATGTGGCTTTTATAGAAGGTAGTGTTATACACTCAGACGGGTTAAATTCGAGGAGTGCAAAGCATGGGGTACCTGCCATTCATGAACCAGTGGAGCTACCAGCTCGTAAATATCCGTATTGCGCAGTATCTACAAATCATGTCTCGCAACAATAGTGCCGTTATATGTCAAGGTTCAGTAGAAGAGGTTGTTATTATACGAGGAGAGAGGAAGAAACAACCAAAGATCTCTCTCCCAGACACACATTATATGCCTACACAAACGATAGCCCACTAGGGGGCCGCCTAGCCGTACCGTGACATTATACATGTGCTGCCGCCAATAGGGGCGGAGAGGTAGAATTAGGCAAGGAAAAGACGGCTTTAGAGGTATCGATAACCGCTGTCAAACAAAAACCGAGGCCGAAGAGGAAGTTAGGCGGGAGCGACCCGTCAATTTTATCTTGTTCTTATACAAATACCCGGCCTAGCGAGTCTGTAGTCTCATAATTAACATGTCTCGTTAGTAGTGTGGTATTTGCAGACAGTACTTGGGGCGGCTCCCAGGTGTTGGTAGGGGCGGATATGTGACTGAATCTTTGGCATGATCTAGTATAAGTCTATGTAAACTTAGATATTAAACAATATATTAGGTAGTCCTAAAAGTGAGGGCTGTGGTCATTCCTCCAATGGTCACTTTTAATTAGTTTATTGATACATACCATATGCTATTTTGTCTCGGTGGTATATAGGTAGTAATTTGAAAGGCTCGGTCTACCAATGCTGACTTGCTAGAAATAGCGTACTTAATGGTATCAGACTGCTGGAATAGTACCTAGCATGCAGGCAAGCAGGCAGGCAGGCAGGTAGGTAGGTAGGTACCTGGTAGTAGTAATTGACGTATCGTAGCTTTTGTATACTTAATTAATACCTCTGTTTGTGCCAGTCTATCTCCATATGACCGTCATTTATAATCAAATTATGAGGTGTTCTAGCAGGTACCTGTTAGTACATCTATTAGGAGAGGTTTATACCCCTAATGAACATTATATATAGGGCGAGTGTCAGAGCCGTACATGCAGTAGGCATATTGGGGCTGTGATATCTGACCTTCTATCCTCTTACGAGGGAGCTGTTATAAGACTAAATTCAACCAAACATATTGTAGAGTGCTATATTCGCCGGTCTTCTACAAGGGGGTACGTATCTATCCTAGAGTCTCGCCATATCGGTCGCCAAAGGTGATGAGAGATGAGATCATAAGGGGAGTTAACTTTGAAGAAGCTCCAAATACGTACAGCTGTTGATACAAAACACTAAGAGGGGTTACTCCTACCAAAAGGAAGTAGATGGATTATATTACCTAACCAATTTTCTCCGAGTTAAGACAGGGGAAGTTAATTTAATCAGGTAGCTAGGTTAGGTAAGTATGTTGTATGGAGTTTGTTGTAGGTATGTCCAGTTACTATCGTTAGGTTCAGATAGCATTGATGCTTACCTACCTTGTAACTTGTATGCTTTAGATACGAAAGTCTACAATTTCTCTGGGAGTCTCTATTAAATAGGTAAGCTTTGGTCTAACTACCAAGCATGAAAGCCGAGATATACGTGACTAGCGGTCAGTGAAAAGGGGGGCCGTTGCATTGAGGTGTACTTACGAACTATTTATTACCTAACTACCTAACCTAACCCAGGCACATACCAATGACAGGGTCAATTTACTGCTTAGAAGTAATATGATCATCTAGTTATTTAGAATAGATTTCCTATTCGTCTATTACTAGCGTCAGGTACCGAATATATGTGTGAGTTGAATCTTACAAGTGCATCGTGACATGTGTCTTTTTGTGACAAGTCAATAGTATAGCCAGGGTTCCATCGTTGGATATAGACATTCAAGTTGACTTCTTATATATTTTTGGTCCTTAGTCACTTATGCGAACTTTACCGTGTTCGATTTTATAATGGCGATGACGCTTATCTAAGTGACAATCATATAGAGATGTTTAGTTGACAGGTGCTTAATACATTCAAGTTCTTAATAATACGCGACTTCTTACTAACTTTACCGCTGGGGGTTTCACTTTACTACCTAGAGGTGTACTAGAATGTGCTCCTATATCAATAGCCTGCATACCGTGTTTCATATTTACAGTTTCATCTTTATGTCAAGTCTACCTAATATGCAACATAGATAATTTGGGAATTATAAAATGTGTTCCGAGAGCAGACATTAGCGCATGTGTAACAAAGAGTACATGATACCTACGTGTCCTCACATTCGAGGTCGTCAGATGATACCTTAGGAGGTATGTAAGTACCTTGTAGTGAGACGTAAGCACTTGTTGCTGTTTTCAGGTATCCCTCCGCTCAGCCTGCTTAGATAATATGTAAAGAACCGGACTCCTCGTGATCGTGATCCCTACCTAGGCTCTAGGCTCTAGGCTCTTCGGCTACGGTTGAACAACAGCTCATATCCGCATTATCTCGTCACCTTTCTAAGCGAGTTTAACAAAAGAGAATGTTACCATCTTCGCGTCTTCTCGGATAGGGTAGGTTAGCTGACCAATTATAAGATCACGTTGTAGATTTTTGGAATTATTCACTGGTAATAGATGTAAAATATAAAGAGCAGAAATGAAAATGCAATGGAATTCGCCTAAACCTTCGGATCGTCGAAACAAGCAAGTAGGGTGACGAAGATGATGTGGGCACGGCCCTGGGGTTTCTCATTGGCTTTTCCTATTGGCGTTTAAAGGGAGAGGGCGGCTGAGTGTTGTTACTGTACTGCCGAGGCGAAAGAACAGAAAAAAAAAGATTGGTGAGATTGGTGAGATTGTAAGATTGGGTTGGCTGCGGGTGGATTGCGGGCTGGTTACCCCACAAACCACCCAAACCACCTAAAACCATCTCCTCCGAAATAACCCCTGTCTTACTGCGGGAATCCCTGAATGAGATGCGCTAGAGCTGCTGCGAGATGCAGTGTGCGCAGGTGCGATGGTGGGGAACAGGTAGACAAAATACAACGGATACCACGAATTTCTAGGGGAAATGATAGAGGAGATAGGTACCACCTCTTAGTACATAGTACTGTAAGTACCTACAGCACCTGCGCAGTTAAAAATCAGGTGGCTCTTTTAGAAGGTCCTTTGGGTTGGCTTCTCCGTACATTTAGGTGGTACCTCTTGACTTGTTTGACCCCGTGGCCCTCTTTTTTTATTCCCCCGCCTTTCTTGTCTTCTCACCCCCACCTCCCATTCTGGGCCTTCCCCTTGTAAAAAAAAAAAAAAACAACAACCATGTAAGTAGCCAATGTAGCGCTTGGATAGGCTCTGAAAACGAAGAGGATGGAGCCTTTGAGGAAGCCCTTGAGGAAGCCCTTGAGAGAGCCCTTGTGAGCCTTTCGCCCCCACAATTTTGACGATGAAAGTTCCTGTCTTTCTCCAACTTTCCCATTCTTCGTCTTAATTTTATAATATCTCCATCCTTTTTATAGTTTGAAAATGACTGAGAAACAGATGGATCAGTCCCAAGCTCGTCGACGACGACGAGATGGAGCGCCAGGCGTACAGCAGCGTCTGTGTACGCATTGCGGAAGAAGCTTCAAGAGGTCTGAGCACTTGGAGCGCCACGTTAGAACCCGTTGGTTACCCCAACCCCAAAATCTAAAGTCCCAAAAGTCCCAAATCTCGAATCTCAAACTCAAATCTCAAATCTCGAATCCCAAAACCCAAAATACACCTAATCGACAAATCCCTCGATCTGCACAACCTTACTCCACCAAAAAAAAGAACCTCTCTCATATTTTCCTATTCACCTGTTCTTCTTTTCTTCTCTTCTCTATTTTGTCCTGTTATTTGTATTTGTATTTGTATTTTGTTTTATTTCATCTCATCTCATCTCACTCATATTCTATAATCGTATCTACCTAGCCTATATGTCATGTCGTATAATCATAATATCACATAATCTTTCTTTAAAAATATGTGAAAGAAAAAAGAGAGAAAACGAAGCTAATTTCCCACTTACAGACACAAAGGAAAAGCCTTATGTCTGCCATTGTGGGTCGGCCTATTCTCGTCGAGATCTCTTGACCCGCCATCAACGTATTACCCATGAGACTATATCACCTAGGTCGTCTGATGGCCTCTCATCGGAAGATAATCACCAGTTGTCTGCGACGGAAGAGGATCCCACTTCTGAGGACCATATTTCCTCTACTGCATCCATTCCGGATTTGAGTATGGATCACAACATTCACCAACATCAACCAGCACCACCATATTCAAATCCAGCCCACGGTTTAGCCATTCAAACCCAGGCTGTCACCCAGCCCTACCAGTTAATCGCCGGCCAAGATATCTACCCCAACGGTTAGTTGAAAATCTCCCGCTGTTCCACTCACCCACTCACTCACCCACTCAACCATCCCAAGTTACTCGGCCAAATCGAGTAACACCAACTTTAATATATTACTCCCATCTAAAGAACTCTTCTTTTTATTGCGGCACTAATTCTCTATTAGGTCAACACTACCAAGGGTTTGACCACTTCCCAGGGATACATGATTTCTCAGACCCAGTCAGCCTACCTCCAGAATGGAGCCCTTATTTTCATAGCCCAGTCATGGAACAGGAGATGGTAGATCCTGCTTTACGAGCTTCGATTGTTGATGTGTCGTCGCCTCTCTCCAACGAGAATTTCTCGATGCACGGCTACAATTCTTGGATGTCGCCAACGGCTCAGAAATGGGGCAATTAAGTGAGATCTTTCCTGCAACAAGACGACATATCCTGAGCTTTTATAGTTATCATAAGCGATAACAAGAACCTACCAATTTACTCTTCCGCCCCTCTTGAGACCTCAAGGCATCGTGGTCTCATTTCTGGTCGTCTGGGGGCATATTATATATGAATGGGCGCTGTTGACGCTGCGCACTCGGAAACAGTCCCAATATATGTCAAGGCACATCTTTCTGGAAGGCATATGTCAAATTTGGGTGGAGAGGTGTTTTCTTGTCATGATGGTGGTTATAATTGGCAATGATGGGCAGCTGTAATAACTGTGGATCGGTTGCTTGTCTACCCGCCTCCATCACCTTAACTGGAAGATATGACAAGTACAGGGGGTTCACCTTTTCGTTCCCCCCAATCAATTTTCGCACCTTGTCTCATCCACAATTCACAAATATTGCCTTACAAGGCTTGTACCAATATTGAGAGCGAATGAGTCGCCCTCTAGCACCGCTCAAAATTCATGAGTGGTTGGTTTCTCCACGTTCTTTGTGAAGAACGGGAATTATGAAATTGACGATACCCAGGGCATATTGATGGCTCCTAAGCATATCGCAACGCGAGCAATACCTTATCTAAGGAATTAGTAACTACTACCTAGCTAATAGTTGTACAATTGAGGCACATACTGACCGTTTGACATGACGTCCCCATGTCTTTTTATATTCACTCCATGGAAACTACCTACATTAGGTAGCCTTCTCGGCCAGCCATCATGCCCATGCGGGTATATAATTTACGGGTCCAGAATAAAATCAATATATTTTACATGGCAATACATGTCATCTATTAAGTCACCTATACTATACGTATAAACTACCCGGTTATAAATTATGACAGTAATATCAAGCCCCACTCCCAATAGCACCAGCTAAAAGCATAGTTATCATAAGCGTATTACTACTATTAACTTACACCTTTAACATTACCATCATCGACTTTATATACTGCTCTTGAAATCGAATAAAACTTTGCTTTTCGCACTTCGTTTTGAATCATTGGTCTACGCGGGTATTCTGAAAGGGGGTTTTTACCTACAATACCTAACTAAAGTGATCAAACTTGCAGCGCTCATATTTCGAATTGACAGCTATGACCAATCGGGATGATGCAAAGTAGAGAAAAAAAAAAAAAAAGACAAAAAAAAATCGGATGGGATCGGGTGGTCCGGGCCTGCATGGTTAGGGAAATAAAGGAATAGAACGTTGAGGTAGCTCGCGTTACGTTGCGTTGCGTTGGCAACGTTAAAAAAAAATCAACAAAAAAAAAAATCAACCATCAAATCGGCAGACAAGGCAAAAGAAAGACAAGCGAGAGAGTTGAGGGTCTAGTCTGATAAGAAGCTTCAAATGCCGTCTTAATACCGCGGGTTTTTTTTTTTTTTTTTTTGGTTTAGTTTGGGGGTTAGCGAAGGAGAAACAAAACAATCGATCTCAGGGACGACCTTCGAAAACTTCGGTATTCGGGCTTGACAAATAAATAACGACGCGCAAGTTTTGTCTTGCAGGAGGGGGAAAAAATAGGCGACCGAAAGTAAGGCCCGGGGAAAGCAAAGCAAAGCAGAATAGAGCATGGCAGGGCAAAACGAAGCGAAGCGAGAAGTATGATGCCGAATCCTTTGAAAGGGAAGGGAAGGGGAGTTGGCTGGCTGCCGCGGATCACTGAGAAAGAGTGAGAGACAGAGAGCTTAGATGGAGGGGGGGTATGTACTGTAGGTTAGGTAGGTATTGCACTTTCGCTTTGCTCTGCTCTGTGCTGAGTCCTGACTGCGGTAGCGAGCTCCATGCATACATGAGAGCAATGCCGGTGGGGAGAAAGATGGAAAACAGAAAGGACGCGCACTGGCATAGTAGTTACGTATGTAGAAAATTGGGGGGAGGGGGAGTTATGCGTACGTATTGTATTGTACGTCAGGAATGCGGCGCCAATGTGCCCGTAGAGCCGCTATTATTGGACGGTGAAGCAAAAGGGGTCTCAGCAAGGGAATCGTGACCTCTCTCTCTTTTTTCTTCTTCTTTTCGCCGCATCGTATCAAGTTCGAGTTGCGAATGTCTTCCCCCCCCCGCACTCGTGCATATAAAAAAAAACTTGCTCGGTTAACCTCCTCTCTGATTCGTGGCGCGGCCGTTATCTTGTACGAGCTCGGGAGAATAAGAATGCCCTTTTTGTAGCCTGGCTGGCTCGGTGGAAAAAAAAGATGCTTCAAACCCATCTACCCGCTATCCATTTCCCATGCCTACCGACCTAACCTAGCAAGCCTAGGTTAGGTAAGTAGGTAGGTACCTAAGGTAATAGATAATAGGCGTGGATAGGCTATGGTAGAGGTACAGTAACCAGGGGGGGAGGGGGAAAGAGAGAGAGAGAAAAGAGCCCCGAACCCGAAAGAAAAAAGGGAAAGATTAGTCGAGATCTTGGGAATGCGGGGTGGATGGGTTAAAATGCATATCTTAAGTAGATACCTGGTAGCGATTAGTTAAACGTACATAACATAGCAAGCTTCAACGAAGCGAACGGAGTCCTCTCTCTTTCTCTCTTTTTTCGGCAGCCAAGAAAAAAAAAGTGGGAGAAGAGGGGAAAGGGACTGGGGGGCTTAGCTACCACCTTCTTTTCTTCTCTTTTCTTCTCTTCTCTTTTAATTTGGACGCGTTTAATAGATAGGAAATGATAGGAGAAAAGAAAAGGAAAAAGAAAGTGGAACGGGATTGGGAGCGGGAAAGTGCGGGGAACCGAAACGGGGAGCCCCGGTTCGCCCATTCCGCATCGGCTCCGAAAATGAATCGGACCGGAGAACGCCCATTTCTGGAAATCGCATGGACGTTACCTCTTACTTACCTGCGGCCACTTTTTTTTAAGGGGGAGCGCGGGGGAACCAATCCGGTTTTCGTGATTTGATTTCTTTTCCAACTGCAAATCGGTATTGTTAAGCGAAACCAATCAATCAAATTTGATCTTCACAATTATGTACCTATCTCTAATAAGAAGTTACCTACTAACACTACCCCCTAACCAACCCCTCACTGGAAAATAAAAAAGAAAATAAAAATCGAGGTAGCACAAGATTTTGCATCTCCGGAAAACGGTCTGTGCTTCCCATCTGTGGTGGTCCCCGGGATCCCACTCAACAAAATAGAGAGAACCCGTTGCGTTGCGTTGCGTTACGTCGCCGTTTCTTGCATGAGAGAATCTACCTCTACCTCAACGTTACATCTAGCCGACATCATGTATATGACGAGCATCGTCAAAGTTTTGTAATTGGACCAATCAAGCGAAATGTATGTACGCGCGTAGGTAGCGTGGAGTCTTATTGTACCTAACGGATTAATGTAGGTAAGATATCTGAATTTCTTTTCCTTCTTTTCTTTACGGAAGTTGTTTCCGCGGCACTTTTGTGGAACCGGATGGACCCTGGAGGGAGGAGGAGGATGCGGATGCGGATCATCGAAGGATATATAATATATAAACTTGACACGCATACACGCATGCATGCACAGACAGACACATACCTTATATATATATATAAGCCTGTCTGCCTACCTAACCTATGCACAATCATGACACCAAGTCGCTCGCTACCAAAGCCGCCGCACCATCTTGTGTAGCCACATGGGATAACAGCGTGACATCGAACGGGACTCGGATAGAATGCCCTGTTAAGCTGAGGCTCGGGAGCTTGCATGCATGTCGAAGGTCTTGGGTTGGTTGCTGGGGCCTGTTAACTTGCTTCCCTTGGTTGAGGTCTGGATGCCCAGAAATGGCAATGTTGCTACAGTTTTTGGTAATCATCTATATACCCGAGATGGAGCTTGTTCCGACATGTACATAAGAGACTTTGAGTTACCTAGCATATAGCTATCAGGTAGCAAGCTCAATTTTCAAATAATGGTTATTATCATATATCAACCTCTCATTTTAATGTTTCTACCTACTTACTAAATTAGAAACTAGTAATATTAAACATGAAAGTTAATTTGTTGATTGTGTTAGTGTTAATCCTGATGGGTAATGTTGGTTTATACCTTTAACAGGCGTCTCATTAATAAAATACTCTTCTAATAAACACATGTTCTTCAATGGAAGCGGAGCTTGTGGCTGCCCCGTTACCCCTAGATGGCACATGTGCTGATCTCAAAAATATGCGTTTACCGAAGGTTATCAGATGCCTCTCCTCATCGGCTACAACCTTGTTTTTAATATAATGCTAGTTAAGAGCTTGGAAAAATAGTGAATTAAGTGGTATGCCTAGCGGACAGCCTTGAGTCTTGCGATAGTTTACAACCATTTGTCATGGGGAGAAAATGTGCCAGCCATTGACTTTTGCAAGGAAAACACCTTAATTTAGAAGTCTTTCTTGGTACGATACTATGTTATTCTTCGATTATTGCCTGTCGCTTGTCGATCGAGTAATAGATAGATAATATAATAGTTTATGTGAACAGCACCGCTTCTGTTGATTCCTGTACCTGGTGTGAATCAAGGTATCCTAGTGTCCGTGGGCTTCAGAGCTGTTGATCGTTGTTGCTATCGTTTTTAAGGATTCGATAACCTGAAATTGGTATTCAGATTTAGTTTCATCATCATTATGTGCCTATGCAATGTCTTTTGATTCTCTAACGACATGAGGTTGAAGGACAATATGAAGTATTCTAAGCCTGTGTTTTCTTAGGTGAAATTATTTCGATAGTAGTCTTCAGCAGTGATGTAATGCTTTAAGGACAGAATTAGGTGACAACTGACCAATAGCGGCCGATTTTACGGCCGAGTTTGTGGTGATCATAATAGCTAGGCGGAGCTGCGAGGCAAGTTAACTTCTGAGATGTGAAGCCAGAATAGGTAGGTAGGTTTGAGAATTAAGGGAAATACTTACATTTGCCCCAATATTGGAAACCGCAGGCTCTAGTTGAGGAGTTTCAAGCTCAGGATCAGACAGGACCTTGCAGTCTTCGTGGTCACATTTCTCCAGCCTGTAAAAGAAGATGGCCCTCTTCTTTTCGTCCAGCAGTGCCTCGTTATCAGCGTCGTCATTTCGTGCTGCTTTGTCTAGGAAGTATATATACAAACTGGCCGGATTGTTGATGTTGAATGCGACTTTGCGCCAACGAAGCGGTCACGCATCCATGCAGGTCCGGGCTCTCGTCAATCGGCTCGATCCTGCATCATCCGACGTGCCGCCCTCTCTCAGGGTCGGTGGATGCATGCCAAAGCTGATTTGTCGATGATGAATATATCTTTATCAAGGTTGCATCTTATAGGCTTACTGGCTTTCACCATGCTTACTCCCATGGCCGTCGTCGTATGTAAATATAGAGAATAAGTTTCTAGGTGGACAAATAATAAGATTTGGGGGGACATCCGGTGGGAAGGTTGGTTTGAGAGGACATCTCCGCAGTGTTATGTCCGCAACTCCAAGACATCGATGGTATCGAGATATGGCTTCTTCTGAGGATAATTAAAACAGTATATGACTGTGACAACTTGTTAGCAAGTTTGTAAGAGGTATGAACAAATTGTAAGGTCAAATTGAAGTTAAGGGGAATAAAGTTGAACAGTGCACAATTAGAGAAGGGAAGGGGATGTGGAAATTTGTGTGATAGTACAGTTGAAGTATTCAAATGAAAGACTGACTTACTAATAGTCTATACCGACAAAATGTAAAGGGCTTGGTGCAAGAGATTCAAGCATCCTCCGTTGAAAACTCGGTGTGTCTGGCTTTGCACCATAGCGCACATCGGAGAATGGCCCGGAATCATGGATCATGGCACATGTAGGGGGTGTAGGGGTCTAGAGTATTATGTTAACTAAGACGGAAAGTGAAATGAAAGGGTTAGGTTGACTTACGCTCGTATATTGAGAGAAATAGGAAATAATGTTGTTTGTATTGTTGGACGAATTAAAACATCTACTATATCATCATCTTCTTCTTATTCTTCTTTCCCTTGCGGGAGATTCGAAGAATTGTTCATGCTGGGGTAAATAGAAGTGATAAAGTAGTGAATAATAGCGTCGTAAAGGTCGAAGCAAGTGGATAATAGGTATCTCCTTGTTTCTTGGATATATGCGAACTTATGTTGTGGCGAACATTCGCCACGAAGGTGAATAAGGGGTTGAATAATATCCAAGTGTCAGAGACGCTGGAGGTTAATAGGGGTTTGTAAAATGTCCAAGTATCTGGAGCGTTGAAGGTGTTGAAGATGTTAGAGTTGTTCGTGTTGTGTGTAAAGAAAGAAGAGAAGAGAAGAAATGAAATAAAGGAGAACGCGGGAGGATGAACGGCTCTTAAATAAAAAATATTGGGCGGTGTGAATAAAATCCTAAGGCGGCGTACGAAATGCCTGGCAGATGGTTAGGCGGAAACCATTAGGAAAGAACGAGGAAAGAATGAGGAGGTTCTTTCCTGTTATATGCCGCTATGGCCGTACGTTCCTTAGGCGAAATATGGTACGTTCGGTACATTTGGACACTACGAAGGCATCCACGCCCTGATATCCGCTAACTGCCCTCTACTTGTTGGTCTAATTGCTCTTTCTATCTTTACCTACTGATAGCTTTGTTTTCGGTCCTAGCCTTATCATAATATGGGCACCGGCAGCAGTAGCAGTAGTAGCAGCAGGAACGAAGTTACTTTGTAAGTAAGTCACACTTCGAACAGTACTTACCTTGGTTACAAACACGCCACCATAGATAACACATAATTCGGAAGGAAACTGCTTCATACAGGTACCTAACGCTAGCAGCCTCGGATCAAAGATATGGGTTCTTACCTCATGCAGATAGGTACCTAGAGCTTAGGAAGTGCTTACTTAGGTAGGTAGATACCTAGATGTATGGACTTCTTTTTAGTGCCCGAATAAATTGTAAACATTCACCTAGCAAGCCGACCATCAAGTATTATATATAAAAGCCACCTAGATTAGACGAGGCTAATGTACATATCTAGAGACTAGGTAGTCTTCGTATCCCCCTTCCCAAGGGTAATAGTCTCTGTGTATATCATGACCTATGTTTTAACTCCCCTAGTAACTAACCACTTCACCTTCCTTACGAAGTCCGAAGCGGGCGTAGATATCACGAGCTTGTTCGTTGTCGGCTTCTAGTTACACAGGCATAGCGCTGCTTTCGTATACGTCTAAAGTAAACCGTCCCACTAAAGAAATCCCATTAACAGCTTATACTATGAGAGCGCAAATTAGGTAGCGGTTTAATACACTGAGAGATCATGGTACCATATTGGCGCGTTTCAAATAAAAAAACTCGAAATATCGATTCAAATTTAGGTATTACTTACGAGCGCCTAGGTACTCGAGCCGACTCTCAGAACGTCCCAGCCGCAAAACTGCTCTACCTCGGCAACGAACCCGCCGACTACCTCTAAGCTTAACCGAGCGGCGAGTGGTAGCGGAGCCCACGCCGCAGGCTTTTTGTCCGGGAGGAAGCAAGTGCTTTTGGAACATGACTGTTAGATAGCGGGTCCGTGACTGACTGAGGCTTAAGTAGTAGTTGTTAAATATTTTTATGTGTGATAGTTCACTTGAAGGATATCTACTGCTTGGATTAATTTGGTTTAATCAGACTTGCTGCATAGTAGGAATCTAAAGGAAGGATCGCGATATGTTATACATACCTATGGAGACGAGAGGAGATGTTCAGGGGTAAGTCAACTTGAGTCACGTACCCTACCGACTTTGGGAGCTACATTTTGATACCTAGTATAAAACGGTCAATTTGTTGAAGCGCATTAAGAAAACCAGTTGCGAATTACGCATAGTAAGCGCCATGCAGCTAGGTCTAGAAGTACTGACGTTACTATGTTGGATTGGGTGGCCATCAGCTGCGCCATACATATCTTAGGACGGTGTTTTACTCAGGAATGGTTTCTCAACTGAAGCTGAATAAAAAATTAAACTACGTTGCCCAGATGGTATGGAGTAAACCCAGATACATTAAGGGACCTCATGTTGAGACTCAACTACGTAATGTAAGCTCATACCCGCATACACACTTCTGGCTAGTACATCGTTGTTTGAGCCCTCCATATGCAAGTATTCTCGATTCGTCACAGAATTTAAGCTAACCTTAGCTAAGCACGTGTATCTCGTAACCCGCTTCCGCATATACCTAGACCCTTTTGTCTTTTCCTTTTTTCCCCAAACGCCGGCGAGGCAAATATCAAGTCAACTTTCCGATGAAATATTCTACGCACCAGTGGCTTCGCGGTAGAAGGTTAGGCTCCTATTTGCTCCCGCCGTGCAAAACATCTCATTTCGGCCTGTTTTTGGTAACCACTTAACAGCCCAGAGCGCCTTGTCTGTTTCGCTGTGTGTTGCGACACAGGCACCTCTGTCGATAGACCAAACCTTGACTTTGCCGTCAAAAGCACCGCTGAGTAAATATTCACCTGTATCATTCCAGTCGATAGAGGTGATCCAAGCCGCATGGCCTTTTAGGTTGCCTACGTGCTCGCCGTGCTTTGTATCGTAAACTGCAATAATACCTGCATCACCAGCAGCAGCTAGACGTGTGCTAGCCGGTGAGAAGGCTACAGTCCTAATAGGTTTAACCAGGCCTATCCATTATTTAGCCTCTAGAAAACGCGAAAGGAAGTCTGAATGGAAGGTTAAAAAATGAAGCTTACCAGGAAGTGAGTATTGAAGTCGACCCGTATCATTGTTGAATACGTAGACAGCACCACTCTGGTGACCGCTTGCTGTGTATTTCCCATCGCGACTTAGATCCACGCAAAGACCAAAGGAGCCAGTGCCTGCATTCCCAGTTTCGTATTCGCGTAACTTTTCAGACCTGTCTCCAAAAAGATCCCATACGTTCACCCTTCCGTCATAAGTAGTAGAAGCCAGGTATTGGCCGTCTTCACTAAGCGCGATGGCCCACACCTCTCCAGTGCTCTTGCCCGAGCCTTTTGCAGGATCTAGCTCTCCAAAGGATTGCCATTCGTTCGTATCTGATTTGCTCAACTTCCATATTTTCACTTCACCACCAAATCCAGCCGATGCTGCCACCTTGCCGTTACGAGAGACTGCAATATGGTGGCAGCCGAGCTTGTGCGCGCCGGTAAGTGACTGGACAAGAGGGATGGAGGGCTGCGAAGTGGCGTGTATGTGTATGGTTGAGGAACCGCTGGCGGAGAGGAGAGCGGTGGGCGTAGCCGCAAGAGAAAAGATGTCGGTTATGTGCGCTAAAGTACGTTGTCATTAGCTTTATGTCCGTCCAAGGATTGGGTTGAGTTAGGACTTAAGAAAAGAGCATTGCTTACCATTGTCGATAGTATGTGTCGTCAGGTATTGTTTAGACTAGAAACCTATTAGTAAAATAGCCTTATGAAATGAGAAATTATCTCTTGTGCCTACCATGGCGGCTACCGATCCATAGGAACTTGTTGTGAAGCAGCTTGGTTTAGAGAGTATGGTGGGGTTGATGATGTTAGGAATATTAATTGCTGCAGACGGCATCTGCAGGTGTCTTAGCTATAGTGGGGTTGACTAAAAATTGGAGACCGACATGTTAGGTACCTCTATGTAGATAGGCTGACCTATAGAGGCTTCTTTTTTTTCTGTATTACTACGAAATATGGATTGTCTCAAGTGTGATTACATCACACATTTGGCTTTTCGTGCTTGCCTTCTCTACATGTATTTCACCCTTAATGAGCTAGCCATGTCGTATATTTGTTTCATATTTTATCCCAATGAATACTCTGATACTATAGCGGAGGTATAAGGTACCTTGGGCAGGTACGATTGCATGTGAACAAACTTGCATAATTTATGGTGACCTACTTCGAGGTCAGAGATATAGGTAAGGTATACTTTGTTGAAAACAATATCATTAAGCATAATTTCGTGGAATTGTGGTTGCATTGTACGTGCGCTTCACCATTAGTATTTACTGGAAAATCCCTTACCCTTATACCAGAACGCCCCAGTGATATGCATGAATTCCAATTCCATAACTGATCTGTACAACTACGAGACTAGGCACATATATCCATAGTCCTCCAAGTTTTAGGTACTAATCATATTCATGCCTTTTTCTTGAGTTCTCGTTCGAGCATGCCACCGAGACCTAATCATATATAAATCAGTAGGAATTCAATATCGCGGGGAAAGGCAACTGACGGCCCATGCAATCGGAGCATAATGTATGCATCTTCTTAATTCCTCCACACGCCGGGCACTTGTTTAATGATGTAACATCCTTTAAAGCCTTGCCTGCCAGCAGTCGATGCCTCTTCTTCATGTGCGACGTCTTTTTCTTGGGTACTGCTCGAAGTATGCCTTCCCATATATCACCCAGCAACGACGGTATTTGCGAAATAGCGGCGGGGATGGCGATGGCGAGATCCGCTACCGACGGTAGCCGCGACTCTTGCGCATGTTGCGCATGTTGCGCATATAAGACGGTTGATCGGAAAGAGGGCTGAAAGCTTGTCGATGCTATCCTCGGGAAAAGGGAGGGGAAGAATGAGGCTATTCGCAGCTGCTGTAGGGCGGCCATCTTTGAACAAGTTTTAATAGGTGCCTAGGCTGGCCGTCGCCTATTTCGATGTCGTAATTTCGTACCAATGAATTGGCCCTTCCTGAAATTTTGGCCGGGAATATAAGGTTGTCTTTCGCAAAGATGGAGTTATAATTATTGCGCAGGCCGGTGAAAAAGGAAGAGCTTTCCAGTCGTTAACTAAAAAGAACTAAAAGTCTAAAAATTTGATTGGTTCAGACTTCCGGACATCTGCCCAACAGCCGGCACCAAAGTAACGCAGGCACGTACGACTTTCAACCCCAGCTCCGGATCCACTAAAATACTTCCAATTGCGCGCACGGATGTTGATTGGCCTATTAGCAGCTGCCAGCCCCCTTCCCCCTTTCTTGTGGTCCCAAGCCAGATAGTCTGGGTTGTCTAAGCCCAACCTGCACCTGCTTAACTGCTTAACGGAAATTATTGTTTGACAAGGAAATCGCAGGGAGCAGTTCTAGAGAGAGAGGATCCCCTTTCACATACGAAAAAATCTCCCAAACGCCAACGAACTTTCAACCTTCTTTTTTTTTTCCCCCATCACCCATCAACTTCAATTCCCTCTCGCATCAGAGCTCAAATCACCCACATCTCCCGTCATTCGTTCGTTCCTCCAATTGCCACTAGGCTATTTCTTGGAATAGGAGTCGACCATTTTATTCATTCGTTGATCCATCAAATCAGAAGAAGCAATGGCATCACAACAACAACCTTCGCAAACCATCTACCCTGACAGCCATGTCGGTTTCGATAGCATTACCTCTCAGATTGAGCGCAAGCTCTTGAAGAGAGGTTTCCAGTTCAATGTTATCTGTGTTGGTAAGTAATACTTCTCTCTCTCTCTTCCTCTCCAGATTTACCTAGCTATCCAATAGCTAAGGTACCAGTTCATCCGCCGCGTTCTATTCCCCCCCTGCTTCGTGTAACTGACGTGTCTTGTGTCATGCTATAGGCCAAACTGGCTTGGGAAAGTCAACTCTGATCAACACCATCTTCGCTTCCCACCTTATCGACTCCAAGGGTAGAATGACGCCTGATGAGCAGATCCGCTCCACCACCGAGATCCACCCCGTATCGCACATTATCGAGGAGAACGGTGTCCGTCTAAAGCTCAACATCGTCGACACTCCGGGTTACGGCGATCTAGTCAACAACGACCGCTGCTGGGACCCTATCGTCAAGTACATCAAGGATCAGCACTCCGCGTACCTGCGAAAGGAACTTACAGCACAGCGAGAACGTTACATTCCGGATACCCGCATTCATTGTTGCTTGTTCTTCATCCAACCCTCCGGACATTCCCTGAAGCCCATTGATATCGTAGTATTAAAGAAGCTTTCGGATGTCGTTAACGTCGTGCCGGTTATTGCCAAGGCCGACACTCTCACCCTGGAAGAGCGACAAGAGTTCAAGGAGCGGATCAAGGAGGAATTTGCTTTCCACAACCTCAAGATGTACCCCTATGACAATGACGAGCTCGATGAGGAGGAACGCTCGATTAACACTCAGATCAAGGTACTTTGACGCGTTATTTGCACCTCGACTCCTTCATACTTACTAATGTGTTGTATAGAGCCTTATCCCCTTTGCTGTCGTCGGTTCCGAAAAATCGATCATCGTCAATGGCAAGCAAGTTCGCGGCCGTCAAAACCGATGGGGTGTGATCAACGTCGAAGACGAGAACCATTGCGAATTCGTTTACCTGAGAAACTTCCTGCTCCGAACGCATTTACAGGATCTTATCGAGACTACTTCGCAGATCCACTACGAAACCTTCCGTGCCAAGCAATTGTTGGCGCTCAAGGAGAGCAGCGCACAAGGCCACGGCAGCAGACCCATCAGCCCTGCTGCGGATCGCGAAATGAGCAGGAGCTCTCAACGAATGACTATGAACGGTCACTAAGTTGTCATCTAATTTTCTTTGTATGCTTTCTACGAGGCGTTCCTCGGACTCGGGCTTTCCCATCCTTGCGAAAGATTTAATTACCCCTTTACGATTATTACAATGAGCGGCTCCGATGACTAGGATGCAAGAGAAGAGGGGACGGCTCATTTCAAGAATCAACCCCTAGGGCCCCAAAAGTTTTTTTTTTCCTTAGGATGGGATACCCGAAAGTGCGTCCGTTTGGGAAAACATTTGAGGTTACGTGAGGAGGCGTATTTGATACTTAAGGTCAGAGATGTTGACCTGTCTAGGTTGTTCGAGCCTTGTTATGTTTGTCGGCCAAGCAAGCAGTATTTCCATCTACAGTCTGGCGACTCGACGTTCTTATTATTTCCTTTTTAGTATTCCCCCAAAGCTCTGTTCATCTTCTCTAAAGCTGCTAAGATTAATCAATGGTCAAGCCTTTGCTGTACTCTAATAGAGCCCGCTCTGATACCTGATGGAATAAATACGAGACTTTATGCCCCAAACACCTCTGCCTTAAAAATTGTGATTTATCGAGTTCCCATCATATCCTGTTAGCTGGTTTATGTTCCCCGAAATTACGGCCTTCTATCATGCAATGTTAATGTGCAACCATCATTATTCCTGTCTTCGTGATCTATGCTAATGGCTTGTAGATGAAGTCTTCTAATTCCTTGTATGCCTTCTCGACGTCGTCGTTGACAATGATAATATCGTGAACACCGGGCGTGTCGGCGTATTCGAGCTCGAGCTTGGCCTGGTTCAACCTCTTGACGATGGAGTCCTCGTCCTCGGTACCTCGACCTCGTAAACGCCTTTCGAGTTCCTCAAAGCTAGGCGGCTTGATAAAGACGTAGCGCGCTTCTATGCCGCTCTTTTTAATCTGCTTAACACCCTATTTCCGTTTATTTCCTATTAACGATGTCCTCTATTTAACTGCGATTTATTGGCTGGAGCCACTCACCTCCATCTCGATATCGAGCACGACGACACGACCTTTAGCGGTCTGATCGGCAATGGTCTGCTTAGAGGTGCCATAGCGGTTGGAGCCAAACTTGGCGTGCTCTACGAAACCATCGGCCTGGACTAAGGCTTCGAATTCGTCTTGCGATATATAATAATAGTCGACACCGTGAGCCTCGCCGGTTCGCGGCTTGCGCGTGGTATGCGATACGGACAGAGCAAAGCAGTCTTTATGCGTCTCGAACAGGCGCTTGAACAGCGTACCCTTGCCTACACCTGAGGGACCAGAAATAACAACAGGGCGGCGGTCTTGAGGCAGGGCTGTTGCAAGGGGCGAAGGGGACTTGGTTAGCGAGGGGGTTTTACTTTTTGTCCAGGTTCGGTTCGATCCGGAATCAATGGAATAGCAGGATCCCAGGACGACAGCGACTCGAACAGGCGAGGGAATAGATAGAAACACGTACTAGAAGCCATCTTGAATGCGCCGTGGTGGGAGGAGTAGTTGCGGATGGCGAATCGGGCTACGGGCGACGAGCAGAAACGAGAGACGGCGAGGGTATAGAAGACAGATCTGTCGAATGTACTGAATCTACTTAGAGATGGCACGGTTCGACAGTGCATGTGATAAAGCTAGCTTGGTTCGGGACCTAGCGAAAGGTACCTTTTCTTTTACGTTTCGGTCAATTCGACGATGGGACTGCCCAACTCTTTTTTTTATTCCTTGGAGTCGCACTGCAGAAAATCGGCCGGCGCAGTCCGGAGACAAGAAGCAGTGAAACCGGCAGAATTTCAAGGGCTCAGGTCTCGAAGGGTTTAGGTTACCTAATCTTTTTTTTGTTTTAGGCTCGACCGAAAGAGAAGGGAAAAAAAAAAAAAAAAGATTCGGGGCTGGTGTGGAAGTAACCTTCCGTGGCTAGTGAGTTGTGGCTAGAGTTAGACCTTGAACTTGAAGGTTCAATCAAACAATCTGTTTGCATGAGGTCCCATTTCGGACTTAGATCCCATCTATCATTTGGCGCCGTCTTGGAGCTAATCTCTATTCAATCGTTACACTGCAGAAGAACGTTAACCGACCCCTGAGACAGGGATACCCTTTAAAAAGGGCCACTACACCCCCGGAATTTTTCTATTGTCTTCCTCGTAGAATGGATCTTTAAGGGGGGCCTTCTTAAATGCTCGAATTGTGATTTTCATCTGTACCCACGCGCACAGAAAACAGACCATGTTTCATCATTTCCCTCGAACCCTACACTTGTACTACAGCCGTGACGTCGTTGTAGAACATTCCGAAACTAGGGCTTCAACAAAATTCACTGAAGAGAAAAAGAAAAAGAAGATAAAAAAAAGGGAGCAAACTGCACTCAAGCAATAAGCCACACATTTTACGAGTTCGGGGATACTACCTACGTGTAATAGCCGGAAGGAATCTCGTATGTTCACACACATTCTAGGTAATAAGAAGAGCTAAGAAAATAATATTCTGTATGAAATATCGTATTAATAAGTCTCGTATTGAACTTCAACAGAGGGGAAGTTAGGTAAGCGGCGCTCAATGACTAAGATATGAGTGAACTACATACCATCATTACACTCATTACATGTACACTACATGCATGGCAAAGGAAAGGTTTGACCCATTAGAAGGTCGGTGAAACTGAGAAATTAGTAAGAAGACCCAGTCGTGAACAGGCATATCCGTACATATCCGTACATTAGTGTATTTCGTTATATAGGTAATATTACATGCCTTATTAACTTGGTATAGGACGGGTTGATGGTGTCATCATGCTAAAACCGGTACCCATTCACCGTACGGTTTAAATATTACTAGTAGTAAATATATGAGAAAATACAGTATGAGGTGGAATATAACTAATAAGGCTGGTAGGAAAAATCTGAATTACCTATGGGACTTGGAGGGACTTGTGAGATTAGGGAATTGAAAATTAAACTAAGCTCAGAAACTGGAAACTGTCACAACTCAAGATGAAAATCAAAATCAATCCTGGTCGGGCTATACTACCGGTCCAGTCCATACCGATCCATATCGATCCACCTTGTGGGGCTTTCCTTGTTTGGACGAAATTCTACCCACTCAACCAGTCAAAATCGTTGCAGCAGGTATGTGTACACGATGTACACATTTAGGTAGAAAGACCGGAGGTGCAGCTAAGAAACTCCAAGACTGCCCTAGTCAACTAGTTAAAAAACCCCTCGTACATTACGTTACAGATGCTGAGGGTGGTACATTGTGCACAGGTAACATTGGCTCATTGGCTCTCATTTGCTCCTAGTTACACCTGCATGACTTGGGAAAGAATGAATGAATGGGACATGTAATAATGCTGCCAATGCTTGGTACCTACGTAGCGTCACTCCCTCCTGCTCCAATCATTATCTATCTGCTTCCTCCCTCCTTCTCTTCACAACTGTTTTTCATCTCGTCACTTACTTCAAATAAAACTTGTCTTCTATCATCTTCCTTTCACTAATTCTTTTAGACTTTGTCACAATCTTTTTTTTTCTTGGCCATAGGCCTATTCCAGTCGCTCTCTCAAAAACTCTATTTAACAAAGCTACTTTGTTTTGATCGCTCGCTCCTACAAAAGGTTGCGAAGTCAAATATCAGTAAATACTAATTATAAAGAAATACTTTTCGAGATTCTATTACCTGGAGAAACGAACCTCGCCTAAACAACTACTCACCCGCTCCCCCCCCCCAATCGGAGAAGATACCTTTGGACAATAAAATAATCATGTTATTACAATCCGCCATCGTCGCCTTGGGCGGCGCAACCTTAGCGGCTGCTGTCACACCTCTTGAGGTTCAGGGCCAACAGTTTGTCAACACCAAAACTGGAAATGCGTTCCAGATTGTGGGGATGGCTTATCAGATTGGCGGAAGCGCAGGCTACGATCCGAGCCACGGGAAGGATCCTCTTTCCAATGGTGACATCTGCAAGCGAGACGCCGCTCTCATGCAGTCTCTGGGTGTCAACGCAATTCGGGTGTACAACTTGGACCCCAACTTGAACCACGACGAATGCGCTAGCGTCTTCAATGCTGTAAGTTCTTAGTACATGAAACCATTTGCGACGCTAACCTAACTCTTGACAACAGGCGGGTATGTACATGATCATTGATGTGAACTCGCCCCTAGCAGGCGAATCTATCAACAGTGGTGCGCCTTGGGAGTCCTACTACGCCGCGTACCTTAACAGGACTTTCGCCGTCGTTGAGGCTTTCAAGTCTTACCCTAACACCCTGGGTTTCTTCTCTGGCAACGAAGTCATTGATAATGTCAAGACCGGTGCCACCGTGCCCCCTTACGTCCGTGCTGTGACTCGTGACCTCAAGAACTACATCAAAAACCATGCCGACCGCAAGATCCCTGTTGGCTACTCGGCCGCCGATGTTCGTTCCGTCCTCGAGGACACGTGGAACTACTTCCAGTGCGCTATCGATGGCGACGAGGACGACATGTCCCGGGCTGATATGTTCGCCTTGAACAGTTACTCGTGGTGCGGGGATAGCTCTTTCCAGAAATCCGGATACGATACTCTCGTTTCCCTTTTCAAGGATTCATCCGTTCCCGTCTTCTACTCCGAATTTGGTTGCAACACCCCTTCTCCCCGTGTTTTCACTGAAATCGGCACTATCTATGGTTCGGAAATGATGGGCACTTTCTCTGGTGGTGTCGTCTACGAATGGGCTCAGGAGGACAACAACTACGGTCTGGCTGAGTGCAACGACGATGGAACTGTTACCCTCTTGGCCGATTACCACACTCTCCACGACCAGTACAGCAAGGTTGACTTCAAGTCGATCCAAAGCGTCAAGGCTAGCGGTAAGAAGGTGTCGCCTCCTGAGTGCAAGGCCAGCTTGATCAAGGAGAAGGGATTCAGCAACAACTTCACCCTCCCCGTCCCTCCCCCCGGAGCTCAGAAGATCATCGACAACGGTGTTTCGCCTAAGCCGTCTGGCAAGATTATTGAAATTAGCGACTACTCCGTTACCCACAAGATTACGGATGTCAATGGCAAGACCCTTTCGGGCCTCGCTGTCAAGCCGCTTTCCGGTGATGAAATCAACACCCCCAGTGGCGGCACCGGCACCTCCTCCGGTTCAAGTGATGAAACTAGCAATGCTGCCCCTACCTTGGCGCCTCAGGGCTCCCTCTCCGCTGCCGCCATCGCCATCCCAGCGATGATCGCCCTTTCCTTCACAGCCGGATTCACGCTGTTCTAGGCGATCAGTTGAATAGTCACTGGATAATGAGTTTTGGCGTTTCGCCCAGAGTAGCCGTGGGTTATGATAGTGTTTTTAACGTTTTATTCCCCCTGTTGTAATTTCTTTTTTTTTTTTCGGTCGTAGGAGGACATCGAGGACATGAGACAATCGAGGGCTTCGTTGTATTTTAAGTTAGACGTGCGCTTCTGCGCAGTACATAAGTAGAGTTCAGATTTGGCATCACTTTTTGCTTGTGCGATTTTTGCTTTGTGCTACGATTTTCGTCGGAATGAGAAAAGCTGCTTAGGCTATGTGAGGTATGCAAATGTGCTTTTGTTTGCTATGTGACGATGTAGCCTTGCAATGACAGATAGAGCCAGATAACTGAAGCTTCTTAACCTCAAAGAAGTCATCTTTTATTCCTACAAGCTTTAGTATTACCAAACTAATAGCAAAATTAGGTGAAGGGGTAGAGGCAGACAGTACGAACTACCTCTTTAAGGCAACCGCTCGATACCGGGACTATATGAAGTTGGCATATCCCCTCGCCTATCTTAATCAGGGGTTAAAGCCAAAAGATGCTACCGTCATACTATTTAATTGCAGGGCCGTCTGTCTCATTACGCTATGTCGTTATCTACCTAGGTTTCTACTTGAGAATCTGATTCGAACTATACCACTTGTACAACTGAGGAGTATTTCTCAATTCTATTTGAAGGGGGGGAAACCTCCTTGGTAGCTCAAGAACTATGCTCCGGATAATACTTCGCTAGTGAGGGTATTCGAACAGCTCCATTACCTACATAAATGTGGGATGTTTTAGTCAGTTTATTCTGATTCGATGAGTAGTAATTGGCTCGCTACTGTCACAGCTCCAGGTAGAATCCCCAGCATTGCGGTTCACAGGTACGCAAGATCTAGAGAGCCATCTTTTTAATGGATATCGTGGAATAGTAACCTCCGTAGTGGCTAGACCACAAAAAAGTGGGAGATAATAACGGAGTCGGTATGATAAATACCAAGTAATGCATTACAAACCACCCGCCTCTAGCTTCTTTGCACGGTATGTTACATTGGCATTGTTCATCGAGGCATACAGTAGCTTTGTTAAAAATAGATGGCCATGAGACAAACAATCTTCAGTCATTATTTCTAGCTACTCTTATTGGGTGCAAATTTCCCGAGTTCACAGCTACCGAGCTTGCTTCGGAATAATGTGCCCCAGCCAATGTAACAGCTGACAAGGCGAACTACGGGAGGCATCTAGGGATTCTAGGATTGGAGACTGCAGACTGGCTCAATCCTTAAGTCTCTTTGGATTTGAGGGTTCTTTGTGTGGACGACGACGTGAACCTTTAGTCACTGCGTTTATGTAGTAACCCGCCGGGCAACGTGCAACAGACATCGGGGGGCGTCTGTAGGTTTGTAGTACCGTCAATGTCGTTCAGGAGGTGACGGAGACCCGCCTTGCAATTCATCCATCCACCCATACCTGTCAACCCTACACTGTTGTGAATCACAACACCAGATCATGCACAAACTTCACAGTCACGACACATAGTCCCAAGTCATGCCAAAAAGGTTTGGCAAGATTTAACCACCCTACTACAGCAAACCGCCTGGCCCTCTTGGGCTCCCCTTCGTCCATCATGTCGACCAGACAGAAGATCCGAGATATCATCAGCGTCGCAAAGGAGCACATTTCCATCATGTCGGGCAGATACCGCGTCTCGCCTACTGACTTCGACGAGCTGTATCAGCTCTACCAACTAGACACCTCAGCAAAGGGGCTCTATGAATTCATCGTTGACCGTACGTACTGCCTACCTAAGGTATCCTACAAAAGAAACCCTTTAGATATATAACTACCTAGGTAGGGTTATGTTTTACTAACCTTTCTACCTCATCTAGACCCAGTCACGCACGCCATAGCGGGAAGGCTTAATGTCCGCCCTATCGACGTGCTCGCGACCATGGTCGGCAAGACGGCGGAAGTCTGCCAGAAGGAACTCGACGCTGGTAGGTCATCGTCAACAAAACGTAAGAGGGTCGAGGCCATAACTTGAACACACAAAAGTCAAGACTGACTAAAAATCCTTTCCTTAGAGATCCTGATGTACCAAGACGCAGAGGCGAAGGCTGCTCGACACCGAGCAAAGACGATGGCCGAGGCTAGGAGCGCGAGCGTGAGCGAGTCTACTCTGAAAGGCGCCAAGTCGCTGCAGGTCAGCTACGAGGAGGGCAAAGTGGAGATGGAGATGGAGGCGTGAGTTCCTCGTGAAGAGGATCCTAAGATGAGAGAAGCTGGAGGACGAAGCATGGGATGAAGGGGTGATAGCAGCAGATCCTACGATGGCACTGTGGCAGCATACGCCTAGCTTAAGGAGAAGGCAATGTATATACGCCTTGCCAAAGAAACGAGGGATACAGTAGTGGATACCTAATTAGTAATTCGACAAATGGGAAACATCATTTGTGCAGTAAGGATTCTATACAGAGTTTGGTGCTAAAGCTTTGTCTCGGCTGGTCTATTCACCAAGCTGTTTGTCCCAGGTGTCTTTCTTTCCACGCCATGATTAATACAATAAAGCTAATTTCTATAGCTATCTCAAGTACCTACCTAGGTAAGTAAGAAGTAATGAGAAACAAGAAATACACCTAGGTAGGTGCTATACAAAATTTTGTATGATGCGTGTAATAAAAGGAGTTCAGTAGACAGATACATAAGGGGAAGAACTCCACGCTTTCTTAGAAGGCGTTTGGGATAAGATGGTTTTGGAAATTTCTACCTAGGTAATGTAGCTTGATATCTCGAAAAGAACAAGAAAGTAGCAGTATTTTCAAGAGGGTCGTCTTCCTCGTATGGTGCTGTCGATAAGGGGTAACCGGATTGCTATGTTTACGGTTATGCACTTATAAGATACCTTAATATTAGCTTTAAGTTACCTAAGGTACCTTCCATTGTACCTAGTATTTTAGTACCACGTGATGACGCACTGGTTTCGTGTTGCCCCGCCAATGATCAGAACACCGAAAGGGGGAAGCCGTTGTCTGGAATCCTCCACGTCATTTTCCACAATTGATCTGAAACCCGCAACGTTGCACGAACATCAGCAAAGGGATTCCAGCAAATATCAATATCCATTGGGTCGTAAATCTTGCGAGCATTAGGTACTTTTATCGAAAGTATCACAATCAATCCTAGTCGTCGTAGTGAAATTTATAACCGTATTAGTTATCAATTAATCAATCAATCAAGAAGCTATCGCCAAAAAAGAAGAAAAAGAAAAAATGGTCAATACCAGACGTTCCAGCGGCGGCGGCAACCGCACCACCGCCGGCAGCAGACAATCCACCCTGTCCTTCAACCACCGGGTCACCAAGTCCGTGCCGAAAGGGACCAAGGACCTGTCTTCCAAACCGGCAAAACAGAGTCCCTTGGTTGAGCAGGTTTCCTCTGCTTCGCCGGAACCTGGAGAGGAAGAGGTGACGAAGGACGAATCTCAACAAGAAGCAGAAGCAGAAGAAGAAGAAGGAGAGCCCCTGGCCAAACTACCCGAGGTCCGCCAGCAGGAGAAGTCGGAAGCAGAGCTCCGCGCGGCCGGGATCTCCGACCGCCAGATCGACCAGTACTGGCGGAGACTCGAGCGCGAGCGCATCGCCAAGAGGGTGCACCAGGAAGGCCTGACGTTGGCGGAGAAAGTGCTACGATATTGGGACGTCAGCTCGCAGTACGGGGTAAGTGGTTCTCTCCCATCTCTTCTTTCTACGGTTTTTCTAACGGGCATCTGAATAATAAATAGCCTTATGTTGGCATCACGCGCGTGAAGCGTTGGAAGCGCGCTGATAAGCTGGGCTTGAACCCGCCGCTGGAAGTCCTTGCCGTGCTGCAGAAGGAGGAGGCTAAGGGTACCACGGGCTTTGAGAAGGCGCAAATGGATGAGATTCTCAATTCAACTGCTATCACCGGCGCCTAAAATGGGCGACTTCAAGTCATAGGGGAATGTGTACGATGAATGGATGAATTGAGCGGGCGGTGTGACTTTTATGTTTGTGATGGTTACGGTGGTTTTATGCGATGGCGTTGGGGACTTCTAACATTTGCTTGGCTACCTGAGTTGCCAATAATCATCAGAACATAGGCTTGATATACTGCGTGGTATCAATCATCTTTTAGCTGGTAGCCAACGGACAACTACCCGATTATAGCTGCCTATTCACAGATTATTATAATCGCAATCCCTTTTATCCAAAAAAGAAGAAAAATCCTAATACCAAATACTTCTCGTTCGGTGATGTGGGATAGTCTCTTTCCCTTGGGCTTCCAGCATTTTCATGGTATCGTACAGGAAGAAATCTATCAGGATAGCATTGATTTTCGCATCAGGGTGTTGGCGCTTAATCTCGCGCCGGAGAAGTTCCACACACCAGATGCTGCATGCTGATCGATCGGGTATTTTAGCACTGTTCTGAAACTGAGGCGAGGTTAGGAACGTTAATAGGTTAGGTACTTACCCCTAAGTTGAATTTCGTAATTACTCCCGTGCTCGATAATGTCTCCCCTAGCTATCATTGCGTGAAGAGGCGGGCTGTATCCTATACAACCCAACGTAGCCAGTATCTGCGGGACGCGATAGTCGGCAAACATAGTGATCTTGTCGATGTCTCTGAATTCCCCATAGCCTTCACCGTTGAAGCAAGCCCAAATATCCGCCACCAGGATCTGGGCGCGCTTGAGGAAGCGAATGGGTTTCCGCCGTGCTTCAAACCGAGATTCGTCTCTGAAACAGTCGAAGTCCCTCGCAAGTAGATTCACCAGCCCGGCGGCTGATTTGTTGGCAGCTTCTATGCATTTCGTGAAGCTGCAGCTGTATTTCTGCAAGGGGCCGAAGCGCGTTGGCGATGCGTTATCTCCATGTTGCGATTCTGGTTGGGTGACCTACTTCGTATAGAACTTTTCCTGCTTCCCTCAGGCAAGCAAGCCGTGCTTCCAACAGTGGGATCTCTTCGTCGGTACACGACCTGAAGACATATCTGAGAGACTCAAGATTGCACTCCTCTTCGTTTTGCCAGTAATGCGGATCGGTTATGGGGATATCTTTATCATGGATTAACTGGAGTTCTCTGATATTGGAAGATGTGCTATTTTGATATCAAAGACAACTCGCCCCCCATAGCGAGACGGGCGAGTGTCTGATAGCTGCTAGCGCATGATGGTGGAAATTATATAAACCCACCTTCTTCTAGTGCTCTCTGTAACGAGGCTACTAGACTCCAATACCCGGTCCAATTCTTGTCTCGGTATGAGATTGCAAAACGCTCCTCCTCAGGACGAAGGGACCAGAATGAGAAATTGAGAAGATCCATAGTAAAAATGAAGGCAACGGTAGATTCATCTTTTGTTTTGGGATGCAGCTCATGTTCGGCCCAACTCGCAGTCGAGAACTCCTTCTGCTGCATCTGTTCGTAAATCAGAGCTGCAGCATTTTTGGACGCTCTCATGTTTAAAGCTACGTCGATGGAGTTGTCGCAGACATATTCGGCTCCCTCTAAGACACCTGTCTCTGGTTCCTCATCTAGGTTTAGCTTCCCTTGGAAATGCTGCCTGAGAAGAGCGAGGAGTTCTGGATCTGCTTCGTCGTCCGACATTGTTTATATAGGGTTCTTTTGCTAAAATCTTAGGGATGGTGAACGGTGGGGAAGTACAAACATTAAAAAAACATTAAAATGATTTTGTGAAATTTTGAACCTAACTTAACTTAACTTCAACTGAATTTCAAATGAAAAATATTTGAAGTCACCTTCCAAGATGTGATGGGGAGGGAACCGTTTCAATGAACACCCCCTAATAGAACTGGAAGCGAATGTAGTATTTGTGTTTCCTACTCAAATATAAGAACCACCGTTACATAGGTAGTACTTCTAGGTTAGGTATGTTTTGCACTTCGGCTTCAGCTCAAAGTACCTAAAAAAGGGTATCGCATATCAATCAATTTTCTCTTAGCTTTAAACTACCTAGTACGTAACTAATTAGCGTATATCAAGTACCTAAGCTATGCTCGTACCTACCAGTTATGCTTCTATGATACTTGCTGGACTTGCTCCACATACAAAAAGCACAGGCCACACCTAATGATGTACAATCTATATTCTGTCTTGGGGAATTAATGGAGAATACAACATATTAACCCAATAGCGTGAATTCCCGCTAGCTCCACGGCAACCAGCAGTAATACGGTTATGTACCTGGTCTACCTGTACAAAAGCCTGCGTAAAAGGTTCCTGCCTTGGCCCTGCTTGGCTGCTTCCAAAATGCTTTGCCTGCCTGCTTGCATTCATCGCCCGATCTCCCCCGAGGTTGTGAGGTTACTAGGTTATTTAGTACCTAGTGTAGCAATGGCAGGAGCGTCACACTAAGGTTGTTTTGGGGTCCAATTGAGCGGCTAGCCACTACCTAGTTAACCTAGTGTACTTCAAGTCGTTGTACGAAGTATTTCAAGTTGTTAAAGCGTTTCCCAAGGCTGGCGGCTTCTTCTCCAGCTTCTTTAACACTGGCTTTCCCATCTTCTCATCATCTTTCTTCTTTTCTTCATCCCTAACGTAAATTTTTAACCGTATTTTTTATTTATTTCCCATTTAGTTAGGTTAGGTACGCTTATCACACTTTACTCGCGAATTACATCATCCTCATCCTCATCCTCGTCATATGCATCGACGAAGAGATCTTCCGAGATAGTGACTTGGGTAGCTAGCTGTTCAACATGGCAGTGGCACGAGATACCTTCAACCGACGATCCCTTGGGCCTTCTTTGAACGCGCTTGTCAAAGAGGTAAGTGTCCAAACCGCATCGTTGCCCTGCATAGCTCTATCCCGCTTGCGCCCTGCACCTTTCCTACGGCTGCGCGCATCATGAGCAGTCAATCCCACCTTTCATGAGCTGTTTGCGATTTATCACCGCAGCCTTAGCAGCCTCAGCGACCTTGCGCGACAACATCTCACTCCTGTTTCCAAACCTACAGCAACACTAGCCCCTACTCTGTTTTGGATGAAGCCTTCGCGAACTATAAGATGGAGCTATATGGGGTCTTGGAGTCCCCATTCACGCTGACACGAGATTTGCAGGCCCGAGTTCTCATGGTTGGCGCAGGCGGAATCGGCTGTGAACTACTAAAAAACCTCGCCCTTACCGGTTTCGGTGAAATCCATATCGTCGACCTCGATACGATCGACTTGAGCAATTTGAACCGACAGTTCCTCTTCCGACACGAGCATATCGGAAAATCCAAGGCCTTGGTACGAGCCAATTACAAATCGGACAGGATTGTATAAAATGATAACCTACTAACTGTACGGTTAGGTAGCTAAGGAGGCAGCAGCCGTATTCAACCCAAACGTTAAGATCGTCGCGCATCACGCCAATATAAAAGACGTGCAGTTTCACGTCGAATGGTTCAGAGGCTTCAATTTAGTATTCAACGCGTTGGACAATCTCGAGGCGCGACGCCATGTGAATCGAATGTGCTTAGCAGCCGATATCCCTCTGATCGAGAGCGGAACGACAGGGTTTAATGGGCAAGTCCAGGTCATCAAGAAAGGTGTTACAGCTTGTTATGACTGCACCACGAAGGAGGCGCCTAAAACCTTCCCCGTCTGCACGATTCGAAGTACGCCAAGTCAACCGATTCACTGCATAGTTTGGGGCAAGAGTTACCTGCTCAACGAGATCTTTGGTACCAGCGAGGACCAAGCCGCCCTCGATGCCAGCGAGAACGAAGATAATTCATCAGAGATTGCAGAGCTCAAAAAAGAGGCGGAGGCATTAAGGAAAATAAGAGAATCGGTTGGCACGGAGCAGTTCCCGCAGATGTTATTCGACAAAGTTTTCAATGCAGATATCGTTCGCTTATGCTCCATGAAGGATATGTGGAAGTCGAGAGAACCACCCAAGCCTCTCGAATATAAAACGTTGATGAGCCAAGCGGCTGAGGCCCTCGAATCGAAGGATAAGATCCTCAAGGATGGTCAGCGCATATGGACTCTAGAAGAAAATTTGGTAGTCTTCAACGATAGTTTGGACCGCTTAAGTAAACGAATGCTGCAGCTGTTGGCGACAAATAGCGATGATTCTCAAAAGCCCACTATCAGTTTTGATAAAGATGACGAGGACACCCTTGACTTCGTCGCCTCTAGCGCGAATATTCGGTCGTACATCTTTGGGATTGAAGCCAAGTCGCGGTTTGATATCAAACAGATGGCCGGTAACATCATCCCTGCTATCGCGACTACAAATGCGATTGTTGCCGGCCTTTCAGTCCTTGAGTCCTTCAAAGTTCTTCGAGGAGAATATGATAAGGCACGAGAGGTGAGTAGCAGTACAAATCGTTATGTTAGCGCCAACCACTGACGTCTCAGGTATTCTTGACACCATTTGCACCTCAGAGATTACTGGGGACGGATCGTCCTCGATTACCAAACCCGGAATGCCCCGTCTGCAGCGCCTACACGGTCAATATGAATGTTGATCTATCTAAGGCGACGCTCAACGATCTAGTAGAATATATTAAACGACAATTGGGTTACGGCGAAAAGGAGTTCGCCGTCAATAGTGATGCTGGCTTGTTATATGATCCCGACGAGACGGATAATCTTGACAAAAATCTTCATGAACTTGGTTGGTTCCAGAACCCACATATTTATTGACATATCTAATAGTTTATAGGCATCAGGCAGAATAGTTTTGTCACAGTCGTAGATGAGGATGATGAGGATACCTTCATCAATGTCGTCATTAATATTCAAGAAGCGTAGGTCGTAGCACACCATTCTCGCTATGCTAATGGCTAACATCTTTTCGCAGCAAGCTCGTGGACAAACTTATCGAGGGTCTTCGAATTGATCAGGAACCTAATATTCCTCGTCGGTCAAAGACTGTACTTACCATTCAGAGTAACGGGGTTGGACAGACCAATGGCAAGCGTACTGCCGATGGAGAGCTCAAGGACCCTAAGAAGCGCTTGATTGCGGAAGACGGGGTGTCTTCAGCAGCCAAGAAGGTGAAGAACGATGACGATGTGGTCATTATTGATGATGACGCCGGCACTGGTGCAATAGAAATCATCGATTAAAGCGTTCGTTGCCTTCGGGAAACGGAAACTTGATGAATTATGTTGCACTTAAGCCTCCGTCGATATTGAGCACGCAGTTGTGTGCATAGGGATTTTGGGCTAGGAATAACGCAGCATCTGCAACCTCTCTGGCTAAACCAAGGCGTCCGAGAGGGATTAGAGCCGATAGCTCTCCATTCTGATCCATATCTATATCGAGTGTATATCAGTAATCATGTATTTTGTCAGGGGGGTCGGTCAGGGAAACGGGTATGACCAGGCGGTTGGGAGAAGAGAAAAAGGAAAAAGGAGACGAGGAAGGATGAAATGTCACCTTTCGTCATATCGGTCTTGATATATCCAGGTAGGAGGACATTGGCACGAATGCCAAACCGGCCGACTTCCCAGGCGAGAGATCGGGTTAGACCTAGAATAAGCTGGTTTTAGCTATTTTACAAGGCGAAGAAATTAGCAAGTGCGTACCGACGATGCCAGCTTTTGACGCGGCATAGACGCTCGCCCCCTTTCCCCGGTGAGTAGCTAGCAGACTAGCTACGTTAATAATACAACCTATGATGACGAGATGTAAGTGTTAGCTGATAATACATGGGTGCGTGGTGCGTAATCAACTTACCGCTTTTCTGCTTCATCATTTTGGGTATGATGTATTTGCAACCCCATATAGTACCTGTGAGGTTAGTGGCAATGATCTCATTCACGTCATGTTTTTCGGTCTTGAATATGAAGGAGTTTTGCGAGACACCAGCGGCATTGACGAGGATATCGCAGACTTGCTACGACAGGGCATTTATGTTAGTGCCTAAGACCAAAAAAAAGAAAAAAAGAAAAAGAAAAAAAAAAGCAACAAGAACAATGATAATCCTAATCCTAATCACCCTAACCAGGAGCACATACGTTTTTAGTAGAGACAACGAGCTTCTCCCAACCGTCCGGGGTCGAGACGTCGAAGGCGGAGACGCAATGCCGCTGTAAGTCGCCCTGGGTATCCAAAGTATCGGCCGCTTTGGCGAGGGTATCTTCGTTCCGCCCTATGAGAGTGCACCCGGCTCCCTGGGCGGCGAAGAGCCGAGCAATGGCTAAGCCGAGGCCCCGGCTGCCGCCCGTGATGAAGCAGCGCTTTCCGGCCAGGGACTGCATTTTCCATTAATTAATTAATTTATTTATTGATTGATTGATTTTTCTTTCTTTTTCTTGATTTTATGTACGGATCCGTATCTTAATACTCAATTCGGAGGTTATTTACTTAGGAAGGTTGGTCACGTGCAGAGGGTAAGGATGCATTTCTTCAAGTTAAAGTTAAAGTTACATGCGACCTTTTCCCTGAAAGGTGACCATGTGAGGTACCTCTGCCATACCCGCCGCTTACGTAACTAACCTTACGGACCCCTGAAGATAAGCCGCAGCGCAGCTATGGCAGTTATAGACGAAGGGCTGACGACACGGATGTGGGGGTATGCGAAAGGGGGGGGTTAACACACACTAGATTGGGCTTTGAAGGAAAACACAACGGCCATTTTTGATTTGCGGTTGGTTCTAGGTACAACTTTTAGAGTTGAGATTATGCCAACTCTTCTGCAACGATCTGCAACTACGCGAACGGGTCGGGGATAATCCAAACAATTCGAAAACGACTAAAGTACACACATTAAGATCTAAAGAAGAATATGTTACGAATTTATCCTGGAATTACTTATCTATTTCAAAAGAAAAAAATATATAAGGAAGAAGAAAAAAAACAGCATCGACTTCATACCATACTATGTATGCACCGATCCTTGTGGCTTGGGACAGTTGGTTGATTGAATCCTACTCAACATCTCTCTCTTCTTGATTATTTTTTTCTACCTGATTGACCTACATCCTTATTATTATATTCTTCTTATTAATTCACCCTTTATTTCTCTCCTCTATATACCTAGAACTTACCACCTGAAATCAATCTTCCGTTCGACAAAAAAAAAAAAAAAAAAAAAAAAAAAAAAAAAAATCCGCAGTTGTAAAACTCGGCCCTTTAAAAAAGATCGGATCGATTTCGATGCGCGACAGTCGACACCGCCCGCGACCCTCGAACCCAAGAATTGATCCGACCCCGACCCCGACCCCGACCGGGACCGGAACGCCCCCCGTTGCCTCTCTCGAGTTTGTGCTAGCGACCAGATCTAGGAGGACAGATCCTAGAATCCGATGAATATAACCAATAGTGTCCACGCCAATGGCGGCGCGGGTCCCATAAAGAAGGATATAGAGGTAACCGAAGAGAAACCTCCCGTGATCGACGCCGGGTTGCGAAATTTGGATCATTGTATGTGCTACTATTCTTTATACTGGTGTTTTTTTTAATAAAAAAAAGAAGAAGAAAAGAGAGAGAAAAAAAAATAGGAAGCAGATGGGAAAAGTGCAACATATCTTTACGAGTATACGAAAATATTCCCGAGGGGTTGGAGTTACATACGATTGCGCGCGTGAGACATCGAACACTAAGATGTCGCATATCGAGAGGGAAATCTTATACAACATAACTTCAACAAGAGTACACACCCGCTGACCCATCTTTTGTATTACTACAGATAAGCGCGCTCTTCCAAAATGGCGGTACGAGTTGCGACAGCGAGCTCTCCCTCTCGTCAGGTGGGAGACGCCTTATCTTGCTTGGCTACAGGCCACCTTGCGCTCTCCTGCGCTCGACAGCTACTTCGCCATTACCGCCAACCTCGGCACTCATACCTTTTTCATGATCGGTCTACCTATAATGTTCTGGTGCGGGAATGCGTCTTTTGGGAAAGGGTACGGTTATATCTATCTGTTCCAGTCCCAATCGCGAGAAAACGAGTCGGGGTGAAGTGAGAATGTGAATAAGTTTTTAACTGACATGGGAACCATCATCACCAGAATCGTACATATTCTCGCGACAGGCGTCTTCTTTACCGGCTTCGTTAAAGATTTCTTCTCACTACCCCGACCACTCTCTCCACCACTCCATCGTATCACCATGTCTGGTTCCGCAGCGCTCGAATACGGCTTCCCCTCGACCCATTCCGCCAACGCCGTTTCCGTCGCCGTCTACGCCATCCTGTGCCTCCACGATCCCGATAACCCTTTCCAACCCGCCACTCGCTCTACCCTCGAGGCGCTCGCCTACTTCTACGCGATTAGCATCGTCTTCGGCCGCCTCTACTGCGGCATGCACGGCTTCGTCGACGTCATCATCGGCTCCCTCATGGGCGCCATCATCTCCCTCGTCGAGTTCTACGGCGGCCCCGCCCTCGATCTTTACCTCGGGCAGAGCTGGGTCAGCCTGTGCGGCCTCTTGCTCATCATCATCATCTTGATTCGCGTGCACCCCGAGCCCGCGGACGATTGCCCGTGCTTCGATGACAGCGTGGCCTTCGCGGGCGTGATGATGGGGCTGGAGATCGGGACGTGGCGTTTCGGGAGGTCGTCATGGGCCGATATTCCGTTCGACGCGGCGGCGCTGGGTTGGGCCGCCGTCGGGCTGCGCATCGTATTCGGGGTTCTGGTCATCTTCGCGTGGCGCGAGGTGGCCAAGCCGTCGCTGCTCAAGGGCCTGCCGCATCTCTTCCGGCTCATCGAGGTCTGGGGCCTCAGCCTGCCCCGCCGCTTCTTCATGCCGGCCTCCGAGTACAAGAACATTCCCTTGCGCCTGCGCGTCGACAACGTCATGCCCAACGTCAGCGACCTGCCGAACCTGCTCACGGCCGTGCGGCACCCCGGCCGCGGCCGCTCCGTCAGCGTAGGCCCCCAGAGCGCCGCCGACGCGTACGAGACCCTGGCGTATCGCGAGCGCAGGCGCAGGGAGAGCGTTAGCGTGGGTGCTGGTAATAACGCCAATGCCAACAACAGTAACCTTGCTGCTCCTGGTAGCGCCGCGCTGCGTAATAGAGCTAGCGTGCAGGATATCAAAGAGCAGCAGCAGCAGCAGCAGCAGAAAGAGAATGACAATGCGCGGAGCTCGGCAGTTAGTAATAGTAACGGGGCGCAACAATACAACCAACAACAACAACAACACAATCAACGCAACCATCATCATTATACGCCGAGCGACTTCGAGGAATTAATGGGACAAGGCACGGTGGTTGTCTCGCCGGCCGAGACGGGCGGGGAGCCGGATTTGATCGTGGGCCAGCATGATGAGTTGGGTGAGAAGGAGGTCTTTTCCAAGTTGGTGAAGCCGCGGGTGCGGTATGATGTCGAGGTTGTTACGAAGTTGGTTGTGTATTGTGGTGAGTATTTTCCCCCATTTTCCTCGAGTTTCTATGCTGTTGATATATTTTTTCCTTGAAACTGTTTAATATTTTATTGTCATCCGATGCTGGCCAGGGAGCTTCTAGAGATATGTATATTAACTAATGACCGTAGGAATCGGCTGGCTGGCCGTCGAGTTTATACCCGTACTATACGAGATTATTCCCGGCTTAGGTGCCGGCCACCTTCGAGTGGCGTAGCCAGTCCTCTCGCGCAGTCGAGGACTTAAATAAAAAAGCAAGACAAGGAATTACGACGGCAGCTTCGTACTTGTCGTACCTGATTTAAGTACGTGTGACGCTTGCGATGAGAACATTGTTACGATACATAGGTACATTAGGGACATATATGTCTACGATGCCGGTTAGTTGCGCTATACTCGCATGTCCGGGCCTTGTGATGATAGGTACCTAGGTACCTATGGAAATAAATTCCCGTTCTTCACTTTTTCTTTTTCTAACCTTCTTGTATATAATCACTTGTAGCATTTATTAATATAACTTGTATAATTTCCTTTATTTTCTCGCTGTCTAGCTCTTCAGCTATATGTCGTCCCAGCTCATGCATGGTTTTGTTCGATATGTCCAATATAGTTCAACCTGGCCATGACTTCCAATGATATCGCTGTATTTCCAACCCAAACAATAATATCCCCAATCCCCATAGTCCAATTTACTCCAGCCCGGCCATGACTTCCAATGATATTGTCGTAACTCAGACAACAATAATAACAATCCTGGTCACCCTATGGGATGACAAAAATCCAAGATCTCTTTCCACTCCGTCCCAAAAACCCGTAAGTTAAAACTTAAGGCATATACATAGTGCGCTGCTATCCTCAGATGCGCGCTGCTTCTTTGCTTTGCTCCCCAAAAAAATATCTCGAGGTATCTTCCAAACAACCTAAGTGTATAGGGGTATCCCAGGTAAAAGAAAGAAACCAAGGAGATTGAAAAAATCCAACCACACATAAACTCCATATACAGGAAATATACACAGCAATAACCGCCAGACCCCGAATTCCATCGTCGGGGGATGTAAAAATGATGTCGCTGTTTGTTGATCGATCGACATGTCCATGGCAGATCTAAATCCGTAAAAGGGGAAGAAATCATGGAGATCGAAAGTCCGCCAGACGCCGCCGAGTAGTTTCGACAACGGATTATCTGATGAATGAAGCTTTCCCAACTCGAACGCTCTTGGATGCCACAGGTCTTGCTCCATGGTCTATAATAGTTGTTTTTTTGATTGTTTTTTTTTGGGGGGGGGGGGGTTTCGTGCTTAACTCGAATCCTGGCCTTGCTGCCAGATCTAGTCTGGCTCTGGGGCTTCAATACGAGTTTAAGCAGAATTAACACCACTAGTTATAGTCGCAGGGGATTGTGGTATATATCCATCCCACTGCGCTGACCAGGCTCGTAACTGTCGAATAAAATACAAGGACGCCGTAACTGCAGGCCAGCAGTGACGCCTTCTATACACAGATACATGGCAAGAGAATACATGGCAATGATAATGACGACTAGACTCCAAAACTCCATCATCGTGGGATTGATGTTTATATGTTGTGAACTCATCCCCTGGCGAGGAAAATAAAATTGCTGCCGATCGATCTGAATCTGGTAAAGGAAAACATGAAGATTCACTAAACGCCAACTTTGTATCCATGGTTATATACATGATAACAATGATAATCTTCAATCAAAGTTGTTGTTACTGTGGCTGTTGTTGGTCGATCTGTCTAGGGCAGATCGGAATCCGGTAGGGGACGTACCCTATATCATGTGATAGTTAGATAACAGTGTTCGATCAACAGACAAACCTTTTATTTTATTTTATATCAGATCAGATAGGAGGAGACTAAGATTGCTTACCTTCCCGGCCCCCGGGGGTAATAGGGAGTGTGGCCAGGGATGTCCTCCGGCCGGCCCGTGGTGGGGAGATGGACGCTCCGGGGGATCTCCGGCTCGGAACCACCATCATTGACGATGTCGCCACTACTACTAGCAGCGGAAGTGGACCCGCTAGTGCTAGTAGTGAGAGCAGCCCTGACCCTGGCTGCGGGGCTGACCCAGGCGTTGTTCGAGTCCTGCTGGCTGAGGTAGTGCAGTGGCGGGGGTAGTGGTGCCTGGGTCGCCGAAGACGACGATTGGACGCTGTTGAGGGAAGAACGGCGGCCACCGCGGTTGTTGTTGTTGTCATCGGCACCGCGACGAGTACTATCGTACCCGTGCACGGAAATATCATCTTCTTCATACAGGCTGGGGTAGCAACACCAGTAGGTCCAATTCTTACGATTTGGCATGTCACGGTGGGCGATGTGTCGTTTGATCATGTAGGTCAGTACCGGGATTATGAAAGCGGCGAGCATGACAGCGACGGCGACGCCTATCCACATCCACACGTTGGGTTCCATTGTTTCTTTTTTTTTTCTGTATTGACCGTTGGCGCGGTAGCGGCTGGGCCAGCGAGAGTGTGTGACTTTTAAAGCCGAAAGCGAGACAGGCACAAGCGTACAGAAAAAAAAGCCGAGGTAGATGAAGACTACTACCGCGGGAGATGTTATGGTTGCGAAGATGTTGAGGTCTAGATATGTGTGAAGGTATGTATAGGTAGGTGATGATGATAATGATGGCAGTGATGGCAGTGATGATGGTGATGGTGATGATGGTGATGATGATTTGGTTGTAAGAAGTTTGGAGTTGTTAGGAAAGGTGATGAAAAGTAAAGGGAAAAAAAGAGAGAGAGAGAGAGGAGGGAACTCGTCTGCCTTTTTATATGATTTCTATGGCTTACGAACGCGTCACCTATTTTTTTTGTTTTGAGCTCTCTCTCGCACTACGAGATTTGAGAGTTAGATATTATTTGAGTCTAGTTAAGTTAGTTAAAGGTAAATCTTGGGTTTCCTAGAGACGTTACGTGGCCAAACTTGTGAGGCAACGGAGTGTCAAAGGTATTGGGCGGCAGCGGCTGTTTATATATTCCCCTCGGACTCCCCAAAGGCTATAGCCTTAAGTGGAACGTCATAACATGGAAAAGGCAGCCGGATATCCACGACATTGCTCTGTCAAAGTGTGAACTCAGCCCTGGGATACGTCACCGCTGCTGGTAGTAAGTTTTCTAATATAAACATTGTCAAAGCGGCTCTTACGTCTTGCTTCAAGGCTTGAACTCTCTTTAGACTGCGTTTATCAAACCATATTTATGTACCTAGCGTCGACGCTCGGTACATTAAGGAGCGTATGAGATAGATGTACAGGTACATTTACCGTTTGCTTCATAGTTGATATATCGCATACTTAGGACTTAAGGTTATAGCAAAAAGCTCCCAAGATATGGAGCATGACGTATATGTAACTGTATTAGAGCAAATCTGACGCGTGTTTCAGTCTATCCGGAGGAACAATACCATGAATTAAACTACTCTTGATAAACATGTTACGATTTACGTCTCTCATCCCCATCAAACTTATAATGCGTTTAGACAGTTTTACGAAACCGCTGGTCTGCCTTATACGTGGAAGCCATAAAGCATTGTTATGGTAGGAATCCCTCGAGGTTGTAGATGTATCGAACTAAACTGTCGAATGCTCCCAACACTTTCGTTGGGTATACCTAGGTACTGTCCGATCCCTTCAGTGTTTACCTACAATAGGGGGGAATGTCGCCTTATATATAAGGCGTAATTGCTAGTCTGCAATTATAGCGTCGTTTTTATCATACGATAGGAAAAATAAACGGAATTCATTTTAGAACTACTAAGGTTTTTCTTATCTGTTATGTTTTAGCTTCAAAGAGACGTTACCTAAAGTAACCTTTCTCCGCGTTTTGTACTATTTGAGCCCGTTAGGACGTGTTTAATATACGCTAGGAAGTTGACTCGATAAAATGTTTACGGAGTTGCGGCTGCGAAAACAGGTAGTTGCGCGTAAGTTTAACGTGCTTTGTTGTTCTATTCTAGAAGATCATCTATGTATGATACCATCGCCACCTCGGCAAACTGTAAGGAGTCTAGACTCCTGGCACAAACTTTGAAATGCCGTGGCCAAAAGCTTGCATTGGAATGGACCCAAGTCTGGGGCGTATATATGACAAACCCGATCTGCAAGCGAGTTCCTCATCTTCCCTGGCGGATTCGAAAATTAAATAAGCAGTTACCTAAAAACGAAATAATCTCTTACACTTTAAATAGGGTTTTAAAGAAAATCGTAAAATTTAAGGAGAAATTATTTCTATATAGAGTATCTTTTCAAGAGTAATTCAATTTATATAGTTAGTCATTTCTAGCTTGTTGTCTCTTGAATATCTCTTGATTGTTTAGAAAGGCCAGTAAATCGCAATGCCAAGACTGCTCACCTAATGCCAGCTTCCCTGATGTCGATAGTCGTCGAAAGCAGTGACCCATTGATACGCCTTGTCGATCGTACTGGATTCGGGGCGGTTAGATTTGCCATGGTAAGCAACCGTTCTACAAGCAACACAATGCTACCTACCTGGTATATTGATTACAAACTAATCATTGGTAAGATCAATGAATGAAGCTGATCTTCTTCGTCGCTGTCGCCTCTTAGTAGGGCGAATTGATAGATTATCCTCGTCTGAACACTCATCCACCTCACGCTTGATACCTTTCGGTTCCTTCTTGACTAATCGCTTACTTTCCTTGTGACAAGGGCTAGTAGTAAGGGCTTGGAATAGAGTATTCAATTCAGTAATAATTTCCTAATAGTCTCAAGGGCCTTAGTCTTCTCCCTCTTCTCAGGGTGCGAGACTCAAGACTATTTGTAAACAATCTAAGGTACGTATTTTACAGCCTAAGCGCCGAGCCATCTCTGATGTTGGTCTCCTTGCTGAGACGTGCATCTCCGCGTGACACTTGTTATCCAATAGCCTCTTCTAACGATATCCTGATACTGCTGTTGGTGGTTTAGATGCACCAACACTCCTTGGCAACGTGGCCGTGTGAAATTCCTAGAGATAATAGTCACTTGTGAAATTTGACATTTGAGAAGGGAATATTCCAGCTTGTCTCGATGTCCTTAAGCCTTTCCTTTGCTAGACGGGCTATTTCAGCTGCAGAGAGCCCGTCTAAGCTGGGTGATCTGGGTGGAGTCCGCGGGATTATCATTTCATCTTGGAATGCTCCTATCATTTCTGATAAGCATTTCTAAAGGACTGGCGTATTTGAAGGAGCGCTTACTTCTCGACCTGTATTGGAACCGAAAGATAGCAAATGGCCCATTCCCGCCAGGGAGAGGCTCAGCGCACAGAAAATTAGGGCGTGTAATTGCTGTGCCAGCGGATAATCTAGAGAGTAAACGTAATACAACACCCACGATTGTGCCGGGGACAGTGTTAACGAGTAGCCCATGGCAAATGCTCAGATTGAATTGCTCAATGTCAGCCTTGGATAGGCCGTATTGCTACTGACTTCGTAGCGTGACTGGATGAGTGTAGATGCGGTCCTATGTCCACCCGCGGCACAATATTTGCGCATTGCATCGAAGAAAAGTCTTCGCCCATGATTACCCCTTGGTGCAATGATATCAGGTAAAATATTGAGTCCTAGTAGAACAAAGTCTTCATTAATCGTCCTAAGAAGGTCAAAAACTCTGTCTCATAGTACTTGGTACACGCGTTGACATACCAGAATCCCTCATAGACGGCGATATCCTTGAATGGTAATTCTCCTATCCTTGCCAATGTTTGATGAATTTACAAGACAGGCGGTCACCGTCTTCAGCATCACTTGCGTAATTCCTTGAAGCTGGTTACCAGGCGCAAGAGAATCATATACGCGCAGGCTTCGAAGCGACTGGATTATACCCTCTAAATGGCAATAAGGTGATTTTAGAGTTTGATGTGGTTGAAATCGCTCGTACGCCGTCGCCAAACCCCCGATTACCTGACCTATTTTGGGTATCCAAAACACCACATAACATTAAGGAAGCCGTTTCATAGACCCTTTTTGCGCGTAATAGGATATATAGCAGTTACTCTCACTCACTAACAGCCGCTTTAGACGCCCTGAATAAGATTATTAAGACTACGTATTATCTATTATATAGGGTTGCCTTATTAGAAAAGGAGGCCAATAATCTTTGAGAGATGGATGAATCACGTGTTTTTTAAATGCCGTACAGCTAAAAACAAACAATTACAAAAAGGAAGACCCCTTACTTAAGAAAAGGGAAGAGCTTTAGCTGTTGGGACGAATAAAGGGGCGGATATTACAATGGTGCGAACTGCGCCCCCCCTCAACCCAAATGAAAAACTCTTGAACGCCTGTGGCCAACAGCTCGACTAAAACCTTTCCTGACAATATCCAACTATGACCATAGAGCTTTAGAGCTAGAAAAAACATCTCTCCTTACTACCATGATTGTTGAACTTCTGTTAGGCTGTGCCCTAGCCTACATTGTTTGGAGTATCGCTTGTTTAGAGGCCAATGTGCGCAAGGCTCGAGATTTCCAGGTGCCTATTGTACGGCTTCCAATCGATGCGAACAATGTTCTTTGGATTCTTCTTCAACCTCATGTCTGGAAAATTCTAGATGGACTTCCATTCAATTGGTCTTCTTACCCTCGCTTTGTGCGCTTCTCTCGCCGAGGATGGTACTTTGCCGAACGAGCAAAGGCTCATGAACAATTGGGGCCAGTTTGGGCACTCGTGTCGCCCATGGCTATCAACTTGCACTTCGCAGATCCGGACACTATCCGTGACATCGTAACCCGACGCGGCGATTTCCAACGTCCTACTAAAGAGCTTAGTAAGTTACTACCTAGAGAAATGGAATGAATCAGCTGATCAATTACAGAGCTATTGGAGCTCTACGGCCCATGCATATCGACAGCCAAATGGGAGGAGTGGCCCCGTCATCGCAAAGTGATGGCGACCCCCTTCAATGAAACAATCATGAAGTTCGTCTGGGAAGAGTCCATTCGTCAAGCAAAAGGCATGGTGAATTCATGGACTAGCGCATCTACGGCCGGAATCCCTAGCTATCAGAAAGATACACGGGCATTGTCACTCAACGTCCTCGCAGCCGCTGGCTTTCGGAAATCGTACGACTTCTGTGGTTCTGACGAGCCAGTAGCCGACGAGATAGGAAGCTATCGTGACTCTCTTCAGACCGTCCTCGACAACATCATTCTGTTGATGTTGGTCCCCTTCAATGTACTATGCGTGATACCCGGAAATTATGCTAGAATTGGCAAAGCAGGAATCTCCTTTAAGCGTCATATGGTGAAGATGCTCGATGATGAAACCACAGCGCTCAACCAAGGCAAACCTGGATCTGGTGGCATTATGACATCCTTTGTGCGCGCCGCCGACATGCATAATCTTGATTCTACTGATGTGTCAAGCCCGAGAGCTGCCAAAAAGGGACTCTCCGTCGATGAGATCTTCGGCAATCTTTTTGTCATCAATTTTGCGGGACACGATACCACGGCCAACACATTGGCGTTTGGCATGCTGCTTTTAGCGGCGCATCCAGATGCCCAGGAATGGCTGGCAGCAGAAATCATGTTCGTCACTGGGGATAGTCCTATAGAGATGCTGGACTACAAGGATCTCTTTCCAAAGCTTAAGCGCTGCCGGGCTGTCTTGTATGAAACCCTACGTCTTTATCCGCCTGTCCCAGCACTGCCATCAATTACCTCCCACGGAATGCAGACACTCAATGTTGGCGAGCAAACACTCAACATACCAGAGGGAGTAAACCTCACCGTCAACCTGCGCGCTATGCAAATGCACCCGCAGCATTGGCCTGATGGGGAAGCCTGGAAGCCGTCACGATGGATCTTGAATCCTGCGCCAGCGAACTCCCCTTCGGCTGATCAGATAGCCAACGAACAACTAATTGTGCCAAGTAAGCACATCTTCTTCCCGTGGGGCGAAGGACCGCAGATTTGCCCGGGAAAGAAGTTTGCTGAGGTTGAGGCAGTCGCCGTATTGGGCTACCTATTTGAGGCGCATCGCATAATGGTAAAAAGAAATCCCGGCGAGAACGACGATGCGGTACGCAAGAGGGTTGACAACTGTCTGAATGACGTTGATCTAGAAATGCTGCTAAGGCTAAGGGATGCGGATCGGGTAACTCTTATCTGTAAAGAAGCGTGATCGAGCTTGGACGCGGACATCAAATCTATTATACGGATATATAATACTCGTAACGGTTTCTCTACCTAGGCTAAGTCCACTGCACTGTAATCATTGCTCACCGCCTGTCCACTCGGCCTGAATAATGGCCATTCTCGCCCCTTGCGGTAGCTTAATACCTAGGAAGTTAAACCTTGGGTCCGCCAGTGTAAAAAGCATCTCCCACGTCTCCGCATCACGTTCCCGAGCGTTATTGAATGCCTTCATCAAGATGTCCATCTGTCTGAGTCCGCAATCGGCCGCAATACCCAACTGTCCCGGCTCTGGGATGCAAATGTCATTGATGATAATTTTGGCTTGCTTCTTCAAACTCGGTACTAGCGACTGCAGGATCTTTACACAATATTTGTCGCTCCAGTTGTGGAAAACCCAACGTAGTAGGTACGCGTCAGCGCCGTTGACTGGCTGTGGGGTGAAGAAATCGTGCTCCATGCCGTGAATGCGATTTTTCAGCTCTTCTGGGATGCGCTTCTCCAAGCCCTTGATGACTTCTGGCTGATCTTGGACGACAATCTTCATATGAGGGTATTTGCGCGCTAGGGCTATAGCTACTTCTCCATGAGCTCCTCCTACGTCAACTAAGCTTCGCACACTGCCGAAATCGTAGCCATTTAGGAGGTGTTCCACGTTGAAGGTGAAATGTTGATGAGAGAAGCTTTGTACATCCATGAATCGCTGCTGTCGTGCTGGGTCGCGCTTTATAACGTTGAACGGATTCTCGTCGGTGTTATGGCTCAGTGAATAGCCGCTCTCGTTAGGTTCTTCGCTTCCAGGCCATCTCTCTGTTGCGTCCACGGTCCGCGCCAACGACGGCCAGAACTCCTCGGCGATATTATTGATCCATGCTTTCAGCATTGGATTATCGAGCAGTTGTCGAGATGCGGCCGTGTGTACCACTGCCCCTTTTGACGTTTCGTGAAAAACATGCCACCCAGCAGTTAGGCGTAGGAATCTTGTTACGTCTTTAACGGGGAGGCCTGCCGCAGAGGCAATGGCATCGAACGTCGTCTCACCATGAAGTGGCACAAGCTCCGCGAGCTTGTACCTGCATATGTACTGAATACCGAGCATGAGATACTGGTCTGCTGGGCAGCTCATTATTAGTCCGAGTGGACCGAGGAGCAGACGATGTAGCTCGTCAGTGGCTTCGAGGGCGGCGTCTCTGGCGGCTTGAACATCCGCTGGAAGCCCTTGATTGGGATCCAGACCATGGCCGTTCTCAAATGATGGCTCAGGTAGTGATTTTCCCAAGAAAAACTCGAGATATTTGGTGGTATTTTCCTGAATTTGAGCTAGGAGCTGCGTTACGGGCAGGGGCTTAATGGCTTCCATGGTCAGTGATAGTCAATATTGATAGTGCAGGATACAAACTAATAGACAGGCTGCCCTAAGCTACTAGAAATTACAAACCCATATTAAGCGACGATTCGACCCCTCAAATGATCTCATTACTAGCACTGGCTGAGCCGCCTCCCTCGATATGCAGTGGAACGTGGGGGCTAAGTATAGAATTATCTCGTGCCCTGGAGCACGTTGTACAACACAAATTCATTGAACGAGATTCGGCGGACAGGGGTTGGAAATGATATGCTCTTGATATTGATGGAAAGATGCCAGGACCAACAAAACGAGTTGTCAAGTTGCACAAAACACCCTGAAAGCAAATACCTAGCCAGTTGATTCATGGTTTTTTTTAAAGTCATGTTCTCCTCTTCAAGAACTAGAATTCAAGGACTCTGGCCGCAATTCTCAGACGCCCCAGTTCTCCGCCAGTAACCATCATGGAAGGCGTGCATAGCGAACTGCGGCTTGATACATCTCATTATCTCGCGGGATGGAGACTTCATATTGTAATCGCTTCCCTCTTTTTCGGGTCATTCCTCATCGCGCTTGACACCAACATCATCAATGTTGCTCTGCCAAAGATTTCGTCTGATTTCAAGGCCCTTCAGGATGTCGCCTGGTACGGGACGGCTTACCTGCTCACTATCACCGCTTTTTAGCCCGTGTACGGCTCCATGTACACATACTTTCGCACAGACATCGTATATCGGGTGTCTATCTCCATTTTTGAAGGTACGTGTGGTCGATTCATCGTCGTTTAGTGGACTAATGTTCATAGTTGGCTCAATTCTTTGCGCCGCGGCTGTGGATTCGAATATGTTTATCGTAGGGAGAGCTGTTGCTGGCCTCGGAACCGCTGGAATCCTTCAAGGTGCTTTGAGTATCATCAGTCAAGTCGTGCCTCTGGAGAAGCGACCATTATACATGGGTGTCGTCATCAGTGTATTCGTCATTGCAGTCACGGTTGGCCCAGTGCTAGGGGGCGTCTTCACAGAACATAGTACTTGGAGATGGTGTTTTTGGATGTGAGTCCTTCCCTAGGTACCTATCTAGCAGGATCGTCGGTAAACCTGACATTGATAGAAATCTACCCATCGGAGCCGTCGTCCTTGCTGGCCTTACCGTTTTCTTGAAGATCCGGGGAAAGCAGAGCGAGGATCGAGCACTCCCATTTACGAAGAAACTCCGCAACATGGACCCGCTCGGCAGTCTCATCTTCATTAGTGCTGTATGCTGCTTGGTGCTTGCATTGCACTGGGGCGGTCAATCCAAACCATGGAACTCAGCAGACGTTATTGGATGTTTAATAGGAGCGGGCCTTATTGGAATACTATTTATTTATTTGCAGTGGAGAAGAGGAGAGTCCGCTTTAATTCGTCTTCGAGTATTTAAGAAGCGATCTATATGGACGGGTTCGTTGGTGCTCTTCTTCCTTGGAGCAGGAACATATGTCGTAAGTCGGCAATGCTGTACAATGTCCTCGAACGATAAACTAATCATTACATTTTAGAATGTGTTTTTCCTACCATTTTGGTTCCAGGGAGTAAAAGGCATTAGTCCTGTATGGACAGGTGTCGACTTTATACCACTCCTCCTCCCGCAGCTTGTCTCCCTCATTGTTGTCGGCGCTATTGTGAAACGGTTTGGCCACTATGTGCCTTACATGATCATCGGTGAATTGATCTGCATTGGGGGACAAGCGATGCTCACGCAGATCAAGCCCTACAGTAGCACGTTGTATTGGGCTGCATCATTCGTTGTCTCTGGCCTGGGGTCAGGGATGGCAATGCAGCTTCCTTATACAGCTGTTGCCATAGTCCTCTCTGACGATGATATCCCCGTTGGCAACGCTATTGCTGTACTTTTCTATCAGCTCGGTGGAGCGATTTTTATTTCCATGGGACAAACCATTATCATCACAACATTACTTGACCTCGTCCCCCAGCGCCTACTGGGAGTCTCGGCTGAGACTGTGGTTACTGTTGGTGCATCCAATCTGGCTGCAATTACCACTACACCTGAGGATCTGGCGGTACTACAAGATATATGGAACACAGCTGTTGCGAGGACAATGATCCTAGGTACCGTTGTGGTAGGCGCGACAGTACCTTTTACACTGGGCATGGGATGGCTTAATTCGGTCAAAGTTGCCGAGGAGAGGAAAAAAGCAAGTGTAACAGGAAATAAAGAAGCGCAGACGGGCTGCTAGATAGTTAGCGGCAGTGAATATGGTTTAGGGGGTTTATTATGCATAATGTGAATCCGGGGTAGGGGTGGGAATACGGGACATGACCTGGACCGTGAGTTTTAAGGGCCCCTTGATAAGCAGCTGCATGGATTGGAAAGGGAAATTTGATGGAATCTGTAAGGAGAGTCATTGTCGGGGGACAAAGGGATAGAGTGGAAGAGTAGGGCTACTAGGAGTAGTGACAGAGCCCCTGCGGGGCTCCAGCAAGGTCTACAGGTATATAAAGGAGGCCTTCCTTTCTTTGAACAGGAGCAGGCATTAATAGATCACCTGTGAGTGTGCCACTCATGAGCCACGGACGTGGCTTTCCTGCTCTTCTTCAGTGTTGAGTGATTGTAATAATAATAATAATAATCTTTTCTTTACATAGACAATATACACACACTCTTGTCATCACCCTTACGGTTCGATACCTCTTAGCATTCACCCTACGTCTGACATCAATCATGGGACCTCTACATCATCCTGACAGTCATGCAGGTGTATCACTAATGGTAAGTTATAAATAATGGCAGCTTTTGTATCTTTTCTCAAATGGTTTACAGACAGTTTGATCAAGAGAAGACATCGTAAGGAGACCTGGTTCCAAAAACGTCGACGTGTAAATGGTGTATATTCTGGCGGTGTTGAGGCACCATCAACATAGTCTAGTTCTCGGTTTCCCCCCTTATATTCCGTGAGGATACTGATGACTCGTTCCTTCCCTTTGTTGCAGAATGCCATTTTGCCATTGATCACTCTTTCGAAATATCCATTGATGAGGCTCCTTTGACTAATTATTCGACTTCGTATTTGATAGGAGTCAACTCTGGGACGAAAACTAAGGGAGTGGTTGCTATTACCCCAGTCATAGCCCTTGTCCACAATTAGGCGGTTAGTGAACTCCGGTTATCGAATGACTCGATGAATTTCGACGACGTTGGACAGCTGAGTTGTCGTTGAAATATTGGGATCATCGTATTCGGGACAACCTACGCCGTTGATGCAAATGGTAACCTTCACCCCAGGCACGTCTTCAAGTACGGCCATGATAGAAATGTTATGTAAAGAAGTGGGGATAAGTTTTTGGATTGTAACCGAGCTAAAATCAGATGTGCGACTGAAATCCAAAGCCTGGCGCTTATGACTGTTGGAAGAAACGGAACTGGGAGGCGGCGTGGGGTTATATAATATTGGTATTATGCTTTTAGGTTGTGGACTAAATAGGGAGTGAAAAGAACAAGAGTGAAGAATTTTTGGATTTGAAAGAAATATTGTAGTAAGTTAGGAAGGAGCATTGTGAAGTTGGGCAAGAGGTAAGCACGTATGAGCTTGCCAATGTAGTTCCCTGAGAACATTTCATGTGGCCTGGGTAAATTCTGAACTATTTGTAAATAAATACCTAATACTTGTACCTACGTACTTTGGAAGCAAATATCCTCTTCAGTAACGTCTGCTATCATTATCTAATAACTCAAAACAGCAAGGATAGAGGTGACTGGAGAAGAAGAGAGACCAATAACTCAAGTTAACGGCTAGTATTTCAACTATGGCGTTGCTCCTACTAGCTCCCATGTATTTACTAACTCAGATACGCCGTGGCTATAGATTTTTATATGGTACTCTGGAGTAGGATTGTAACACTCAAGCCGCCAGCGGATTCGCGTGGATAGTCACCTTTTCGATTAACACCTTCTCCTTTGGCCGATTCTTCTTGTCCACTTCGAGAGCTTCCAACTTAGCCAAAGTGGCCAGACTATCGTCCCCGATGAGCTTGCCAAACACGGTATTTAGACCGTCCAGATGAGGTGCCTTATCGAAGAGGATGAAGAACTGTGAGCCGTTCGTCCCGGGTCCTTTATTTGCCATAGACACGGTTCCGCGGGAGTTATGCTTAAGGACCGGCCGGATCTCATCCTCAAATGTCCCGCCCCAGATTGACCGGCCGCCTTTTGGGTTATCTGGCGTGGGGTTTGCCGGACCACCTGTTTGGACCATGAAGCCAGGGATCAACCGGTGAATTGGCGACTGATCATAGTAGTTTGACGCACATAGTGCTAGGAAGTTCTATATAACAGTTAATTACTCGATGCTGAAATGGAAACTGGAGCTGGCTGGACGGGTTTACGTTACGTTACGTACCTCGGCGGTCTTAGGCACGCTTTCACAGAAGACCTCAATTTTGAGATCACCTTGAGTGGTGTGTAAGGTGACCGACATTATGTCTAAGAGAGCTCTTAGGGCATCATATCCGAGAATCTAGGGACTATGCAACCAGTGCCCTAATACCACCTCTTAGCACAGCTCTATCTTATGTTACGGGATGTTACGAAACAACGAATAGCGTGAAGTTGGAGGTTCCAAAAAAAAAAAAAAAAAAAAAAAGGTTAAAGATCCGATGATAAAGAGCTGTGGGGTCGCAAGTGGAGGAGGCTAAAACATTTCCAACCTAAGGGGCCCGTTGTGGGGCTTATTCGCCTTGGATTGACTGGATATGGGGCTGTTTAAGGCTGGTAGCACCATACATTATGTCATTGGGTAAGGTACCTCCTAACCTTAGATAGGTACAGGTACTGGTTGGCCTACCTGGTTTTTAGACTTATCATCTTATCTCATTCATCATTTTCACCTGCATTCTCTTTTACATGTGCCATCTCACATCTCAAGTACTGAGGATTAAGAACGCGGGGACACGTGGGATCAACGCCTGCGAATCATCCCACGACTTCCCGGAAAGCACAGGGTTCCCGCCGTAAAATGGATGGCGGGCTGGGGGGTTACATTACTGCTGGGCGGCAAAAGCGCCGTGTGCATGCCGCTTTACATTGGTGTGTTACTGTGCGTCTGTAGGACTTTGAGAGCGGGTTGTAAGCGCTAAAAGCCTGCATGTAGCTGAGGTTGAAGGGTTGAAGCTCGGTTGAATTTAACGGATATTAATCCGTACCTAAGTGTCTTGTCTTGTCTTGTCTTGTCTCTTCTATAATCGAATTGTTGAGTCAAGAAGCCTAACGCGGCGACAGCTCTTCTCAGTACCTAATTAATGTCTACCTCCTAAACCCACCCATTGAAGTACAAGAAGATGAGTTTGACTTGACAGGAGCAAAAATGGCACTTGTACATGGTATTATCCACATACACTAGTATCAGTAGGGGTAGCCCTACAGGCCCCAGGGTCGTCAGCCTCATTCATCTAGTATACCTATACTAGTTGGTCAGGTTTAGACTCCTACATGGCCCCCAAGCCAAGAACCCTTCTGTACATAGTCCTGTACAGGCAGGGTAGGTAGCCTTTCGTGAAGGTACACGTCTGCGTTGGAATACTTAATAGGCTTTTACGCAAATGGTGCCTGTCTGGTTCTGTTTCACTCGCCCGAAAGCTACACTCCCACGTGTGATCATGCACATTAATTGTCCTAACATTTTTTTTATTACTAAGTTATATATAGTCCTTGAAATATGTACCTCTTAAACGGTAAACATATAGTAAAAAATCCGATATCGTGAGGGGGACGGGATTGTTAAATACCGATAAGCAAGGTATGCATTCCACCGCTCACTCGATTCAAATGCAATGATAAATCATTTCTACGACACTTCCATGTGTCGTTTCGTCATGTCTAATCACAAGCGAATCAAGATGGAATCTAACACAGCCAGGGCTGGAAAGCTTACTTTTGTCGTCATTGATAGCTAGATGCATTCAATTATACTACCTAACCTAAACACAGTTGCCCGAGACATAGCATTTATATAGAGGCGTGGCCAATTGCAATTCCTAAGAGGTACTTAAGGCAGTGTAGGCACTTACAATTGCTGGTGGGTACCTCGCCAAGGTACCTAGGTACTACCTCCCCTACGCCTAACCGCCCGAACCGGAACGGCCTTTAATTGGCTTTAATTCAAGGTGGAAGGGTTCTCCAAATCCTCGTGCTCCGACGCTACCACAGCAGTCAATTTCCCCTTTCAGCTTCAAACTTTCGGGGCAGGTAGCATTATCTGTCACAACATTTTCCCATTCCCATTCCCATCCCCATCCCCATCCTCATCCCCATCCTCATCCCTACAGGCTACAGTTTCTACTACCTAACTACATAATATGCTAAACCCCTTAAAGCATCCTTAAACATCTAAGCCTTAAGAAACGTCTTAATGAGAGATGCTTTAAGAGAAGCCTTTTCCATTGTTTCCACCCTTCCCACCGTAAGGCTTGTGGGGTTAAACAGTTGATTTTAGCACACGGGTTGCAGTTTAATCATTCACCTTCTGGCATATTCTGGGGGAGTAAAGAAGAAGAAGACAAAAAAAAAAGGTCCAATTCAATGTAAATTGATATTCTAGAACCTTATTCCCTTCCCCCTTCCACCCCCTCCCCCCCCCCATCCGCCCCTCTCCGCGGTGAGCCTTTCAGCTGCCGGGCTGCCCATATACCGATTTCGTTACGTAGCAGAGGTCTAGGTATTCTTAGTAGTACAAAGTCAAGTCTAGTCAAAGTCCTAGGAGTCAAGCTACAGAGAGCTTACAAACCTACCAACTTCATCAACGTCTTGAAATCGAAAGGCGATAACCTTCCAAGGGATATCCCACACCACTCGTTTCTTCCCTCCCCCCGTCCCCCCTATCGCCCTATTGTTCTTCTACCAAATCAACCCCAACCTGTCTTTGTCAAAACCCTGCAGGCGGTGACCTGACCTAATACACCTGTCGCCAGTCAAAATCAATAGTCCACAGCCCGTCTCAATTCGCGTCCCTTTCTCAGCCACCCGTCTCCATCGGCTACCGAGCAACCAAAAGCTACCCGTACCTTATACGCTATACGTTAGGCTAGGTACCTACCTTACCTTAGGTTAGGTATTTACCATTACCATTTACGCTACGCTACCAATTGCTACGTCCCGCCTTTTGGCGACTCTCCACCTTCAATTCCCTCCACTGGTAACACTAAGCGTCACCACATTCGACGATAACAGCTTCGCTTACCGGTCACACTTAAACACTTATAATCGATCCCCCCCCCGACGAACATTGCTGCGACGACCAAGATTTGATATGTAGTGCGCTTTTCGCATATTATATTCCGGACTGTGCAGAGATCGCATTTCGCAAGACGGTCGTCGGCTTACAGCCGTCCGTAACGAATAGATGCGCCCGGCCGACGCTGAACATTTGCCTTTTCTTCCACTTACAAGACACAGCGCTTAAGGGATGATGGCAGATCGAGTGCAAGCTTTAGTTCGGGTTTCTGGCCCTCCAAATAGTAGTTTTCTAGTTGGTTATCCTGGCATTTCCGCTACGTTGGTGAGTAGTTTGCGCTTTAATCCATTCGATTCGATTCGATTTCACTTCTTTCCATCCTTCAGTTTCAGCTTCAGCTTCAGCTTCCGCTTCCTTAACGTGGGGTTACGCGGCTTGAGTGACCCGAAGCCAAAATAGGTTTAAAGTCCCTCCAATGACCTACGCGACTAACCTATGTCTGCAGCCGCGCATCGAAGGAAAAGTAGAGATTAGGCCTGCATCAGGATATTCCGCCCCCGTCGCCATTTCATTAGTGAGAATATGTCTACAAAGAAGAGAGACGATTCACCCAGCCGCCGAAAATGTAGCCAAACGTCACCTCGGGACGCCTCGACGAGATACCACCGACGTTGTTGGAAAGGAGCTTTTGCTATACCGGTGCGCAACAGGCAGAGAAGCAGAGCAGGTCATGACGATGGACCTTCCATTTGTCTTGTTTATCCCGTTTGGGCGAGGCGGTGAAGAAACGAATAGGAGGATACCGCCGGCTTCGTTGCAACTCCCAAGCAGGACTGCAGAAACATATTACGAACTGGTGGTTACGGTACAGCAGGGACCGAGCATACAAAATAAATACGCATTCCCGATTCCCTTGCAAAGATACGATACGTTATCGACCTTTGGAATGTACAACCGACCTGAACACAAGGCCGTCACCTCCGACAACATAGTGACTCTCGGCATTTCGCTTCCAAGATGGAGTTACGGACCTATGGACCCAATCACGGTGTATATTAAATTGGCCCCCAACCTCGACTGGTTAGCCAAGGCGAGAAAGGTCACCATACAAAAGATCACGCTTGCGATTGAGGAAGAGATTACCTACAACCCCGAGGGAGACGAGCCGACAAAGAAGGTGAACAGATTACAGAAGCATACGCAGACGATAGGAGCCAAACTGCCGGAGGAAGGTTATGTGACTAACATGGGCATTATTTTCCCGCACAAAGACCTAAGGGATGCGAATGGAATTATTCGAAGGGGGCAACCGGCTTTTCCGAATTACGAAGTCACATCATTTACGACAACATCTACACTTTACAAGATCGAGTTCTTCCTTACGATTAAGGTGTGTTAAATACAAGTGCAGTGAAAGTTGCGAAGGGAATCATTTGCAAATTATTGCTAATACTTGGTATATAATGCAGGCGCAGTTAGCATCGGCTCGTGATATTACCCTTCGACAACCTATCGTTATATGCCCGCTAGATCATCAAGCATGTAAAGAAGAAATGGATGCCATCGAGCAAGCAGCAAAGGATGCTTCCACAGTCGACCAGAATAACCCGCTGTTACCAGCGAGAACGATCGTTTTAGCTGACGACCCGAATGCTTTAGAATCTCTAGGATATTGCTTAGTAGGAGGTCAGAAGAAGCCACTAATCGAATGAGAGTGTCGTCCTACGAGTTTGATGGCACCGGGGCATCCAGCCTCAATTCCGCGTGATACTACATCCGAGCATTGTGGCTCACCGAATTTAACAGGGGGGTGTATTTTTACGCATCGTCACACGATCAGCTGTTTTACTATCCCGGACGTTCGAAAATTAATCTCACCTAAGAAGTGCCGTCCATCCGAAGGGTCATCAGTTTTCGACCGGCGTACTGGCCCGAACCGGTGCGGAAGAAGAGTAGAGCATTGCTATTACTACTACCACCAAAGTAGTGGAGCAGTTAGGTTAATGCGTAATACAGTGGAACTAGCTACGCGCATTATATATACCTGCTAAGAAGATTAGCAGCCTAGAGGGTTCTTGCAAGTCCTTTCGCTTTCTAACTTAGGACTATAGCAAGATATACCCCTTACACGCCCTAGGTAGTCAATGCAGGCGGGTATTGACAGCGCAGGCTTGGTTCGTTATTAATCGTATTCGTCTAGAGATATTCAGGAGCGGGATGCGAAAACAAGGTTGGAGTTTAAGGGGCGCGTCGTTTGATTGTAATAGCTTTGCGTTTGGCAGACACGTCTCGTCGTGTCGGATTTGCGGCGTTACGGTCATGAGATATTATCAAAGGGTGGTGCAAGGGATACCAGCGCATCAAATTCCGGGCGTTTTTGGGGGATACGGTCATCTGGACGGCCTTGATCTTTTTTAGTTTCTCTCCGCCTCTGATTACGGGCACGGGAATACCATTGTATGCTGCTCATTAATAGGCGACTTGGAGATGTGCGGCCAGATGAAGAGGGAAACACGTCATCACCGAAATCTATGCCGCATTGCTGCCTAGGTATTTTATTTCCCTGAAGGAATGAGATTGGTAAAAGCTGGATTGTTGGAATTGTACCTACGGGTACGTATATCACAATTTTATGATATCCGACTTTGGGACAGGAATGTGTATATGCTGAAGCAGAAAGGGTTCTAACACGAAAGGATCTTGGGCCTATGGCGTCGACGCTATCCTCTCCATTGCATACCTAGAGTAGCAGGATATTTTATAAAGGCTGCTTGGGCATTTAAGCATATAGGAGGTAATGTTACCTATGAGGCCAATCTTGAATAACATGTTGTTTATAACATTTATCTCCCTGAGTGAGATTAACCCCCTCCTAATATGTTTATACAAACTTATAGAAAAGCCTCGTTTTTCTTACTTTTATGTAGTTGGCTAAATCGTAGGAAATCCAACGTGTTAGGTAGTTCGTTTGCTACTACATATGTGCATATGTCCAAGTGATACATACCTACATGTAAGTTAAAGAGGACTCCAATGGATGACGACGATATGCCCCGCTCCCTCCTGGCCAGCCGAAGTAAAGACGAAAAAGAGAAAAGAAAAAACGTGCGGTAGAACAACAGGTTATTTTCAAGGAGAGATACCTGCATGGCGTGCAAAGACAAAAAAGAAAATAATCAAACTTCGCCAACATGTGTATGTCTATGTTATGATGTGAATATGAAAAATCATGACAACTGGCAAAAGATAGATGGAATGAGAGCTGCAGGATTCGAACCTGCGCGGTTTCCCATCGCGGGTTACAAGGTGTTCTTTTGGAAGACCTAAACACGACGCCTTAACCACTCGGCCAAACTCCCAATTTAATTGATGAAAGACTGGGCTAGAACTATAGTATATAACGCGAAGTGCGTCTTGCTTGTCGATTTTTTTTTTTTTTTTTCAATGGTGGTGTGGGAGCGGAGCTGATTGGACTGGCTAACTGGCCCGTTGAAAAAAAGTCTAGGCTAGCTTGGGCTTGCTTGGTGGGGTTCTGAGTAGAGATAAAAAGATTCCACATCAAATAATCTAATAACTACCTGAGTTAGGTAATTTGATAATTCAATTCAACATCTCCGCAGCTTGAGTTAGATGTTCTGGTAAGTAGAGAGAGAAAAAATTAGAGCGAAATTAATATTTATGGTTCTAGTTGCATTCTGGATGCTAAATACTTAATTGCAGTTATCATATAGTTATCCTCTCCCTTGCTGGAAGTATTGGTATTAGTTGTTGTGATACCTATAAGAGTGCGGAATACATGACCTTCACCAATCACATCACACTGTCTGAAAAAGTTGGAAATATTCCAACTCTATCGGGGGTTCGAGACACACCATTCCCCCACCCCTAGTCTCAAACATACAGAAAGAAGAAAAAGAAAAAAGAAAAAGAAAATGGCGTTTGACGACGAAGACCCCCTTCCGCCTTCGTCGGCCTTAGCGCCGCCCGCCACCGCCGGGGACCAAGGAGGAGCCGACGAAGCGCCGTCTCTCGAGGACGCGCTCGCGGACGAGATGCAGGACTTCCGGCTTTTCGCGTCGCTCTTCGACAAGAAGCAGGCCGGGGGGAAGACCCTGCGCCGCGGGGAGAAGGACTTCGAGTCGCACGGGACGCGCGCGCAGCAGGGCGCCCTGGACGCCAGCCGCGCCGCCATGCACGACGTCCTGAGCTACACCCGCTCGCACAAGCCGCGGGACCACACGCGCGCCTGGTACTTCCCGGACAAGTGGGCTGACGTTGGCCCGACCACCACCGCCGCCGCCAAGGAGGTCGAGGGCGAGAAGGGCGCCGGGCTGTTCGCTAGGGACCGGGTGGTTGTCGTGGAGAGCGAGATTAGGGGTCCGCTGGGCCAGAATACGGGCCGCGTGGTTACGGGAATCGATAAGTACAGGCTGACCCCCGGGTGGTTGAAGACGTGGCTGTTGCCGGAGGAGGCCTTGTATCTGGTCGAGCGCGGGTCGTTGGATTTGTGGTGGCCGGCGAGAGGGATCGAGGACATTTTACCGGTGAAGCAGGACGGGAAGGAGGACGACGGGCTTGGCGACGGCAGCCGAAAATTCGAGGACTACGAGCTTGGGATACCGCTGAGCTTCCAGGCGGCGTACGCGCTTCTCATCGGGGAGGACGGCGAGAGGGGGAAGGTTAGTCTGGAGAAATACCAGGTCTACGCTAATCTCCGGAGAACCGGGTACAAGATCATGAGAGCGACTTCGATGACGTTACCGCCGGACGTCTCCTCCTCCTCCTCCACATCGGCATCGCCGTTACAGACTCTCTGGCAGTGGCTCTTTTCCTTATCATCGCGGACTCGCCATCACGAACCGCCTCCCTTCGGACCCCTCGTCAGGCCGGGCCTCTACCGCTCCTACAACCCGATCTTCGAGCAGCTCGCCCTGCTCCCGCGGCACGTCCCCACGCCCAACCCTTCCACTACTACTACCACCACCACCGCGCCCGTGCCCGCGCCCGAGCCTGAGGAGCCGTTCCAAGTCCACTTCCACGTGTGGAAGAGCAGCACCGCCTTCTCCAAGACCAAGCCGCCCCCTCCGGACTTCCGGATCGCGGTCGCGGACGCGCGCGCGTCGTCGGTCCCGACGCTCGAGCAGCTCGCCGCGCTCTTGGAGCGGTGCACGCCGTGGGACCCGCCCGAGGGGAAAGACGGGAAAGGCGGAGCGGGAGCGGGGCCGGGGCCGGGGGCGATGTACCGCCGGCTCAAGCACGCGTGGCGCAACGTGGTGGTGGCGGTCGTGGACCGCGGGCTGATCAGCTACATCCGGTTCGGGGAGATGGCGTTCGGGGAGGAGAGGCTGTACGAGAGGGTTGGTGGGGGGAGGGGCGCGAAGGGGAAGAGAGGCGGGAGAGGAGGAGGTGGTGGGAAGGGGGGCAGGGGACGGGGACAGGGACGGGGTCGGTGAAGTAGGTAAAGTTATGGCTTGGCTGGGTTGTAGAGATGCGATGCTCTCTCTCATTGTGATACCTGCGATAGTACCTGCTGTTGTTCCGCCTGTTAAGTTATCTATACTGCTACATATGTAACTACCGAAACTATGAAATGGGTACCTAGAGGATTTACCTTTGAAGCTCAGGTACCTCAGGTACTCAATCGGATTCATACATACCTGAACTGAGACACAATTTATCAGTCAACTTCCATGATACATTAGTTCTTTTTTAGTGTTTAATGAACGGTCGCATTAGATATATGACGGACGATATGCACATTTCCACTTTGGTCTGGCCCTCTTTCTTGTGCACGTTGACGATCAACCAGTCAACCAAGTACCCAGCAGAAATTTAGCTATAGCATTACATTACTACCATATGAGCCTTTCTACTAACACCAAGAGGCGGATGTAGATCAGATGCTCAATCTATAAATGATAAATAAACGTCTTTCGCGTTCTTTAGTACGGCCCCTAATGAATCGTCTCGATATAATGCTTGCTACCAAGCCAAACAACACACTAAGCCTATGTCGTACATGGTTTTAGTATCGTAGCTTGACTATTCTTACGGTGGGGGCTGCATCAGAAAAAAAAAGACAAAATATTCACACTACTAATAACGAATGCATCTCTCTATCTGGTCACACTGTAACACGGCTGCGATTGTATCACTAACATGTATTTGATTGTGGCCACATGATGCGAAACTTAGCTTGTTGAAAGAAACGAGAGTACATACTAGGTAGGTAGGTAGGTAGATTGTAATTAGGTCGCTGGATTTTTGATTGTGGTTGTGAATTGTAGGTAATACATCTGGTGTCGGCAGATATGTACCTAACATATACTGTCTTAGCTGTTGGAACACGACCTCAGGAGATGGGGAAAGGTTCCACAATAGAGAGTCCCTTGTGTTACGATAGCATCGACGGGGTTGAGATTGGAGAAATGATAAAAACTTTCTTCTTGTTTTTTTTCTCCTTCTTTTTCTTCTATCATTTTTATTCGTAATATGGAATATGGACTTTACTCGGCCATAAATTCATAAATCTCATCACTTTTCTCTTGTTTTCGTCGTATACCTGGTTATTATCGCAAGTGTAACAAGGACAGATAGGTACACGTGACGTAACAAGTAACAAGTTTAGAAGAGTTGTTAGATTCGTATAAGATATAAGATTATCACATGATTGCTTGCGGAAATAAAGTTAGAGTTGGGAGTGGGAGTGGAAGCTTATGAGGTAGGTATAGTACGTACCATGTAGGTTAGTGGTAGGTAAAAGACAGACTCTTGAGGTTTGACCAGGTTTGTCGAGTTCACCCGGGCTTTGCAGGGATACTCGTAAAGAGAAAAGTCTTGGCCCCTGCTCCTATTGAATTCCCTTTTCCACACTAAAATCAAACCCGTGCAACTCGCTCCCGTATTGTATTGTACCTAACAGAAATCGAAGTTGATGTTCCACAAGTCAACCCCCAACTGTGTTGTTTAAACCCGAATATCTGAATTGAACTTTTTTTCTGATCGTGTTGTTGGTTCTCACCGTTTAGTTGTTAGTAGTCAAAGTTGAAAGTCCGAGTCTGAGTTTGGATGGGCATAAAGAGGCATTTAGCATAACACTTGGAATCGCGAAAAGGCTTTTTAGGCAGTTTAGAGGGGAATATTGAGTTTTTATTATTACCTGCTGGCGGCACCTTGTGGTTCCCCTTTCGGCCAGGCCGACACATGCCATTAGAGTAACAGAACAGAGTAGGGTAGAGTCGAGACTCGTTTCTATTACGTCCGATCGAATTGACTTGATTTATTATTTCACTCGAGGTCGGCTCTTGTCGCACGGGGGCACGTAATGGTTTATCAGCAGAGCATCTAAGTGATGACATGATGGCGTAAGACTTGTGCATCATCAGGCCCTATCAGGCCCGTCGATTACTGAGAGATATATAATTCTAGTTTAGACATGCAGCATTTTTAATACCTTACGAGAGCTATGTGTGTCCACGTTGCATCCTGGCCTCCAATGCGTTATTGAGAAGCATCGTGCGCCGAAATTCAAAACTTTCTGTGACGCCCCCACCGGTGTTTAACTCGAGACTGGGGAAATTGATGATCGGGTAGACGCGCAACCCGGCGATCGAAACTGTTATTTCTAGCACTATGCTAGTAACTTATACATACATATATTAGGTGATATGTATATTGGGTATATACCATAGTAGCAACAGTAGAAGCAGCAGCAGCAATGGGGTACCTATGGGACCAATTGCATACTGCTTAATATCAATTAATGATAATCCAAAGTTCCAGCTGGGGCTAAATGGATGTCTACTATTGATGAAATCTGGTTGGTGCTGACCCATGTTTGCCTCTTTCCTTGCGCAAGTATGTCATGTTGGAAGATAAGCGCGGTATAACATTCCAACCTATTCTGGTCTCCAACGACCAGCAATTGTATGTAACGGACCATTTGACATGTGTACAAGACAACTAACTTATCCCTTCGGTCTGTAATTGAAATATGTATGTCTGAAAAGAAAGAAAAGGCCCACCGGGTACGCAGTATATGATAATCATTAGGGGAATCTAGTCTTTAGTACCAATATCTAATGGCTTAAGTCGCCTATTAATAAGGACCCCTGGCGCCACAGCACGCAATTCGAAATGCCAACGTCACAATGTACTACTGAGGTTAGTTAGTACGGTTAGTTAGTACCTAACCAACGTCTCTCTCTTGTTACCTAATCTTTCTTATACTAGCTAGGTTAAAAGGACTTACCCAAATTATCTTTCCGGAAGGGATAGTTATCTGTCATGGATAAGAATAACGTCCTTCCTCTTTTAACGCCTTCCAACTTGCGATTTAGGTAAAGAAACGTGAAGTTCGGGCTCCTACGCGCGTTTAAGTCGTTTAGTTGTCGCTAAGCCTTATCTAATATACTCTTACCTAATTCTATCCCTTACCATCGACTCATTTCATCTAGAGAGATGATAAGCGGCAGGTTTATACATACCGGTATATATACACATTAGGTAGATAAGTAGAACATCGACGTTTGCATTGAGAAACTAAACGAGAACTTGGTGGTTGTACATCAGCTTTCCTTGCTTATTTCCGATGCGATCGATTTGAATCTGTCGGTGAAGCAGAATGGAGTACTTACCTTGCCTTAGGTACCTAGGTAAGATTGATGTTCTACCTACCTCTCATAAGGAGGAAAAAAAAGTACGTTACACGATGCGGAGCGACTCTAACTCAGCTAGCCACGCTTTACTTTAATATACGTCGATAGAAGCCTGCCATTACCTAGCCGACAGAGTCAACAGAATAGGCAAAGAGGATAGAGGCCAGGTTACAATATAGATAGGCGGTGCATCCGTACGTAGCATTATATAAATGCCTAGGTCACACAACCTGAGTAATAGCGGTCATGTATAGTGAATAGTAATAAGATTGTCAGCTCGTATGTTCTTCCCTCTCAGGGCTCTAGGGGCTCTTGGGAACGTCGCAAGTCGGTATTAAAGAGGTAAAGTATTAGGGTAGCCTTGAGTGAAGATGTACAGGTACTTTTTTTTTTCTCTTTCTCTTACCTTAGGTAGGTATCTAACATGAGCTGATTAGTATGTGATTAGTATCTTTCAAAAAAAAAAATAATTAAAATTGTACGTGGCTCTTGTACGAGCACGACATTCATTGGACTTCCAACTTTCTATCGATAGTGCGCTACTAATTACCTAGAGCTAAGGTTGGTAAGTGGGCTTTTGTATTAGCAGGTCACCAATCAGCTTAATCAAATCTATGACTTGTTCTACCCCTAGTCGGGCCTTAGTTTAAGAGAGCCTGTATTGCACGATATTAACCCCCCTGTTCGGGTTTCCCTTGGGTCAGACAACTTTTGATTTACAACGCTTACTTTTGCCGGATACTTTCTCACACGATACTAATCCCAATTCCCACCTTTAACCTTTTTCCACCTTCGACTCTTTTTTTCCAACTAGTTTTTACCCTTGTGCCGGAGAGAGTGAGAGAGAGATAGAGAGAAACGAGAACGCACCTATCCACACAAGCTTGTTATCGTACTTTCCCCTCTCTCTTTCTTCTATTTGGGTTGAATAAACTAGGTGCCTAATCTACTGATCATCTTTTTTTTTTTTTTTTTTTCTCTCACCCGGATTGCCAACTTCTCATTTCCGCAACTCGCCATATTTCAAAACCTTGTTTCGGTAAGTACTGCCAGACTACTCGCTCTCTTTTCCTCCGCCTCGTATGTCCTTTTCCGTTCATAATAAATTCGCGCGCCAATTGGAAGATATGGTCTCGGCAACTCGACAAGTTGTCGCCAATTAATTTCATTTTCAGCCTTGTTGCAACGCGACGGTGTAAAAAAAAAAAAAAAGGGTTTGTTAGGCTTCAATACAATACATGATTTATTTATTTTTTTTTCGTTCGAGTCTCTCCCCTAACCCCCTCGCCCGTACTTGGTCGCACTTGGACCTTATCTAGAAAGGCACCGCGCTGGTTGTTCCTATTTTCTTACTAACTCTATGCCCAGAACTTATTAGTCTCTGCTTACACTCTTACACTCTCTTTGACATCAAGGCTATCTTGTATGCGTACCAGAGTACCTTTTATACCAAGTGGTTTAGTCATTATCTCCGCCAATTTGCTTTGCTTGGAGGGGAAGAATAGCCAACAAGTAGCGTCTGTAAGCACAAGGCTTTTCTTGAGTCTTTGCCGTCGGTTTGGAGATATTGCCTCGACTCACGTATCTGGTAAGTCCCGCTTTTTCTTGTTTCCAACACTTCGGACAGCACAGTGGATCTTGATCATGTTGTAAAGCAAGCAATCAAAGTACTTTTTGACATTGTTCAAGTGGTTTCCTGCTCAACTTAGCAACAGCCGGGCCGCAACCGACCGTCAACGGAAGCATCGTTGATAGGTACTGCGCCATGCTACCTAGGTATTTCTTCGAAGTCGCTTCCTTACGAAGTTGTTCTTTCTTATACCGTGCTTTACAATTACACTCACGTCCAATGACTGGAGGTACCTTCTAGCTGAATTGTTTATTGACAATTGCTTTAGATACCTAATATACTCAATCATCGCCATCCTCCATCCTCCATTCTTGATTGCTAGTTCCCCCCCCCCCCCCTAACAATTTTATCTTTGCGCAACTTATTAGCTATGGAGGAGAGAAAAAAGACATTGTCGCCGACCCTCACCGAGGATAAGGAAAAAGAAAAGGATGTTACAGAACCTACTGTCGAAGAGAAGTAAGTATAAATATTTCTTTCCAACACTATTCCCCCTTCTTCATTCTATATTGTGTCTATCATGTCTACTGTGTCTATTACATCTGTTTCCTCTTGCCTTTTGGGGTTACATCTCTTTAAAATCACATCAACGTCTTTTGCATATGCCTCTTCCATATTCACACGGTCGCATTCCTCTTCACAGCTCAAGTCCGCCTCTTTGAAGGAACTGCCTGCCTCTACCCATTTCACCTGTCTTAATATTCATATCGTCATTGCCGTCGCTACTTCCTTTTTCTGCAACTTCTTGTTCACCGCCCAAGTTGAGCTACACATTGAGAAAAACTTAACAGGCAGCAACCTTTTTACTTCGTCTACCTTACCTTATTTCTTTTACCTCGATTCACCCACATCCTTACCAACACCACAACGTCACAACGTCAATCCAGTAACAATACATACTACTTGAACTATCTTCACATATTTTAGAATAATAGTTACCTCCTAGAATCATAATTGCTAACAGTATTCAAAGACGGGCTGTCCCGGTTCATCCTAAACAACCTACGCCTTCAGCTTCGGAAGAAACCGCGCCTGCCGGCGATGCAACAGAAGCTGCAGCTCATGACGCCGAACTAAGCTCACCTCCTGAAAGCAGCTCTGTTTCAAGTGTCAACCCGGATATGCTGGGTGACGAAATTGTTGTTGGAACACGCGCTAACGGAAACAAATCCCCTGCTCGTCGAGTCGCTTCTGAGCGAGGTGATAACGAGATGCCTGACGTTGAAGAAGACGATGAACCTGTCTCACATTACCCTAAGCGCAAACGCGCGTCACTTTACAACAACCTTGGCGACGAAGAGTTAGAAAACAGCCAAGTAAAGGATGCCGATGATGCCGATGAGAGTTTGAGTAAAGGAAAGCCTCGACCCAAGTTTGATGAAGACAGCAAGCATGTGCCTGTGGGCTATTGGCGCTCTTCGCCAGTTCCCCAAATAGAAGGAAAGCATATGGTTGTCGGATTCATCGATATACGCGACCGCCTACGAACACGAATTCGACCTAAGACTCTTCATGGCGACCTTATCAATCTTCGATTGTTTCCTATCCCATCTGGTCCTGGTGGTAGCTGGATTACGTTTCCTGGTACAGTGTTCTTAGACCATCTCATTGGACGCGACCACAATGTGATCAAGGAGTACGTCAAAGTTCGAGCTGAGACGCTCCACGATCGTTCCAAGGAAGCCGATCAGGCTGCTATTACAGAAGCTCTCCGTCGCCTGGAACTTAATCCCCCGCCTGAAACGCCTCAACCTCCCTCTATCGCATGGGGCGTGGATATACCTGAACAATCACAGTTCGCCCGTCCTGAGTCAAAGCGCCGTCGTTATGGTAGTAGCGTTGGTACCATTGCTGAGCGCGCCGATCGCATCGATCAGGCTGAACAGGCAGATAATGCCGAGTCTTTCGAGCGTTCAGACCGCCTTCCTCTTGCCCCCCATCAACCAGAGATTTCGCAGTTGCCTCGAAAACCGACCCGCATCCTTGTTGGCTGCTGGGCCAAGTCTACTGCTCCGAGGGACGAGGATAAGCTTGCAGTCTACGGCATCTTGGGCGCTAATGATATGTTCCGCGTCAAGCTCGTGCGCGAAACAATGGACGGCCGTTACACAGACGACAACTTCCCCAGTGGCGCGGGCGCGTTGTGGATTTCATACGACGAGGTGCTTTTTGTTAATCACCTAAAGCAGCTAACCAGACCGGAAGTTAAAGAATATGTCCGCATTCGCCAGGCTCAGATTGATGCTGGGGAGAAGAAAGAGGATCGGGTCGCGAACGAGACTCAAGCAGTCCATGATGCTCAAATACGAGCAGCGGCAGTTGCGGCAGCCAGTCCTCTTAGGGCTCCTAACCAGGGACATGTAGGATCTGGTCCTTCATCCGGTCTCAGTCGCGAGGATGCTCGTGAAATGCACGAATCGAGACAGCCCCGACGTGAAGTTACATCTCGAAGTATCGAGTCAGCTCAATCGTTGCGACATTCTCTTCCGGATGTGGATATCAGACAAGCCAGTCGCAATGCTAGTAACGATCCTATTGAGCGCGTTCAAGGTTATGCGAACCGCGAAGTTGCAAGAATGGAAGCGGTGCAACTGCGTACTGATCGCCACCAAGCTAACCGTAACTCGGTGGCTAATCCAGGAGGCTTGATGAATGCCCATGACAACCGACGCGACTTCGACGAAAATATTATTAAGATGAACCAGGTATGGGAGGCTCAAGAGAATATGAGAATGGGACCAGCTAGTCGCCCTAGCACTGGAGATGTTATGATGCACCAGGGCATCAAGTATGAGCGAAAGCAGAATGGACCATTCAAGGATAGGCTTGTCAGTCAAGGAACCATCATCAACATCGACGGTGAAGACTACGTCGAATACCGCGTTCTCACGAAGCCCTCATTCTTCTAAACTGGTGCGACACAACACCTTACGGCCTTTTCTTTATGGTTCCCCAATGCACAGATTCGGATCAGAATTTGCTACCTTTACTGAATCCACCTTTCTTCTACATGGTCATATAGCATTCTGTCTTTCTGGTTTCGGCGTTGCCTTTTAACGTTTACGATGCATAGTCTCCTTTTTCTTCCACATTGCTTAGATTCAACCCCGATACCAAAACTTCTATTTTCCAAGAGCATTAATGATTATAAGGTCGGGCATGCCCGCGGGGGCGTATGAAACAATTCCTTTTTCCTTTTTTTCTAACGAGGACTATAAGTTTTCGGTATCACTTTTCTTTTTAACGGGGAAGGCGTCAGGGAGGGGAAAAGAAACTTGAGCAGTTGATGATTTCCAGTTGATACGCATGAGATGCGCAGCCACACCTCGTGTATAGTAGTGGGCATCACGTATGGAGAGCTCTCTCGACTTGGAGGAGCAGAAGGGGGAAAAAGGAAGAAAGGAGAGGAAAAAGGAAAGGAGGAAGATGTGCGATGACACTCTGCATCCGAGCCGCCTTGTGGCACTTGCTCGTGATCGTGCAATATTTGCACCATGAAACCCGCGATGATTTTTTTTAATATGAATCGTTTGCATTACCTGTGTGATTTGCTGTTGATGTGGCTTTTTGACAAGCTGTGCTTTTTGTCTGCGATGCCTTAGTACCTAGGTAGTTTTGCCTACGTGGCCTTAATATGAAACCCGGTAGCCCTCGAGCAGGTAGCTGACTTAAGAAGGATCTGTTTTGGAACATCTTACTTTTCTAAGTGAACTAAGGTTCAGGAACTCCGCATTACTATCATTACTACACTTTGGGGCGCTGATATCACCCTGAAGTTCTTAAGTTTGGAGGAACTTTTAGTACGGTAGGGTGTTTTCTGCATGCTTAAGTGTAAATCATCGTGATTTGGCTCTCTAATTAGAGCTAACTCGATAGCTGCTCCTATCTAACGTAAAGATCCTTAGGTCCTATGTCTCGATATTCCACCCCTGCACCTCTTCATCCCCTCCCTACTCCCCCTTTTTTTTCCTGGCTTAATTTTTCATAACTTGGTTCAGAGACACATGATCATGTAGCCTATTAACATCAACGCGGAAAACGCAACTGCAAGATCAACACATTCGTAACAACTGTGTATCTCCTCCCTGATCCCTCCATAAGTAGGTACCCATGCGTACCAGTATCTTCCGTAGTGCTTTAGGAGGAACTTCGTGCTTCCCGTAGCTCGAACAGGAGGAAGGCAAGCGCATATCCAAGAAGGATGGAAAAGAGGGTATTTAGGATGCTGCATGATGACGAGTCGCCCTGATTTAGCACAGCATGCTCATATCCTCCCATAATACTTTGGGGCATGATGTTGACGCGCCCATGGGCGAAGTTTCCACGCAACGTAATTGGAGTCGTGCCGTACGGCTGGGTGTGTCTATCCCCTTTCTTTGATCCTGAGGCGTTTGCGTCTGGGGCATTTGTCGTGTCGGCTTTGAACTCGGATTCAGAATGTAGCGGTTCAGACCCGACGCTGCGTGATCGTCGCATCAGCTGCTGGAGGCGAGGGCTTTCTGCAGTGCTGAGAAGTGGCATTGTGTCTGGATTGCGTTCCGGAAGTAAGCGTGCTGGTAAAAAAGGCATCAGGTCTACTTTTTCGAGGACTTTGGTAACAATTTTCGCTGTTGCTTCCTCGACAAACTTTTTTACGAGTGGACCGAAGAGTGCTCCCACTATTGGTATGTTTGGGACAGCCACGTTTTTTAAATTAATCGGAGGCATTTTTTTAACAGTTTTCTACAGCAACGCTTCGAAAGACAGGAGATAAAGAGTCATTCAGAACGCACACTATTATTATTGTTCTTAAGATTATTTTCAATGAAGAATTTTCTCAGATCTTAGAGGTACGTTAGACATATCCCCCATTGTCTACCTAGGTACCTAGCTAATCTACCTTAATTGCTTCTATCGCCATTCACAAGCTGCTTTCATCCCATCTGAAACCACACGAAATATCGACGATTATATGCCACTGACCCCATTGGCCGGACCAAGATTATTCTAGCGTCTTCCGTTATATCAGCTAGGTACCTCCTAATAAAAGTTCTTCTGATACGATACCGCTTTGCCGAGCACGCTGCCCTACTCGTCCACCCTCGCGCCCTCGCCGCAGAGTATTCGCCGCTTCTCGTCTAATACAAAACCCAATAATCCTTTAGTACCTAGTCAGCTGACTTGACGATGATATTTTTGGGAACGTCTTACTTGTCTAAGTAAACCTATAAGCCGTAATTACGTACCTGTTACATTCTTATCAGGATGTTCGACGTATTCAAGGTTTATTACTTGTTCCAGGAGTTGTTAGTACCGCTATAGCTTCCTACTGCTGCCCTACCTTTACGTCGTTTACAAACTTTGCGCTGTCACTACCTAATATCGAGAATAGGATAAATGTTTTAATTGACTACCTGTAGTCGATGTAAGGACTTGTTGTATTGCTGAGACCTTTGCGCGTGCGCTCTTCAACTGGTATCTCTGCCCTGCTCTTCCAGTACAGCCGTTGACGCAACGCAACGCAACCCACCGTCCATCCCTAGTGTTGTGCTGCAATGAAAGACATGCTCAATGCAACTTAAGCAAGTCGTGTAGTATCATCCCAAGCGCACCTCCGGCTAGAAATGCAACGATGTGCCAGAGGATCGAGGAAGAAGAAGGCTCTCCCCCGCCGCTGAAGACGATGCTGCAGCCTAGAGCTGCTCCCACTTCGATGCTTGATGTGTGACACAGTCGCCTGCTGGGACCGTTTCGTTGTATGAAGTACTCGCATTCGGTCCTGTAGACGAGATCGGCTTTGCGCTTAGATTTCACGGGGCCGGATTCTTGCCGGGCGACGGTATCGGGCCCAACCAGCAGCGTAACTTGATTGCCTCGGCTCGATATGAGGACTAGTTGCCCGCGCTCCGGCAATTTCGCACTGCTGGCGTTCGACATGGTGTTATTTTGAGGAGTGTGGCCGGGAGGATCTATGGCGGGAAGTTGTGGGCGTGGACGTGGACGAGAGCAAAGAGGATTCATTTGGAATGCACACCACCATTTATTCCATTAACTACCTGTACCTATCTATCATTTGATTTGGGCTAGAGTGTTCTTCTCGTGTTTCATCTGCATCAGCTGGACTTTCATAATCTACCCAAATAGAACGACGCTACCATTCATAAGGCTTCCGTCATCTCATCTCATTTCATCTCAAACCATACATTACATACGCCATTGGTTAGTCCGGTCCGGGCGCCTTCTAGTAGCTTCGCTACATCCATTGGTTGACAACCTTCTCCCTCCTATTCAATTCAAGTGGATATTGAATTAGTCTGGGTAGGTGCCTAGGTAGGTACCTACCTAGGCAAACGCAACCCACGGCGAGCCTAGCACCCTGCCCTTCCCGTCCATCCTGACGCCCTCCCCGCGGAGCAACCGCCGCTTCTCGTCGAGCGTGATGCCCTCGCCGTCCTTCGGCCACCTGCCCTTGAAGCCGCCGAGCGCGCCGCCCGTAGCCACGACCCGGTGGCAGGGCACCTCGGGCGCGAACGGGTTGCGCCGCAGCGCGTTCCCCACGGCGCGCGGCGACGAGCCCAGGTACGCGGCGAGCAGGGCGTACGTCGATACGTGGCCCCGCGGGATCTGGCATAGGAGAGTCCACTGTTTTGCAAGGGTTGAGGGCGTTAGCGAGTTTGTGAAAGTTATCTTCTTAGGTTAGGTAGGTAGGTAGGTGTTTATGTTATGTTATGTGTGTTCATGGTTCATCTCGTAGGGTCGCGCAGAGGAGTTCTTAAAGAGGAATGGGGGGGGGGGGGGGGATCACTCACCACTTTCTTTTCGAAAGGCGTGCGATCCGATTCCGTGATGCGCTTTAATTGGGGTTCCATGTCTTCCGGGACAGAAAGGGAGCTTTCAAGCGCGGTCTCATCGGGAATAGGTTTCGCTATCTTTTGCGGTAGAGCCGCAGCGGTATCGTCTACGGTTTCATCGGTGCGCTTGCGTTTTACACCCACGGCCATGATGATATGATGGACGTGTTCTCACTTGCTAACAAATTGGAAGATGTTTTCTATTAATAATAAACTTTGCTTTTATGGAATGAATTCAAGAAGACTTGCTATTTAAAAAGAAAGTTAAGAGATTGAGTTAACCTTAGGTACCTGGGTAGTTGTTATACAATGAGAAGCTGAAGATGATAAAGAATGAATAAGACCGTAGTGACTCAATACGCCATGTCATTCAAAGGGCGCGTCTGCCCCTCGTCTGACATCACAGAGACGCGACGCCAGGTCACATGACTTTTTCTCTTTAGGGGCTTACGGACCCATCGTCATCATCGTCATTGTAGCTATCCTCCTCCTCTATGCCATCTATACTGGGGCGCCCTTAGATCTTCTAAAAATTTCTCTCGAGCCTTTTGGTATTCAATAGCTTTATTTGTCATCTCAGCCAAGCGCTCATGCATATTTTTCGGGAAATTGATGCTTGGGTGAGTCATTAAGAAATTCATCGTCTTTTGCGCCTCCTCAAGCCCCCTGATTTTTTTGATAACCCTTCGCATGGCGCTCTTGTGCCGACGAGCCTGCTTCCGGTGGATTTTGGTACCTTCCAACAATGCTTTAGTTACGGGCAAAAAAACGTCCGTCTTCAAAAGGCGACCGAAATTGTGATTGGCAATATTCAGCTTTTCCCCCATTGAAAGATCCTTGACGAGGAACACGGCATTTGCTAGGCATCGAAATTCCAATGTGGTCTCGAAAGCAGTCCACCCTCCATGGTTGACATAGTCAAGGCTGTAGCCGGTATCGAGCAATAATTGAAGAGTCTCCTCGTTGTTATCTTCAGCGGCTGCGAAGTGAAGGGAGGTCAGACCTTTATCGTATACCAAACCCCTGTGTGCTCCAACTTTGAAACCTCGACTTTGCAGTATTTTGATAACTGATGGCATTTTGTGCAGGGCTGCCAACCTTAGTGGTGATAAAATCCCCCTTTTCGTCTCGCACTCCTCCAATTCGCCTGTAAGACGAGCTAAAGTCTCGGCAACGCCTACGTGCCCGTATATAATGGCCGCAGAGAGAGGAATGACAGTGAACCGCCGAGGCTCAGCGAGTTTATATGTGCGAAGGGTAAAGTTTGGATTGGACTTCACCTTGACTTCCATATCAACGGGGCCGTAGGCTTCTGTAAGCTCCCGAACTATGTCCTCTACGCCATGCTTGGCTGCCAGGTGAAGTGGTGTCATGCGAGCCCCGTCCCAATCAGTAACTTCGAAGCATTCCGGCCAGTACTTTAGCGCTGCCTTAATAGACTTCTGAGCCACAGTCATGCGAGTTCTATCATCGGCTTGCGCAATAGCCCAATGAAGGGCTATCTTCTCGGCTACCGTTCGCCGACCTACTACTTGCCTACTTTGAAGGTATGATCGCTTCGCCCTAAGCATGTCAGCCCTATAGATGAATGGGTCGAGAAGCCCATGGTAGAAGCGACATGTTCCTGATAAACGGACGGTCGCTTTTATTTCACGCACATGTTTAGCGATAGCGAGAATGATATCACCTGAAAGGGTACGTGTAGTCAACTCTTCTGCGGACCCCGAATGCGTGTTTTCTTGCTGCATGGCTTTTACTAGATCTGTGATGGAACCCTCGAAATACACCGCGACGTGAAGCTGCTTTTGTGGGAAATTGGGAGATGTTATATACAACATACGCACCTGGGGATAAGTCGGCGGAGTATAAACTTGTTCAGTTACTAGATAAAGTTTGTTTAGTGACACGTTCTTTTAAGCAACAATATCCGGGAAATTTTGGATAGTATACAACTCAGTGCATAGTGGAAGGAAACAAGGAACAAAGGAGCAATTTATGCCAAATGGAGTACAATCGCCTTGCCTAGGGATTTTTTAATATCTTTTATGAAAGAAATAGTCAGCTTCATGCTTACCATTACATGAGCAGCTGTATTATGCTACTCACCTCGCTATTCTTAGAACGACAGTCGTGAGTAATATAGGTGGTCGCTATAATCTGACTCGTAGTCGGGCACCCGTTCTTAGAAGGCATGATGAAAACTGTTATGAGGTGGTAATACCACTCATAGTCAGATAGACTGTAATAGCACTTGTGCTATTAAGAAATACACTTTTGGCTCAGCGGTGTATCTGTCAACTGTTGTCTGATGTTTAAAGGGTATATAAATCGGGTCTTAGTATGGTCCTCATGCCAGTATTTGCTTCCCTTTACCATTCATTATAACAAGTAATATTCGTGCTATTTATTATCTGTAGCATCGTGAGTCTGGCTGAGACTAGGGACTTATGAAAGCGGGTTGAGAGACATGCTTCATTTTTCGAACTGGTTATGAGACTATCGAATATGGTAGTCATTAGAATAAAGCCCGTATAATACTAACCTTGGACATTTATATTGCCAGGTGGGTATCAAGCTCCCGTTTAATACATAGCAGATTCATAATACAAGCAAGCATATCGGTGCTTGTACCATACGACCTATACAATTCGTAATGACAAGTCCAACTCCCCTTGTCCTCTCTCCGATTAATCACCAGTGTCAACTTCTAGATCTAGTTGGACCCCGTTGCTAATTTCGTAGTCGGCGAGAGTAAGCATGTCTTTGAAAGGCCGCTGTCCTTGCCTCTTCAGCAAGATCTCGTGGGGCTCTCGGCCGATGCGCGCCGCGACCATGATCTTGAATTCCTTGATGCGGTCCGAAGCGAAACACGGGATGGCTGCCTTAGTGCCCAGTCGGTCGTTTACGTGCACGATAATCATCTCTTCGCCGCCGCCGGAGGGAGCTGCGGGTGCTCGAACGGGTGGCTTGGAGGTATCTCCTTCGGAAGATTTCGACTTGGATTTCTTGTTAGACGAAGACGCACCGGAGTCACGTTCGCGATCGCGATCTCGATCTCGGCGTCGCGGAGATGGCGAACGGTTTCGGTAACCTCTAAACGAGCTACCACGTCGGTCATCATCTCTATCTTCCAAATCGTCGCGGCGCTTTTCCTTAAACTTGAAGCCGCCAAAGTTCTTTTTTGGCCTGGGTCGGTCTCGGTCCCGGTCTCTACCCTCATCCCTATCTGTACCTCTTCGGTCCGAGTCTCTCTCCCCGCGGTCGTCACGACGTCTTTCCGCGTCTCGACCTAATCGGTCGGAGTCATCCTTATTCCCATCTTTTCGGCTGTGCCAAGGCTCACGTCTTGCTGCTCGATCCCTATCATCATCATCGCGCGATCGATAGTTGTCGCTTCTTCGATAGTCGTCTCTGTCTCGTCTATCGCGATGGCTAGGTGGCGATTGGCTTCGATTGTCGCTTTTGTTCTGCTTGCGCGGAGGCGGAGAATCATCGCCTCGCGCCGCGCGAGGCGATGCGGACCTATCTGCCATTGATGTTGACAAATGTTTCCTTGTAGCCTTTGTTTTGGTAAAAAGGAAGCTACTAGGAACGTGTGAATTGGAAGGTATGAAGCAGTTGAGGATTGGATGTTAACGGATTGAGAGCTGTTGAAGTGAAGTTGAAGTTGGAGTTGAAGTTGAAGTTGATGTGATGTTTGACACAGAATCAGAATTGATAAGAGGTAGGTACCTGGGTACTTGGGTACTTTCTCCGTCGCCCATAGGTTTTACTGACCAGATTACGTAAGCCACTTAAATACCCCTTTTCCAGACTACAAGGTACCTAGGTCCTAGGTTAGGTACCAGGTAGTTATCACTTTCACTATACCTCATTCACCTTATAAACGTGAGAGGACTCTCAAGAAAGTTGCTTTTGAAATATTAACTACCTGTAGTTAAACCTAGACTATGTTTACCACTGTTTCAACTGCGATACTCCTATTCCTGTGCCACCTGTCCGTATCGCTGGACGATGTCCGCGCCGTCAATCATCCACATATGAAGCCGTTCCATGTAATTTCGGGTTTCCAGAGAAGAGAGCCACCCGATCCAAGGGTGCGTGCAAAGGTCTGCAACCTTTACCAACTGCAGGTTCTTCAAGTTGGGGAAAAGATGGTCAGCGGGAGCATCACCTATCGCAACGAATAATCCATGCAAAGCATAGAAGTCGTGACTTAAATTGAACTCCTTTCCCTCTGTGTACTCTTCTTCGAATGTCTCCAGGAAGCAGCGATCTGGCTGGCTAATATGACACTTCAAGCATCTCGCGTTTGTAAACAGGCGGCCGAGGCAGTACCAGATTTCTAGCCAACATTCTTTGTATATGGTCCCGTTGTGGATATCTATTGTAATCTCAGTTGGCCTGCGTAGACACTCGTTGGATATCTTCCTGACTTTGCTCCATGGCTTCACACCGTACGTTTCCGCGTTGATGAAGTAAGCCCCATCATAGCGCAGCCAGAGGTTACTGTTGCTCCAACTCTGCAATTTGAGATTTGGAAGATAAGCAACGCCGCGGACTTGATACTATCCGCCAAACTTATCCAGCATTTCGCCGCGGATGAATAATGTGTCTAGCTGTGGGCTGAATGGCAAGCTCTCCTCTTTAGGGACTCCATAGTAGAAGATGGCCAAATTTCTGAAGGCCCGGCAAATCTGCAAAACTGCTAGGTTACCCCAGGTCCGAGGCTTATAGAAAATTAACTGGGTCGAGAGGTTTCCTGAGTATGTGTGGAAACTGAGCCGAAGAGTTTCGCCTTTCAACTCGTAGCGTCCTACAACGTATAGGAAAATGCGTTCAAACACTTCGCATGGCAAATTGAGAAGAGGCGATACTTTTGTATAGGACTCTTCAGTACTTTTTGGTACCGCAGTAGAATTGCTGGTCTCCCCCGGGCTTTGGACTCTAGAACACAATACATATTCATGTATCAGCGCTGCCTCCCTTTCCAACGTCTAGAAGAACGTTAGGGCTCGTGTTTTACAAAGTTTTGGTGGGAGTAATTATGAGACACTCAAAACTTACTCCACTTTGTAAGAATTGTTCCCAGGAGGTTTGAATCCGCATGGCATGGCTCAAAAAAATATCTCTAGCGCCGCTCCTTACCTGGTATGCGTAATCTTGCAGATTAGGGCCGTCTTTTAGCTGGTAGCAAGATTTTTCGTTGCATTCTTCGGTAGCTTGAAGGAATCGGATAGCCCGACCCATCATGTCGAACCATGGTTCTCGAAACTGAGTGCTAATGGGAATGTTGAGAACACGGCTAGAGTCGTTCTGACAATCCATTGTAGCTGGAGTATGAAGCTGCTGAATACTTCGTTGAAAGAGTTTCGTTTGGTCGAGAGGTAGTTAGGTAGGTAGATACCGATTCGCACGTATGAAACGTTAGGTATCCCGCCGAGTACCTATTGATAAGATGCCCCTAAGAGAAAGCTGAAGAGAACAGCTGGATTCAAATTAATCACACCAAAATCAGTTGCCGTAAAGAATACAGTAACTTACTTGGTGACTTTTTCCCTAGCTGCTAAAGTAAACGAAATGATTGGGAAGCAATGATGTGTAGTTTACGCGATAGTGAATCATGGGTACTGATGAAGAGCTTTGGTCAATATGCAATGTAATGAAAATGCTGCTCCTAAGTGGAATTCAGAGAAACGATGTTTACTGAATTAAGATGCCCAGGGTGCGCTCGTTGGGATTGGATATAGAAGAATGAATATTTCATATACACTTAGATAGATAGGAGGTAGGTAGTCTCACTAGACGTTGAATTTTAACGTACCTAGTATGATACAGGCGGGGAAGGAACGCGTGAAATGTTGTATTTGTAATAATAGATGCTAGACACCTGTAAATATTCTATAACTTGAATTAACTTTCGTAATCGTGGTAGCAGCGTTCTCCGTATTACGTGCGTCATGGATGTTTTGTGTGGAGTTTTCGGTATCTCAGGTGCTGACGGCGGAAATAACAATAGCAACTTCCAACTCATCTATGTTGTGCAGCTTCCGTCATGAAATTTGCTACAGTTACTGTAAACTGCGGTCATTATAGAGGAATAATAATAAAAACAATGAATAAATGCGATTTATCGAGGTAATTATGCATTTCATCTTTTGATATAGGAGAGGTATATGAGTCCTGTCGTCTATTCAGGGGCTATTAGCACATAACTATGCAAAAGACATCTACAGGAAAAACGATGTAGTACTACTCTGTGTTTTCCTTGTATATGCACCTATATGTAGGTAAAAAGGGTATCCTCTTCAATGCTGTAGGGGTGATCTTGTATACCTGTAACTAAAGCCAGCCTACAAGATAGCAAAAAGGGCTAATAGAGTAAGCCTTCATGTCGTTGGAGGTTAATATGTAACCGCATTTTATATGCAGATAAAGGCGGTTTGAACTGAAATGTCTTGCAATCATTGTAGATGACCTATCTCTCCTGTAAAGTATTTTGACAATTTGCCATCTGTCTTGTGGAAATTATTGCAAAACCATGTGATGGTCCATCATGTAGGACGGGAGGCGTAGATACCCAATGTAAGGGTAAATTAGAGAAATATGAAACTAGGCTATGTGAATTGGGACAGGATATCGGATGAACATTGCTATTCAATACAAGGAAACCATATTTGTAGTATTATCCCACATGACCCTTTAATTACTCTGGTGACTACGTTTTCTTGTTAGAGGTACCTAAGTGACTTTCGCATCTTGCTGGAGCTACTTTGATGTAAAAGATGCAAACGCTGAATTCTCCAAATGCGCTTCTCTTCACCCCAGGGGACATGAAAATATATATATAATCAATTACGATATTCCTTTCTCTTCCATTTTGCATTTATTCCCCTAGGTTCAAGTCAGAAAGCGTTAAGATCAGTTAACAATCCCAAGAGGTAGCCCAACAACGTTTTTTTTTTTCAAACAATTCTCAGGCTCACGCAATAATCCAGGCGGTGTCTTGTGTCAACGACAATCGTATAAATCAAGCAATGGACCAATTGAGCAATATATTCCAACCAAATACCAACGCATTTAGGCAAATGGCCACGCCAATCCCTACTGTACGTATAACTTCCAATCTTTCATATTCTCCAAGGTTACTTTAAGCCAATTGCTAAAATTAATTCTATAGATGGACCATCGATATTTCAAACCGTCTGAGCAACTGACAGGTGCCGACAACTCTCGAAAGACGGACCGATGCAATGGGAACTACCGAGGAGATCGCAACTTATCCATTAATAGAGGTACAGATGTTGCCGAGGAAAAGAATACGTCGTTATGGATTACTGGACTTCCCGGGTCGACAACTGTTCCCAAACTCCTTGCTGCAATTAGAAAGACGGGCAGGGTCCGTTCAACTGTGGTAAACGGCCCCAACGAAACCAGCAGTACCGCCGCGTCTTCTATTAGCTTCTTTAGACGGGAGGACGCGGAGGTGCTTTACAATGCAATACAGCAAGGAAGAATCATAATCGAAGGCAAATTTCCAAGAGTGCAGTGGAACAGGAACAGGATAGGGGAAGAGGAGGTTCCAGGCCATGCCAGCCGGGTGCTCCTGATTGCCGGCGATCCGCTGGTCGTCAACCAGGACTACCTAGACGGTTTCTTCAAGAGGAAGTTCGTGTACGACATCGACGAGATAATCGATCACGGTACGGTTCCCGGTTTTGGCGGGCTTATCAGTCGGCTCGAATACCGGTTTGGATCGTGGCGTTCGCAAGCTTCATTTGCTCGCCTGGCGCTTAATCTTGAGCTTACGGGGTTTCTACTAGCAGAGTACGGCGAAGACCCCTGTGCGGGCTAACAACGACATACTGGCTTTATAGTTCTTTTTCTCACCATACCTACCTAAGCTAGCAAAATTGGTTCTCAAATATGATGTACTCGCACCAGCTTTAAGCTTCCCATTTGCTCTTTCCACGTCAGCTATAACTTGACGGTCCTGCGAGCTTCACGTAATGCAAATTAACCGTAAACCCCATGATATATATCTGTATAGTGGCTTGTTGGAACCAGTGCGCATTGCGATTAGACTGTATATTAGTATGAAGCGGCTCGGTCCCCCATTTGACTGAATTTAAGATACATGTAACACAGGCGCCTTTGACTACGATTATATCTCTTACCGAGTCTCTGAAGATTGCTTAGCAGAATAGCATGATATATCCAGTGGAATATGTTTCTAATTGAACTATTATATTAAATTAAGTCTACCTAGGTAACCAGTTGAAGAGATATCGACCTCTTGATATTATAATTTTAAAGACGACTACCTCCTCTTACAGGGACTTATAAACTACCTGCCTAGGTAGGTAGTCAGATTTTTATGAAAGTACAAAAGTAATTTCGCTGCTTCTGCCTCTTCGTAACCAATCTCTGGCGTAGGCAATTTTGATGGCTGACCAGATATGGAGTGTTCTTCCACCTCCGATTTTTCGACCTTGGACTCTTCACCTTCTGATGGTAATTCCTCTCCAGTCAATTGCTGCTTTAATTTGGCTTTCTCTTGAGCTTTTTTCCGGTTCCATACTTGCTTAGCAATGTAATGCCTTTCGCAGTATATGAACCCTTCTTTCGCTTGGCTCTGACACGAGACACACTTCCCCATGGCTTTCTGCTTATAATAAAAAGTCTTGCTACGCGCGGTTGATTGCATTTTCTTTAGGATACAATGCCTTTTACATCTTATATCTCCATCCATTGCTCGACCCTCACAGTCATAACATAGGCCTGCTGCTTGAAGCTTTTTAAGCTTTTGCCGATGAGCTTCGTTTCTCTCGTCCGCATGAGCACGGCAGCGTGAATGTTCCCCTCGTCCCATTGCGTACTCCTGACAATTACGTTTCATACAGCGACTCTTGACGGCGTTTGATGTCTCTCCTTTTGCTTGCTGCTTTGAGGTTGGCATCTTGGATGACTACGAGCTCTGCTACAGGGTTGAAGATACTTACATAGGAACGGCTAGATAATAATCTAGCGATTACTAGAAATAATAGTATGCGACTAAAAGATATGAATTTACAACTAGGTTGAAATTTCTGTCTCCAAGATACTGCGTGTACCTGTACGATGATCAATGAAATTGTGCTGCGTCTCAAATAAACTTTTCTTTGTGACAAAATAGACAACTCGTGGTTTGTTATGGCTAATTGCATTGAATTTATTTATGTCTTTAGTTGCGTGGGATAAAAAGTATACCCTGGTTTCTAGGCACTTGAGGCAGGGGTTACCCAAGCATAGAAAATGAATAACTGTAGTATGTATTTCAAGTAGGTTAGGCACTTGATGTACCTCGAATATATATTTATGGAGTATATTGTGATTGCTATAATGTAATGTATCACCGACGTATACCTACTCTCCGGACGGTACAATACAAATACCTTCTGGGTTCGACATTCCCGAGTCCGATATACCTGTATTCTAAGCCAATCACATCAACGACAAATACCTTTGTCTCTAAAAATTACCTATCTTATCACCTCCCAATCAAATCTTATTACGTCTGTTGTTCTTGTATTAGTGCCAACTGTTACCTAGTTCAGGTCCTGTAAGGTACAATACATCTTTCCCCAAAGCGGAAGGCTTGCTCACATCCTTGTCGGTGCTACCGTGCGGGCGCATCGCTAACGAAAAAGGGAAGGTCGCTAAGATGATCAAGCACGCGATAGTACCGGCTTGTTGGAAGATAAGCTGCGCGAGGGAAGAAGACCATGTAGGTAACAGGGGACGAAGTAAATATAAAAACTGAGTGACTCCCACGGTCCCCTAGGTGAGAGAAAAGAATCCCTCTCAGCTTCACCTCCGCAGGTGCCTGGAACCACATTCACATTGCCAAGATGAAGTTCTCCGTGGGTGTAGCCCAGTTGTTGCTGGCAGCTGGGGTCTCCGGCTTTTTGAAAAACAAAGCCGGTATGGAGCTTGGTCCAATTGACGAAGTCACCGTACTAGAAGCTGGCAATGGCACCGCTGGTTGGGGTACTTTCCCCCAGCTACTCGATCATTCCAACCCTGATCTCGGCACTTTCGAGCAGAGATATTGGTACGGAGCGAAGTACTGGAAGGGACCTGGGTCGCCAATCATTTTTGTCAATCCAGGCGAACAGGCCGCTGATAACTTCAATAAATCCTATACTACAAGCCAGCGTCTTACTGGACTTCTAGCAGAGAAGCTCGGCGGTGCAGTTGTCATTCTCGAGCACCGATATTGGGGCGATTCATCTCCATTTGACAGCCTGACTACCGAGAACCTCCAATACCTTACCCTCGAGAACTCTATCAAGGACAACACCTATTTCGCCAACAACTTCGATGCGCCCTTTGACAAGACTGGAAAAAGTCGTGCAAAGGATGCCCCTTGGATCTTTACTGGTGGCAGTTATCCCGGCGCATTGGCCGGGTGGGTTGCTGCCAAAGACCCTGGTACTTTCTGGGCGTATTATGGCACCAGCGGAGTGGTCGAAGCTATTGGGGACTTCTGGCAATATTTCGTTCCCGTCCTGGAAGCGACGCCCAAAAACTGCAGCTCCGACTTGACTACTGTCATCGATTACGTCGACTTGGTTCTCCTGACCGGCAGCCCCAGGGAGAAAGCCAAGCTAAAGGACAAGTTCAAGCTGGGCAACCTGAAGGATGCCGACTTCGCTGCGGCGCTTGAGAACGGCCCATGGACATGGCAGTCGGGCCAGTTTTACTCGAGCAGCGTCCTTGGATACAACCCTTACTACCGATTCTGCGACTACATCGAGAATGTTTGGCCGAACTCTACTAATCCTGTGCCTGGTCCTAAGGGAGTTGGCTTGACCAAGGCCTTGAACGGCTATGCGAAATGGTTTACGGAGATCGGACTACCAGGAACCTGCGAGGGTTACGGGTACTTCAAAGGCGAAAACAACACCGAGTGTTTCCAGTCGCTGAATGCCTCCAACCCTATATACCACGACCTTTCACCGCGCAACGCCGGCAACCGTCAATGGAACTGGATGTTGTGTAACGAGCCTTTCGAGTACTGGCAAGATGGTGCCCCTATCGGCCGACCCAGCATCGTCTCACGTCTCGTTAACAAAGCTTACTGGCGCTCGCAATGCGCGCTCTGGTTCCCGGAAAGAGAGTACGGTCTTGCTAAGGGCAAGTCTGCAGAGGATGTGAACAAGTACACCGGCGGCTGGTTCGAGACCAATGTTACGCGACTGATGATGACCAATGGTCAGTGGGATCCGTGGCGCGATTCAACTCTCTCTTCCAAGTTCCGCCCTGGCGGTCCTAAGGAGAGCACCCCTGAATTCCCTATCCGACTCGTGGAACAGGGTACGCATTGCTCTGACTTGTATGGCCAGAACTGGGCCGTCAACCCCGGCGTTAAAGCTATTGCCGATGCGCAGGTTGCCAACATGGCAGAGTGGGTGCAGGAATTCTATGACCAGAAGAAGTAGGTCAAAGCATACCTACCTTGTATAGGTACCAGCCTATTATAGTCGTAATCAGTAATGACTTATTTAATATACGGTATTAATCAACTGTAAATCGTACAGTAAAACTGAGATCAATAGGTCTTGTATCTGTGCTTGTAATGCGTTGATTAACGTGAGGCGAGTTATTTTCCTAAAACGGGTTCACTCCGTCTACCATTACATTCGCCCGTTCTACTTTCATTGCCTTAGTCCGCATCAGGGTGTAGCCTGAGAGTATGTGAGAAGCTGCGTCAGGGATATAGATGGCTAGACTCACCGGCTGCAAAGATGGACCCGAAGAAAAATGAAAAAAATGAAACCTACTGTTGACATCGTGGCGGCAGTGCTGTTACCAGCAGCACCAGCAGCTACAAAAGCCAGACTGATGGGAATGCCCAACGTACTACCTAGAAGGAATTTTCGGCCCCACCAATCGAGAATACCCATCCCATGGCAGTGATGTCAGTATCTTCTCGCATAATGGGAAGATAATAAGTGATGATACTTATTCGAGTCATACTTCAGTCCCAAGTTTCAACCTTCGGTTTTGCAGCGATGTACTTATTTCCACTGAACTGTCCAAACCGCGGAAACGCCACCTTTAACATGAGCATATGCTTACTCGAACGTGTTACGGCGAGGACTTCGAGGTCGAGACTCGAGAGGGTCCTTCCCAGGTTGCCTTAGACGCTCCTTTGGCTGTCTCCAGCATTTTCTTTTTTCGACATATGGTGGTCAAGTTTTCTTGTTTTAGGGAGCTAGGAACCAGGAAGACTTGAAAGAAAATCGGCGCGGAGCTATTGTCTTATACCGACGCTATACAAGGTGGGGAAATATCATCGATCCCGGATGTTCACCTACGGTGTAAGCCCCCAGGCACATACTATATGAAAACCCCGTGGGGCATTCCCCGGGAGGTGCAGAGCCAAGCGGTTCTAGTATTTCGATCTGGAGTCATGTTGCGACTCCAAATTAGTTGTGATTGGCCCTCTCGGATTTGATTTAATGGGTGTCTAGATTCTGCATAGGTAGATAGGTAGGTTTGAATGCGGCATTATATAAACCCTTTTGCCTGAAGTGGAAAGTGGTCGAACGAGTTATCGACCCACGACCAAGTAGTATGGGTCCCGGATTGTTGACAGAGTTTATACTGCAATGTTCGAGTAATTGACCACTCATAGCTTCAACCCCTGAAAGCTAGTAAGCTCGGGAGCGAATAGCGCTTGGCGAAGGCGTTTAATATGCGATAGGTTCATTTACATCGAGGGTTGTTGGCTGATCTTTTTCGTGAGCTTATAAAGCTAAGTCAATATGAATCCAATATGGACTTTAGCAGAAGGTATATTATGGTTACTATACTAGAAGTTTATCTAGGGACCTACTAACATCCTGTAGTGAGTAGACACAAGACTGAACAGAGCTGCTGGATGGTCTTGCATGGGAAGGTATATGATGTAGGTTATTCAAGTTTGGGCTAGAATTTTCCGCGAGCGCTGAGCTGATTCGACGTGATCAGATTACTTCATTTGTCCCAAAACACCCAGGAGGTAGAAGTATTCTGCTAAAAAACGCAGGAAAAGATGCTTCCGCGGCTTTCGATTCTGTCCACCCGGTTGAGATACTGGAGGAGTATCTAGCACCAGACCAGGTAATAGGAACGATTGAGTCAGATCATGCTGCCGAGGACTCCAAGGCTCCAAAGTCTAAAGATGATTCGCAATTAGGATCAAAAGAGCTTTCATCAATCACATTGCCCCCACTTGCATCAATGTTAAGCGTGGCAGAGATTGAATCGTACGCGATGAAATGTCTATCGCCGAAAGCAATATCATACTACGCCTCTGCCTCCGACGACCAAATCACGAAAGAAGCCAACGGGAAAATATACCGCTCCATCCTCCTGCGACCACGCGTCTTCGTAGACTGCACGGAGTGTTCCCTAGAGACGTCGCTAGTGGGTAACAAAGTCAACCTACCAATCTACGTCTCCCCGGCAGCCGTGGCTCGTCTAGCCCACCCGAGCGGCGAAGCCGGGATCGCAGGGGCGTGCTCGAGATCCCACGCGCTGCAGATCATCAGCAAGAACGCGTCGCTGTCCCCGCGGGCCACCGTGAGCGCGGGGCCCGACGCCGTCTTCGCCTGGCAGCTCTACGTGCTCAAGGACCGCGCGGCGACCGAGCGGACCCTCGCCCAGATCCGCGAGATCCCGCAGATAAAGTTCATCGTGCTGACGCTCGACGCGCCGTTCCCGGGGAAGCGCGAGGCGGACGAGCGCTTCAAGATGGCGGAGGTGGCGGGTGGGGCGCCGCCGCAGGCGTGGGGTACGGAGTCCGGGTTGACGTGGCGGAAGACGCTGAAATGGCTCGGTAGACATACGAGGCTGCCGATTGTACTTAAGGGGATCCAGACGCACGAAGATGCGTACGCCGCGACGCTGTTCCCTGCTGTTAAAGGGATTATCATTTCGAATCATGGCGGTCGGGCCCTTGATACGGCGCCCCCACCAGTTCAAGTCCTGTTGGAGATTCGGAAGTTCTGTCCGCAGGTTTTCGATACCGTCGATGTGCTTGTTGACGGAGGTGTTAAGCGAGGTACGGATGTTGTGAAGGCCTTGGCGTTAGGGGCTAAGGGCGTCGGGATCGGCCGAGCGGCTCTCTATGGACTCTCAGTCGGAGGAGAAGAGGGTGTCGAGAGAGTGCTTAAGAGTGAGTATCCAGGAGATATGCAGTTCATAGGAGGTTCTTCACCCATGGCTAACACATGGTGTAGTTCTCGCGGATGAAACCCGAACAGCGATGAGGCTACTTGGAGTAAGGAACGTATCGGAACTGAACCCACGACATGTAAGTCACATGGTGCGTATCCCTTCTGTTTATCTAGACTAATTATATGATAGATCAATACAAGTGCTTTAACTTCAGGATTGTTTGGCGGGCCTTCAGGTCTTGAGGATGTCGACAGGATACTCCAGTCGAAGTTGTGAAAGATCTTAGGATTGATCATATGGTTGATCAATACACCATCAAATAGGACATGGGAGTCATGCAGCTATAAAAGCCTTACATTCTATTTTGGTAGGCGGTGACCAAATCGCTGCGAGGTGAAATGACTATCTCAATACACTATTTATCTTACATCTCGCTTTATTGAACTGTGAGGAAAGCTCCTTGGAGATCATCGTCCATCAGAAATGAACCCCAGTCCAGGTCGGCAGCAAGCTGTTCATCATACCAGCCGAAGAAACTCGAGTCTCCATCCTGGTACGGAGTTTTGCCAGCGACTTCAACCTCGCCGGTAATTGCTTCATATATCGCTGAGATTATGTCCGATGCTCTATCGGAAGCCCGCATCCACGGTTTCATTTCCGAGAAAGTTTCAAGCGCTTTGACCAGACTTGCGCGAGCAGAGGCTAGCGATTCGGCATTCGTATCTGGACGCGGCTGTTCAATCACAATGAATAGCAGGGGAACCATGCAGGCTTGGAAGAGGTACCAAGCCGAGTTCCAGACGTGGATTCTGTTCGGCGTCCAATGGAGTGCTATCGAATCAATGGCTTCACCGGCCGCAAGTCGGCATGTATCAATTATTTGAAGCTCTTGGGCGCCGAGCTGATCCTTATGAATGCGATTATGTATAAAGTATAATATCAGAGATCGCAGTAGAATTAAACGTATATTTAGGTACCGATTGCGCACTATCAAAGAGGTCAATGAGCGTTCTCTTAAATTAGAGGTAGTTGACAAGTACGGAGCCTTGTCTCCCGTGATGGGACGAAAAGGGGTAAGGGTAGCTGAACACTACATACTGAATTCCCGCGCAATAGTGAAGCGCGATGATGAGTTTGACATTGACCGAAAGATTAGAGGTGTGGAGGCATACCACGCTTGCAATTCTTCGTCAAAAGAAGTTATCTCGGTCATGGTAAGTCGATTGAGTCGTGCGAAGCGATTTTGTATGCGGTTGGATATTAGGCAGAACTGGAGGCTAGCACATAATGACATTGCCATGTAGTCATTTTCAGTTAGAAGAGTAGGGAACGGGGTGTCCATTGTCCTACTGTCCCATCTGCCACATGTTGGCCGACCTAGGGTCATACTTGCCCAAGTATCTAGGCAGAACAAACTCCACCATGTTCTACGTTTCGTCTCGGCCCGGCTCTGCTTGGGCGACGTTTTATCTTCCTGAGTTCTAGTCGCATGGGTATTTCGATGTCTTGACTCCCTATGTAGCCCTAGAGCGATGGCAACACGATGCGCAGCGCCGAGGATAGCATAGGCCATATTCGGGGCATTTCGATAGTGTAAGTAGAGTCCGCCCAACAAACAGAGGGCCTGCAGGCTTTCTAAGTTCCCAGAACCGAAGCTATCAAGGTCTAAGTAATTCCGCGCCTGTTCGTAGTACTGCTCATGGAGGGTATCACTTCCAGAGGCTATGGAGCCGAGAGTGATCACCATATTTAGCAGACCAAGCCAGCCGGCATCTCTGCGGTGCTTCAAGGAGTAAGAATTCCGGAAGTCTTCTTCATCCAGCATAGGGACGATTGGGTGGATGTGTTCGAAGTAAAAGTCGATACACCGTTGCTCTTTGAGAAGGTGGGTAGCGGATTCACCGCTCATAGACAGTACAAGTTGAGATTGATGGTAAGGTTGGGGCTGAATAGGATTCTCGGACCATCTCTTGGCTTGCTCGGCAACGCGATGCTTTGCAGAGGGACACAATCGGAAAATTGTTCGGAGAATGGCACTGATTGAAGTCACACCAAGATAAGAGCGGCGGTGTTTGTCAGTTGCAAGATTGATAGCGTTGATATCATCGGCAGCCTGCATAATAGGCGCCTGGTTTCTTGACTCGTTCCATTGCCGATCAGCCACAGGTTCTCCATTTTCAGATACTTGAGCAGAATCATCAGCTGCCTCAGCATATTCAGCAGGCCGGCTAAACAAGTCAACCGACGCCCCTTTAGGAGTTAATTCTACGCGCAGGATGTCGAGCAATTCATCGCGACTCTTGCCAATGAGCTCGTCCACGGGCGTGTTGGGGAATAGTTGTTCGAGAATCTCTGTCCGTGATCTTAGTCGATCTGACACCTCCTCAAGGGTACTAAATCAAGTAAAGCAAGTTAAATATATGCTGGGTAGAATCCAGGGAGTTCGACGATGAGGAGAAGTCGGTTTGAAGAAGGGATTATGATGGTTACCTCCTGCTGACAGCATTCCTCTTATTTCGCTGCCGATAGTTACATAGATGTGAGACCTTGTAATACGTGCAAGAGCTATGATATGTATTAATACACCTCACCATCTGTGGAATCTGTGGGATGCGGCTACTTGCCTACATGGGTGGCCACCATCACACTTGACCTTTCGCCTAGTATAACAAGTTAGGTCTTGGTAATCCAGTCAAAAAGGGGGTTTTCCTTAGCGTCACGTACCTGGTGCATTCCGAGCACGACTTATTGAGGCGAGCTGGTGCCGGCGGTGATGGGCTCGTTTTCCGGTGGCTTTTGAAATTGTGGAACATCAATGCAATGGGACATAGTCACAGATTTGTGACCACTCATTTATTGAAGGCAGCTTTGATGTGGTCAGATAGGAGGCTCTGAGGGGCATAAAGTAACAACGTGGAGTCATCGTGAGAGCGCTGCATAAGACAAGCCTCTAATTCAATATATCCATTAAGATCAAGATTTATCATGCAACGACAGAGGTATCGCAACAAACCAGAAGTTCCACGGTCACCCCGCACGAGGAATTGAAATTCCGTATACCGGAAACAGCATTCCTACTATCGATCCCCTAGCAAGGTAGCTATAGCCTATAGGTACCTTCTTTTATAATACTCTAGGTTACATATGAGGCACCTAATTGGCATCTACGAGCTGTGAAACTGAACTATAATATGTCTCAGTCTCTGTATCCCCGATGTAGGGAATTTGCACTGTTCACTCATGAGGGGCTCAGTGTACTGAGGGGATGCCGTAGACAGCAACACTTATAGACCTCGTTTGCTCTCCTGAACACTTGCACTTTGAACTCATTGAGGATTTGTCTAACTTGGAAAAAAGAAAGATCTTTTTTTTATAAAAAAAGAAATAAATAAATAAAATAAAAGTTCTGGTAGAATCCGTTCTATTAAATTGAACCCCCTCCCCATTATCCTGGGTGTCACCGAGTATATCCTCACCTACAATGGTCTCTACGAAGCATAATCTAGATCAGGGCTGGAATTTTCGGCAAAGCGACAACTCCTCAGATGACTGGCTCCCAGTGCAGAAAATCCCAACCCAAGTTCATCTAGACTTGCTAGCCAACAACAAGTGAGCAACCTTCTTCGCCTGAGGGCACTTTCACGACCCTTCTTGCGAGAGAAAAAAAGCTTATCGATGAGCAGAATCCCAGATCCGTTTGATGATCTTAATGAACTAGCAGTGCAATGGGTTGCCGAGAAGGACTGGACGTATAAAGTCCAATTCACAAAACCCCCATCTCGTGTATCTGATGAACCGCTTATCACCGATGTCGTCTTCGAGGGTCTGGATACATTTGCAACTGTGACTTTGAATGGAAAGGAGATTCTCAAGTCAGAAAACATGTTCTTATCCCACCGAATAGATATTTCCAACTTTCTGGAGGATAGAAACACTCTCGAAATAAAATTCGATTCCGCTCTGTTGCGGGGCCGGAAGTTGGTAGAAGAGCACAGCCACGAACACACGTTCTATGTACGGCAAACCGAAGTCGGTCGTGTTCCTGTGAGAAAGGCCCAGTATAATTGGGGTTGGGATTGGGGTCCGATACTGATGACGGCTGGGCCCTGGCGACCGATTTATCTGGAACAATATGTCTCGAGAATCGACGATGTCTGGACTCATTATGAAGTCAGTGAGGATTTGAAAATATGTTCAGGTCGTATCTTTGCCAGGGTTACAGGCGCAAGTCAAAGGTCAATTGCACTTTCGGTAACGTTAGGGGAGACGACAGTTTGGGGAAAAGAATGCGCTGTTGATTCTGATGGGCTTGCGGAAACAGAGTTCCGAATCGACAACCCAGAACTCTGGTATCCGTTTGGGTACGGCCGGCAAGTCCGCTACAAGCTAAAAGCGACCATACCCATAGGTAACGAAAAGGCGAAACTCATTGGTTTCCGACGAAGTGAATTGATCCAGGAAAAGGACGAATTTGGCAAGTCTTTTTACTTTCGTATCAACGGAATTGACATATTCAGTGGCGGGTCATGTTGGATCCCCGCTGACAGTTTCCTGTCGCAAATCTCACCACAACGGTACTACAACTGGATAAAGCTCATGGTAGAAGGCAACCAACACATGCTTAGAATCTGGGGCGGTAAGAGATAAGCTCAGTATTTTTTAATCAACTTAGGATCACTAACTAGCAAGTACAGGCGGGATTTATGAGGATAATACTCTTTTTGACGCTTGCGACGAGTTGGGAGTTCTTGTGTGGCATGACTTCCAATTCGCATGTGCCAGCTATCCGACGTATCCCTCTTATTTGGCATCTGTCGAGCAAGAAGCAAGACAAAATCTGCGTCGGCTGAGGCCCCATCCTTCTATAGTGATATGGGCTGGAAACAACGAGGACTACCAGGTCCAGGAGCGCTATCATCTTGATTATGATTATGAGGACAAAGATCCCCAATCATGGCTGAAGTCAAGCTTTCCAGCCCGATATATATACGAGTACTTGCTACCAAAGATAGTCAAAGAAGAGGATCCTTTCATGATCTATCATCCAAGTAGCCCTTGGGGAGATGGAAAACATACTACCGATAAGACAGTGGGAGACATTCATCAATGGAATAGTAAGCAATGAATTTCCAGTCGTTACCACTTTCCCTCGGGCTGACAATTTGAAGTATGGCATGGCGCAATGAATAGGTACCAGGAAACTTATCTACTTTCCGGTCGGTTTATTAGCGAGTTTGGAATGGAGGCTTATCCGCATCTCGAAACAATTCGTAGCATGATCAAAGATCCGCAACAGCAGCACCCAGGATCCATGATGATGGATTTTCGGAATAAAGCTATCGACCATGAGCGCCGTATGATAACATACGTCGCGGAGAATTTCTTAGTGAAATACGATCTCACGTCATATACTCACCTCACACAGGTCGTCCAAGCGGAAACTATGCAGTTTGCATATAAGACGTGGCGCCGGGAATGGGGCAAACCAGGGGCCCGTAAATGTGGAGGTGTATTGGTATGGCAGTTAAACGACTGTTGGCCGACGATGAGCTGGGCAGTGGTCGATTATTATCTCGTTAAAAAGCCGGCTTTCTACGCAATTGCTAACGCCTTGAAGCCACTGGCCGTGGGCGTGTCTCGAGCATATCATGAGTGGACAACCGGTCATGCCGATCCCACTGTGCCCGCTCAAGACACGAAATTCGATCTTTGGGTCGTAAGCAATTGGCAGGAAACAGCGCAACTTGAAATCACCGTACGATTTATTTCGGTTCGAACAGGCCAAGATGTTCAATCCCCCTTGAAACTCGATACTGTGTCTGCCCAGCCGAACGCCGCAACGGAGGTCCTACAGGATTGTGTTATCCCTGCAGTTGGTTCCCAATTTAATGGGCAGCTATTTGACATAGCGAAATACGATCCCTTCGTAATCCATGCTATAGCCAGAGAGGATAAGCAGGTGATCGCGATTGACAACGCATGGCCTCAGCCGCTGAAGTACTTGGACTTCTCCGATCGAGACGTGAAATTCAAAACTTTATCTACCAGCGAGATTGTCATATCCTCAACCCGCCCTGTAAAGGGATTTGTCTTCGAGGAGACTCGTCAGGTAAAACTAAGCGATAACGGGTTTGATCTGGTCCCAGGCGAAGAGAAGATTGTGGAAGTATCTGGGGCGGCTTTGGACTCCTTACGCTACACCTACATTGGGGCGCCAGAAGGATCGTTGAAAGTGGATTTGTCTACGTCAAAAGGGAGCGGGACGACATCCGTAACCAGCCCCGTATCGAAGATCGCCTCTTAAAAACCCAACTGGGGCGTTGCAAAATCGCGAATATACACTCATGTACATCTCTATATACATCCTAAGACGTAACAACTGTTCATATCAGATGGTCTAGGTCAGCACCAGCTATGACCACTGTCCCTTACAGATATCCATCTATCACATGCAACCTAAACTCCATGCTCCGCCATATCTACAGCAAACGTACCAAATGAACCCTTAGTTTAAGGGCCTGGTATGGGTAACCAGTTTGCCGGAGTATTCCATCCATTTATAATTACCCATGGATTGATGTGACGAGCTCCTATAACGATCTTATATCTTCTTGGCTTGCTGGCTGAAACATTCCAAAGCGGACTCAGTCGCCTGATATGGATATGTGAGACTCCGACGCTTTACGTCGGGATAAAATCTGATATCCTAACAGGGCGCTATCCTAAAACCATGTTTAGGATAATATCCAACTTTGATTGTCGCAAGAGTCGTCCATTTGTTCAGGGTACTCCTTCACCTTCTCCATTATCCACCCCGACGTCACTCGTGGGGTAGCGTCCTTGGAGATCCGATGTCCTAGCATAAGTGCCGTCGACGTCTTGCAGCTCTGGTCCGACAACGAGAATTGTATGCAATCGAATTGTTTCTCGCAGATACTACGACATTCGTCAAAAGAAGCGACCGAACCCTGGTCGACATCTGATAGGTTGTCCCAATCGCTAAGCTTTGAGGAGAAATTAGGCAAAACGTAATTTCTAAATACGTCTCCGTGACGTGGGAGGGTTCCATTCTACCGGGAACTCTAATGTTAGCAAAGGGCTGATCTAATTAATTAATCAATTCATTAAAAGTTTAAGCTTACTTCCCGCTTCCAAGCTTGTTCGAACTTGGCCAATTTGTGGTATTCCGAAGATGGAAGATGGTGATAACTTGTGGCATAGTAACACCACGGTTTCTTGTTCGATCCACCAAATGTCGAGTTGAAATTCATATCGGCAGGCTGGTCTCCAGCTAAAGTCGGGAAAGACCAGAGCAAATTTACATCCGTATCGGCTAAGACTTTGCCTAAGACACAATCACCAGCCCAGTGAGAACCGGTAAAGTCATCATAAGCCTGGAGGTTTTCGTTGCGATGCGCCACGGCCTTTTTCAGTGCCGGGTTGGAAATCGCAAAACCCGCGCCGCCATAAGCAAAGATTACGTCGCCAATTTGCATCTGCATGCCCAGGTAATGAGGCTTGGACGGATCAAAATGGGAAAGCCATTCTAAGAAAGATTGCCAGAGCATATAAGTATCCGACTCGATGAAGATATACCATTTCGCATCGGGTCGCTCGCGAAAGGCCTTGTCCGCGAGTGGGAGGAACTTCCACTTATCCAACCTCCAACCAGGACTATCCCGCCCGCCTTTCGTATTTTTAGCAGCGCTCCATTGTGCGAGCTCTTCGGGAGAAAAGGCCTCTCTGCCTTTCTCTTGCAAGCGACGGTAATATTCAAAATCGGGATGTGTAGCTACGATATCGGGGTTCATCTCATCCAAGGCGTTATAGACATGGTATCCTTCGATATCCTCCTCGTAATCGGAATAAATGACATAGTGAGGGACGCAGCGCAGGGTAGTCGAAAAATGAACGGGAAGTTTTTTAGGGGCCTCAGAGGCGCCCGTCCTAAGAATTACGAAAAGGTCATTGAGACCCTCAAGCGAGTCGCACGCTAATGAAGATGAAGCATCGTTCCCGTCAGGATATGTTGGGCTTAGGGAGGCGGGCTTGCGAAAGGAAAGATACTGCTGGAGTATTAGAAAAACCAAAATCGCCGCAAGCACTCGATATCCTGAGCGTATAGAGAATGACGGAATAATAGAAAACATCATACAAACTAATAAAAAAAACGGAACGTTGAATTAGGTAGTTGATGGAGTTAAGGAGTGGTTAGAGCTCCATTCAACCCAAGAAGACACGACCGACGAACCCACGTTTAGGATTTTCGATGATTTCAGGTAAAAAGATAAAAATAGCCAAAAAAGAAGTCTCCCCTAAAACAAAGCAAGCCTTTAAAAACGGCGTATGTATCTCCAAAGAAACAGGTATTACGTATGTAGATCATTCGTTGATTACTGCGCTAAAAAGAACAGAAGAACATGACATCCCAGGTACAGTACGATACAATCGAAAGACCAGCCAGTTACCGTTCTAGACATCCATGTCCAATTAAGTGGAATTGGTTGACAAAGTACCAAAATCACACAGGGTCTTGGCTGTATCCGCCACCCTACCACCCTGCCACCAGCAAGTGTCTGAGATTTTAGTTGGCTTGGCTTGTGCTTCGCCTTAGAAACTAATGCAAGAAAGAAAATAACAACAGCAACAGCGCTTACACACAGGGATGATACTGTGCATATTACTGTGTTATATACCTAACGTACTATGTAGGCAGCGAATAGGACCTAGGGACTAATGAGAGCCCCTTATGCAATTATCTAAGTGCATTCTGAAGAGGATTAATAATTTATGATGCCGACGGAGTTATCGTGATCGTAACACATAGGTTTATGTATGCTATACTGCCCACCTACCTCCTAAGGTACCTTACTATGCATTTACGGTTAGGCAGTTATTCACCTGGTATCTTTAGCGAACCTGCGGCTGGGCCTGAAGACTCCATAGGGCTGCTTCTTAGACGTTAATTCGCCATGGAAATGAACTAACTGTTGCCGCTGCAGGGCCTGGGTGGCAGGTCCTAATTTGCGATCCTTGGACGTAGATCTAGGACTACCCAAGGCGGTATGGTTGTTGGGTTCTAACCGCAGGTAGTAATGCGAGAGGAGAATTGTTCCTCCCGCTTCATTCCCGATATCTCTTCTCTCTCACGTTTTTCCTTGTTCATTTCTTGTCGTTGTTGCATTATTCCCTATCATTGTTTTGCTCGTTTTGTTTGTTTGTCTGGGAGTATATCCGAAACGACGGCCATGTGGTTTGGACCGCTCTCCGCCCTCGCGTCGCTCGCATTCTTGAGCTCCGCCGTTCTCGCCCAAGATCCCCCCGGCCCCGGCGAGCCGGCTGAGGTGTACGACGATGGCGCGTTCAAAGAGCCGAGAGGGACGACGTCGGCATACCGGTTGGGGGCGACGATGAACGTCAGTTGGGAGACGTCGTATGAAACGTCGAATCTTTGGTTGATCGTTGGCTGGAGCTGGGGCACGCCCATTCAACTCGCAGGTGAGTTTAGATAGGAATGTCACTTTCAGCCTTAAATAAAATTGACTAAACAGTCATATAGCAAACATTGGACAGACGTGGTATGAATGGAAAGTGTCAACCGATTCGACGAATTCTTCGGAGATATACGCGTTTCGCGTAGTCAACGCGATGGGTACGGACGAAGAACAAACAGGAGGCGGTTTTTTGAGTGCGGCTTTTTGGATCGATGGCCTACCGACTAGCTCTGTATCATCTATATCCCACATGTCGACATCTGCTTCCGCGCCCGCGATGACATCTTCTTGTGAGTTTACATTCTTTTCATGCCTACCTACCTAGGTACCTTAGGTCAGGTCTAGGTACCTTTACATTTTACTAATATCTAATACTTAAATAGCCGCGACAACTTCTTCGACGGCATCTCAGACCCCGGAGAGTGCGGCCGTGAATGAAACATCCGGTCTGTCGGATAGCGGTAAAATTGGCATCGGTGTCGGGGTGGGTGTAGGAGGTATAGGTCTCATCGCCTTAGTTCTCGGCATAATATACTTCAAGCGTTCAAGGAATGAAAGGATGAAAGCGGCGGACAGCATGGAGCCGTACTCGCAAACGCCGCAGACATACGCCTCGACGATGCAACCTTACACTCCAAGCCCTGCTGCCGAACTTTCAAGCTACTATAAGCCGCCGGGACCAAGCGAGATGGAAGGCGCGGGACTAGGTGCCGAGCTAGACGGAGGAGAGAAGGCTGGATTGGCTGCCGGCAACTACCCAGCTAACGCACCCGGGCAGCACGTCGCCGAACTTCAAGGATGAACTCGTTTTCGAAAAAGCTAGAGTAATTTATATATAAGATACCCACGTTTACGTTTGAAGGATGTATACATCATAGACATGAGGTAGAATGCAGGTATGTTTGTCACGAATAGTATGGATTTCCGACAGTGCGAGCCGCATAGATGGTAGAGTTTTTGCCGTAAAATAGTTTATTTACGTTAATTCTAATACAGCTCATATGGATTAATGTTACTAGATACTGTTACTCAACGTTTATTCAAGCCTCGGTCAACGCGTTTGACTACCAAATATTGATTTATAGTTGATATTCTTATATTAGTCGAGATCCGTTGGCTGAAAGGAACATCATATGATACTTTACAGTATTATACACAGCCCTATAGATAATTTAAGTAGCTACTTCGGTACTCAGGCCCTGTGTCGTGAATGAAGGACTATACGTTCGTAAGATGGCATGTAGTTAGGTTGATTCCGCCGGATATTTTTGCATCCCCTTATCTAATGGGGTACGATCTCACATGAGTTTTCGGATGAAGGGGCATTTTGAACCGATTTATAAATCGATTAATATCATCATATGTTAACAAGTCATTGCTTGTTGAGTTTCTGAACAGCTCTGCTTGATATTAGCCCAAAAGAAAACTAGAGGCTTATAACATTCTCGTACGTACGAAGTAGAGTTTTAGGTAGTGTCCATATCTTGGAAAATTTCTCTAAGAATAGTACTAGAGTACTTTCAGCAAAAGCCAGAGCAGATATTAGCGCCGGCTCTCCGTTAGTAGCAGATCTACGATGAAGGTTCGTGACCCAAAGAGCCTTGAATACGATGAGACAGAGTGCAGGATCGACACGGGTCCAGAACTGGTCAGTCCATTCGTCGATAACTGAGACGATATCTCGGCAAATTTCAAGACTCTGTTGCCAGCAGTCGAACCATTGGGCCTCATCGGTGTAAAGATTTGAGGGTGAGCAAGCAATAAGACGTGTAAAGTGCAGATGTAATATGTTAGTTACCCGAATGCAATGATGAATGTCGGATTCTGCTGCTAGTACGTTGCGCTTCGGATTAAGATATCCAGAGGGTAGGGCAAGGAGAACTGAAGTGACTGCATCCCCTAAAATAACCGTCTTGGAGTCAACACATTTCCTCGTAGCTTTAAGCGTCAGAACATTTCCAGCGTGGCGCAACATCGCGGTGGTAAGAATGTGAATGTTCAATTCTCTCCCGCAATAATTTGATACCACGTCTTGTAAAGTTCTCCAGAGCTGGTCTATATCGTCCGTCAGAAATAGTTTCGGTGAGCTTGGGACTATTTCATCGTATAATGACCTTCTGATAAGAGCGCTATTTATGCTTTCCCCATCGACTATGAAAGGGGTACCAAAAGCAATGTTCGAGTACGAATCAAGACGGTAGACACACCACCATACGTATCTCCAATCTTCGATTTCGTCTTCTGTTACAAGCTCTTGATCAAAGGCCGAACATAAGTCAGGGTTCTCAATTTGATTGAGCCCCAAGGTATAAGCCTTTCGCGTTAATCGACTTATCCTCATCCCTGCTGGTGGCTCGGGAAACCGGTGAAAGTTATAGTAGGCCAATAGGCATTCTTGTCTAAGGTGATCCAGACTGACACGGGAACTCAGCGAATCGCTCTCGCAAGCAGTCGCCTCTAGTAGTGAGTTCAGACATAGGTCTACATCCTCAGGAGGCCAAAAGCCAACTGGTCCTATTAGCTTGGCCGTGATTGCATTGATGATTACGACTAGATCATAAAAAGCTGCGCCTTCGTCGTACGATTTAAGAAACCTGCTTTTCTGGAACAGAGGGATGGCGGGATGCACGTCGTCGAAAAACCTCAGCAACCTTCGTTCGATGTTAGAAGTGGGTTTTTAGGGGTCCGTACAGGGGTCACAACTGACATATCTTTCTCTTGAGAGCGGTCCAAATAATAGCCGGGGAAGTAAGGGAGAGCTAGTGCAGGTAGAGTCATAGATGCATGTGGTAAGAAGCTCGGGCCGGCCCGATGAAGACATGATGCAAACTGCATGGAAACATTATCGCCGATTACTGGATTTTCTAGTTGGGCACGCGGCTGCAGGTATGTTATAGGCATTAAGCCGTCATCATTCACTTGTTGGTTCGATGGGTTGCCGACCCTCTGGTTTTCAGCTGAAATGTTACGAAGTCGTGGCCGAGAACCTCGCGGTGGTCCCGGCTTTCGCTTCCGCGTTGAATACGTACATGAGTGATTGCCTTCTAGACAGCGGGAGCAACATGGACGTTGTAGATCACCTGGGGTAAGTAACGTTAGCTTTCAAGTGAGAACTAAGTTACGAGCTGTCCGCTTCACACTTGACTTTTCTCCTAAGATCGTGTCAGCAGCCCCTTTGTCCTTCTCAAGATAGTAGGTAACTAGTAACGAACCTAATGCATCGATCGCAGACACGACTGGTATCAGACATAGCAATAATACTTAGGAATATTTAAATGATTATTATTGTCGCTACGGTAAAGTTATAGTTCATAAACTCGTACATAGGGCATGTTATTGGTGAGAATATCCTTCTCCATGCCATCGCTATTTCCGCTCTCGTTTTCTGTGGCTGGTAAAAGTGGCTAAATAAGCATAACGCATGCCTCGTCGCACACAATTGACCCCTATTCTTAGCCCCTTTTCAGGCTTTAACAACATGATACTCAGTGTTGGCTACCTCTTAAATATTTTCAAGAACATTGATGATAACACATGAAACCTACGACATCACTTTAACGAGTAAATAACGTAAAGAAACAGCGTGAATGGCAAAAATCAGTTCATCCTCTTAAAGCACCGTACAATTCGCCTGGCATTTCAAAATGAGATTGAACAAAAATGTGCAAATATTAATAGCCAGTTCAAATATATCGCATTCATGTAATATAGCCTTAGGTATTCGATGGCGGGAAATAGATCATCTTCTTACTCTTGAGGTTCTGCCGAAAAGGATACACCCAATGTGGTGTTTCGAAGTTCCTCCGCGGACGAACTCTAATCTTGGCTCGGAGGAACTTGATGATGGTCCTGCCAACTTGAGGATGGATACTCCGCGTATAGTGCCAGATTCTACTGAGCTTTCCAGATTCTATTGAGCCTTTCAGTCCGAAGTCCCTCATTATAACGATCCTCGTCCCATATTAGTACTTAGCGCTTATAAGCAAGTCTCAAGATCCCCCGAGTCAACAACAGGGTATCTTTGAAATATAAGTATCAGCCATGCATTTAATTGATTCTTTTCAATCTTGTATTATCTCAACAACAACCCAAAGATGGAGGAAACGAAAGTCATGATCGTCGGTGCTGGCCCGTCCGGCCTAGCTTTGGCACTTTCTCTAGCTAAGCTCAATGTCCATGCGAGTTGCAGTATTTCTTCTCTACCTACCTAAATTCAAGTAGCAATCGTCGCTAATAATCTTAACAGTCAGTCATTCTGGAGAAAGAAGCTGAGATTACACAGGATCCAAGGGGTGTTTATCTCACTAGTGATGCGGTTCGTATCTTGTGGAATCTTGGTCTTGGTGATAGCTTAGAGGAGATCGGGCATGGTACGTTTTCACGTGGGAAACTGGTGGAAGTTACATAGCTAACTCTATTTACAAGAGTTATCCACGGTTAACTATCACCGTGCTTCGTTGGTAAACGATCCATTCTGGACGATGGATATCGGCAATGATGAGTTTTGGCAAGTACTTCCTAACGCAATACTTCACACCCAACCAAAACTAGGTAAGGATAATCAACTGTTCACTATCTAAAGTTAAATGACCTGACAGAATAAAAGAGAGTGCGATGCGGGGAAAGGTCATCGAGTCGTCATTTTGCAATCTAAGATGCCAATGCGAAGTAGTAAACTTGCTACAGGAGGGCGACCGCGCCGTTATTGAATACGCGGACAAGAATGGAGTTCGTCACAAGATCTCGGGCTCCTTCGTTGTTGGAGCTGATGGAAAGAAAGGTATTGTGAGAAAAGAGTTCCTTGAGGAGTCCGCTGGAATTAAACAAGTCGAGGGCTCTTACCGCTATGACGGGACGTGGATCGCAGCGAACCTGAAACTCAAGGTGCCAACATCGGAGACGCATCCCAACTTTCCCCTATGGGATCTTGGATTTAACCCTGACGCAGTATATGACCTCTTCTGGCCCAAGGGTTGGCATTTTTGCAGCCCGCCAGGAAGAGCAACCGCTGCAGGAAGGTTCGGCCCTCATGCAGATCGATTATGGCGCCATGAGATCGAGTACAATGACTGGGATGATTCCACGGATGCCGAGAAGCTCTTATGGGAGAATCTTGAACCCATGATTACGCGCACGAAGGATACCTCGAATAAGATATTCCCCGGTGGTGCTGTCACATATCCGCGCGATTGTATCAGCTTCATCCGATGTCGCCCTTATCTATTCACGCATAAAGTCGTCAATAAGTGGTATCATGGCCGCGTGGTTCTCATTGGCGACGCTGCGCATGTGTTCCCGCCATTCGGTGGACAGGGCATCGCGTGCGGTTTCCGCGATGCTCACCAGCTTGCTTGGCGCATCGCTTTACTTCAGCGTCTGCCTAACAGTAACGGGTCCCTTTGTGGTCGTCTGCTGGATGGTTGGGTACGAGAACGTCGGTATGGCGTTGACGACGCGACAAAGATCACGAGAATGAACGGCAGACTGTGTAATAAAGGCGATGATATTTATTTCCGCTTGATTCGTACTGCGGTCTGGCTCTTGAGAAGCATTTCCACCATATTTAGCTTGCCCGATCCTTTGGCTGCTTCCGAGACCCAAGGATACCAGCCTGTTGATGGTGGCTTCCTTTTGAAGAAGTTTCATGGGGGAAACCGGATGGCCCAGATCTATGTGGAATCGAGTCATGGATCTCCCATCCTGTCAGATGAGTTGATAAGGGATACCAAGACGGTAATGACGTTACTAATCATAACACGCGGTCAGTATAGAGCTGCTGTGGAGGAGGTACAGGAAGTTCTCAGAGCAGTTGATATAAACCCATCAGTCTTGTCGGAGGACTCTCTTCGAGTTTTCTCGCCTGATACCCCATCCGAGACCGATGGAATGGAAGTGTATTTTCCTGCATCAACTAGTCGCCTCGCCGAACTAAGTATCTCTATCAAACCAGGATACAGTCAGTCTAACTATCTACGACGTCTAGGCCACGACGTGAAGTTTGTCATCATCCGTCCTGATTTATACACGTTCGCTCTCACGAAAAATACTGAAGAACTGGTAGAATGCCTCAGTGCACTTCAATTTCAGCTCAAATGAGCTAGTCAGCGATAGTATCAGCACGTAAGCATGCTTTAATATTTGTTGGTTATATACTCTAATATTAGAAACCATCATTCAATACAGTCCTGCGTCCATGTTTATAGCTCTTGCATCACCGCGTTGAGAAGCTGGACGGTTCCTGGTCTTCAGTCCAAAGTGTGCCTCGAGCTGGCAGGTAGTAGCTACCGGTAGCAAGACAATGAGAGCCGTACTTAATAACTCAGCTGCCATGACCCGTGGAGCCTGTAAGAAAGTCCCATTCAAGCTTCCGACTCAGTCACGAAGTCAACAAGACTTTGTGGACTAGAATGGACACATACTGCTCGGCATCGAAGTACCTGGAAGGTACCTCATATTTTAGGTATACTTTCAGCTTTTGATTTTTAGACCGATACGTTGCAGCTGAGCATTGGAGTCTGCATAAAAAAGGCCAGCAAGCAATTCATCATCGATACCGTGAACACTATCGCGAACGGTGACGCGACGAAGACGAATGCGTTCATCTCTGACTGCGGGTATGACTTGTGCGTCGACAATTTCAACGGCGTTAGGAACACCGCGAAAAGCGGGAGCCATTTCAACATTTCGATCGCTACTGGTCTTTAAAATATCAGCGAGCTGGAGGACTTAAAAGACCACAAGCTGAATGTCGACCCGTCAAATGGCCGGATCTACATCGACGGTGCCATGACACATAACACAACGGAACCAGACGGCAAGGTGAGCAAGATGCCGTTAGCGGATCGCAACTAGTTCCGTGGAATGCAATCGTAGCATTACTGAACTCCCCTATTCCGCTTTCCGCTGCTTTTATTTGCACCACGACTAGAGTATCGGTTTTAGGCTCTGTTGGATAGATTCTCGGCTTTAGCGAGGGCAAGGAGAGGGGCGCAACTGTTAAGTCCGACGCGCCGTCGGCCTGGCGAGCGAGGCTTTCCACGCTGCCAGTCCTCAATACAGGCCAGCGGGCTTTGATTATACAGTTCCGAGCTTGCGACCCGATTTTAAGTAGGCAGTCGAGCGATCGGTTAATCGCGACCTGGAGAGCCTTCATGGATAAGCATAGCCAGGAAGCGCAGAACGGCCGCGCGCAAGCGACGGACAAGGAGAAAGCCAAACAAGATCTGGTCGACCAGTTGAACGTCGAAGACGACGTGGCAAAGAAGGCAGAATTGGAGCAGAAGATCGAGGATTTGGTGATAGAGACGGAAAAGCTCAAGCCCGAGGTAAAAGCGAAAGAGGAGAAGGCGAAGGGGGGAAAAGAGGGGAGAGGTCGGGAATTGGAGAAGACAGATGAGGCTAGAAAGAAAGCCAGAGAGAAGGAGAAAAGAGGTGCTCATGCGGAGTATGTCTAGGGTGACGGTCTCTGACTTCAGAAGCTGATATGATGGGATGGGATTTGAATGCACAATGTCATCAGTATTATTGATAATTCGATTGATTATATCAAAGTGAGAAAAAGGAAATGTTGAATGCGTAATAATCATAATAAGACTAGATTTGACTAGTCACCTCATATGAGTGGTACCACTCATGGATCAGATAGACTGTAATAGTAATTGTGCCAATAAGAAATACACTTTTGGCTCAGCGGTTTGTCTCTTGAGACCTCATTTGCTTGCCAATGACCCTATGAAGCACGTTAAAATCTTCGTTTCAGACCAATATCTAACGCCAATGGCTTCCTCAGGAAACCCTCGCGAGTCTCCATCTCATTCTGGCAGAGGAAGACGCTATAACGGCGTGCCCAAGTCGCCACAATCATTTTCATCTCCATCTCGGCCACATTTCGGCCTACACAGGCTCGAGGACCTGTACTGAATGGGATGAACGCGTTTTTCTGACGCGCGGTCGTCTCCTCCCATCTCTCGGGGCAAAATTCGTCTGCGTCCTCACCCCAAATCTCACGCGAGTGGTGCATGGTATACGTTGGTACGCTAAGTACTGTGCCAGGAGGGAAATAATATCCTCGAATATATACTCCATCAGATTCGGGCGGGATCTCTCGCGGTAGGCCGATCCCAGAGGTGCAGTGGATACGCAACGTTTCATTGATGATCATCTGGAGATATGGTAGATTCCTGATCGCGTCGTACGTAGGCACAGTGACATCATTGCTTGGAACTGCCGCGTCGAGCTCTTCTTGAAGCTTCTGTAGTACGCCTGGTGTTCGTGCTACGTGGTAGAGAAGAGCGCAAGACGAATTGGAGGTCGTATCCGACCCGGCAATCAATTGTGTCAGTGCTTCTGCTGTCAGTTCCTCAAAACCTAATGGTTCCCCTTTCTCGTCGCGTCCCTCCTGTAATAAGGCAAGAAGGTCTCTGCGGTTAATATCCGGTGGGTTCTCTAGACGATCCTTCACGCGCGCAATAGCGATGCCCGCTAAGTTCTCCACAGCTGCGAGGCCCTTGCTAAAGAACGAATCTGGGAGCCATTTGGCGTAGGGCTTGAGCTGTGGGAAGCAGCCAAGAGTAGCAGATACTTCGCCGCGACGGTTAAGTATTTCAACAGCCGGTGCATAGATTGGCGGGGAATCGACTGCTGTGCGAACCTCAGCAATATCTGCTCCTGCCTTCAGCATACCGAATGGCGCACCAAATGCTAGGTCCCCAATGGTGTCAAAGGCTACGTAGTTGAACCATTTCAGGCAATCGAGATAAGCTGTTTTATCTCCCGTAGGTGATTTCTCGATTAGCTCATCCCACCTCTTGACAAACATCTCGAGGTTTTCCTGGATATATGGTTCAAACTGATGTATGGATTTCGGAGCAAATGTGCTTGACACTAGCTTTCTCTTACGAGTATGCTCAGCGCGGTCCCGAGTGTTGAATAAACCACGTCGGATTGAAACGAAGGCATCGTAGAATTCAGACTTGAGGAATCCATTTCCGTGGCCGTAGATGACCTGGATAGCCTCATCGTCGGCAATGCTCACGTGGTTTGGTTGAATACGCACAACAGGACCTAACTTCTTATGGACCTCATCCACGACGAGATAGCGTCTTCCTCGTCTACAAGCATAAAGAAGCCATAGGTTAGTGAATTGAGCCGGGAAAGGCGCGGGAACACCTCGAAGGTGGCTGTTCGTCATTAGGTACGAATAGACATAGTAGAAAACAACAGCAAGACACCCCAAACCTAATGCCCAAGGCAATGGAATTTGCTCGAGGATTGCCATTTTGACAATGTATGGGACAAAAGCTATTGAATCTTAAAATATATCGAGATCGCAGAGAGTTTAAATGCCTTTTTTTTTCTCTCTCAGTCTCACTGATTCCTTCGTCACACCCCCTCACGGGAATTTCGGCGGCTAGTTAACATTGACGTTGTAGTTAGTGTGTGTATTCGAAGAAGATAATGCGGAGGTCTAAGGTGGCTGACACCTCCAATACACCTATAAGCATTGTCGGTTGTTAGATTCGGGTTGTGCCAGACCAAGGTCAGGGAAGCGGATGTGATTCAGATTAAGTACGGGACACGGACACGGAAACTAGAAGAAGACTGAGTTGTACTATTATACATACCATGGGTAATGCCCTATAAACGGTCCAACTGGCAGGTCCGTCTAAACTAAACTACCTGCTTTAGTTGATCATTAACACCTTCCAGTAATTAACCCCTGTTCAGCAGACACGCACTAATACATAATAAGGCGCATGCGACTTCTTATTGCCGATATTACCAAACTTTAATCATTAATGGTAGGCTATCATGGGGTAGCGCATGCTTGTTTGAAGCATATTTTCAGTCATATGAATTTCGAAGGAGGAATTTGGGGAAGGAGTGCATCGTGGTGGTACATATTTTACGTGATATACTATTTAACATGAGGTCGCCGTTCAGGTGGCACAAAAGCCCGAACTTGAGGTTTTTACTAAGTGCCTAGCCCACGCCACCGAACGGCCACTAGGCTTATAGTTCTTACCTGCTACGCCGCCGAACAGTAGCCTCATGTAGCCTACATTAGCTCCTCTAACCACGATGTATACAATGCGTATTTTCGAAAAAAGCTATAGATGTTGAATGATTCCTGGATTTAAAGGTTGGCTAATCCCTTGCTCACAAGCCGCACCAACAAGCGAAACCAAACGCCCAAGAAGTAATGATGCGTTATGTATGCCATGCCACGCTTCGCTCTATGACTCGAGGAATTAAATCCAAGTGCAAAATAGGAAGAGATACATGTTATCTCAATGGCGTTTAATATACGGGCACCATTATAGTAGTGAGTCTGAATTTGTTTACGGTGAAACGGTGAAACCCCGCACCCAACAGCTGGGAACGTGTAATAAAGTAACAATATTTGTTATTAGAGATGGAGATCTTTAGGTAATACTCTGCTTACAATGATGGTGATTTAACTATATACCTAATTAACTAAGAGATATATGCATTAAACCATGTAACTGCACCAACATATTCGATAACTATCTGTACCTAATCAGATGGCTGACGTCAGGTCTTCTATTCACGCGAAAGTCGTACCGAACCTCTAGCTACACGATAAGGAAGGCATAATTTGTAATGATAGATCTGCTCTATTGATAGAGGTTTCAATTGTCTAATATCCCCATTCTGGCCTATTTGATTGACGGAATTTCTCTCTCGATCCCGATCTCGACTCTTGGCTATGGCCCATGGAAGATTCCGGGCCTCGGTTATCCACGTCCGATGTATCGGGTGTGCCATATTGCCGACGGCAACTACACGTGGGAGACCAAATACAGTCTATTCGACAATCAACACCATGAGTTTGGTTATGAAAACTGGCAGTGGTCATCTCATCAATCCAAGAAGATGCATTGGAAAATTTCAACACAGGCTATATCAAAGTTTGACTATTTTAGAACTCTCTTCGCGGTATCCTTGTCTAACAACGCCCCCAAGTGATTAGTTTATTTATAGCTTGCCGGCTGTGCGGAAGTCCTGAAGTGCCTCGATAACACGGGCCTTCATCGTCTTCTCACCCTCCCTGACCCAGACGCGGGGGTCGTACTTCTTCTTGTTCGGCTTGTGGGGACCTTCAGGGTTGCCGACCTGGGTCCTTAGGTAATCGACGTTGTTTAGAATGTAGTCTCGGTGACCGACAAGGTAAGCCCACTGGAGATCGGTGTCGAGGTTAACCTTGACAACACCGTGCGAGATAGCCTCCAGGAACTCTTCCTTGCTTGAGCCAGAACCACCGTGGAAAACGAAGAAGACCGGCTTCTTCTGGCCATCGCCAAGCTTCTGGGCAACGTAGGCCTGGTGCTTGCCGAGGAGCTCGGGGTGAAGCTTCACGTTGCCCGGCTGGTAGACACCGTGGACATTGCCGAAACCAGCAGCAATGCTGAATAGCTTAGAGATGGGGCGCAGTGCCTCGTAGATGGCAAGAATATCCTCAGGTTGTGTGTACAGCGAGTTGTTGTCAACGTCTTCGTTGTTGACACCGTCTTCCTCACCACCCGTCAGACCAACTTCCATTTCCAACCACAGACCTAACGGTGCCGATCGCTTTAGGTATTTGGCTGTTGTCTCGATGTTGTACTGAAGATCTTCTTCCGATAGATCAATCATGTGGCTGCTGAACAGAGGTGTTCCGTGCTGCTTGAACCACGCCTCATCAGCCTCGAGCATGCCATCTAACCACGGCAGCAGCTTCTTGGCACAGTGGTCGCTGTGTAGGATAACGGGGACACCGTAGACGGGGGCAATTGCGCGGACGTAGTGGGCAGCAGCAATGGCACCAGCAACGGAAGCTTCTTGGTTGGTGTTAGGGATGGACTTTCCAGCAAAGAAAGCAGCACCTCCGTTGGAGACCTGGATAACAACAGGTGCTCTTGATTCCTTAGCAGCCTCAAGGACAGCAACGACAGTAGAGGATGAAGTCACATTGACGGCGGGGAGAGCGAACTCGTTCTCTTTGGCGTATTGGAAGACCTATTTGACGCATATGTTAGCCGCATGAGGTAGGTGTATATCAAAACTAGTTTAGTATACCTTGTAGACATCCTCGCCGTAGATGACGCCAGGCTTAAGATTCAATTCGTCCATTAAACCCATTGTGAAGTGTGTTTAAGATGTCGTAGTAAATGAAGGTTAAAAACGGGATGAAGTAAGCTGTAGGTAATTAGGTACGCTGTCTTGAGAAATAAATTGTTGGAGAGGGGTGAAATACCTTTTTGTAAATTTGGTGAGAAAGTCTGAGGGAATAAAAGTAGTTAACAGCAAAAGGTTGAAAAGAAGAGGGGAGGGGCTATAAGAACTATGGAGGGGTCTTTTCGGCCAGACTTGATCCACGGTGACGCAGATGGCCGAGATTTATTATGGAGAGCAAGTTATGGAGAGCTGGGCAGCTACCCGGATTATTTCGCGAAGTAAATTGTATCATATTATTAACTAAATAATATGGCCGACGCTTCCCTCATTTGCTTTATTTCCCTTTTCTTTCCTAGCGTGACTTCTTTGTCTTTACACCTTTTTGTAAAGCAATAGACGCCATCCACAGCTCTTTCTCAAGCTTCAACGCCCTTGCCCCTCTGCCCCTCCAAGCGTCAAGGAACTAGGGAGCTTGCTCGGAAGGTCAAGGTGGGGTAAGCCCGTCTGATTGTCGGCGCAATCAATCAATAGTATTTTTCATTTTACTAATAAATTATTACATAACTTCTAATTATGACAACTTTGTGAACTCGTTAATGAAATTCGCAAATATGGAATGCCACATCAACATTTTCACCGCGATCTTGGAGGTAATGTAGATGTCAATTGCGGAGCAATCTTTCATCATAGTACATGAGTACCAGTCAACAAACAAAAAAGGGTCCGTCAAAGTCCCGCCATTTATGCACCGCCTTATCTTATCAGCTATGTCATCTGGGCCATACATAATACGACATGTAAGTGGGTCTAGACAAAATATTCCGAATAGCCAACTTCGACAATGACCTTTGACGTACATCATACGTTTATTTATTCTTTCGACTTTCCTTACGATAATTCATACCATGATATCAAATAATTATAAACTCCTGTTTCAACTATATGCAAACTTCCTTTCTCGTGTTCTGTCAGCCACAACTCTTTCAACTCGTACGTTGTCAAACCACTATTGGTTGAGAGTGGTACCAAGCCATCTCAACTCGGTGTAAATAAAGTTGAAACGACCGTTAACAGCTCAAATCAGCCCATAAAATTTCGCATTGAGTCTTTTCTTTTCAGCCTCGATATGAAACCATCATTGTCTAGAAATATTACAAATTACAGGTATAATGCCTAGCTGGTTGATGCAATTGTAGCATGTACGATACTCGTAGGATTGCTCTTGGTTGTGTGGGGTTATACTATACCTAAGAGCCAACTAGCAACAGTGAAAAGGGGGCGTCGTGGCTATACATTCGCTTGTTATTACATATAGTATCGTTATGGACCACTAATAAGTGTATCATCCGAATTTTTATACTCCTTTCTTGTCGTGTTAGCGAGTTTAGGACTTCGTAGCCGAGTCCACTTCTCACGCTAACTTTCAAATTAGGGCATCGTCAAGAAGAATTCGTGAATATAACACGGTGCAATTCACGATACCATCACCGGCATTACCAGCGTTAGGTTGGCGCAGTGGCAGAGTGGTCTAATGCGCAAGACTAGAAATCTTGTTCCTTCGGGAGCGTCTGTTCGAATCAGGCCTGCGTCGTTCTTTTTTTTTCTTTCGTTTTTTATTTTTATATTTTTACCTAGTGTCTGTACTTTGAACCTCGTGTCATTATGTAAAAGTCTGCTCAGCCTTAGGTTAGGTAGGACTTTAAGCCGTAACAATAGAAATATGTTTATAACTAGCGACAATTGAATAGTTCGAATATATGATGACCCTCCAGTTCAATTCTTACAGAGTTATTACCACTTACTGCATGTTAGATACTTATTATCCGAATTGTCTGAACATAACAGGATTCATCAACTTGATAGGCTAATCTCTGCTCTCGTTATTATGTCCTGAGATACGTAGTAATAGTTAACCAGAAATGTCATCTTTGTGACGATTGACAGTTCAACAAAGACGTCCCTAAACCCGGGAGCTATAAAGCCGAAGCGAAAGCACCACAAAGAAATCAATTTGAACTGTTTCTGGCGCCTTTCTCATATATCTAGGCTAATTCCTTTTGTACAGAAGCAGTGAGCGGTTTCTTCTAGCGGAGTGCACATTCAGCAACTCCGCCAAGCTTAACGACATGGACGACGTAGACGACGTGGATCAGGAAATTAGTGACTACCGGAACCTATACTTAGCTACTCAGCGTGAACACTTACAATGCCTTATATCCTAAGTAAATCAGGACGTTGGACAGCAGAGGAGTTATTTCGACAGTTCCAAAAGGATATGGGCATCAGGCCGTCTAAGTTTGTAGTGCGACTTGCATTTTTGTTTATAGACAAGTAAGGCGACGAAAGCTCTTCAAAGAGACAACTGGGAAAGAATAAGTCAGGCGGCCAAGTTACTCAAAGACGGCACTATACGAATGATCCAGTCATCAGGATACGACCAGCTGCATTGTAGAAATATTACTAGGATACTAAGGTCAATCTTTTACCTGCCGCTAGAATAAATATACATAATATTGCACAAGGACTTAGACTATACAAATGTTCCCCGCTATTTATAGCTTAAATTCCTATATGTCATAAAGTAAAACGTATAATGATTCCAAGCAATGTTGTTAAATCTCACGGAGTCCGATCCCACCGCGGCTGTCCGAGGATTCCGTATGTGCCCTTGGCAAGGGACGACCCGAATTTGATGGCTTTTATAACGAGAACGCGAATCTAAAGAGACCAAACTGTACTGAACATAATTATGTCTAGAAGACCAGGTAATAACCTAGTATCTTCTACGATTATCGACTATCTCCAAAGTGTTCATAGACCCAAGTCCTATTAACTGCTCTGGCCACCCTCGAAACAACCACCCCCACCAAGATGAATCCCATTACGGCAGACGCGATAGTCATTGGAGCTGGCCTCAGTGGCCTCAAAGCAGCAGCAGATATTCAGGCAGCTGGTTTTACATGCTTGGTCTTGGAGGCTATCGACAGGGTGGGCGGCAAGACACTAAGCGTCCAGGCGAGCTCTAAACATGGAGGCGTTATTGATTCCGGAGCCATGTGGGTGAACGACAGCAACCAGGCCGAAATTTGGAAATTGTTTGAGAAGTATGATCTCGGCGCGGTTGTCCAGAGAGCTACAGGTATTAGCTTTCGACAAGCTGAGGACGGCAGTACAATCGCACAACCTTACCATGAGGGGGTATCTGTAAGTTGAACATTTTACCTTCAAGTCTTTAACGTGAAAATGGTACCGCTAATGTTATGTTCTCTACGAAGGATGGTAATGAGGAGCGCGCAAAAGAGATGGGCCGTATACACCAAGCGCTCCAGGAAGTTGTCGAGACGTCGGATCTTGAGCATCCTGAGACGAGCGCCGGTGCACAAAGGCTTGATAGTATAACATTTGTCGAGTTTCTTCAGGAAGTCAGTCCGAATATCGGCGCTGTAATTGCTTCTGTAGCTTCTACCGCTCTACTCGGTGTTGAGGCTCATGAGATTAGCGCTCTGTTCATGGTAAACTATATTAAGAGCGGATTTGGTATAAGGATCATAACGTCGGATGAGAAAGACGGGGCGCAATATATCAGGGCTCGGCGCGGTAAGAAAATGGACAACCGCTTTAAGGGACGGCATCAAGGCTAACGTATATGATGCAGGGATGCAAGCTATATCGGAAGGTCTTGCTAGCGGCTTGACACCAGGCTCTCTTCACTTGAACACAGTCGTAAAGTCCATTCGGAAAACGGAGGACAGGTCTTATGAGGTGCATTCCACTGCGAACACAATCTTCAAGGCCAAGCATGTGGTAGTGTCCATCCCGACTAGCTTATATCATACCATTCAATTCACGCCACCACTACCGGAGAATAAGCAGAAGCTAGGCGAGAGCACCACCCTCGGTCACTTCAGCAAGGTTTCATTAGTCTTCGAGAAACCATGGTGGCTTGAGGCAGATCTGTCAGGCGTAATGACCTCTTACAAAGGGCCTATATCTTTCACTCGAGATACCAGCGCGCCGGAGGACAACCAATGGTCCATAACCTGCTTTCTTGTAGGGGACATGGGGCGCGCCTGGAGTAAGTCCTCGGAAGAAGAGCGACAGGCCGCAATCCTAGAGCAGTTCAATTCTGTCTTTTCCATGGCGACGACTGTTCCGAAGCCTATCGCCATTCATGAAAAGATTTGGTCCGAGGATCCGTACTTCCTCGGCGCTCCATCTCCTGTCATGGGCCCCGGGGTATTAACCTCGCTCGGCTCGGATGTGCTGCGGGCGCCGGTCGGGTATATTCACTTTATCGGTACAGAGACTTCTGTTGTATGGAAGGGTTACATGGATGGTGCGATTCGCTCGGGGAAGAGAGGAGCGGAAGAAGTTATTTCGAGTCTGCGAGGATAAGTTTAGGTTACACTTTGATATGATAAGTTATGTTGTGCTCTGGGAATTGAGGACAGTGAATAATATATACGGAGAGGCTAAGGCGCAACTATTAAACTCTAAATTGCTGCAGATAGGGGCACCAAATGATGATTTCATATCAGAAGTCTAAGTATGATCGCATTTTGTTTGATAAACACGAAATTAAAATACGACGTATCTGCTAATCAAACGCGAGTTGCCGTGGATATATATCAAGAAACATTCTGGTTGAATAGTTGGTTCCCCCTCAAGCCTTTAAGCTTGACACGTCAGAAATCCCGACTGTTTGATCCGATTCTCAGGGTCAGCAAATGAGCCAGTAATTTTTCGTGTACTGAAATACAAAGTAAGCACAGCTTGGTGCATGCTGCATGTGCTGACCTCTTTTTCGGCCTTGCAACTTTTGGTTGTCTCAGCCTGCAGATAAAAGGCCTGGCTGTTGGTCTTTCTTTTGATATTTCTTTTGGCCCTTGGAAACACGAGACATACCTGGTACCTAGTACCAACCACCAGAATCATCTCTAGACACCTAAGGCAACCAATCATTCCTCAACAGCTAATCTAAAGGCTGTACTTGATATAAGAAGAGAACTCTCTTGTCATCTCGCAATCATACACACAATTGTGCACTTCACTTCTACACCCACCTACTCGCAGGCTCGGATCCTCTCAATCGACCCACGACTACGAATACCCTAACAAAACAGTTACCCTAATCAACATGGCGGAACTTGCAGCGGGGGCCTGGAGTTGGATTCAAGAGAATCCAGGCAGAGCAGCAGTTTGCGCAGCTGGCGGCGTGGCAGTCGCGGCACCGGCCCTTGTCGCCGGTCCAGCACTAGCCGTGGCTGGATTTGGAGCCAACGGTATCGTAGGAGGTACGCTTCCATACAAAATGATTTATTTTAGGGATCGATTAAGTTAACTAACATCTTTTTCTTTCATAAAAATAGGCTCGATAGCGGCCGGTGTCCAGTCTGGAATCGGAAATGTAGTGGCGGGAGGCCTGTTTGCTACGCTGCAGGTTAGTACATCAACATCTTCCTTTCCCGTCTTATCAAAGTACCTTAATACCCAAGGGTGTAATCCTGAAGGCAACTATATGAAGGCATGGCTAAGTATTATATGACAATTAGAGCGCAGCCATGGCGGGCTACGGAGCCGCCGCTGTTAACGGTGTCGTCCAAGTTGGGGGTGCCCTCGGCGTAGTTGGCGCCGTCTTAAAATCGGACACTCCGGATTTACGAAAGCTTAATCCCCTAGAACGTATACAATATGTGTTGAACGGCGACAACAAGGATGGTGGTAGTTGGAGTGACTTCGATTTGAAGGGTACCTGTTTGAAGAGTGACATTGTAAAGGTAGCAAAGCAGTCTTGGGATGACGTTACGCTGGATAAGTTGGTTGATATGACGAAGGCGACGCCCCAGCTGGTCGAGCGCCTCAAGGGAATCAAGGAGTCGTTGGGAAAATACTAAGTTAAGCATGCATAAGGCTGCTGTATAAATGGCCATTGAGCCTATCCGGTATGAGCAAGCACATGTAGTACGGGATTGAGGAGGAGAACATTCAGGCATGAGATTCATAGTAGCTTAGCATATTGGCTATCATCCCAGAGAAGGATTATCCTCGCTCTCTACGCCAGACTTTCATTAAAATCCTTCTAGTGTGTCAATTTGCGATACCGACGTGATGAAACTTCAAACAGCTTCAAGCTTGACGTAGCATTGCCGAGGAGCTCTCAGCAACTGCTCATTGACGTGAAAGCTGTTGAGCTCTGCAGGGACGGGTAGAAACTTGAAGCTCATAATGATCAAGGTAACAATGATGCGTAGCTCCATCGTTCCTAGCCGTTTACCTATACGTATTCGACCAAGTCAGCCCTGCTGTACTGCTAGCACAAGAGTTGGATCATGTCAGGGGCTTACCAAAGCAACCTCTTATCCCGGCCCCAAAAGCGTTATGAATAAGCACATTCGGGTCGAAAGTCTCCTTCCCATCCTCGTTTGTCTTAAGCCATCGCTCAGGAATATATTTATCAAGGTCTTGCGCAGCTGGCGTCCTTGTCCAATCGACACCACCACTCTTTTCGAAAGCGGCCTGGCTCGATAAACTGCGTCTCTCCTCGGCTATAGGTTCCGGAAGCCAGGATAAAATCGCTAGGCCAGATACCCTTATGCCGGCGGGTATCTTATAGCCGAAGATCTCGGTGTCCATGGTTGTGACGCGCAGGAGAGGGCCCACCGTACCTGCGCAGCGAAGGCCCTCCTCGATTGCCGCGCTAAGATACGGTATATCAGCAGACAGGAGCTCGGTGATTCCTGGGAGCGAATCGCCGGGGAAAGCAGCTTTTAAGGCGTCTCGGAGCTTCGTCTGCGCTTCTTGGTTGTTGGTCATGAACTTTACGAACCATTGTACTAGTAACAGGTTAGCGGAAGACTATTAAAATTAAGAAACGGTTAAGATAGATATTTTGTAGCATACATGTTACGTTTGTTGTTTCGTGACCCTGTATTCTTGTTTAGCTTGCCAGCCGCTGATTCATGTTGAAGCATAGTAGCGAACTCACACTTAATATAAAAAGCATGAGCTCATCCCTCATCTCTACGTTTTTAGTTAGATCCGGTACCGGAGTCCCAGCCTTCTGAGCGGCACGTATGGCTTTCCTAAGTACAAGGTCCATGGTACACGTGCCCTGTTCTTCGGTACTGTCAGAATCGTTTTTGGTCCCCTTGAAGCGTGCGATGGTATCGGCAAGAATGCGGTCGAGTGCTTCATCTTTGACCTTCAAGTAGTTGCGGTACTTGGTGCTTCTCCAGGTCCACCATCGATCAAACGCTGGCCAGAAACTCTTCCGTGATTTGCCAAACTCGTTAGCGTATCCCAGAGTGTCGTATACATGAGAATTTGTATCCTCAAATTGCTTTCCGGTTTCAAGCACCTGGATCTGGGAGTTGACTAGGCCGAGTCGTTGTCCGAATGTAGCGACCCAGATCGCATCAAGAGCCGCATCGAAGAAGTCTTTCTGAATATCAATTGGACGACCACCCGAGTGCGTGGACCTAATTTTCCAGAACCTACGCAGATCCATGGCAGTGTTGTAAATATTCTTTGCGACCACGCCGTTGAGAAAGGTGGGATGCATGGTATCTTGCCAGATTCTTCTCTGCACTTTCCATTCGGGAGTTACTGGTTTTGAAACAGTGGAATGTGGGAGCAACGTTTGGAAGATACCATCATCCATGCTTCGGTCGAATTCTCTCGTTCTTCTCATAATGATATCGGCTGTCTCCCGCGGATCGTAAACCACAATGTGAGGCTTCGAAAAGGGGCCCGGAAAGTACTGATAAATTGGCGATTTAAGCTGACGCGATCGGTGGCGTGTGAAGGGGTAAACCCATTCTGATAACTCCTTGTAGATGCCATCGATAATCCCATAATCTCCTATAATTCTCCGGGCTGCATCTCTGTCATATGGTATGCCGGGCAGGGGGCGAGGATAGATGAACCTTCTAACCAAAGCCAAAACCAGAGAGAGGGCAAATATGCCACCTACTATGAAGAAGAAACTCATTTGGCTTTATAATCTTAGTTTGACAACTTAGTTTCACAATTAGATACCCAGACGCAGTTCACAGGTCCAGTGTCCCGGATATCAAGACTTAAATAGAGACCAAGTAGGTACTATCCCGGCCTAATTAAATGGTGCTGTGTTATAGAGTACGATGATAAGCCTATTTCAGATCTCGAGTATTACTACATAAACATGGCGTTTTGTAACCATGAATGAAAAGGATACCACATAACATCCAATAACTATCTGACCGGTCTGGGCGGTATACCAAATTGGGTGTGTGGAAATCTTGTTTTGGCTATTGCCGTTCCGTATCTCGTAATCAATCAAACCAATCGATTTCGAGGATGTAGCTTTGTTGGAGCAATATTTATTCTAATGCGCGTTGGCAGACTACGTGCCATCCGACTCGAGCAGTGTGACTTTGAATCGTGATTACACCAATCTCGCGAGATACGTGATTGATCGTAATCTGCGATGTATTTCATTGGATGCCGCAGGTTCAAGGTGACCTTGCCGATATTAAAGTCGGATACTGTCAGGGGGTGAGCCTAAACGAGGAAGCAACTTCACTCTTCCGCTAGAAAGTCTAACCCAACTCACTATCTGGTCTTCTGGCTATGCATGTTGAAGGTACCTATGTTCTGTCCTAGATGTCTTATCATGTATACTGACAGAGAAAGTTGCAATGGATGGGCGAGGATAGCTTAGAGGTTAGCTAAAGTACTCGTGAAATGACTCCCAGTCCTTAACCTGCGTTACAAATATCTTCAATAACAGCCTATATAACGTATTAATCTTGGACCAATCCGTCAAATAAACAAGTTGGTACGATACCTTAGGTAACTTAGCGAAGCAGGAAGCTCGATGGTAAGTATAGATCCACACCCACGGGGAGAGCTAGGGTTGAGATCTTGGTTGCGATATATTGTAGAGAAGTTCTCCGAGTCTGCTCCCTCTCCCACAATGTTAGCCCCTGTTCTATTCGAATAACTTGCACCTCGGGTCGGTTATATTCTTTGGGGACCTTCCCCATGTTGTTACATTCCGAGGCTCCGACCCACCCCTTGAAAATGCACTGCCAGAGTTCGGGGAGTTACCCCGGCTTCTCGCTTGTTTAACCAACACCTCTTTTAAGATAAATGCAGATGTAGTATCCATACTTATATGTCTACCTAAGTTAATCAGACTGTGTCACAATCAGCTTGCCTTATGTTTGATCGGGAATTATGGCCGTTTTGCTTCTGAGTATTATATTACTTGCAGATTCAGCCCTTGGAAAGATTGACAGGTATGTATAACACTAGTGGTGTGGCAAGTAGCCTGAGTTTCTGTGGTCCATTTCTAACTACACCTCATGTAGGCAGGGGATTGTCAGCAAGTATAATGTTAGGAGAGACCGATTAATCGATAATACTACCACCCCTTTACAAGTGGGAAATGGTAACTTTGCATTCAATGTTGACAACACGGGGATGCAGGTAACCAAGTTCTCCTATCCGTCACGCCGGACGTGTCGCTAATCTAGTACTAAGACTTTCCTACCTTTTAATACACTCTCTAGTTGGGCATGGCATAATGATACTCTACCAACTGGCAAGTATGTTATCCCCAGATCCCTGCTTGATCGCTGTGTGTTACCAAATGGTGTATAGGGAAAGCCTCAGCGACTACCATGGAGTGGCGATGATGACACATGAGAGAAACGTCCCTTACGATATCCCAGACCCGGGTCTCCCAGAAGTTTCGCAATGGCTCATATCCAATCCTAACCGAATCAACCTAGGCCGTATTGGCCTTAGATATCAAGGAGTTAGTTTGCCAGCTTCTAAAATTTCAAATGAAGTCCAAGAGCTCGATCTATGGAACGGAATCATAACTTCCACTTTTGATATCTCCGGAGAGAGTGTCAAAGTAGTTACTCAAGGAGACTTCGAATCGGATGCGGTAACTTTTCATGTTGAATCACAACTCTTAGCTTCAGGTGACCTAGAGATTGAACTTGATTTCCCCTATCCGCCAATACATACCACGAAGTATAAATACGAGGTTTTCGCTGGTGTCTACGACTTTCCTCTAAACCATACCACTTTAATCGCTAAGAACGGCAAAGAAAATGAAGCACACATTTATCATGAGTTACAAGAGACGAAATATTTCGTCAACTTACGATGGCCCGTCGACAGTCCGCTTCGCTTAAGCAGAGTTGAACCTCCAGGATCAAATTCCGTAACAGCCCACCGCTATACCCTCTCATCGGCAGCCAAGTCTCGCTATAGATCTAGCATTATCGACTTCACAGCACATTTCTCCCTGGATAAACGGATAGCTGCACTTCCATCACGGATAAGGAGTCGTAACCCCGAACAATGGCACGAGTACTGGGAGGAAGGCGGTTTTGTGGATTTAACATCTTCTTCGAACCCTAAAGCTGACGAACTTCAGCGACGAATTATCCTATCGCAATACCACGTTCGAGTGAACAGTGCGGCGACAGGTCAGTCTCCCCAAGAAAGTGGATTGATGAATAACGGGTGGTACGGTACGTGTAGATGGTATCTGGTTTGAGATGTCTCACTTTGAGCTAAACTTCTTGTAGGAAAATTTCATATGGAAATGGCTGTATGGCACAATGCTCACTGGTCAACCTGGGGCCGACAAAAGTATTTCGATAACATTTTCCCTGGGTTATATAAGACACTGTTGCCTTCGTCGATAGCAAGAGCGAAATCGATGGGATGGGAAGGAGCCAGGTGATTCAGTTACCAGAAACCAGGAAGTAATAGAGTTAAGAACTAACAAGATGTCGACTAGGTGGCCCAAGATGACTGAAATCGAAACAGGAGTTAGCTCGCCAGGTGGTATCAATGGTCTACTCCTATGGCAACAGGTATGTACCTATGTAGGAAAGTATTAACACGACAATATCCGCTACTGATGTACCTCTCCATTTTAGCCCCATTCCATGTACATGGCAGAATTAGCGTATCAAGCTTCCCCTAGACGAGAAACTTTAGAACGATGGGACGCTGTAATAAGTGCTGCTGCGGATTACATGGCATCGTACGCATGGAAGAACGAGAGTTCAAGACGCTATGACCTTGGTCCGCCCAGTTACGGAGTAACAGAAAACACACCTCCAGCTGAAACGCTCAATCTAGCTTACGAAGTAAGTGGTGCATTTAACATTTCTTGCAGTCGCGTGGCTCATATTCATCGCCTAGATCGCGTATTGGAGATATGGACTGGATGTTGCGCGCGAATGGAAAAGAAGACTAGGCCAGCAAATTCCCGAAAAATGGACGACCGTAGCAGAGAACTTGGCTCGTCCACAGCAGGTTGACGGCCTTTACGCCGTGTACGAGGGCCTAAATAGCTCCTGGTGGGAAGATCCCAAGCTTAACGGGGACCCTCGAAGCCTCATTATGCTCCAAGGTATCCTTCCCGACACGCCGGCAATTGACCCCGACGTCGCGCTCAAAACGGCAGATAAGATCTGGGGAGTCTGGACTGACGATAAAATCCGCGGCTGGGGCCGGCCTGTGCTCGCAATCAACTCGGCTCGAATTGGGAACCCAGAGCGTGCGATCTATCACATGACAGTATACGACTATTGGATATTCGACGACGCAGGATTTGCTGTGCGTGGAGGCGACGGTAAACTTTATCTGAGGAAGATGAGAGATATTCATCGTTATCATTCTGACAGTTAATACAGGTGGCACACCTCCTCCCTTTATGCCTGGTAATGCGGGATTGCTCTATGCGGTGGCGTACATGGCTGCCGGTTGGAAGCGATCCACGGAGGATGCTCCGGGATTTCCTAAGGACGGAAGCTGGATAGTAAAGCATGAAGGTCTGCTGAAAGCGCTGTAGATACTTGGCAGAAGTGCCCAAACCAAAATTCCGATTAATACCGTAAGGTACCTAGGTACATATCTGACATACCCGTGGACGGAGGTGTCTTGATCGCTGTTATCCCCGCTTCCCCCCAAGCCCCACCTCGGGACCATCCGAGAATTATGACGTAGATATTTTTAACCACGTTAGGTACCTCACACGCGCGGCTTGGCCTTCACCTTAAAATGAATCGTAGGAAATCTAGATACTACATATAGGTATATTATAATAAGTCTTATTTTCATTTGTTCTACATTACGTACTTCGCAGGTGGTCATCTAAACCATTCATCCTAACGCCGGTGAATCTTCTTCTTGCCCTCGAAATGGTGGGAATTTGGGATCGTACATTTCCAGATTTCTTTTCCATCCAACGTCTTTGGCTCTTCCCCCTCCTCGCCGGTTCAGCTTGGTTCCTGACGCTCACCATTTTGCTGGTGAGATGGCTGGCCATTGATCGTCCCCAATACCCCGGGCAGGCAAATCCGTGCGTCCCGTTTATCAGCGACATTGCGGCCCATCAGTTCAAGCCCGTGTTCATCATCGGGTGCGCGGCCACGGGGATCACGTTTATCGGTACAATATTCGCGGTGCATCACGTACGCTATTCGCCCAAGTTTTACGGACTGGCAGACGACGCCCAGTGGCGGCAGACTATGAGCTTCGTTGCGCAGATTGCCGGCATTGCTGCTGCAGTCAGCCTGATAAATCTGAGCATCTTCGATGCAGATTATGCGAACGTGAGACATCGGCGCCTCCTTATGGGAACATTCGGAGGCCTTTTTGTGAGTGCGGTTGCTACTACTGCCGTGTGGTGGGATCAAGTTTGGAGCCCTATGGGGTTTGTCGGCCTTAGAAAATGGTACGTCTCGCTGGAGAAAAAAAAAAGAAGAAACAGAGGATTGTTGCGTTGACGTTGACATAACTATAGGTGCTTGTTTAACACAACTTTGGTGGCCTGTCAATTCGGTTGCGGGCTAGCATTCGTAATTCTCATGTACGGCGGCCATTTCAAATCGTCAGGAATACTTGAATGGTGCCTAACTTATCTCGGCTCTTTCTGGATTATCTCGTTCGTGGGATACACAATGTGAGTATATAAATGTTGAGGCAGCTAGCATATTGATCCTGACAGGAGATACAGGTTTAGAGAAGGTGATCGCCCTACGATTGAGAACGATCCTGAGCAACAGCCACTATTAACGTAGCGTTTAATACACTACAAATTAGTAGTTGGATATAATTATAGAAGGGAACTTTCGTCGTAAGACAATATGTCAATAGGATTCTTGTAGCTTCCGCTTTTCTCGTTTGGTAATATTTTATAATGATCGTCTGGTACTTGGATATTCTTATAGCTTGACTGGATCTCGCTAAGTGTAGTTGAGGTACTATAAAGTTCATTTAAAAAAGGGGTTTCAGGAATTTAAAAACCTCACACTAGTAGGCATATTTAATAGGCCTGTAGCTAGAGGAAGCCATTCCCTAATCGAACAGCTAAGCAATGAGGCGGCGTCGGTAGTGGACCTTGCGTTAGGTACTTACCTACCTACCTTAGGTAGGTAGGCACCCGAAGGGTGTATCTTGTAGATTCTCCACTTTTACTAGCATTAAGCCCTGTTACAAGCATATTTCTAGACCGTGCGCTACTCCAGAAATTGGAACTTCCACAAAATACCTCCAGTTACTACGCCGCGCTAACATAACTAAAAATTCCATACATATCACGCCAAGCGGGACCGATAAACGAAACTTAAAAAAGGAGAGAAAAAGAAATGTCTTCATCGTCTAATAAATCATATTCCCTTCAAATAGCTGAAAGATTTCACAACGCTACCGGCAAAGATCAACTCAATCGCATATGCCTCGGAGGCTTCGTACTAGAATCGTCATGGGTCGCGGTCGTTGAGAAGAGACTGTCGAAAATGCCACCTCATGACGTGAGGAGAGCTGTGCTTAAAGCGGGTATTCGTTGGACGGCGTTATATTTTGGTACCAGCGCAACATTGAAATGGGCTGAGCGAAAGGTCAAGCAGTCTGAGGAAGGTCGGTCTTAAAACCGAGTGGGTATCTTGAAGGAAGTCCCCCTCGTATGGGCGTTTATAGACCGACCGTATAACGTCGTCGTCATTTTATACCTTTTTTCGTCATGCATGAACCATGGTTGTAAGGGCGTCGGTATGCCAACGCATCTGGGTACTATGTTGTTTCTTGAGAATACATCTACATCGGGGCGTCTGCGAGTATTCCGAGTTTAGTTTCGAGTTAGCGGAAGGCTATTGCTTATGCACATTCATGTCTATAAAATCAATTCCAGAGAAGGGGGCCAAGTAACAATGATAACAACAACTTGGGGATAAACTCTACTCAATCGAATCAAGTACATATTGAATGATGCGAAGAAACATCGTATAAGCAGATGGGAGCATTATTAAAGATTATTAAAGATGACGAGATACTGCAGTATAAATTGATCACTGTAAAACAATCGGTTATAGAAGGGTTAATGGTTGAACATCCGCGAGTTATCATAATACCAAGCTAGGTGAAGATATCGTCAAGTTGTGTGGAATTGCGGCATCAAACATTGGAGAACCACCAGTTATGATGAGGATGATGCGATCAACCCAACTAATCACGTCAATTCCAATGCCCTTCACTGGATCCACAAATCTCAATCTGTCCCAGTTTGGCCAGACAGCCTTACGCAATGGAAACCGTCGTTGTACAATCACGACAATCCAATGCTGCCCCAACGTTTGCATATTATACTTAGTAGTTATATATTTATTGTATATATATATCGAGATTCGGGGCTTCTAACCTCATGGATTTCAAGGTGATTATGCCCTCGTCCGTCCGGCATGTTCCGCTTTATCTACCAAACCCCGGTGTTGATTCTTACTCTATAGATGTCGGAAACTATAAAAATACTAATCTAAGAAGCCGTGCATCCTGGCAGTCATGGTTGAGCCTCGAATCTGTAACGACCATTCCTAATTTTATAACGAGAATAGCCCGCGGGCATGCAGTTCGGGTCGAAAAAGCTTACTCGAAGCGCCCAGCCTCTAGCTTGCACAACTAAGCCCCTAAACTGAACCACCAAGACCCCAAAGACGTATACAGCAAATGTCAAGCCACCAATTCTTTCCACAATTTCCTCGACTACCTACAGAGATTAGGCGCCTAATTTGGCTTCATGCTCTGCCTCGAGGACGAATCCAGCTGTTTGCTAAGAATGTGCCTTGGGAAAACTGGCGTCTTCTACCGCCCGTGGTTGCCCACGTTTGCCGAGAATCACGAGAAGTGGCTTTGAACTACTCAGTTGTACGAGGTTTCCCTACCGCAGAAGATGTTGACACGACTACGTGGTTCATCGGGTCTCGTGATATACTTGAGCTTCACAGCGGCTATCCTTACCCGTTATCCAACCCGGAGCCTTTCTTCTCCGCAGCTGAGAGGCTAGCGATTAACGCGGGAGACTTCGAGGGCGAGATCAAAGTTGTGATCAAGGACCTCGTAGAAGGCCAACGGTTTCACAATGTGAAGGTGGTATACCTTATCGTCGAGCAGATCGAGACGGCGTACTGGCCCAGGTTCCGGCCGGATATGACGGAACAGGATAAGGGGAAGGGGACAGTCCTTGACTTGTGCAGCGACGAAGACCAGAGGAAAATAGATGGTTACAAGGCATGGGCACGTTTCCAAGAGATGTCACCGGTCTTTCCCCAACGCCAGGACGTGGAACTCATCCTTAGATCGAGCCTGGATAAGATCATACTAGAAGAAATCTGTCGCTACCACGAGCGTTTGTTACAGGTTGGATACAGCGAGGAAGATGCAATAACGTCATTCCCAACAACTACTCCCATTACCCCCGATCATCCTTGGATTCTTCAACAGTGGAGACGCTTACCGGAGTTCCGGCCGGCAATATTGATTTTAGGATGGAGGTGAAAGATTAGGTATTTACCTCCTAAGGTTGGATAGAATAGAAAAACGGATATAGGGGATGGTGAAGCAACTCGTCCTCACCTATTAGGATTGGATATGTCTCTCATAAAACAACCTTTCCCTCAAATGATGGGGTTTCATATTATTTCTAGAACCCACACTAATATAATAAGAAGGTGGAATAAGTTGGTTTTTTTTTTGGTTTTTTTTTTTTTTCCTTGAGCACGTTTTGAATAAACCTCCTGGGATGTACCTAGTAATAAACAAAGGGTTGTTGTGGCTTTGGATGTGGCTGTCCGGCTTGCTGTAGGCACAAATATGTACCTAGGTACCTAAGATACAATACTTTCGTGGCTTAACAACAACTTACATGTTTAAGTCCAATATTTTAGCGATGTTTTACCGGTGCCGAGGTGCCATCTGTTCGCCTCACATTGCCTTGAAGCAGACAACCTAATAATATACAACGTTTCCAAAAAGTTGAGTTTATTGATTCATTACTGTCTTAAAATGTCATCATCACAGCGTTTTTCCGGATACCCGCTTGCTAAAGAAGGCCCAGATACAGCGTATATTCCAGCCCAGGATAAGAACCCTCCACTTAGAGGCTTGACTTTAGTTATTGCAGCGAAACTGTAAGTGCTTTACATCTTAACACATATACACGAACATCAATCCCTCATATTAAAAAAAAAAACTAGCCTCAACTATTTCCCATCGCTAGCTAAAGCTTCGTGGAAAAACGCCAAGCTCGGTTGTCTCAAAGATATACCAGAGCTAGATCCGTACGATTGGCATCTTCAAGTATGCAGCTATCCTATGTTCCGATCGAAATATCCAGTAGTTGATAAGCTAAACAGCCCATTGTCACTCCGCTTATAGCCGATGGCGTCGTACAGACCAAGGCCGAAATCACGCCTGATCTATATGAACGGCATCCAGACGATATAGCTGGCCGTTTCTTTTCTGCTGCTGATTATCATGAGCTCTTCAAATCTGGGAAATTGACTCCGCTCCATGTGGCGAAGGCCATTCTCCCACTCATTACCAAAGGCCAGAATCCGCCAGCCAAATATGAGTCGGCCTGGTCTGTGGTAAAAGAAGATCTCGTACTGGAAGCAGCCAAAAAGTCGACGGAACGCTATGCTGCCGGTCAGCCTTTAAGTGTTCTCGACGGAGTCCCGATAGGAGTTAAGGATGATACTGACGTTGAAGGATATATATCCCATGTGGGACGACCCTTCGACCCATCGGACCCCTTCTTCCAACCGGCAACCAGCACTATTTGGCCGGTTGCACAATTAGTTGCTTCCGGTGCTATCATTATCGGCAAGCAGGTCATGCACGAGCTCGGTTCGGATGTCAGTGGATGTAATCCACATTGGGGAACTCCTATCAATTGGAACAATAAATCGTATTACCCGGGCGGTTCGTCGTCTGGTGGAGGGTCGGCCATCTCGTCTGGACTGGTCCCTATTTCGATTGGTACCGATGCAGGGGGGAGTATCCGTGTCCCTGCCTCGTTCAACGGTGCGTACGGATTGAAACCCACCCTGCATCGTACCTACACAATGAGGTCCTCTATCTGTGCCATCGGCCCCCTGGCCGCAACGGCAAAGGACTTGACCATCGCCTATCGTCTCAGTGAGTATTCCGGTCCATTTCTTGATTAGTGCCACCTGTCTCCCCGCACTAAGCAATCATCAAACAAGAACCAATATCCCAACACCCGGGAATCTCGATACTAACTCTTCAATGTGCTAGTGACGGCACCTAACCCGGAAGATCCAATACAGGGCGCTTTCGCGTTATCAGTTCCGCCAAGCCCATCGGCGAAGAAAACGATTGGCATCTATCATGAGTGGTTCAACCAAGCCTCTCCTGATGTACTTGATGCTGCCAAGAAAGCAATCGCCTATTTCAAGGAGAAACTGGGTTACGAGGTTGTCGATATCAAAATCCCCTACGTACAAGAAGCCCAGTACGCTCACGGCGCATGGGCGCTCACCGAGGCCATCAGCAACCACACCTCGCACGCCGTGGACAAAACCCGTCCGTTCGCGGGTCTCAACAGCTGCAACCAGCTCCTCCTGGCCATGGCCTCGTGCACGTCGGCAACCGATCTGCTCCGGTACGGGCAGATGCGCGGGCTGCTCATGGGGCACCTCGCGTTCCTGTGGAAGAAATACCCGGGCCTGCTGGTGCTCACGCCGACCGTGCCCGAGGCCGGCTGGCCGATCCACCCGGGCGACCAGGCGTACGGGTTCAGCGACGGCAACTTGACGATGCGCAACATGATGTACATCTGGCTAGCGAACTCGACGGGTTGCCCCGCCGTCACCGCGCCCGTCGGCTACGTCGACCCGGACCAGGGCGAGGGCAAGCTGCCGGTCGGCCTCATGGCCATGGGGGAGTGGGGCGCCGAGGAGCAGCTGCTAGCTTGGGCTACGGAGGCCGAGACGTACGTGAATGAGGTTTATGAGGGAGGCAGGTATAGGCCGCAGGAGTGGGCCGATGTTGTTGAGCTTGGTAAGGCTGTGGAGTGATGCCTACCTAGGTTCGGGACTTGACTTGCAGTGGAGGAACTACTATGTACGATTATGGCAGATACCTCTCAATTCTTTGGTTTAAATCCTCTCTTAGGGGTTTCGTTCTGTACATAACTGATGACAAGTATGTGTGTTGGCTATTTAAAGAAAAGATTATTATTTTTTTATCAAAGCAAACAATCACTCATCCCTCAAGAAGAGCACGAGAGCCACGTGACATGGCGCAAGCCACGTCCGTGGCTCATGAGTGGCACACTCACAATTACCTTTTTTCTACAACTATCCATGTCTTGACTCGGCATCGTAGGTCTTCATAGGTTTGGGGGCTACATGGACGTTTCGAAAGAAAATATACCAAAAATTTGTCCCAAAGTTACTAAAGACGAAGCCCATCGAGGTGGATTTCGAGGCCGAAGAAGAAGACGGGACAGGCTTTTATAACTCCAAAACACAAAGGACATCTGACCGGGGATCGAAGGCCATAAGCGAAGAAGCGGTAACTACTGTCGAATCAAGGGGGCCTTTTGTGTTTACCAATTTGGCTAATACCAGCTACGGACGAAGACAAATGACTTTTTTTTCAACTACGAACTGTAACGTGAAAGAGCTTATTGAGGCCCATTGATGCGGATTTTATCAAAATAGTAGTCATTGAATTGCAGAGGGATTATGGGAAAGTGGCTATTATACAAAGGGTACCTAAGGGTTATGGCAGGGGCTGATGGAAATGACACCCACTTTGCTAATATTAGGGTTTTTTATCAGGTTAGGTATTTGGTATTAAAACTTTCCTCTCTTAAACCGAAGGGCGTCTTTTTACCTTAGTACCTGCTGCTTCATTAACCATTTTATATTTGGTGTGACTCGAGTCACCGCTACTTTTACCATTTACTCCTTAACGTAATTGAGCTCAGAACTCCAGGGCTTTTAGCCTTGGTTAGCAAGATGCTTAATGTAACATGTATCTAAGTATTAAACAGTCGGAAATGACGTTCGTTCTAATTCCCTAAATGCTCTAATTCTTTACCCGCACCGGGTTCGGCTTGATCTATAGCCTTTGATTGGCTACAGATCCTTCTTAATCTTATCAGATCCGCTGATTAGATCCCCGGCGCTCTCCACATCTCCGACTTTCCCCTTAACCTGCATTAGAAAACGTTGAAAGAGGACACGGCCTCTATTAGTTCCACTTAGTCTCGGGTACTTGACCATAAGTTCATCAGACTATCGGTGCCTGCCATGTTGCGGTCGTCATTTCAGCCGACCCGGCATACATGGATATGGCGATCATCCCGAAATCGCTCAAGATGTTTTGTTTAGGTACGTCGTTGCTGACTTCGGTTTTCTCAAGGTTATACTGGAAGAGTTCACCTTCTAAGATGACACTTACCATGGACTTGATTAATAGGAGTCTTATCGTAATAGATTCTTTATCCTCTCAAATAACCCTCTTTATAGCCTGGAAGGCTTATATTAATTATCAAAGCAGAAAGAAAGAAGAAAACCAAAGCAAGCAAACGAAGGAACAGAAAATTTGATACAGTCTGAGCCCTTGTCTAGCGCATCACAGTATCCAAGGCTTACGTTTGATTATTGCTATCCTTGCGACATGAATGCCGTTAGGTGTTTACCCACCTTTAAAAGCGCGGCAGGAAACTATCATGAGATGTGAGTATATAAAGTAGCCACATTCCCAGTCCTGTTGACACTTAGACGATTAAGATCCTTGCTTGATCCTACATAGGTTTAATTGAGTAGCGGAGCAGTAGAAGATGCCTCTCCCGTCTTTTGCTCTATCGGTTCTGATATGCTCTCTCCAAGCATTCCCAGTTTCCGCACAGAACTACACATGGCCATGGCAAACCTATAAATCTAGTTCAGCAGAACCGTAAGTATATCTTGACTTTTTTCACCTTTCTATATATTGCACTTAATTCGTTTCAACGTTTTATCGAGAATCTCTTCAAGTCCTTGAACTTCAAATGAACCCCCTAAAGACTTTTACTGACAGGCACCTACCTTGTATAACGCAGTCCTTCGCTGAACATCACCAAATCCGGCCCTACGTCCCCAGGATATCTCTTCTTTGACCAGAATGGACAGTACGCGCACAACTACAGCCTCTTCATCATGTCTGATGACAACGAGCTCATCTGGCAGAGCGGATACGGAGACTATGGTGCTTTCAGGACCCAAAAATTCGAGGGCAAGCCAGTCTTGACTTTTTTCAACGGGGTCTCTCTGTCGGAACCGTACGGGTGGGGCTATGGCATCATCCAAATCCTTGATGACTCTTACAAAAGCATCTACAACGTTTCGCTGACGGTAGATGAAGGGAACTTTCTGACCCTACCGGAGCTTGATGCCAGCCAGATTGAGTCGTATCTCGACATGCACGAGTCCCAGATCACAGCTCAGGACACGATCCTTGTCACATTGTACAATGTCACCAAATACGATCTAAGCTCTGTTGGCGGACCACAGGATGGTTGGGTAGCCGACAGTTTGTTCTACGAGCTGGATATCAAGACCAACGAGATACTCTTCAAGTGGAGTGTCTTGGATCATGTTGACCAAATTCCCATTTCAGACGTTCAGCAGTTCTATCCCATTGCGGACTTCGGCAAGAACCAGTCGGTTCCGTATGGCTACTTCCATATCAATTCGGTGGATAAATTCGACGACGGGTCATATTTGATTTCATCGAGATACTACTGCTCGATCTTCAAGATTTCGAAGAACGGCACCGTTGAATGGACTTTACAGGTGGGTAATCCCAACTAGATCTCATACGATATTGTTCTTGTATTCAGCATTCAGGCACAGATGTACTGACTCTATGCAGGGGCAAACCGGCGGCGATTTCGAGCTTGATGGCCAACTTTCCTTTTGCTATCAACACGATGCTCGCGTCCGACGGGAATTGGGGAGCACGGTTAAGATCAGCCTGTTCAATAACGCAAACTCAGAAATTATGTCGGGTGTAAACCAGACTAAAGGTGTATTCTTAACCCTGGATACGGAAACCATGAAGGCGACACTCGACCACGCATATACCGACCCACAGGACGCGGTCTACGCCTTTTCGCAAGGAAATACACAATTGCTGGACGACGGGCACGTAATTATGGGATATGGGTCGACGCCTAAGATAAGGGAGTTCAGCGCGGATGGCACCACATTGATGACCGCCCAGTTTGGCCCTGGGGACGGTCTTATTTTCTCTTATCGCGCCTATCGCCAGCCGTGGGTTGGCCGCCCTAAGGAACCCCCAAGCGTCGTCGCGTGTCGGGATGAGGCTAGTAACAGCACCAGGGTATATATGAGCTGGCTTGGCGCTACAGAACATAAATATTGGGATATCTTCGCCGGCGATAGTGACAATAGCTTCACTCTGGCATCCCAGGTGGGAAGGACTGGATTTGAAACAGTAGCGACTATACAGGGTCAAGTTCCGATGATCCGTGTTGAGGCACGAGGAATTGGTATCACTGGAGGAGTTTCCAATGTGATATCGTCTCAAAGCCATTGCTGATATTGAACAGCGCAGCGCGTTGATTAAAATCTGACTTTGGAACTCTTCCTTGATACTTATAGACCTAAGTTACTGCTTCTGTGGCGCAGTATTTGGTCCATGAGCGGCCGAAGCAGAAGACGAAAATCAGATTCGTCTACAACGAACCACAAGATTTTCTTCCCATAGGTAAATAAAAACAGTACTAAACAGAGAATTAGGTCCTCTTTTTATTAGAAACACGTACATTATAATTGGAATCACCTTTAAAACGAACCATGAAATATAAGCAGGACCCGATTACTTTGGTCCGAGCAAATTGTCTGATATCGAACGAAGTTGCTTTTTGACCCATCTTAGACTCTTAGATCAGGTACCTACTGTATAGGAGGTAGCTAATGGTATTCCCCAACAGAGGCAGGTATAACTTGCCGTTATACACGTTGCGCATGACTGGGTGAAGAATATATGTCATCAATTCAACTTCTCTTATCCCGGCGGTGCAACGTCTCTGCTCGCATCGCGATGGAGGACCACATGCTTGATAACAAGTACCGGATCAAAAAGGGGAGCATAGTCGTGATTCCTTCTAGGGCTTAGCATTCCATGCCGTCGATTTGGGGCGAAAGTGTGACCGAGTTTTACCATAAGAGATTTGTACGCCAACTTTAGGGGAGCGCCTATTCGGACAAGAAGAAAGTTGCATATGAAATTAATTCTAGATTTATAATTCTCATGTATAATTTTCACTACCAGCAGGTAAAAAAAATTATTTATTGTCAATATTAATGTGAAGCAGTGGTTTAGGTATGTGCCACAGTTCGAAAAATGAGCTGTCATTTTATAGGATACACGTAGCATACCTACCTGGTATTGCATTATTAAAATAACTTTCCCTATTTTTACGCCACACTACCTAGGTCACGCACACATCCCTGATAGACGTCCGCAAAATCCGGCTTTATGGAATGAAGAAATTTGCGGCTTTTATGTTACGAAAGTTCCATCGGCGCTACACGATGCTGCCCGAAGTCGACGTCTCGACTACCGAGCCGCAATCGCCTAGTGATGCAAACAGTGGCGATCATCATCACGCCGGTTCCTCAAGGCATAGAATATGGTTCCACCGCAACCGCTATGCCGGAGCGCTGCTCTTCAACCTGGGCGCTTTCTTCCTCCCAGCCTTATACAGCACGCTATCCAAATTATGGGTTGCGGAAATCGACTCCTCGCTCGTCGTCACGACCGACGTGTACACGTACATCGGCGTGGTAGTTGAGGTGCTAAACGAGGGCCTGCCCCGCGCCTCGTGGGTCATCATCGCGGACAGGGACTCGCGCTCCCTAACGCAGCGCCTCGGCCTCTCGTACACGCTCATAGCATTCCAGTCCGTCCTGGGGCTGGTTATGAGCATCGCGTTCATGGCCGGCGCCGCTACCTTTGCGCAGGGGTTTGTCCCCGTCGAGGTGCGCGCCGCGAGCTTGACGTACATCCGCATCAGCGCTTTCTCGGCCCTGAGCTCCGCGGTTGAAACCGCCGTGGCGGCGGCGACTAGGGCGCTTGATAAGCCGGACATCCCGCTTGTTATCAGCATGACAAAATTCGCGGTTAATATTATCCTGGATATGCTAATCATTTCACGCTTTCACGTTGGAAATATCCAACCGACTATTAATATGCAAGCTGGCATCCAGTTGGCCTGCAACATGACGGCTGCATTCGTAGGGCTTGCTTACTTCCTTTGGGCGACGAACCTGCAGCATCGAAATCATCAGCTGGAACTCTCTGGGGCTGACGCTATCGAAGTCTCTCAGCTGCGATTCGAAGCTGATTCTAGAATCCGGCTAAGCTTTCGTGCCTTGGCTGTATTATTGCGGCCTGGACTCCTGACCCTGGCCGAGTCGGCCATACGGAACGCCTTGTACCTCTGGCTAGTGAGCACCATCGTCGCGCTGGGCTCAACGTATGCGTCCGCCTGGACCATATTCACCACTATCCGATGGGGATTGGTTATGGTTCCAGTTCAATCTTTGGAGGCGACGAGTCTCGCGTTTGTCGGTCACCACTGGGGTTCTTGGCGTCGCTCTATTGGTAAGACGACGCGTAGACCTGGCCGAGTTTCCTTGAGAACTATCATGGGAATTACAAGGCCAGCTCTTATTTCCCTTGCTATTTCTCTAATAGTTGAGGTCCCGCTCGCTATCTTTCTGTCTATATGGGGCGCTAGGTCGTTCGCCAAATATCTGGGCCAGCCGGATGAGGTGGCGGACATTACGGCGTATATGTGGCGGACTATCGATTGGTGTTACATATTCTATGCAGCATCGACTCAGCTCGCTACGGTTCTTCTTGCTACGCGACCCAAGTGGTACCTCTATCAGAGCTTGGCCAGCAACCTCCTATACGTCTTACCGTGGGCTATAGCTTGCCAGGTAAAGAATCTAGATGTGAACAATGCGTGGACATATCACAGACTAGTTTTCGGTGGGAGCTTAGTGTTTAGTTTCGTCGACATCGTGATCGTGGATGGGCTGTGGGTGTGGACGTTGATAACTGGGAAGGCCAGACTTGAGGCGTTCAGGGAAAATTAAAATGGCAATGAGTTCGCCAAACCTTTCGCCTCTATTTTGACACGGCTACTTAGACCGTACTAGCAACTCTTAAAACATCGCCCCATGCCCCTGACGGGAGTGATCTCTCGATCCAAATCCCATGAAGCGGGTGGTTACTCTTACGTCCTAGATGGCGTAATTAGAGAATATCCATCAGGTACCTATCTTAGGTACGTATTACAGGCGAATCAAATACCTCAAAGTTAAGAACATTGTGAAATACACAGATACAATGTAGAATTAGAAACGCATCAAGATCCAAATGCGTCATATTAGTGTGTAGTGTAGCCTTGCGCCTCAATGCAACTCCCCGTACCAGACAGAGGCCCGACCACAATTTGTAAAACTGATTAAGGTTATTACTGTATGCAAATATGGTAGCATTGGCTCTGCATCCACATGGATGTTCAGTCTTTGGAATTTTACAACACGCACCTCTTCGGTGGCGGCCAATGGCCGTGTTAACGGAACGCGTTTACGGCAATTGCTACATTCTACCTTCCACTTTGGTAACTACCCCGTGACAAGGTGCAGTCTAGGCACCGACGTGTGTACTACATCCGAGTCGTGAAGTTACATAACGGATAGGAGGGAAACATCTAGTGGTAAAGCTCTAGGGGGAAGGTCTCGTAAACCATGACGTCCCCCATAAGGGTACCTGCTTGACTTGTGTCAAGATACGTCCTTGGCACGGGGTGGAAATCTTTAGTGAGAGAACCTAGCTAAAGAATAGAAAGAGGATGCAGGAATAGGTAGTTCGCTCGAAAGATTTGTGCCGACGTGTTTCACGTCTAGAGAGCTGAAGCTTTAGCAGACGGCAAATTAGTAACAGGAGACTTTGAAAGTACAAATCACTAGGAGGTAGGTAATGGTAGCAAAAGACAGCGTATACCAACAGGTAAAGATTGAATTTGGTGGATCGTTCATCACTTGGCGGGATCTAAATAATTCTAATCTAAGCTTTTGATCCCCAATAATAATTTGGTATCCCTATCCATCCAACCTGAGAAGCAGCATTTCGCGAAAACTAGGAATCTATTTACAAGTTCGTCGTTCATTGCAATAGACAGTCCAAACCATAATATTCGTGCAGAGCGTGAAAAGGAGAAACAGAGATAAGAGGGAGAGGGAAGAAAAGAATGAATGAATGCTGTAAAACGCAGGAGGAAAACGGTTACAAGAGCACATCTCTCTGCTCTCCATTTAAAAATTTCATGTATAGTCTCTCGTCGAGAGTACTGCTCCTCGAGCTGAGATCCCACTATGGATCCCAGCTTTATGCGTTGCCAACTCCATGATCCCCTTCCTAACCCCCCCAGCTCCGGCAAGCTTTAGTAGCTTTGCAAGTAGGTATAACGATGTACAGTTGTATCAAGGCCGTTCAATTAGAGCCGGTTATTTAGGAGTCGAAGATGGCACCGTACGCGGGGATGCCACGGGTAGACATGCCGTATACAACCTTCTCCGTCACCTTAGGGTTCGAAATGATGAAGACGGCTTCCGCGTTAGACTCGTGAACCAGTTGATATACTTCTCGCACGATATCGGGGTATCCCCTCTCGTGGGTGTTCCAGATAATGGCGTTGGGGTCGGCTCGCTTGACTTCCGATACAACTTGAGGACCGTACGTTGCATGAGGCTCCCGGGTACTCCAGAATACTCGGCGGGGTGTGATGCTAGCGAAGAGTAGAGATAAGCAAGGTCCAATTCCAGATCCGGTAGCGACCACGACAATTTGCTTGAACAACTTCGATGTGTAGAGGAGACCGTGAAGAGGTGCGCCACGGACCCAGAGCTTTCGCTCGTAGGGCTTGTTAATTTGCTTCTTAGTCCAATCTCCCGCGTTACTAACGACGACACTGAAGCCGTTGATCTTTCCGGACTCGGGGTCAACATCAGGAATGGTGGCGAAAGCGTGCCACTCGGTTAAGGGCTTGTCGCTGATCTTCAGGCCGTAGAAAGGTGCCATGCCCCTGTACTTGAAATGCAGACGTGTGGCGTGGTTGCTCAACTTCTCGGGATATACGGTGCGGCGGCGTAGACGGCCCCAGGAAGCGAATGTGCAAGAAGTCGAAATGCAAATACACCAGAAGTTAGGCGAGTGGATCAGGACGTAGCCGAGAGAGGCATCCCATTGTCGGGCGGTAACTCTGGCCGAGAAGATGTTGTGGACCCAGAAAGTTGTGACGGCTACCCAACCGGCGAAACGGTGGAAAGCCTCGAAGTAGTCGTGGAATTTTCGTCGCAGGTCTGGGTGGGCTGATGTTAAGATAACGGCGAACATCGATACTAAGATCCAGCTGGTGATCATGTTGATAAGCTGGTCGGTGACCGGCTCGTCGATCCAATCCTTGGTCGCTAATATCGTATATAGGATATACCATACGACAGCAGCAGTACCTGCGCCACTATGGCAGCCGCCGTAGTGGAAGACTTTTGCGAGACGCTTTCGAATGTATAGAGGCCAGGAGTGTGGGACGCATGTGAAGATTTCATAGCAAAGATTTACGAATTCTTCCTGGCGGAAGAGAATGCTGACCATGAGGTTTGCTGAGGCGGCACTACCCACATCGCGGGAGTTAGGCTTGCCTTTTGCGGATGCTAGCAAGGCGATGAAGACAGCCAAGTTAGCAGTAAAGATGACTCCAAATATTTTCCTGTATGAGGAGGCATATTTGTCTAATACAGGATATTAGCTTCAGGTTTCATGTAGGTATATCATATAAGACGTTGACACTCACATCGGACTTGCTGGCTCAACTCGGATCCGAGTTGGTCGGGGAGGACCGCACGCTGCGTGACTCTCTCAACTTGTTTCTCATCGCCGCCTTTGTCGGAGTGGATGGATGGAGTTGTCGTCCCTGTCGAGGGTCCCACCGAGGATAGAGGTTCAGCGATTGTAATCGGTGTCACGTCCCCCGAGCGGAAGGTATCCGCTTGTGCCTTTTCAGAGTAGTTAGTCGACATGTTGAAAGAAGGCGATGTCTTTCTCTGAAATATAAGTTGTTGGTCTTGCGGATTGGTTGGCACGGGGAATCCTGCAATCTAACGGCAGGGACAGGGCGAGAACAACGGATATAAGTACTGCTCGGTGAAGATGAAGGATATTCGGGCCCCGAGTAAGAAGCAGCTGGATAGTACCCTGCCAAGACTCAGTTTACTCATTCGTGAATACATCGAACGGTGCTGATTTCTTGGATATCGCAAGATCTTCGATAGCTTAGTCCTACGTGGCAGGACCCCGGGTCCAGACGAAGGCGGCGTGCATCCCCATAGTTCCAGTGACGATGGAGTCAACCGAGTTAGCAAACTGTGGTATCTTGCTTGCTTCAACAACTACTTGATGCGGAAGTTCCCCATGCCGATCTCTTAGTCTGTGTTGCCTCAAATCTGACCCGGGAATCCACAATCGAAAAAGCATATGGCTGGCTGTTGGTACCATATAGGGAAAGGGATGTAAAGGTGTCTTGTGGTTACTGTTGATGTGGAGTCAGAGATCTCTAGATTCAGGAACGTCGACCATAATACAGGGTACATGTGCAATACCTGCACGCCACATCGGCACATTGTTAAGACCCGGGTGCAAATCTCCGTGGTGGTTTACTAGGACAACCAACAACGCCCAGCCCTATTAGGGGTGCGTCACCTGACTATCAAGACGAATTCAGTCACCAAAGTCCACGGACTCACTACAACTTACTACAATGATGGGTAAAATCTCAAATTCGTATCGGTATCGGAAACATCTAGCAGAAGTCCATCACGTCTAGCTAGGTACTTTGTGATTCATCCATGGCGAAATACTGTGCCTGGGTCCTGGGTGCCTAATTTAGGTAGGAATAAGGATAACATGTGAAATGTCGATTCAAACCAGGCTGCAAGTGTCAAGATATATGCTGTAAGCATCTAAAGATGTTAACATACTAATCCTTGGTTGATTCACCTATTTTCGTTTAGTTCTCACAGCGCGGCCAAGTAAGGACGTTAATAGCATGCGGCTGTGCTGCGCCGTATCGTGCCGTACCCGTAGGCCACATCGAAATTTTATTCTAGATGGATAAAGGACTTATCAGGTAACAGAAAGTAAGGTAGGTACCTATATGCGCTAACAGCTACGCAGAACATGCAACTCAGAGGCTGAGGTACAGCTTTGGCAGGTAGCATTCAAGTGTTACGAGCTTCGTTCTCATTGGCCTGTACCAAAAGGGGCATCCACGCCTCTGCCTCGGCTACCAACAAATGTGACCTCTTTATGGGCCTTTACTTACTACATATTGCCCATCACTGACGCTTAACCTTCAGCCGCTAGACTCGGCGTGCATTATCTTATCCGTCCCTTGAATTTGGGTGTAGTCCATTCGCGGTCCAGTGGTGGTGAAGACTCAAATGCACACATCCTTTTTCGGACAAAACCATAAAAGGCAATGCGAAACAAGCGATGCTACGGGAAACACCTAAACCACCATTTGAATGACAGGAAATCGTAATTGTCACGAGATGGAAACGATGGTATGGAGTAGGGCAAGTAGAAGATTAGTAGACGTTGTGGGAAGCAAGAGACTTGGCATCGCCTCCGATGTTACCACCTGGAAGCTGGCTAGTAAGTCACTACTCGTACTCGACTACATCCATACCTCTTCGACTATAATACAAAAAAAGAGTAAAATGATTTGATAGGTATCTATTATTTGTCGGTGGTTTAACGCTAGTAACACCCCGAATGTACCAAGATGTCCTTATCATCAATCCAAGGTACCGTATAGCGCAATAATATGCACATTATAACTTCTCGAATAATTCTAGCTCATACTTTCTCGAATACCCTTTCGGTCGAGCTGTTAGTGTCAAGAATATGCAATCGGGCTAATCCTTCGGGATAATTATGATTTCCTTAGCAACAACCCTGGCCCCTGCTTGTACTCATAACCGCATCCTGTGTCTTGGTTTTTTTTATAACTATGAATTCAGCTGCATCCGTTCGCCCATGAGTTCGTAATCCTGCGATTGTCTTACTATCTTGCTATCAACCAAAATTCCAAGATCGCGAAGTCACTTATGAGGTACATCATGTTTCCGGAAGGCAACCGATTAGATTCGGATCTTGAACATCATCCGATACGGCAACCATCATCGGTGCCAACCCAATGTTCTAAGGAGTCCGTGCGTGATTGGCCGCGTCCGGGTATTAGCTCGAGCTCAGGGGGGGTCTTGTCCTATGCGATGCGTGCCCGACTTATAGGTTGCAATCAACCCTTATCTGTTTATACATGGGTGTCCTCTCTTTTTGTTTCTCAACACATCTAATGATATCATGTCAGCCTCTGAGAGAAAAAAATAATAAAAAACTAAAGGTCCAGACTTTTGGACCCTTAGTGTTTCAATTCTGACCCTCCTCACGCCCGTTTCATGCATTCACATGCCGACAGAAAATCATCAAAAATTCCGATCTTCCCTACCAGCCAAGCCAGCTGTCATACCTGTAAGTTACTATGGTTCGTGGGTCTTGCAATCGCACTCGTACTACATTGCTTACACCTAAACATCTAGCACTGCCACTAAACACCACAGCATAGTAAGCCTTCTACCATAGGTTCACATGCTGATATCTTTCAGGTTTCCCCCCTCCCCAGTTGAGATTGAACTTTCGACCTGTTCCAACCCAATGCGGAAGTTGAGCTCAACGAAAAGCTTGTCCTCAAGATAGATAATCCACTTTGAGAACCTCGCTATCTCGAGCTTTGGTGCGCATTTGTCAATTTCCCTCCGATGACGCGAAGCAAATGAGCCTTACAATTCAGCTTACCCGGATATGCGGATCTTCTTCATCGCGATTGAGTACATTGCACATCCTGATTGATCAAAATTTTTGTAATTCGGAAGTTTCTAACACATGCAAGTGAAATTTTTTCAAAGTGTATGAGTCACCTCACCAAGTCGAATTCGGCCTGCCATCTTCGGTGTGGTCCGCTATTACTGTCCTAGTATCTCAGCTTGCTAGGGTTAAGCGATTCGACTCTGGCAAAGAAATAGTCTCTTTCACGAGATAGATAACACAGAACTGTTAATCTACGGACTGTCGCAATTTCAGATATTGCGGCGTAAAATTATTGCCACTTGGAAGTCGGGGCAATGAAATCTACGTAGTTAACCGATATCCCAAAAAAATGGAGTTAACGTTACCTATTGCTCAGATTATTTTGTTTTATGAGGCAATTTGGATGGTCCAAGCGCTTGATGATTATACGAATGACTAAAGTGTATTAAAAGGCGTGAACTACCTCTAATATACTATAAGATAACACTCTAGTGATTCTTCTTGGTTAGTTGGAAAAGAAATATCGGTCATATGTTAGTCAAACATAATTCAGAATGGAGTTTAAATATCCCTTACTGCGAGGGCGTCGTCGAGTTCCCATTACAGCTTTAATGTAGATTATTCTGCAGTACTATACCATCATAAATACAGTAACACTTTCTTCTCACAATTATACTTTCTCGGGGTTCTACCGGAAGAGAGACGGTTCATTTCCAGTTCAACGAAACTTGAAATAGCTACCTAGGTACCTACCTAGAGTAAATTATCAGAGAGAGAGCTATCACTTTGTCAAACCACAAGATAGAGAAGCAGCACGATAATTTAGCCAAAGAACAGTACAAACTAAATGTGAGACCTTGAAGCTGTATATACGTTAAAAAGAATTCATCATGCTTTGAAGCCTCATCCTAAATTCAGACTCGTGACAGCCACCGAGTCTAAGTCAGTACCCAGCCTAACGCTTAAACGTTCTCTAACTTTGGATTGTGTATTTCATCAAACCCCTCAGTTATAATTACGCTATTGTTAGTTTATTTTTAGTATAGCGCTGTTGGGTACCTATGCGTGCATATACTTGACTTATTAGGTAGGTAGGTACCTATACCATTCATTACCTTATTCCCTTGCTAACCTGCTAGGCTACTATTTGGAAATTGATGCAGAAATACGAGGGGTTTACTGTGCGGTGACTGAAGGCTTCAAATATTTATAACTACACAAACTTAGAACTTAAATAATTCTAATTATCTTACAGAAAACATCCCAGCATTAATAGAATTATAATTTAGTAGGTAAGTCACTCAACTTGACTGATAGTTACTATATCCCCGTTAAGTCACTACTATATTAGTGTCAGGGATATACTACTTTAGGTGGGCTGCCAGCTCGCTCGTAGGATGATAGAATGCCAGACGTTCCTAATATATTACATGTACGACCTTGACACTCACTCTTTATGACACCCATCAAGGGCATAAATTTCAACCTCATAATCAGTCTTTAGGGCGCCTTGGTAGGAAGTAAGGGGGTATTTTGGGGCTTACCAAGGGAATTGACGATGCATGTAGAAAATCCACGGTCTTACGAGTTTTCGCGCCCTAGCACGATTATATCCGAAAGCGAGGCTCAAACCACAGATACCTACATCAGGCATTCATCTAAATCGTATGGAAATCAATTATACCCTTGATTGAACGATTATAAGAGCTCTATAGTTACCTACATATGATTATAGTTTTCGGTGGAAAGGATTTAGTTGTCCCATCTTATGCCAATAGTGCCTATAGACAGGCGTCTCTGGCTATGACATAACTACTAACCAAATACAATTTTATCAAAACAAATATTTAAGCAGAAATATAATATTTATTGGAAAGACTGGAACTAAACATAGTGTCCTTGAATTTAGACATAATTGTATTGAAAGCATATGCTGTACAATGAATGACACGATCGGCCCCTATAAATACAGACCCAAGCCGAACATCATCACTACGATTTACTTTCTTAAACCTCTCGACCGCTAAGGAAGACCTTGGGTTGGCATGCTAGAGTTGATCAACTCAAGGCATCATGCCCAAATATTTTTAACTTCTCTTCTGAACGAAGAATCAGCTTTTGCTGCCCTGAGCATAGGGCGAGGACTCCGTAAATCTTGCCTCGTAGGTATAGGTACTTTATTTCTGATTCAGTTGTTCGGGAGATTGGATCAAACATATAATCACCCCGAAGCAACTTCTAAACTACAAGTAGCACCATCTCATAGATTAAGTCTAAATCTATCTCTAAGTCTAAATTATTGAGTCCTGGGGAGGGAACCTCAACTTCATGACATAGGAAGGAGATAGTAATTATTCAGACAACTAAGTGAGGTGTCTCATGCGCGGATTTCGAAAGCACCTTGTATTGTCATAGACCTATTTCGAGCTAAGTACTTTTTTTAATGATCACCCCATTCATATGCGCCGTTGAAATCCCATCCTTAAGCCATGCCGCCATTGGCACGAAGCACCTGACCAGAAACCCAGGACGAGTGAGATAAGAAAACGATAGCTTCGGCGATCTCCTCCGGCGTGCCAATGCGGCCCTGGGGGTTGAAACTCGCAATGGTCTTGAGCAGCTCCTCGCTCTTGCCACGGAAGAACAGCTCGGTTCCAGTGGGACCAGGCGCGACAGCGTTGACGAGGATTCCCTTTCGTCCGAGATCCTTGCTAATCACGCGTGTCATCTGCTCGATGGCGCCTTTGGTGCTGTTGTAGAGCAGGTAGCCGGGCTGGACCGTGGAGGCCGTGGTCAAGGTGGTAGATAAGAAGATGATGTGCGAACCCTTCGCCATGTGCGGCGCGGCAGCCTGTAGATGTGAGTGGTCAGCGGCATGCGTCACACCTAGGTCACGGATGGTCTGCGGGTGATTAGTCCATAGATAAGGATTCTCAAATGCTCACCTGGGCTAGGAAATACGGCCCCTTGACATTGATGGCAAAGGTACGGTCGAAGTCAGCCTCGGTTGTATGTTCAAGGTCCTTCATAGGCAAAACACCGGCGTTCGATACAAGTATATCGATCTTGGAGTAAGTGTCCACAGTTTCCTTGACTAATGATTGTACGCCTGCTACGGAACTGGCGTCTGCTTTCGCCAGACGCGCCTCGCCTGCACCTAATTTTTGCACCTCGGCCAGCGTATCTTGCGCGGCTTGATCATCGGAAGAATAGTTGATGACAACTGTGGCACCAAGACGGGCGAGTGCGATGGCTGAGGCTTTGCCGATACCCTTAGAGGCACCAGTGATGAGAGCAATCTTGCCGTTAAGCGAGGGAGAGGCGTTGGAAGCCATGGTAAACGGGCTGACGTGAGGGTGAGAAACGGTTGCACGTGGCTGATCCCTGAAAGGTGTGGTAGACGTTGATGGAGTAGAGCGAAAATAACCTAGCCGGAGACGACGTAAGAATTTAGATAGTGTTTTTGTCATTAACTTAAGTTTAGGTACTTTCTATGAATGTAGTAATACAACTTGAACTTGAACTTTGGAAATTCTATCGTCTGGCGATGGCCTTTTAAATAACAAAATATATCTTGTAAGTCTCCATAACCCTAGAGACGGCATCGCATTGAAATCAACATGACTGGGCTTCGAAGCCGGAGCTTCGAAGACGCGATAAATCCGCGACCGCAAATACGGGAATTTCTAAGTACAATCGGGTTTTGAATTCGATAAATTTCGGACGGGACTCTCCGAATTTGTTACTATCTCCGGCGGAAGCGGTACCTACATTAACGGAATAGATAATCCTGCGCGAATCTCACCATAAAGCCTTAAAACCAGGCATCAATAATAGGCATCTCACCCGAGTGGCTTAGCAGTTTAGATTTGACTTCTTAGGCCTTACGGGTTGTGTAATACTCGCTTTCTAACCTTCGGATTTGTGCGACAATTCCATTTCTGAGCCATTATTTGTGGGTAAAAACTGGTATGCAACCCCTTTTTGGATCTGGCATCGGAAATATCTCACCACCATAAACCAAATCCGACGCTTCAAAATATTAGTCAGTTCCGCAATGGGATTGACCAACTTATAATTAGTAGTTTCATTCCCAACAACTATAACACTTCAAAGTCTGAATCGAATTGGATTTGTGACTTCTCGAAACATACCTAGGTCAAGATCTACCTAAAGTACCTAATTTAACCAATTTTCAGAGTCTATTCCTAAAGTTCCAGGAGAACCCTCAACCTAGAAAAGGCTTCCTTATTACTAAATACGTTCTTAGGTACGAAGTAGCATAGTTGTCAACTTTTAACTTCTAGTAATTGCTTACTTTAGGTACCTAGGTAGACTATGGGTAGAATACGTCTTACCGGCATGTTGTCGGCGATGTTGAATTGGTCATTAGCTCGCAAAATTACTAGTAATAATGATAGGTTATCATTTCAAGCTTTTACTTGCTATTAGTAACGATCTCCTTAACAGGATGATACCATTCTGGAATACCTATACGATATATTTAAAGCCTACAATGGGCCGAGGGGAAAGGCTGACAATATCAAGTGACTGACTCATCCCTTTCTCAGCCCTATGACATCCTTCAGGGGTAATTTGAATGTGACACTTGAGCCACCCTTGTTATTCAGCTGAGCCCTGCCGAGCCCTCCAGCTCGAAGGTTCATACCAAGGTAGGACAGCATATCGTCCCATACGACGCGGTACCAAACGAAAACTTCAAACATGCAAATCAGGCTGTGCATAGGTATAATTGGCCTATCTCATATCAGCTCACTGCACGGCTGACCTGGAATATTCTGTCTGATTGGCCAAGAACCTAAGCCCTCTAGGTCTATGTGAAGAGCCTCTCATGATGTCATCAGAAATGTTACCAGAATAGGCTTGTCAGAACGGTATTCAGGGATCGCCGTGCCATGTGGCATGTGGGTCTGGTGCCTTACCGATTCCATGGAGAGGCTCATCGAGAAAGCAACAGGCTGGCACACATGTGTAACCACCTTCTTACCTCTAACTTGGGTGCCTATCTACCTCATAAGGCCATTGGCGTACTTACGTGAAACTATCCTTATCTGGGCGCCTGGATATGGTACTAGAATATCTACCACTCGGTGTATAGACGACGCTCTTCTCCGATCGCTGTTCACGGGGTCCAAAACTATAAGCTTTTGAAGGCTAACAAACAGTAGGTTACCTAAATAGGTACCTATTATACCCAGAAGGAGTAAAATCGTAATTTGAGAAAACATCAGCTGATAGCACAAAGATATCAATCCGACCCCGTTTGTGAGTCGTAAGGGAGAAATGTCGCCAATATTCTCTTCGTTGCTGAGAGGCACAGGTCTCAAGGAATGCAAGTGGGTCCAATATGACCCAAGAGGCGATATCACGGCGACTCCATCCAGGTTGAATATCAAGTATATAAGAAGGCGACGCAGGCATCGATCAGGAAGATAAAAATTCATCACATTCGACCATACTCCTCAACCCTTCACAGCTAGGTAATTAGTATTATATCTACCTAAGCATTGAACACAATCTTCCCCCTATTCCATGACCATAATGCACGCCCTCCAGCTCTCGGCTCTAGCAGCCACGGTATTGTCTGGTCTTTCGGGAGCAGCTCCTGCATCTCAACTAACAGACTCCTCGATTACCGGTGTCCTTGGCTCAAGCTTTGGCATTCCCGGCCGAGACTATGAGTTCGACTATGTTGTCGTGGGCGGTGGCCAGGCTGGTCTCGCAGTAGCAGCCCGTCTCGCCGAAGACAAATCCCTAACTATAGGCGTTATAGAAGCCGGCGATTTCTACGAGCTCACGAACGGAAATCTCAGCGAGATCCCTTCCGACGCAGCCTGGTTCGTGGGCAAGGATACCAACGACTGGCAACCTGCCGTCGACTGGGGCTTCATCACGGAACCGCAGCAGGCCCTCAACGATGTCAAGGCTCACTACCCTCGAGGTCGAACGCTAGGCGGATCTTCTGCCCGCAACTTCATGGCCTACCACCTCGCCACAAAGGGATCGTACGACCAGCTGGCTAAGGAAGCCGACTCGCCCGCTTATTCGTTTGACAAATTCTTCAAGTATTTCACCAAGAGCCAGAAGTTCACGCCTCCCGTAGGCGGCACGTACGACCGCTTCACCAACTCGACGCCCCAGTACGACCCGTCCAAGCTCGGCACCCAGGGCGCCGTGTCCGTCATCTATCCCAAGTACGCCCAGCCGTTCAGCACATGGGCGCGCAAGGGATTGGAAGCCATCGGTATCAAGTCGCAACGCGGTTTCGAGAGCGGTAAGCTTTCGGGCGGATACTCCTACGCGTTGGCCTCGATTAGGCGTGAGGAGAACACTCGCGAGTCTTCCGAGACGGCTTACCTGCGTCCTCACCTTGGCGGACATAACCCCAACCTCATCACGTTCATTTCGACACTAGCTAAGAAAGTGGTTTTCGACGGACAGAAGCGCGCTACCGGTGTGTTAGTCGACACTTTAGGCCTCCAGTACACTATCCGTGCCCGCAAGGAAGTCATCGTCTCGGCCGGAGCCTTCCAGAGCCCTCAGCTGTTGATGGTATCAGGTATCGGACCCAAGGATATACTAGAGAAGTACGGTATTGAGGTCCTTCAGGACAGCCCCGGTGTTGGACAGAACATGAAGGACCACGTCCTCATTGGAACTTCGTACAGGGTCAACGTCCGCACTGCCGCCGCCTTTGGAGACCCCGCGCAGGCGGCCCTATTCGAGAAGCAGTATGCGCAGGGTAACGGACCTATGACAAGCAACGGTGTCGACCTTCTTGGTACGTGAATATCTAGCCTACTAACACTAGCGATTTGAATTTCGATTGCTAACAACTGAGCAGGCTGGGAACGTCTCCCCCGCAAACTCCTCAGCAACGCCACCGCTTCGGCCCTCGAGTCGTCATTCGCGTCTGACTGGCCGGACGTCGAGTACCTCCCCGACGGCGCCTTCTTCGGCAACGTGAGCAACCTTCAACTAGTTGCGCCCAACGACGGATACCAGTACGCGACCATGCTCGCGGGGCTCGTCGCGACGCTCTCCAAGGGCAACGTGACCATCCGGTCCAACGATACGGCGGACCTGCCCGTCATCAACCCGAACTGGCTCAGCCACCCGGCGGACAAGGAGGTCGCGATCGCGGCCTTCAAGCGCACGCGCGAGATCTGGACGGCGCCGGCCATGCGGCCCGTGCTCATCGGCGAGGAGTACTACCCGGGCAAGAGCGTCTCGACCGACGAGGAGATCTGGCGCTACATCCAGGACAACTTCTCCACCATCTTCCACGCCGCGTGCACCTGCAAGATGGGCCCCGCCAGCGACAAGATGTCCGTGCTTGATGCGAATGCCAGGGTCCGCGGTGTTACTGGTCTCCGTGTCGTCGATGCTTCGAGCTTGCCGATCCTGCCTCCGGGCCATCCCGTATCTACCATTTGTACGTATCTCTTTCCGCACTTTGAAGTCATGTGCTTAGCTAACTGTCAATCTGTAGATGCCCTCGCTGAGAAGATCGCGGATGACATTCGCCATGGCAACTAAAGCACGAGCGCCACACACGGTGCTTACCATTTAATTTGGATGTAGAAGTAGACATAGATTTGTTAGAAAGGGCGCAAGCCCCGGGTTTCGGGTTAGATTGGTTATAGACAAGGCAACTTGTAAGGATATCATCATTGAATTTATAGACTAAGCAGGCTTGGTTAGGGTCTTGGGAAGGTTATAATGGCTTTGGTGGATTGCATTTCACAATCATTAATTATAATCCTTGAACTCTACCTCAACGTGAAGTTCACTGAGCTAGATAGACTATCAACTATTCGCGTTACAATATGTGCTTCCAAGTTCCGACCTAGAGGGAATACCAATACCTACGACTGGCATTAAAAATACAATTACGCTCTCTACTTCAAAAAATTTACGCTTGAGATTGTGCTGTAATAAATAATGTTAAACCCTTATGTAGATCCTCGTATATATACGCCCAAGCACTTTTAACATTACAACCTCCTTAAATGATATTCGAACACTCTACTCCCTCTTGTCCACATCTAAACGCCATAATAATATACCATATAACCCTATATAATAATCATTTTTTGCCCAAGCAAGGTATAGGTATAGGAGTGAGGTAGAGGAATCTCTACTCAAACCCCTCGCCCCCCACCCCCCTTTTTTCTGTTCTTCTGCCCGCTTGCTCATGACTTCTTCACCCCCTCGCTCCCCGGCCTCCAATCCTTCCCCCAACTCCCCCCCTCGCCCCCCAGACTCTCATTAATATCCCAATCGCGCTCGAGGCGCCACTCGTCCTTCCCCTCGATCCCCAGCGCCACCAAATCGCACCCGCGATGCCCCCATTTCTCCGCGAACACCCGACGCCCCGCATCCGCCAGCGTCTGCAGCCCCGCCTCGAACCCCTCCGGGTCGCGGTAGAACGCATCCTCCCGTCCGCCCGTCTGCCTCGTCCGTCGCACCCCCTTGTCCGCCCGCTTCGCGTCCTGCATGCGCTTCGCCACCTCGACCAGGTGCGCGAACGTCTCCCCCTGCTTGTCCACCCACGCCCACATGTCCTGCTCCCGCTTCATCTGCGCCTCCCGATGCGCCTTTTCCGACGCCCAAGCGTCCGTGCCCTTGCCGTCGCTTTCTTTGTCGCCTGCAGCCGCGTACACGGGGTCCCCTCTAAACGTGGCGTGCGCGCCCGGGACCCGGAACAGCGCCGCGATGTCGTCCAGCGCGGTCGACACGTCGAAGACCAGCCCCGCCTCGCTCTGCGGCTGCCAGTACCCCTCCCAATGCAGGCGGAGGTACATGTCGCAGTCCGCGGCGTGGGACGGGATATGCGTGTCCCAGGCGCCGGCGCCGAGGTACGCGTCGCGGTTGACGAGCGCGAGCCGGTCGTACGCGAAGAAATGCGTCGCCCACGGCGGCATGTCCGGCCCGTTCAGATACCGCAGCAGCCCGACGCAGCGCTCGTAGATGGTCGCGTACGGGTCGTGGTCCCAGTCGTGGTCGCGGTCGTTCTTCTTGACGTCCTCGTCGCTGAGCACCAGGACGTCCGCGTGGCTCCACCAGAAGAACGGCCACCGGCGCTCGAACGCCTCGTGCAGGAAGAAGTTCTGCAGCTGCGCGAAGCTCAGCAGGGTGGGCGTCTCGAGGACGTTCACGCCCAGCAGGCCCAGCGCGGTGTAGTTGAGGAAGAAGGGGTTCTGCAGCTCGAGCTCCGCGTGCCGGTTCGCGTGGAATGTCCCCGTGTTCTCAACCACATAGATGTCCTCCGGCGGCCATCCCGCCGCGATATAGCTACTCACGCATTGTAGCAGTAACGGCCAATTTTGCGTGAAGCCGATGAGTAGCGATGTTGCTTCGTCGACGTGTGGGTTGGGAGGCAGGTTGTTTTCGCGAACTGGAGGCGGAGAGTCGGAATGCGTGAGCCAGGGGAAATGATCCCCGATAGGAGCGGACGGTATAGGTTCCGGTTTATACTTCTTGACGTAATTCACCACGTCTTCCGCCTCGTTCATCGGCTTCTGCACGCTCTTTTCATGGATAGCTTGGGCTACATCAGCAGGGCTCTGGTTGGTTTCCTCACCATCGGGACCTTCTTTCCCGCCAATAATGGAAAGGACGTTTCGGTCGCCCCCTGCTGTGGTAGTAAAGAAGTTACCGTTCCTTAGAAGCGATATATTGCTGACAGCTATATTCAACGGCTCCCGGACGATGTAGTATACGAAGAAGGCGGCTAACAGAACAGAGATATAGCGAGCAGCAAGTGGCAAGGCCCTGTTAGATACCGATCGCATCATTGTTAACGTCACTATCTCCTCACCATACAGACTCTGTTAAGCATATTGGTCGGGATATACTCAGGAGCTCTTCAACCGGAGCTCGCTGGATCGTGGTTTGCAGCCGCGTGTCTTGATCGCAATATGATAAGTGAGACGTAAGTAATATAAGAACCCAGCAATGCGTAGGGTAGACGAGCAGGTTTGTTTCAATTAAAGAATCGTAGGATAAAACAATCAAGAGAGGGAGAGGGGGGGGATACCACATGGATAAACAAGAAGGATAAAGATTGAGAAAGTAGAAGAGGCCAACAACATCTTGGTACCGGAACGATTCCTCGCCTCGGCCATGTGTACCACCTCATCATCTCCAAAATATTCATCCTATCTCGCCATATGAGTTCGGTAGTGCTCTTCAGCGAGAGATCATCGCCCCCAAACTCTGCCAAGCCGGGAGATGTTCAATTCGAAACGGTGATTCGCTAGAGCGAGCCAGGATCGACAGGATGGGGTTCAGCCAACTGCGTCCGAGACCCTCTGGTCATACATAGTATATCTTCCCCCGGCCGTAGTCCACGAATCATATTACGTACCTACCTAGGTATCTAATAACGTAACACTCTACCAAAGTAGGATAGGATACCAACGTCGAAACCATATCCTCTCTCATAAGGCCTTACTCATTTCTTCTCGGCGCTGACCTCGACCTTAATGGAACAGGACTAAAGAATTACCAAGCAATCGCGGTAATATAAGCAGGAATAAAAGCTTATCTCTTAGAGTAGCAGATTTAAAAGGGATATATACCAATAGTAGTCCCATAGCTCCAGGAATTTGTACAGAATCGTTTCTGTGAAACAAGCCTCCCCCATGCCATGTGGTCGGTGGTACTGATCTACTCTAGTGAAACCAACTCGACACGTGTATTTTTTGAGAAACGAGTTGCAGTATGGAAAGCAAGACCATGTTCAATCGGTAGCTCTTTGGTCTATACAATTAACGATCGAATTTTTCTCATATTTATCCGGCGTGTCGGTTTTTTTCAGCGCTGTTTCTGTGGAAGGAGACGTAGATCATTGTCGATTATATCTCAATTGGCTGAATTGTACCTAGTAAGGTCTTGTTGATCAAAATCAGGATTGGCTTTATCGAGTAGAGACACGCTGAGACATGGGAAGAAACATCAGTATAATGCATTGTGCATTGACGTTCCGAATCTTTTATGATTAGCTATAACTAGATGTACATGTAATTACTTTACTTTCAGACATAGGGAAACAAGTATCCCCGTGATGAATTGTGATATAGTTCATCTTTTGGTGGACACACCTCGACTGTAGAATCAAGGCTTCGTTGCTAGGTAGATACCTAGGTAGATATGTGCAACAGGTAATTCTCCTCTAGGTTGATAGGGGACAAAATCTTCATGAATAACCGTTATCGAAAACAAACAAAAAAAAGAAGATCAAGGGAAACGATGCCTGAAGTAAACAGCCCGCTAGTAGCGGATAAATGGCATTCGATACAGTAGTTGATTTCCGGCGCCACTTCGCCTCGTCAAGATGATAGTCCAGAACGCCAGGTTTGTTCCTTAAAGCTTTTCGTTATCCTGCTCCATCAAATTTGGTATCCCTTCACGTACAGCACCCGCTGTTATCGTGTATTTCCACTATCACAAACCAGCTTCTTTGGATATGTCTAGTATTATTCCTCACTTACACCACCCATGAAGAAACCGTTCGGTTTACTTGGTTTCTTTCCCAACTTCAAGATGCTCAGCCTCTTTTTGACTGAATTGAACCCTATCCCACCATCATTGGGCCTATCGAAATCCCTTTCGAAGACATCCACTATCTCTCTGCTCTTGCGCGATCGGTCGGTTGCCCAATCGGGTGTGCTTGGGTCAACATTACCGTTATGAGAGGGCTGTACATGCGGGTTTAAGCTGAGATTAGTGTCACTCGATTGAGTGCGGAATATGCTCTTTCGATTGGAAGGATCTTTCCCTCTGCTTGCTTGGCTGTTGGAATCGCTATCGCCTTTATATTGCTTTAGATTCGAGATATCGCCATTAGGCTGCTGCTGAGGCTGGTGTTGGGATTCTTTCTTTTTTCCGCCCAAGAAGCTAAGTCTTGTCCCGCGCTGCTTCATAGAAATTGGCTGAGCTGCTGCTGCCTCCTCTACCACGGCAGCATTTGCCGCTAACATGCCGGCTTTAGTTTCAGGAGACGCATTCTCCGCAACGGGAGATGACCTTTGCCAAGCTGGTGAAGGTGTTGCTGAGGTATTGTCACGAGGCGTTTGAGCTGGCGCAAAAATCGCAATCTCCGGTGCAAATGTAGATAAGAAATCTGGGCTACGTTAGCCAAGGGAAATACACAAGAAGAAAAAAAAATCGGTGACTTACGCTTGTACGAGTCCTCATATCCCTTCAGAAGGACAGGGTTAGAGCTACGAGCAAAGCTGGCTAAGCACCTCTTAATCATGATCGCGTGGTCTACGAGCGCCATCTTGATCGCCTTTTCTTGCTGATCTAGCTCTGGTTCTTCTTCGTCCTCGGACTGCGGGACAGGAAGGAGCTGGCGATAGCATGCGACACTACTCTCTGAGCCAGGGTTAACCGATATATTAATGGCATCTACCATCAATTGGGCCACTTCTTCATCGTCCTCTTCGGCTAACTTCTTCTCCACAGCTGTCATTTCATGCGTCTTCCGTACGATTCGCTCAAGAGCTGTCTCCTTTGCACTTAACCGTATTGTGCGAATATCGACAATCTCACTTCGCCGCAGAATAGTAGGGAAAGGTTCAGCCGTAGTATAAACTGTCTTTTCAGCATAGTGAGTGTCGACAGGTCCATTAGTGCTTCGCTTAGATGATACCGAAAACGTCTGCGCATGAGACGAAAGGAGATAATCGCGGATAGGCTGTGGAACTCTAGCACGCTGAAATACCTGATGGCTCAGATCGCGATGAGGACTAAGAGCAGATATGACTAGGTATTGCCCTTCAACTTCGCTGTCAACGTCGCTGGATGTAAGGATCTGGGCTGCTGGATACTGTTCTTGCATACGGTCCGTAAAGGCTGACGTCCGCTCGGTAGGAGAACCTTCGTACACAAATGCTTTGTCGCGCAGATTCAGGGGAAATCCGAGACCTTTATATATTACCTTGAAGTATTTCGGCACCAACTTGTCGCCCTTTGCCAGCTTTTCGTAAATAGTTGCAATGGCTCTTTCGGTTCTGGCAAGCTTAGCGAAGTCAAAGACGTTATTCTCGTACTGGGCCTGGAGTTCCTTATAGGCTGCAAGTGCGCTGCTCCAAGCCTCCCCATCCTCGAAGTGCTTGATCATATCGAAATAGATTCGTTCCTTTCGTTCGAAATGAGTCTGTTCTGGGAGGTCAGGATCCTGAAGAGCCGGTGTTAACCTTGATGGGTCCCAATCATAGAGATCGGCATGAAGGCGAAGAGCTAGCCCAGCTTCAGTATGGTTCTTAGCATCAAATTGCAGAGTTGCTAGTTGATGGACATATCGGATAAATATCTCCTCTTTCTGCATGTCTCTGAGGAATTCCATGAGTTGAAGGCGGTTGATCAGATGAGACGCTTCACTCGTGATATCTCCGCTATGGACAGCAACTAGAAGGTCTAGAAACTCGGCAATCGTCTTGATCAGGTTTCTGAGAGCAGAGTATAGCGGATCACCTTTACTTAGTGATAATGGTTCGAATCGGTCAAGGAGTTCGCTGATGAAAAGCTTTTGCAAGATACTCTCAGTCATGGTCTTGTCTTTGAAGAATCCATCCAGGCAATCTATCATCTCTGTTTGGATAACAGAGAGATCTTCACTCAGCGTCCATTCACTAACGATCATGGTTTGGAGAACTTCGACGGCCATCCTCCTTAGTCCTTCGTGAACGCTCAGACAGAGCTCTACTATAGGACCAACCAGTGTAGGGACATATTGGACTTGATAACCACCCATCTTTGCTAATCCATACCGAGATCTCTCGTCAGGGCTGGTGTCCCAACCAATAGCTTCCCAGGTACGCCTTAACAATTCAGCACCGTGTTCCCTAACGTCACCGGCAATCTTCCAAACTGCTCTTCGCTTTTGTTCCGAGAAGGTCTCAAGTGCCAAATGACCGCTGCCGACGAGTTTTAGTAGCGTGGAGAAAAACATCCGCCACAACTCCGTATCAAAATCTTCGGCCTCGTCGGGATGAGGCAAGAAGGATTCTAGGAGGATGCTTGCAAGATATTGTAGAGTTCTCATAGTTGACTTATGATGATAGATATATACACTGAGCCAACTTGACGGGAAAGCTTCCCCCTGCAAGATACTTGTATGCACATGGAGTGTATTCTTCAAGAGGATCGTAAGGTCTTCTGCGGCCAGCTCAAGTTGCATTCCGTTAGGCGAGTTCGAAAGAGCAGACAAAATTGCTGATAATTCTATCAAAGCTTCATCAAACTGAACGGCATCTCCGGGTATTTGTTTGCTCGGAAATGGGTATGTTGTTGGGAACAGAAGTGAAAATCGGGTTTTCGGTTTCAGCTCGGTAGCTTGGATTGATAAATAGGAGCTGATAATTTTTGGTATGTAATCAGGAATCTCGGCATTCAAATGATGCACTTGGCTGGCCAATACCGAGCAACAAAGACGAACTTGTTCCTTCCATTGCTCTGTTACCTCGTCCGTCCGACCCCAGTGTGGCGCAATCCACCTGACCGTGTTGGCACAGAGAGCTGATCGTTGTTCTGGACCAGAAAATAGGTCTAGCTTAGAATAGTTGATGATCAAAACTAGCTTGTACAGCACCAGCTTACCCTTGACCAGAGCACATGAATCCATAAAGTCAATAGCTATGTGAAGTATCTCCTCGGTGGTAAGCAATCCAGTGAGTTCGGGTAACCACGTATGAAAATGCTGTACAGCCAATGTCTGGCTTCCCACTAAAACTGGTGCAGTACTTCGCATCATTGAATCGAGCGCCTTAAATATGCTCTGCAAATTTCGAGTAAAGCTGGCCGTGCTGCCAGTAATTCCAATACCAGCTTCCTTGACTTTCTGTTGCCCTCTCGCATGGGTAATGAACTTGAGTATATGGCGTACGACCTTCAGCGTAGCCCTCAATTTCCGAGCAGTCTCCGACTCGGTTGGCTTTGTGAGTAGCCGCGTGAAGGACCTGACAAGACAGGGAGTGGCAAATGGATAATTGAACTTTGTCTCTGCATAGTGATCCACGAGAGGGCCCAAGTTAAACCGGCGGTCGTGGACTATGCCCAGAACTCGGACCAGGGCTGTAAAGACGAGGTCTTCGTACTCATCGTTACCTTGATATTCAACTAAAATACCAAAGAGAGCGTCCAGGACGTCGCTTAGCAACTTAACAACCTCAATCTCAGGCACAAACACGAGTTGCTTCAACAATGATGGGATTTCGTCTCTAGGACCCTCTTTCCATTTCAATAACCCAAGGACTATTCGATCCTGTGAGAATCTGGTACTACAGAGATAGGTTTCAACTCGAAGAGTTGCAAGTGGGCCGGTAACCTCGCTCGAGTCGCTGCGAGCGCTCCAAGGAAGAGATAGATACCCACCCCTGCCAGTTGGCCCAGCCTGCGCAGTTTGTGTGTACTCGTCTAGCTTATAAAGGAGTAGAGAATGCGGACCGTCACCCAGAAAGGCCTGTTGATCCCACAGGGGCATATATGCAATCGCAAAAGGCGTGTTCGGCAGATCGGAAACGGCAAAAACGACATTTGATGTACTAACATCAGCAGGGAGAAGTGAGAGCCGAAGGGTTTGGTCCCAGTGCTCGCCACGCTCTACAGCAAATGAGCGCCAGGTAGTCACTGGCTCCGAATTTGAAGAGGCGTATATACAATCTTCGATTCGCTCTCCTGATTGTCGCCGAACTTCTAAGGAGACTATAAGATTTCCACCGTGCATATTGCTAGATATAGCCGTCGCACTAGCCCCGAAACGCGAGATCAGGTTCTGACGGGCCAAAAGAGCTTCTGTAACGGTGACGTAGATGTCAGACCGAGGTTTTGTCGGGGCGCCGGAGAATCCCATCTTGCTGGTTTTGCTAATTCCAGCAAGTAGAGTAGGAGTTGCTTTGATAAGGGCATCTGCGTCGGGGCTGTTGAAAGATTTGAGGTGAATTTGTAATCGCTCTGCCCTCCTGGACTTTTCGTAGTGGCCTGATTTGCTTTCCAGAAGGTCACGAACCAGCCCGTCCCAGCCCTCAGCGCTGTCATACTTCTCAGTGGGGAACCTCGCGGATGGCGACCAGACTGTAAGGACGTGCTCTGACTCTTCATCCTGTTTCATGATCGAGTTCAAACTAAGCACACCCATGCCCACCATTCTTTCCGCTAGCATCTGCGATGGTAGCGGCCCGTCTATGGATGGGCGTCCTGCCCTCGAGCCGGCAGTACTTGGAGGCATCGTCCCATCTCTGCTCTCGAGATTGTCCGTCGGAGGCCTGTCCTCCGGTTGTTCAGATAAAGCATCAAGTTTTGTTCCCCCTCTAGAGAACGCAGATCTCGTAGTTCCCCACATCAGACTTCTCCTAGAAGGTTTACCACCACTAGAGGAGGAGGACGGTTTACTATTTGAGAACGGCGTATTGGGTTGGCCAAATGAACCTGACCTCGAAACAGGCTTATTCGATATTACCTGTTGTGGAGAGCGCACTTTGACAATTAGGTACAGTTCTGAGTCGGCGGATGGTCCATCGCCAATGTCAGCGGAAGTCAAATCCGTAAATAAGGTACGCATCTGCGGATTTCTGTTCAAATAGCCCATCGTACCACCTGATGGAACCTCAATTATGTAGCTTTCCGAGAGCCTGGTTAGGGTTCCTCCGATCGATTTACTAACGAGGTAAAGAACCAACGTTGTGGGCTCGTTAGAAGAACCGACGAAGCTCTTAATATCAACCATTAGGTGGTGTAACGCGGATAATTCAACTTGCGGCTGCGGTGGCTCGTCTAATAAACTCATGATCGACTGTAACTTGGTGATCTCCACAACCGAATCGTCGCCAGTCAGGATTCTTCCTCTTGCATTGGGATCCCGCACAATGACCTCTCCTCCGCACAATTTATTCCCCCTGACCAGATCCCACACCGTTTTTTCCCTCAATGCATTATACTCTCGAGTTGTGAGAAGGTTATGTAAAAATTGTCTCCTTGACAGGTCCAGGGTTTGTATTAGCTGGGAAACTTTGTCCAGCTTAGTATACTGCCTTGTAAGCAATAACTCGTGGAAATTAGTCGAGTGCCATTCGCGTAGGCACGACGCGATTTCGTCTACCAGAGGTTCCATTGTAGAAGTAGACGTCTCATCCCCTAACCTAAGCATTGGTACCGGCGCGGCTGGCTTAGGTGCACCAGGTTCGCGTATTCCCAGCTCGGGGGCACAACCAAGGGCACCACCGAACATGGCGTCGTTCGATCTAAGCAACCTATTCCCATGTTCGATATCTCTGAAGTAGGACTTCCTCATGCTCACGCCCATTCCACTCTTGCCAGAGTCGCTCCCGATAGGTGGCGCATCATCGTCCCCTTGGTAATTACTGCTATTATCCGAATTTCCGTCTCCATTATCCAACACCTCACGTATCTCAACACATGTGCGTGGGAAGATGCCGGAAAAAACACGAGCTTCGAGAGGCTGGCCCCTGACGGATGTCAAGCCAGCCAGAAGCGAGGGAGGCGCTAGCAGATATCCCCGCAGCCATTGACCGTCCGAGGTCTCTTCGATAATATATAGATCATCGCCAATCTCTAGAGGGAGTTCGTTTTCGTTCTTGGTCTCGAAGGGATAGGTCGCGACGGCGAAGGCGATACGGGGCAAAGGTTGCCAGGGCATTGAGGCGGTTAGTCGCACCGTAACTGCGGATCGGTCAACCGCATGGGACGGGCAGAGAAGGATTTAGGATCCGATCCTAGCTTCTCACGCGGGTACGTACGGACAACGACGAGTGGAAACTGGGGCAATTCATTCACTTAAAAGACAGTGGGCGACAAGTGAACCAGATAACCAGATAGGAGCTCTTGTCGCAGGTAGGTTTAAGAACAAAAGAGTGACGAAGACGATGGGTTAGTTCGTTTCATGAGACGGTTGGTATATGGTTATTTTGGATTTGGATTTGGATCGGTTGTCGCAAATCTTGATGTGGCTGGTTGGTTGTATGGGCTTGGTGCTAGGGAGCCCGGGAGAAGTTCAAGTTAGGAAAGTATTAGAAGATTGTAATAGATCAAAAAGATGATAGAAGAGGATGGGGGTATCAAAGATCAAACAAATGAAATTGTCGCTGACGAAGGAAAGTAATTGCTCGGATACTCGAAGCTTGCAAGTTAAGACGAAGGCCAGTAGAAGGTTAAAAAAAAGAGGGTATTCACACAATAGGGTACCGGGATTGATCCCTCGTATAAGCAGTAAAGAACTTTGATACTGAATAGAGAAACAAAGTTTTGAGTCTTGACAAGGGGGGGAGGCTTGAATTCGGGTACGGTAAGGTCACAAGCTTCAGCCTTCACCATCTCATCGACATAGTATACATTTTGAACGGTACCTTGCAAAATTGCGATAGAACGGACCAACAAGAGGTTGTTGCGATTACACTAGGGAAAATGACAAGGGGGGGATTTTTAGGAAACAGAAAATAAAAAAAAAAATAAAAAAAATTGGCCCGCTTATCCCCTAGCTCTCTGCGCCTCTAACTCTAGTAGGTACTATCTAGATAGGAGGTACCTATACGTTAGGTACTTGAAGAGACAAACACAAAAAAGGACATTGCTTGCAGGAGAATTGAGCTGGGTATTGGGGAAAGCAGCACTGAGACTTGGGGAGACTTCATCATCCAATTGGGCAATTGAGCACTTAGATCCTTCCCGGTAGAGTGCTACTCAAGCTTACTTATACCCAAGTAGATTAGCTCAAACGCGGACGTTTTAGTGTAGAACGTTTCACCGTTGTATTGTACAGCACTAACGACATATAGCGCGTGTAGGATAGTCTGCCCTGCTGTTGTTTCCCCTTTCGAATTTAGAGCGGGTCAAGGCTCCACATGGCACATTAAACTGACAGTGCGACGGGGAGGGGGATCGTCACCATTAACTCTCCACTAATCAACAATTTATTATTAAGAGGTAGGTAATTACCTAGCAACCAGAAAATCACAAGTCCACCTTCAATATGTTGTCGAGATGTGTCGCACAGCTGCAGTACCACTCTTACACGACCTTCATTTAGAACTTACAGGTTCAAGGCTTGGCAACCATATGGAGATTTATCAGAGGCGTACCAGGTACCTAAGGTATTCGAATTCAAATTTCCTTCCCGTATCTTTCGTCACTTTTATCCTCTTTTCATCTAATGTTACCTAATGTCTCTTAACATTATTTACATTATTTCTCGCCGTCTAACCCCCCTTTCTGGAGCATTTTAACTCTGGACCGGACACCCTCCACAGGACACTTCGCCAACCACCTGCACGTATTTTTAGCTCAAGGTGTGTTTGATTCCAAATGTGCAGAAACATTCTCGGTCCGAGTAAGAAGAGTTGAACATGATTCATATATTTCTTCCTTTCTTTCCAAAGTTCAATGGTCCAGTCTAGTACGTCTATACCTACTGCTAACCCATCATCCTACCTAATTTCGTTATATCAGTTACTCAATAGGCAAAAGGACAATTGTCCCTTAGCCTATATTATCTTGATTCTTGTCATTTCATAAAATCGAAAGTCATATTCAACTACGAATCAGTGCTCAGTCATCATCAGCATTCCATCGCACAGTTCGATTCGATCTAACATCATTACACCCATTTCCCCGGAAGATATCATATTTCTTTAGTATCAGGTTATCGCCTTATATTAAGCACGACGTTTCGTACGTAGGAAACCCACGTAGAAGCTTCAAGCCATCATTCAAACTACATCTAATACAGAGAATCCGACAGTTTCTACTTTTCACAGCACGTCCCATCCGTAGATATAGGTAAAATGTCCTCTCAGGAGCAATTAACTTTTCGAAATGACCGATAGGCTTTTCCACGGTTCGTGCACATACCGATAGGTGCATGGTTTTACGGGGAAGGATAACAACTATACATGAGGCTCGACTGCCTCCCAGGCTACTGCAGGCATGTATGGCCCCGTGTTTCCTTGCATTAGTGTACAAGCCGATTTTCTTATGCCATCTTAACTACATGAGCTTAGCAAACAAATTAGCTCACGATATCACGACGTGAGACGAAATCTGCTAAGGCAAGACAGGTCCGTAAAATAATATGAATGAACACACTCCATTCCTTATATACTTTGAGTATTGAATCCTCTCATAAAGGCAAGAGGTTCAAATTCAGTCTCCATAATATCCCCGCGGTCACAGGAAAAATGACAGATACATAAGAGATCGTTATTAAAGAGTGTAAAAGTGCGCTTAAACGAATCGCACGCGAACCACCAGGTATAAGTATCCATTTCCTAAACTCTCAAATACCCGTCTCAATAGTCCCATCCCATCCAGTACTGGTGGAAGCATAGCCGGAGTCCGAATTTTCATCGAAAAGGGAACAATTGTTAGAATTATGAAAGTCAAATTGTATGTCAATGTCACTAAACGCGCCGATTGGAATTGGAAACGACGTAGTAGGGTCAAACAGAGACGAGAAATCCAACAAGGAGTCACCATTTTCGTTACTGGTCGGAGCAGGTTGTTCCCTTGCAGCAGGGGAGCCGGGCGTACGAGCCCTTGGCGTCGCAGCAGGAGTTGCCGATGCCGACCGATCATTCTGTGTGAGGTCTTTAAAGAATTCGAACAGCCCATCGCGAATGATATCAGGAAGACCGACAAGTATATCGACCTGTACTTTCTCGAATGACCTTTCCACTTTCTTCTGTACGTACTTAGGCAACTCTTTCTTAAGTCGCGTCTCAACCTTTTTCCATTCAGCGCGTTTGGAGAATCCTAGGGAGTCATTGCCGTCATAATCTATCAGGTGGTTAGTATTTTCATATTACTCAACGTCTCGGAATTCACTTACAGGGAGTTGGCATTGCGTTAAGGTTAGCGTTTGGAAACAGGATCTTGTAAATTTCTGCCCATCTCTGCTCATCAGTCATGCCGGGGCAGTTCTTCCTTCGCACTTTTAACTTTGCTTCGGTGACCTCGTCGATACCTTGAAGTACTAGAACAATATCTAATATCTTGCAAGGCACGAGAGCTCGGATATGATCAGCTAGATCCTTGCCGTCATCGAAGGAATCGTAGCATCTAGGGCAAACATGTTTCGGCAGTCGATGAGCGCGGTACAGATGCTCCCTACTCAGACTGTCAATACGGCAATCCGTTTATCATTCAATGGTTCAGAGATACCTACTTTAAGCGATGAAGCGAGGTCCAGCCCGGTCCCGCACAGCTTCGATGCTTTCTATGCGCCTTTGGGTCATTTTTGTAAAAAGGGCATGCGAACTTTCGCTCTGACTCTACATCTTTCTTCGCGCGCTTACTGTCCCCTCTATCCGGATCGTCTTCATCGCCCCCGGCTGAAGAATTGTCCTGGTCATCTCCACCCAATCGACGTTTCGTTCGAGTTGAAGGGCCTGATTGACCCTGCCCAGAACTACTACTTCCGGAATTGGTTTCCGTAGAACTACCGGTGGAGCTACCCGAAGCTTCGGACGCTTCACATGCATCTTGTCTCTGTTAGCATCTCATACGAATTTAACAGATTAATTTCTTAGAAAATATGGAAGGTTCAAGTGAACGAGAAAGACTTGTCACGACATACTATAGGTAATGGTTAGCCCATATCAAAGATGACCTAAAGACGAAACTCAACCACTACCAAAAAAAAAAAAGAAGAAGAAAGATCAGTCTCATACTGACCAGGAAATAATGGCGAGCTTCTTATCAAACCAGCGGTTGAACTTAGCCATTACAATAGCAACAGCCTCTTGCTTCTTAATGGCCACGTACTGATCAGGCGTCAGTCCTCTCTCACTCTCGTGGTTGAGTTGACAATGGCTGAGTTCTCGAGCAGCGCGTGCCTGCTTTTCACCCTCCATAAGACCGACTGCTCGAGAATCCTGCTGTGATAATTCGCCAGTATGATACCCCTCGTGATGTATACTGATTTCTTCCCTGTATACACTAAGCTCGCCCAGGCATTTCTCGGAGTCTAGGTCAACAGATCTAGTATCGTTAACTATAAGCGAGTGCCCAGCTAGGGTATAGTCGGGACAAGCTATTCTACTCTGCTAGAGCGACGGTAAGAACAATTTCATTTTTTACTCTGTGGGAGCCTTACCGAGTCACCGGCGCTTGTCGGTCCTGGTATCTGCAGCTTCGTAAAGTCACTCCTGGATGATGAGGTCAACTTCTTGACCATGCTTCGCTTGAGGCGATGTTCACGACGGCAGTTGATCCGCTCCCACTGGGCCACGATTTTCGCTTTGGTCGTGTTCCAAGTATGTTCAAAGGAGTCAAGGTAATTCTTCTGGAAGTGACGGTTCGGTTTTACCCGCCCGATAGCCAAGTTGTGAGTATGAGGAGATTCGTGCAACTGACGGTAGCGATATTGGTAGCGATAATAGTAAGGAACAGAGCTCGCTGGGAAAATGTCGTGAGCAGTCAATAGATCACGGGGTCTTTGAAGCATCTCTCCTAGATATAATGCGGAGTCATCACGGAGGTGACGATATAATAGTCACTTATAAGCAGCATTTATTGACAACTGAGGGACTGAATTAAATGAAGTATAATACCAGAATAGCTTTCCTCGTGTTCCAAATATCAGGATGTGTTAACTTCGGCTGGAATAAGAAGATTTGATATTCACGAAGTAGAATTGCTATATTTCGTTGATCCCGCCCAGCCAGAATACCAACATTTATACAAGGCCGGTTTTGCGCAACGGCGCAAAACGAGGTGGAGATATGCGCAAAGCTGACAATCTACCAATCAGGCACGCTGACGTGCTCGATGCTGATTGCGTAGGATACCCTCGGAAGCGCAAGCACTATAGGACCTGTCGGCATTGTGTGTAGTACGCCTTCGCGTTATCCGACACATGGGGCACTGAGGCCCTGAGGCCCTAACATCGCGAAGTTGTAACCTCGTGCATTACCCAGAGAACGCCCGCGTTCGCGCGGATCATAACCAACCCCATATCCCGCCTTTATATAAGTTATAACTCGCAAGCGATGTAGATACCATGAGCATTGACTTAGTATGTCTATCGCGCCTCAGCGCGCGGTAAAGTGGCGATCCATATAATGACGGTGAAAGCCATGCCAGTATAGTGAGTCTTCGTAGACAAACTCAACCTGCAATCATTAGAGCAATCAGAACTGGAAAAGTCCTTCGAGTGTATAGAGATTCCTATTTTGGTCAACCATTCAGACACCCCAAATTACACTATTACCTTCTCGCAGGATACCTCCTTCGTATCCTGCCAAGCTTTCCACCCGATACAAGCAGATAAAGGTCGGGGTTCACCATGTCTCAAGCCACAAGCTCGTCAAACCCATCTCCGAGCAACCTGTGAGTACCTAACCTAACAGACTTGTCCGTCTCGGTCTGGTCGCAAGGCCCCCTTTTTTGCTGACACAACGGGCGCACCAGAAGCCGACGGCCATCGTCCGAGATGATGAGATACTACCTCGCCAGTCGGCCCAGCACGACGACGGACAGACTTGTCCAGGGGAATGTCATGTCGGACGGAGACCTCATGGATAGCTTCAAGAGGAAGGAAATCCAGATGGAAGCGCTGGTAAAGCTGGCCAAAGGGCAGGGTTCGTCTAAGTCGACTTAGCCGGACAACACGGAAGGTTGCTGGATAATTGTACGTATAACTGCCTGGGGATAAAGCCAAAGAAAATAAAACGCTTCAAGAGGAGAACGTAATAAGAATATAGGAGAAGGGATAGAAGAATATGGGAGCATAAGAGCAGGCGTTAATATTAATGTTTTTGATTCCCCAGGTTTATTCTTAGACTTGCATCCGCGTTCAAGCATGCATCTGCCACACTGGCCCTCCCCTTTTTTTTCTCCTCCACGAATCCATCCGTCCATCCATCAAAATAAAAATCCAATCCTTTCTTTCCATAATCCCAGCCACCAGTACTTCATTCGCTGTTACGAGAGCGGGAGCGTTTAGTAGACGGAGTCGGGGGAACGTGTCAGGCAGTTATTTGCATCGAATTCTCCAACCAATGGCTCTCGAGCCCCCACGGTGATGCGGCGCGAACATTGGAGGAACCAAGCTTTTGAATGCTGCTTCGGCGATCAATAGGAACCGAGGGGTGGAAATCCCATGACACGCTTCCGCTAATCGTCGCAGGTGTTTGCTTCGTGCTCGATGGACTTATTGATCCGGTGCTGCTTGTACTGGTGGTGATAGGTTACATGTCCACGCGCGCTATTCTTTACTCATTAGAGGCCGGGTTTCCTTCGAAAACATACTAGTTTCTCGCAGAGCGTATAGTGAAGGCATGTTTTAGAAATCTATGCGCACTCTTACGTTGGACAGGAGTAGCTTAGTACCTCCTCAGGTAAAGGACCGAACTGTCTAACCCAGAGCACTATCCGACTTATCATGAAGCCCAGGAGAATATCGAGGACGACAGTGATTTAAATAAGCTTTGTTGAGTTTAATATAGTTTGGTTGCTTATTCAATGGCAACAGCTACAGGTTGCTGTCTCCTAATGGTAGCTCTAATAAGCCATACAGCTAGCTAGCTCAACTATTTATAAGCTGTGCCATGCGAAATGATGCTCAAAACGTGCTACCGGTCCGGGCCTGTTAGTCAAAATATGTATAAATGCATCAAGAAAATGAAATGTGTCAGTTTCTCTCACTCTTGTCGCTTTGCTCTTCAACCCCATATATCGATAATTGTCTACCATACCTACATCTGAGAGAAGATATAGCTAAATCCTACCTAGGGTAGGTACCTAAGGTAGCCATGGGCCTCGAGGTTTGAGACATGACAACGTTGCAATCTTCCCAACGCGATTACCTAGAATTATTCAAAGCTATCATATATGTTGGGGTATTCTACGTCAAGGACAAGGAAAGAAAAGGTCGACTGAGTCCTGTAGTTAGGGTACGAAGACCCCGCGATGGGATTGTAGATCGAAGCAAGCCAAGGCTTAGAAGGGATGATAATGTGATAGGTTTGGCGTGGAAAGCCATTTTAAATGTTCTACGTTGCAATGTTGGAAGCGTATACCATAAAATTTTGGTAGTCATTCATAGTTCTAATAATCACTTTGCTGTTCTTTGGATACACATCCACTGTTTACACCTTCTCGCCCTCTATCTGGTATCGCGACTAAATATCAGTTTTGCCTTACGAACCACCAGGTCCACCAAGTAGAGCAAACCTCCGCACGATTCCTGGTCCATATTCTTGATACTGTACCAAGTTAGCTTTCAGTAACTTATTATTTTAAGATAAAGGAGAATCTTACCTCGGCCTTGGTGTGGCAATACGATCGGAACTCGGGAGTTTGTCCTAGCAAACTACCACCAAACCACGGACCGTGCCGTTGTCGCTTGTGCGTAATGACTTGCACCTCCAAGCCACCGCTCTTTGCTCCTCCGCTGCGAACCTCGCTGGCTCGAATTCGAGCGTCAACTAAGTGCTTGATATCGCGTTGCAATCTTCGTCCAAAATCCTTGTATAACGTGCTACCTCCTGATAAGACAATGTTCTTGTATAGTCCTCGTCGAACATCGATCGGACTGGATTGGATGACGCCGTCAACGACAACGGGGAGTGGCGTAAGGAAGTCGGAAGAGTAGATTTCGGGATTGAAGAATATTTCAGGAGCAAGGAACCGCTCGTACCCCACGTCGACTGTGACCTGGCGACCACCCGGTTGTGAAACGACGTGCTTGGCAAATCGACTACGATCCCGGTCGAACTTCGAAAACTCCTTGACAATATCGGGACACACGTAACAGTATTCTTCTTTGATTTCTTGGGCTGTCTTCAACGAGCTATCGGGCTCTCCTCGATCACGTAGGAGAGATTGGACGAAGTAAGTAATGTCTCGACCGGCGATCGGAATGGATTTAATCGAGGACCCAATCACGTAACCTTCAGCAACGGGAATGACGTGCGTGACACCATCACCGGAGTCGATAACGGTACCCGTAAGGGATCGATCTGACACTTTCGCCGATGTCCAAGATGCAGCAAGGGCGAGGACAGCTTGGACAGCGATATAGAGACCGGCACAATTGAATGATTCGAAGAAGATTTCGGCCGTGTTCTCTCGGTTTTCGGGAGGGTTCAAAGGCTGTAACGCGTTAGCGGGTATTCTCGGTGGTAGGACTGGCGGTGGCTTCGTACGGGTTCGGTTAACAGGAAATAGTGGTCTTCAGGCTCGACGCGGAGATATTTGAAGATAGAGTTGGACCAAAATCTTTCCATGTGATCCTAAGTATGATGTATCAGTATCGAACTCGATGATGAGTAGGTCCGGGGCTTATACCCAGTTCTCTATTTGACCGTGTCGGATTGGGTAGTGTAAACCATAACCTGTCCGAATGTCAGCAACACAACCGTATAGAGCTTTTATTGATCGAATATCGAATACTAACCAGGACCGCTCGCAGCAGCAATTGCTTCATCGCCGATAAAGAAATCTAGGTCTTCGGTACCCCTTTTCGTCGAGAGATGGCCGGCGGGACCAGCACCCCCTGTGAGGAAAGACGGCTTGTTTGCTACGGCCGGTCGTCCGGAACCCGTTCCACCACTACCAGCTGCTCCTCCCTTCGTAGCTATCGCGGTTGGAAAAACGAATGAGGGAGAGTCGTTACCGGCGAAACCTATCGTCGTAAAGAAGCGGTGGGTTAGAAGATGGTTATTGAAAGGGTATATAGCGGTGTATTCCGTCAGCATAAGAAGCTAGCTTACCAAGTTTAGAGAATCCCGTGCCGCTATTTTCAAAAGTCAAGTTAGCATTACTCTTCCCCGTATTCTGAGATCTTTAGGGGGCATCAAATAAGCTCCTGATTGCGGGGTTACAAGTACATACTTGTCCATGACAACGGCAGGGGTTTGGTTCGCCATTTTGAAGGGATAGAGGCTACACAAGCTTCTTAGAGAGTTAAATCAAAGCTCGGCGCAGTAGAAGGGAAAGAAGCGTTGTCGTGGTGGTGAAACAACCCGCGGGGAAGCTGTTGAAGTTGGTTGGCGATGATGTAGGCTGGAGAGTTGAAATTACGTGCCTGGGCCTATCGTGAAGTTAGGTTGCTAGGTATAGTGTGGCTGTGCGGGAACAAGCTGGAGAGGTGGGGCCTACACAACCCAGCTATAAATGCGGCTGAGAACTTCAGCAGTGATGTATGTACTGGGTACCTAAGGTAAGGTTAGGTACAACTTGCACTAAGCCTAACTCTAAATTATCCCTTACCTGCGTGCCATAATTTTGCATGTCGGTACCTTAGGTACCTCCTAATATTAGGTAGAAGGAGGTGAATCGAATTGATCTGATCATACTACTTTCAAGATATCAATATTTCATTTAGTTTATCTCAAGTTGTATTCATATTTAATAAGTTCATGATATTTTATAGAAGACAACCTAATCTTTACACAATATCGTCATAAGAACATAACGCCTCAAGTACAACTAAAATCTACCTAACCTTAGGTACCTAGGTAAGTACCTAAGAAAAATGGAAGTTTCGGGAGTTGCCATAGGTACCTCTAACTTGTACCTCAATAGGTACACATGTCAAAGCTGCCAGGCCTATAAGGCAATGCCATATCAACTGAAGAAGGCACGACATCTATATCAGCATCTTCTAGACTTTAGAGGTAAGTGCACATTGACTTATAATCATTTTATATCGAAGAGGATTGCGGTAGCTACCCTCAGTTTCTTTTAATTCATACTTACCCTCATTGAAGGTTCCAGCTTCCAGCATCCAAGAACTATCACATACGATATTGCCCAAATATCTCCTTCGCTACCTACATCTAAGTAAATAGATTTATCATAGAAGCATCTACTCCTAACTTTCACATATTTTTCATCCACTCCTCGTTTTCATTCCCTTTAAATCCCCCTACTTGTTTTACTCTTATGCGCTCCATCAACATCATATCTCGTCCATGCGGTATATGTCTTTCGTTGCTTCTTAGCACTGTTTACCCGGTATTGATTCCTCTACTTTGACCTCCAGCCTACCTCATCGTTTGGCACACCGTCTCGATACCCAGGTCTCCGACTCCCTCTATCTTCATTAGCTTTAGCCTATCTTCTAGGTCTCACCGACATTGCCTCGTGTAAGAAGCATTATTCTGAATACTTGCGCAGTTTTTTTTAGTTTTTTTGTATTGTCCCGGACGTTTAAATCCTCTAACATCCCTCCTTAGGGTCATGAGCTTGGACATCCCACTACCATCCTATAGCTTGCTAACCACGAATGCTCTTGCTGGAATAACAACTGATCGAATTTTTCCATCTTTGCGTAAGAAGAAGTTGGCCGATAGGATTTTAGTTCTCTAAGCGAATTCGGTATATTTCACTATAAGCCTCGATCCTATATTGAGCATGGAACCTGGCGATTATCAAGATAGAGCTGTCCCGTCTTGGCATGAGAATAATACTGAACAGGACGACATTATTGATGGACTACCCTGGGCCACCGAACATGCAAAAATTCCCACCTCGTTAGAAGAGGATGGCAGCATCTTTTCGATGGATGGAGCAATGGAGCGCTGGGGAAAACGTAAAAAACCACCGGTGTCAGCTATATTTATTCATGCCGGGGCTGGATACCACAGCGTTGCCAATGAAAGCCTACATCTAGAAGCCTGCAATGAGTAAGCGCTTTGAAGATTCTATTCAGTGTTGGGGCAATCCATTTTAACATCACATAGAGCTGCACGTCTGAGCATAAAACTCCTTCGTTCAGGCCATTCGGCTATCGATGCTGTTGAGGCTGCTATCAAATCCCTCGAAGACAAGGAGATCACCAATGCAGGCTACGGAAGCAACTTGGCAATAGATGGGACGGTAGAGTGTGATGCTACTTTGGTTGACCATTTCGGTCGCAGCGGAGCGTGCGGTGCAGTTCCTAGTAAGTTGATATACAATAACTTGCGATGTGGTTTGCACTTGCTTACAAGCTTTTTTTCGCAGATATCAAGAATCCAATCTCCTTAGCCAAGATGATTCTCTTGTCTAGTAATAAGCCCCTTTCTTTGCGTCGTGTTCCCCCGAACTTGCTCATTGGGGAGGGCGCCAAGGAATTTGCACGGGAATCAGGTATGCATTTGGTTCCCAATCAATGGCTCGTATCAAGGAATGCTAGAGACCGCTATATCAGGTGGCAGGAAGACATGAGGCGTGCGGAAGGCAAATCATTTTTGTCTCCATCACCTGGCGCATACGAGCAAGCTGTCGACGATCATAGCAATGAAATTGGCCAGAACGGACACCCGGACCATATGACTGCTATACTGACAGGAACTTGGAATGAAGGGCAGCCAGACTCCCCAGCTTCACCTGCTTCGCCGTGGGATAATGAGCCGCATGTGGTAATAAAAACTGGCCTTGAGCGCGGTCCATTTCACTTCCCGGCATTGGCTTCAAGCTCAAAAACTGCGGCTGGAGAAATATCATCTCTCACTCCGAAACGACCACGATTTAGTCCCCGCCCAAGTAGTGAATCTCTGAAGTCGGATCCCAGCATATCGATATCGAACGGCGTAATTGGAGCAGCTGCTCACGATGGCGGTGGTTCAGATGTTCCTATAGAACCCTTCATGCCTAAAGCCGAACAAGGTCTTACCACTACGGCTGCGCTCTATCCCGACGAGCGTCCACGTTTCAAGGCCGTTGATCGTCAAAAGAAAAGTGATAAAGATGTCGATAAAATCACTGATACAGTAGGCGCGATTGCAATCGACATGTCTGGCAAAATTGCTGCAGGGTCATCTTCAGGTGGCATCGGTATGAAACATCGAGGACGAATTGGCCCGGCAGCCTTGGTAGGGGTTGGGACAGCCGTGGTTCCGATAGATGAAAGGGATCAAGATGGTATTGCTGTCGCTGCTGTAACCAGCGGCACGGGAGAGCATATGGCTACTACTATGGCGTCGCAAAAATGTGCCGAGCGAATTTACCAAGGTACACGTCGTGGGCCAGGTGGAAAAGATGTAGCCGAGGATGACGAGAGCTCCATTCTCGAAGCCTTTATTGCTAATGATTTCCAGGAACATCCGGGTGTCAAATATTCTTCGTCAGCTGGAGCCATTGGCGTCATGGCCGTAAAGAAGGCCCCAATGGGCTACTATTTATACTTCGCGCACAATACTGACTCTTTTGCTGTAGCCTCTATGGGCTCTAATGATATTCAGCCATCTTGCGTCATGTCGCGCGTCAAGGAAGGAAGTTCTGGACTCGGTCGTATTGCTCAAGGTGGTCGTAAAATTCACGTCTAGACTGGCTTGCTGGCTTTGCCAGAACGTTGATATCCGCTTTATAAGACTGGTTGTATTAACTCGGAGGCTCTTAGCAGGGGCTGTCGGTTTTCCTTCACCTCATACTCGCCCTCTCACCTATACTCAGTCTGATTATACTTCTAACCTTTACGCTATCCTTATTACCCATACACCTAAGCTCAAAACGAATTGCGAATTGTGGTGCACCGGAACCGGCGTTTTCGAGATACCCCCGGATGCTACTTTCATCCTAACCGCAAATACTTCGGTCTTGTCCTCGAAGGAATCATTGTATTCAAGTCAGTAGTACATAGTAACTCTCAAATTGCAGCTGAGCCAGGACTAGAAAGAAAAAAATAAACGGGAACCCTTGGATCCAAACGACTGCATGGATAATAGAGACAGAGCAAACAAATCACTTGGGAAGCATAGACTATATGAGATCTAGAAATTCAAAGCACGCCCAAGTTGACTGTCTCATCACTATACCTAATGCTTCTGAATTCGTGATTTTTTTTATTCCATGCCTGACATAACTCCTTGTATGCAAACTCCAACCCCACTGATATAACCAGACCGGTTTTCCATGTAAAGACGACGACGATGATGATTTGGGTATTGGTACAATAGATAAGACTCTCGATCCCTCTCCTCTCCCCTCCCCTCTCCCCTCCTTCACTATGTAGGAACAGGTGTCCCTGTAGCACTGGCCGTGTCCTCGCTAGCCCCCGTACCATTAGCGCGAATCTTCCTCTTCTTCTTCTTGCGCGGGGCGACGGCGGGCTTCGCGCCGTAGCTGCCGAGGGCGAGCTTGGTGCCGCAGGTCAGGCACTCGGCGCCGTCGGGCACGGCGCAGAAGATGCTGAGGCAGATGCTGCAGACGAAGCCGGTGTCGACGACGTTGCGGTGGCAGAAGCAGGCGGCGCGGAAGTCGACGGAGTCCTGGGTCGGGGTGACGAGGGCCCGGCGGGCGTCGGCGTCGGCGAGGAAGCCGAACATGAGGTACGAGAGCAGGCCGCGCGGGTTGCCGGCGGCGGACAGGAAGGTGCCGCCCGTGATAAAGGCCGCCTGCTGCAGGAAGGTGGGGGCGCCGTACAGCGAGAGCGTGTCGACGGGGATGCGCGCGTGCGAGGCCGCGAAGACGGCGTTCATCGTCGGGATGTACTGCGCGGGCTCCGAGTCCGAGACCGAGAGGACCAGGATGCGCGAGTGCAGGGTCGCGGCGCCCGCGTCGGCGGGAGAGGGGGAGGAGCCGCCGCCGCCGCTACTGGCCATGGCTGTGGAGGTCGGGTTCGCGGGGTCGGAGGACGTCTTGGCCGGCTCGAGGGCATGGCGCATCTTGTTGATGTAAGAGAGGGCCAGGGTGAGGGCGCCGGATACGAGGGTGGTGGGGTTGAGGTCGGAAGGCGAGGTGCTGTCGATGAGGGAGCGGAGGGAAGTCAGGATGGAGGTCTCGATCTGGGCGAACAAAGGGAACTTGTTCGCGGAACCGCCGAGTTCTGCCGAGACACCGCCGTCCTGCTGTCGCCCGTCGACGTCGGGCATATCGACGTCACCGTTAGCGCGCGAGGGCGCGGCCCGGAAGTCGGGGTTGGGGGACTTGGGGTACAGCCAGACGGCGCGGTTTGGGTGCGCCGCGAGTATAGCGACATGGTTGTCGTTGCCGAATGCGAGGTGAGCGTTGACGAAGACGAGCAGGTTGGCTAGGGCTTTGGAGATGGGAAGGAGGTCGGCGATAGCGGCCCAGGCGCGCGGGTTCGTGTCGACTACGATGGTGAGGAGAGAAGGTATTTGGCTGGCGGTAGAAGCTGGCTCGCTGTAGTGAGCGGAGGCGTCGATGCGGTTCATCGTGCCGTCTTTGTTGTTTCAACTGATCTCCGGGGAAGGAGAGCCTTTACGGCATGAGAATAAGTAAGTACCTAGAAAGGGGCTCACGGGCCTCTTTCTTTTACGGAGGTGGACTTTTATTATCTTTTTTCTTGTCAGACAGGTAAGCTTTTTGATTCTCAGGTTTGATTTTTATAAGTTGAATGGGGATTCATCAGTAGGTAATTAATAATGATAGTGGTGTTGCTCAATACTTCAATTGGAATTGTTAGGTATGGAGAAGGTGAGTATCGATAGGATAAGCATTGAATTTCCGGACTGACATGATGATTGTTGATAACGAATCGATAAGAGCTGAGAGCAGCAGCTAGTGTTGCCTAACCTGGTTACATGTATCTTCACCGAGCTCACCTTGCGCGGCATGCCAGACCCACTCAAAGCTGTACCACAGCACGCGCCTGCGTTTCAATGCCGTGCCAAGCCGGGGAAGATATCACAGAGCCCGGATACCTCTGGAAGCTCACATGACTAAAAATACGTACTTACGTAAGGGTACCTAGGTACGTCAACAGCTATCTTAGAGTTACCTAGGTACATGTAGACGTCATTGTTGAGCAGATCTTACGGAACCCCTGCAGCCACTTTATCAGGCACAAACCATCCTCTGATAAACCTTATTGGCGTCTCTTGCCTAGGTCCGTCTACAAACCTTTAGCGGGGTTATTTCAGTGTCAAACGAAGCACCTTTTACATAGTAGGTCGATTTGAATTTCCACTTCGTCCCGGTGAAATATCAAATATCAACAACTTTTCTAATACGACAACCTAACATAAGTTCTTAACGTCCGAGTTATTATTATGCTCTCTGTGTTAATTCTCAAACATCCCATCTGACTCATTCTTGTTTCGCATTGCGCCGGACACATCTTATGTCCTCCTAAAAGCGACAGTTATATCCATACCTACCTAGGTAAATAAGCTGTGTAAGTCTTTATACCCCACGTTTTCCATCTTGGGTATTGATGGTCTACGCTTATGTATATGCGAACATATTACCCGCGGTATGTTGCATAGGTACCCCAAAACAGACCAGTCTAGCCGTCTCGCTTCCTCCCCAGCGGTTCTACGCTTTTGCCTCATGTACCTAACATAGTATAATACTTCTCTGGTAGGTTTGGATAGATTAAGTTGCAGTTGGAACTGACACCCCCCATCTATTTTAGTTCATGTGAGTACCAATTTTCACCATTTTCAACAAAACCTTGAAACAGCTACCTGTAGCTTCAACTTTCCTCTAGGCTGGAATTTAAAACTAAGCCAAGATCCTTCGCGGTTATACTTGCCACCACGAATCATAGCTAAGTCTTGGGACCTTGTCTGATCACAAGCTTACCTTAGGTTAGGTACCTACATAGGTGAGGAGAGGTACGTGTATTATATCGTTTTTTATTTTCTCTTTTTTTTTCTTTGTACCCTAAACCGCTTTCATATTCGTCACATCGTCACAAGCCCAGCATCAAACCCATTACTCATGTCTATGACCAAGCCCATGATAAAGCGTTCCTAGCCGACGAAAACTTTATTTTCTTCGTTTAAAACTTTGCACGATATACATTATCAAATCAACGTCTTAGCGTCGTCACCTTAAGGCTTTAACCATTAACTATTTCCTCAAAACTTGGATCAGACAAAGCCTTGTATCGAAGCTTTGGTACCAAAACTTCGAATCAAAGCCTCTCACTGAAGCTCAGTCGACCCTTATACGTTAAGCTACTACCCAAGAAATAAGAATACTACCCAAGCACTCGAGCACCCAAAAAAATCAGCCATTTTACTGTCGACGAGGCATAAGCCCCTCAGCACACCACCATACTTCACCCTAGTTCCGTCGTTCCGTCAAGGCTACAAGTACATAAATAAAGGCCGTCATAATCCCTCTCATTTCCCTCTTTTTTGGTTTTTTTTCCCCTTCGCATTATCAGCATCAACTCCTAACGCACTCCCTTCGAAAAGCTTTAGTCATAAATAATATCATATCAGCTCGTGAAATACGATGGACGAATCAACTGTTGACCTCGCTTCTAAACGTGAGGAGATGGCCAAACTCAGCAATGTAGAACAGACACAGCTCATACTTGCCCGACTTATGGAAGGTGGCCAGGAAGACGAAGATACTTGTCGCGAACTTGACCGTCTTACAAAAATGCTAAACGACGACGCCAACGACAACAACAAGAAGCAATCTATCTGCGATGTAATTGATGATGTTTGTGTCGACACCATACTCGGCTATCTAGACATGAGGCAAGCGGAGTCCGTCCGTAGCCACGCCGTCTTGACTGCCTCGGCCTACCTAAAAGCCGCCGGAGTCAATGGGAAGGACGCTCTACGCAAATTCTTCTTCGATAGAGTTCAGAGAGGAACTTATGACGACTATATCGTCGCTTTTTGCGTCGCAGCCGCTGTATTCTCTATCGCTCCAGACGTAACGGCTGACATATTCCTCAGCGAAGGCTTCTTGGCCACCTTGGATCCTTTGATGCGACGAAAATGGAAGAGCAGAAAAGTCGAGACAGCATGCCTAGAAATGCTTAACGTCGCTTCCATGAACCAGCAATGTCGTGAGGCGATCCGGAAGTATTGCACCGACTGGTTAGAAGAGGTTGTCGACCAAGATCCGGATGAGTTGGCTAAGGCTATGTATACGGCAGACCCTGAGATTCAGGTGTCAGAAGGTTCGATTGCTATGAGAAGACACTCCTCAGCGGTACAAAACCTAGCCGCGGTTATCTTGACAAAATTGAAAGTAGGCACCCTGAAGCTCCCGCTCACAATACCACCTCAGTACGAATATCTTCGGTGGAGATAATTGATTCCGCGAGGAATTGAGCTGGGCTGACCTGGACGCTTCAGGCAGTGCCGTCGTCGGCAGGAGAGACGACGGAAGGATCCGAAGGTAGAATACAACAAGCGAACACCAGTATCGAAGACCTGTCCAAGATGTTTAGTACCATGATTTTGAAGGACCCAGAGCAAGGCAAGCGACATTCAGTAGAGGGGTTAGCTTACGCAACAATCCAGCCCGGAATTAAGGAGGAGGTCGCGCAAAACAAAGAGCTCCTCAAGGCTCTCGTCAAGGTTTTAAGCGATGCCCCAGCAAAGTCGCCGCTTACATATGGAGCCCTGAGTATTTTTGTTAATCTAACCCGTTATCAACCAGTACAGTCCGAGGAAGAAAAGAAGATGACCCAGCTAAAGGCCTACGCGAACGCTGCCGGAAAATTAGCAGCGCCAAACCCGTTGAACGACGACGACCATGTTTCGGAGCGATGTAAAAATGTTTTTGAAGCCGGAATCGTACCGGTCCTGGTAACGCATAGCAGACACGGTTCTGTCGCTTCGCTCAACCTTATTGTATCAATCATTTATGCATTATCAGTTACAACCAGCTTGCGAGGTCAACTCGCGCAGCAGGGAGCCGTTAATTTGCTTATCGCCGCCGTGTCAGCCCTGCCAGATACCGAGTCTCAAGCCAAACGAACAGCAGCCCAAGCACTCGCTCGTATACTTATCAGCACCAACCCAGCTCTCGTGTTCGGCGGCACCCGCGCCCGTCCGCAGAACTCGGCGATTAGGCCCCTCATTTACATACTTACGCCCGACCCCGCAGCCGAAACTCGAGATCTCCTGCCGACGTTCGAAGCGCTGATGGCGCTGACCAATTTAGCCTCTACCGACGACGACACCCGGGTGACGATCATCCGTAACGCGTGGCCCGAGATCGAAGAGCTGATGCTGTCGTCCAATAATCGGGTATCCAAGGCTGCTGTGGAACTGGTGTGCAACCTGATGCAGTCCGTCGAAGGCGTCGCTCAGTACGCGGCGGATAACCCACAAGCTGCTAATCGACTACACGTTTTACTTGCTCTTGCGGACGCGGAGGACGAGGGGACGCGGAGCGCCGCCGGTGGCGCCTTGGCTGCTCTCACGGCGTACGACGCCATCGTTACGGGGATTGTGAAGAGGCCGCGCGGGGTGGACGTCGTTCTAGGTCTATGCGGCGAGCAGAGCGAGGACCTGCGGCATCGGGGCGCGTTCGTCGTGTTCAACATGGTCGCGTGCGAGGGGGAGGCCGGGAAGATGGCGCGCGAGGCGATCCGGGATAAGAACGGGGTCGAGGTTTTGAAGGGGTGCGCGAAGACTAGTCGAAGGGCTGAGGTCGTTGAAGTCACTGTTCAGGCTCTCAAGATTCTGCTTGAGCAGTAGGACTGAGAAGACCGACAAGGCGGAGAGGGGGGGGGTTGTTAGTTGGTTTATTGCAATTGGAGCTGCGTTGTTCGTGTATGCTTGGAATAATTGAATTATATCATTGTTATTGTCGAGGGCAGAAACATTCAATTTGGGAATTATTGCGGTTTTACTACTGTCTTCGTCTAGTGCAATCAATGCAATATTTTATAAAAGTCCACGTCTTAAAACTTCGCATCCTTTGTGATAACTACATATTTGCCGACGTTTATATCTGAGGGATAATCCCTTCTTGTGTAATGACATTCCATGTAACTAGCGTAGCGTAGTAGACATTGTTGCTTTGGGTATGTATCTCTTACTATGTAATATAGTGGACGTATCATTGAAGCCATTCCATAGGTACTACAGCCGTTCTATTCTTCATCATATGCATAGGTATATAGGTTAAGTTAGGTAGGTTAGGTACCAGGTAGGGAGTTTACCCTCACATTTCCATTTCCATTTTCAAACCCTACTCATCCACCCGATTCAGCACAGCAACGCCCTCAACATGTCCCGTCTGCGGGAAGAAGTCGAACCCGCGGATACTCTCGATCGAGTACCTCGTGCCCTTGGACCCTTCTCCCTCCAGGCCCCTCACGAGAACGCCTATATCGCGCGCCTGCGTATGCACGTTGCAACTGACGTACACGACGCGGCGGGGCGCGAAGCGCAGCAGCTGGCTCAGGAAGTCCTGATCGCAGCCCTTCCTGGGAGGGTCGATGACGACGGCGGTCTGGTCGCCGGGGTACGCCCTGCGGATGGCGGGCGTGAACAGGTCCTTGGCGTCGGCGGCGATGAACCGCACGCGCGAGAGCGGCAGGTCGTTGGCCGCGGCGTTCTCGGTCGCGTACTTGATGGAGGCGTCGCTGATGTCGATGCCGACGCTGCCGCCGCTGAAGAGGGACGACAGGGTTATGGTGAAGAGCCCGGAGCCGGAGTAGGCGTCGACGAGATATTTGATTGGTTGGGAGGAAGAAGGAGAAGAGGAAGGGGAGGAGGGGGGAGGGAGGATGTGTTGCCGGACATAGTCGGTGAAGACGGGGAGGATGGAATTGTTGTTCTGGAAGAAGGACCCGGCTGGGTTGTAGAAGACGTAAGGGCCGACGTATTCCGTCGACGTAGCTGTGTTACTCGTCACGCAGGTCTTTACGTCCGTGTACGACTCTGTTTCCACTTTGACGGCGGCGTTGTCGGGTGGTAGGGGTGACGGCGATTTCGACCTGGCTTTTGGTGAAGATGAAGGTCTACTTTCGTTCTTCGGAATACGCCTTGTGCTTTCGCGTAGAAGAATTGTAGCGCCTCGCGTGTAATTGCCATACTCCACCTCCATGCGTGCGCGCTCGTTTTTCATACCGAGACGGACAACGTCAGTGCCAATAGGGCAGTCCTCGATATCTAATGTCTGATGTGTGCCCTTGAGCATAAAGCCGATAGGGGGACGACTCGTGAAGGGCTCTCTATTTTTACGCCAGGAGGGGGGACCATCAAAGTGTGGCGTTAGTTTAGTCCGGTAACCGTACTGGAGCGGACTGCCGATGGTGTCCTGAATAGCGGGGATAAGCTCAGGAGGTAGCTGGGAGAAATGGCGGAAGGCCTTCTCCACGATGCGCTTCTTATGTTTTAACTGCTCGCTGTAGTCCATCATCTGGAATTGGCAGCCGGAGCACTTTCCAAAGTACTTGCATCCGATGCGACTGTCGTCGCGAAGCTCTGACGGAGTTACGACAGAGATAAAATCCGCTATGGAGTAGCTCTCGTCCAGCACGTGGCGAAATATCTTCACCTTGACGGTGTCGCCTGGTATGGAGAAGGGCACGACATATACTCGCTTAGAGCCTTCATGTAAGGCCAGACCGTCTCCGGTTGATGAAAGCTCGACCACTTTAACATCGATCTCGGTGCCCGGCTCTGGCAGATTTTCAGTTTCTAATTCTGGGGCGGCATTCTCTCCTTCTGCCACGCCATCATTATCCTGGTTGAGAGACACGATGAGATTCTGTACGTCAATCCGCAGGACATCCTCGACAGAGCCGGACTCCATCGCCTTTTCCCTCTTTCGAAGCTTCTTTCCCTTCCCTTTCATCGCCTGCTTAGACTTCTCCTGGCTTAGCGGCCTTTTCCCGCTATTGGGTTTAGGCTTCTGTTGCTGGTCACTCATTTTGGCCTTTTTTGCCTTTAATCGAACTGGTGCTTGCAAGTCGGATCCTAATATCATGCGCTTAACCTCAGCAGCACTTAAAATTCTGTCAGTGTCCTCTTGGACAGCTGCTTTGGCTTTTCTCTCTGCAGAATTATGCACAAGACGTAAGCCTCTTCCAACTTCAAACAAGCGAGTGCGTGAGTTGAAGGCAAGAGACTGAGGCGAAAACTCTGATGAGACCGAGACGGGATGGAGTGAAATCCTAGTTCTCAGAATTAATCGCGGCCTTACTGTTATGCTGAAGCGCATTGATACAATAGTTTCCTCAGTCAAAATCCCCCTTTGGTTTATGGTTGAACAGAGGGGAGGCTTAAGAAAAAAAAAATACTGGAATTGTAAATTGACAATTTTCTACTGGATGGGAATGTACTAAGAGGTACCTAAGTAGCGCCACACAGGGGCACTTGGGTCCTGCAGGCTGCAGCTTATCGCGATTAGGAGGTACCTTGGTCCATGCATGGGCCCCACCCTCTTAAGGACGGAGAGAGGTTCATATGAAAGTACAATTAGGCACAATACAATCAGTTCCTAGGTACGTCATAACCCAGACTATACAACTTCGCTGCTTCAATATGATATCCATATAAATCCCACATGGCTTTATTTTAAAACTACCTAAACTCATCTGGTCATCAACTAAAGTCCTAGTGTAAAACTACACAAGGTAGACTATCTAATGCCCTGAAGTACCGGGTCCATTTGTGCCTGTTGCCCTGCCAGTATGGCGTCGTTCTGATTCCCTTCGTGATTTCCTTCATGATATCCGTCATGCGTTTTATGGTGTCCGCCATGACTGCCGCCGTGAGTTCCTTCACCTCTTCCATGAGCGGTGAGCTTTTGCTTGACTTTTCTAATGGAGACTTTGTTAGCCGTGACCATTCCTACCTAGGTACAATCCAATAATGATGAATACATGATTCTACCACTTACTCCGAAACACATGATATGCAATTACGATGATTTGCTTGCTTTGAAAGACAGGACTTGTTTTCGTTTAAGTGGAAATTAGGAACTTCCAAAAATATATTATAGATTGATATCTACTGAATTTCGGCTAGACACAACACCCTTCTTATATCCTCCTCGACGTCACACAGCAGAAATGACGTACTAATTCCCGCCTTGTGATACCTGTTATGTATTGTATGTCTCAGATATAACCATATATATTTTGATATGATAGTCATACTGAATGCATTGTAAACGAGGTTTCCAACTTATACTGCCGTAGTACATCCATTGGCGTAGCCTGTTTGTAATTGTGTTTAACACTGATATGAGTCTTCTCATATGCTTCGATACATGCCATAAGCAACACTTCACAACTTAAAAGTCACAACGTCCTAAACTACCTACCTAAACTAATAATGTCAACGTAAATGCGCACTACCCGCATCGAATAAATATAACCATTTCTTTTATAAGGCTTTAACTATAAGCTCTAAACTCTTGAAGTTCATTTCGGTTGAAGGGTTGTAAAAAACTTTATAGTCTTTCATGATCTAACGATTAGCTTCCAAATAATGAAGCTAGGAAGAAGTTACCCGCACGCGACTAAAGATACGCGATTCGGTGACTCCGGAAAGCTTCCTGTGTGAGAATTACAAATCCAAAGGCGGTAAAACAAGGGGTAGCCCCCTAAATGAGGTACTACTAATTAAGGTACAAGTGTCAAGTGCATCTAGCTCGGGGTACCTGGTTTATTACCCTAAGTTGAGTACTTGGCTATGAATTTTTGTTGTTTCAAACGACACAAAGAAACAATAGGCTAAATAAAACGTGTAGTTACAATTTAGTTGAATATATGTTATAGATAGAGATATCAAGTGAAATTATATTATTATTGGACAAGTGGACAACCCGTCCGGGTATAATAAATCACGACATTTATGTAAGTCTGAGCTGCACGCTGCTACGTGGTAGCGTGGTGGGGCCTAAAGTATCATATAACTATTACTATTACTATTAAGCTTGTTGGGCTGCTTATCTCTCGCTTTATAATCTTTGACTTTGTAACAAGATACCTGACGGGTACGCTAGCATCGTTGTGAGCGTCGTTCTTTTAACTTCCTAATCTAATCATAATCATAATCATCATTATCATTATCATTATTCATCTGTATTATTTTAACATTCTCATCCGCATTCTCATTCTTTACATTGATTTCATCATAATTCTACAATAGGTATTGTCTCTATCAGGTAAGAGTACACGAACCCCGGTGTATGATATGCTGCGCCGTTAGCGTAGCCAGTGTAAGACACAGACAAAACCCATTGGGACGATTGCAACATACTGAGTTCCAATTACAACATCCGTAAAGACTTTGCGAGATGAGTGAGTAGACCATTTTTGAGTTGCATTCGCATAATTTCTTATCATCCAGTTATTCAGTAACTAACTGATTTATACCCAAAGAAAACCCCAAAGCGCTCCCGCAGACTCTTCTGCTGTTACTTTTAGCTGTTACCCCTTCAGCTGCAGCGCCCTCGCAATGGCAGCAGAACGGTCAAGTCGTGTTGCAACAACAATCCACATCGGGAAAACGCGGCGCTGTCGCTTCTGAAAGCAAAATATGTAGTCAAATAGGCATTGATCTCCTCGACCAAGGCGTAAGTACTGTCAATTGGCTTAAATTCCATCACTAGACCGCTCATAATTCATATGTAGGGAAACGCCATAGACGCCTTTGTCGGAACTCAGCTATGTGTCGGTGTCGTCGGCATGTACCATTCGGGCATCGGCGGCGGTGGATTCAGTCTCATCCGGGACAGCAACGGCAACTACACCGTCATCGATTACCGCGAATCCGCCCCCAGTGCGGCTTTTGAGGATATGTTTCACGGTAATGTCATGGGCAGCGTGCACGGTGGGCTTTCCGTAGGTGTACCGGGCGAGCTGCGAGGTCTCGAGCACGCGCATAAGAAATTCGGCTTACTGCCGTGGAAGTCCGTTGTGCTACCGGCAGCCTCCGTAGCGCGCCACGGGTTTCCCGTCTCCGAGGATCTGATACGCTACATGGAGTTCGGCCTTGAAATGAGCGATCGGAACTTCCTTGTCGAAGATCCCTCGTGGGCCCAAGACTTCGCCCCGAATGGTGAGAGCTGCCAATCCATATATTTTCGTAACCAATATATTTCATAACGGCGATGTCGGCTAACAATATTTCTAGGGGTTCTGGTCAAGTTAGGTGATACTATGACGAGGAAACGCTATGCAAAGTAAGAAAACCGCCGGTCTATCCATAAGGATAAACGAACACTTGCTGCGTTTGCTAACCTTTAATCAAGAACCCTAGAACAAATAGCTGAACATGGTGCCGACGTGTTCTATACTGGTCCAATGGGTTCGTCATATTTCCCTCGTCTCTCAATAACAGCATTATTTTGACCTCATCCAGCCGAGGCAACGATCAAGTACATCCAGAAGTACAATGGCACCATGACCATGCAGGACCTGGCTAACTACGAGGCCATCGTCCGCGAGCCCATCAGCATCTCGTATCGCGGCTTCAAGCTCTTCTCGTCGGGCGTACCTAGCAGCGGCGCCGTCTGCCTCAGCACGCTCAAGACGATGGAGGGCTACGACGTAGCTGACATAGCCGCCGACCCTGAACTTACCCTCCACCGCTTCGACGAGTCGATGCGCTTCGCCTACGGCGCCCACCAAGCCCTCGGCGACCCGGCCTTCGTCTCCGGCATGCCGCGGCTCGAAGCGGCGATGCTGGACGACGCGCACGCCGAGTCCATCCGGCGTCGCATCCGCGACGACAGGACGCAGCCCATCGAGAACTACGACCCGCCGCGCGTCTACGTGCCCGAGAGCCACGGCACGTCGCACATCTCGACGGCCGACGCCTCCGGCGCCGCCGTCTCCTCCACCACCACCGTCAACCTGCTCTTCGGCAGCCAGCTCATGGTCCCCGAGACGGGCGTCGTCCTCAACGACGAGATGAACGACTTCTCCATCCCCGGCGTCCGCAACGAGTTCGGCTACGCCCCCAGCCCCGCGAACTACATCCGCCCGGGCAAGCGGCCCTTATCTTCCATCACCCCCGTCATCGCCGAGTGGCTTGACCACTCCAACTCCAACTCCCGCTCCCTCGCAGCCGTCGTCGGCGCCGCCGGCGGCTCCCGCATCATCAGCTCGACGACCCAAGTGCTCTGGCACATGCTGGAGCGGGGTCTCCCCGTGGGCCGCGCCGTCGCCGTCCCCCGCTTCCACGACCAGCTGATGCCGAACCGGGTCGAGTTCGAGTACACGTTCGACAACGCGACGGTCGCCGGCATGCTGGAGAGGGGCCACAACGTGACGTGGGTGCGCGAGGGGTTCAGCGCCGTCCAGGCCATCAGCGTCGGGAGGGATGGCGCGTTCGAGGCCGCGGGCGAGACGAGGCAGGGGAGTAGTGCTGGGTTGACTTGGTAGATACTACCTACCTACCTACCAGGTACCTACTTAACCTACCTCGGTTACTTCAGGTACTTATTCGGCGAGGTGCATTAGAGGTACCTACGCGGGTTATACATAAGTGTTTTTTGATAGAATTGCCTTGCCTTAGTTACCTACTTAGGTACCTAAGGTATCTAGGGGTCTAGTACATAAATATTTACTACTGGCATTGTTTAGATAGTATAGGAGCTAGGTAGATTTTTGAGTTATTACGTCTTCAACCTACTATTAATATAATACTCATAATAAAACCGATACGTCGAGGGGATACGTGAATAAGGATATATTCCATTAGGTCTATGTTACTAGTAATACGGACTCCGTTTCGTTTCTACTCAACTCACCTAACCCAAGTCATGGTATCGTATCCTCTCCGCATCTCATCCGCCCTCGCCACCAACGCAACGGAGCACGGCAATCTAACGCATCCCAATGGATGTAAATGGAACAAGAAAACAAACAACCAACGAGGTAATGCAAACTCCGAGCCCGCTTCCCTGCGTTTGATAATCATGGGGGGTATCGGATGTAAGTCTATCTATCTGCGAAGTAGGAACGGGGTGTTGATGGTAGTGGTAATGGCAGTGTCGTGGTTGAGAGGGGAATTGGGCTTAGGAACCTAAGATAACAGGTAGAGAGTAATAGTTATGCATAAAATGAAATATGTTCCTCTCTTTTTTTGGCTTTTGTTTTTACAGTTTCATGGCGACGAGCTTCTCCAGCTCAGAGAGCCATTTCTTGGCGAACTCTTCTTCCGTGAAACGTTTAGACGACAAGCGCGCTCTGCGCCTAACGGAGAGAGGGTCCGGATGCGAGAGCGCCTTCTCGAAACCGTCGGCGAACTCGGACGTTGTCGAAGCGTGGAAACCTAAGCGAATTTTGTTAGCCAGAAGATCTAGTGTGGTAAATACTATACTATAATTCAAATACCTGTGGGTTGACCGTCAACGTCAACGACAATGTCTAGCTTAGGGCCACCGCTGTTATGTACGACCGAAATGAGGCCTGCCGCGAGGTACTCGACCACGCCAATGCCGAAGTGCTCGTTCCACATGCCATTCACTCCTACGAAGGCCTTGCCAAGCCATTGGAGGATCTCAGACCAGGGAGCGTCGAGCTGGAATATTACCTGGTCTTTGATCTGCAATTCGTTGACTAGCAGACGAAGCGTATACACCCGCTTGGAATCGTCGTCGCCCCTAACACTACCTAGGAGAACCAACTTAGCTTCCTTTGCCGCGGGAGTTCCGGTCTTGACAAATTCGGCAAAAGATTGAAGGATGAGCTGGTGGTTCTTTTCTGGTCGAAACTGAGCGATGTACACCAAGTACTTCTGACGTCTCTTCTCGCTCTCTTCGGATATTTCCACAGCTCGTTCGATCTCATTCACGGCGCATGGGGGGTACACCACAGCAATGGGGTGCTTCTTTCCTCTCCGGTTTCGGCGCGGGCCCCATAATGACTCAATATGACCTTGCGTCCAGGAGGAATTGGTCATGACAACATCGACAGAAGCACCCATCCACGAGTAAATAGCGGCGAATATCTTCCAATAGTGCTTCTTGAGAGCACCTTTAACGCCGACCCCCTTGCCAGCATTGACACCCTGATTTCCAACTGCTGTTTTGGGGTCGAGCGAGTCAAGCATATCTGTGGATATGGTAGGATAATGCACGTATGCAGCGGTCGGCATAGTTGGGAAGAGGATCTTGCTCAGGCCAAGTACGAAAGCGTAACCCATAGTGTCCACAAATATATCCGGAACTAGGAGAGAGAAAGCGTCTAACCCCATGATTAAAGAACCGACTGACTGTCCTAGCAACGTCATATGCGGCCATGTAGAAGACAAAACCCAGTGTCGAGTGGTTAGGTATATGAAGTGGATCGTAGGCGGGTGAATGTCGATACTGAAAGTATTCTATAGCGCTATTAGCAACTTTTTTAGTAAGTTCACTATGAGATAGAAGCTGCAAACCTTGACCCGAGAGAGCATTTTGTCTTTTATAACCTCGTGGTCGCCCGTATATACGACAATCTTGGCGTTAGGCCATCTTTTCTGAGTAGCTCGAACCGCAGCCCATAAAACTCGTTCGCCACCTCCTCCAGCATTGCAGAATGGGTGGAAGAAACCGACTATGCCATCCCAATCTCGGTCGCCTTTCTCCCCATTTCCGGACGTTCCAGCTACAGACCCATCGATATTCTCCCAGCTCTCGTCGTCGCTACTAGCATTGCCTTCTTTCCCTTGAGCTTTGGCTTCCCTAAATCTGGCTTCGCTTTCGGCCGTGGTACGGATAAGTATGGAACGGCGACCTTCGGAACTCTTTCTCAAACACCAACCGAAGGCGGATCCGACTGTCAAGGCAAATATGCGGCATAGTAAGGGAAGGATGAAATTCCAGAATACCAAGGCGGCGAAAGGAGTGCAGGCGATGGCGATTGCCGTAAAAGCGAGAGTCTTGGACTCCATGCCGAAGGAGTAGGGTGCGTCTTTAGAAGGAACAGAACAGCTTGAGCTGGAAGTGAAATCTGACATTTGCCTAAGACTTAGCGAAAGAAATATTATTAAAGATATGTCGTTTTATAAGTTTAGGCACACGTGTCAGAAAGAGAACACTGGTCTGGCCTGGTCGGACTGGGCCAGAAGCAGTCCAGTTGACCCATGGATATATGATCTAGGGAGTAGGTGTTGACGTTTGGTGTGGTAAGTTGCAGTCTTGAATTTATTTTACTATTTTTATTATTTTATTATTTTATCAGGCAACCTTGTTACATACAATGCATAAAGAGGTACGTATGCACTTTCGTTAGTAGTACATCAAGTTAGGTACTTGTACGTAATTCGGCGTGTGACCAACCTACCTGTTGTCATCCCACCTTCCTACCTCCTTTATCGATAGAGCTACTACTTTTATCTTATCGCTAAATTCAGCATTGAAGATGCGATATGTTGTAGGTACAAGGTGCATACCTCTTATAAGTAGTATATCCTCCAAGAGCATCAATGCCAGACAGTGCATTCATAATTTCTAATTAGTCCCCAAGGAGGCAATTCATCAAAATTTTCAAATATGATTTTATATCCAGTGTTTGTTTGAAAGGTTCAATGGCTTGGATATTATTTAATTTATGACTCTTTTCCTATAAATTTATACCTTCTTCTTTCATACATGAGTACAGGCTCAATATAATCTACGATGAGCTCGATCCATTGGACTCATGCCATTCGGCTAACTAAGCCCTTTGGTCTCCTGCCAACGAGTAAAGCTCAACTACGACCAACATATTATAATCGAGTTTCGCTCTATTCGTTCAAACATCAACCAGGTGTGAGGTCGTTTCATTTTCAACCAGTCGCTGCAAGTGTGATACAAACAGCTGAGGATGCCATACTCGCTTTCCACGGTCTTACACACATACCATGGTTCCTATCAATTCCTATCGTGGCAGTCGGAATCAGCCTCGCTTTTAGGGTTCCTTTCAATGTCTATATACACAGGATCAACTACCGCCGAGCCAGATTCACCCCGGTTCTTATGGGATGGACTGGGCGTATCGCACGGGATTTGAGGCGAGAAAGGGTTAAACCATCGCATGAGCGTAAGGAGACATTAGCAAGGCATAAAAAGTTAGCAAAAAGGATATACCGCACGGTCGGTTTACAAGACTGGAAACTATATTCCAACATCCTCGGTCTACCTTTCTGGCTCTTAGGTGTCGAGAGTGTTAGATGGATTTGTGGCGGTCCGAGAGGACTTCTAGGGCATCTGATTCTGGGCAGGGCCGAAGATGATGCTACGGCTTCAAATACACCAGGCGATGTAGAAGCTGCTATATCTCCCTTAGATGTTACAACCGCAGCTGCTGACCAGGCTGCTACGGCAGCCGAGCACATAAAGAATCTACCAGACCCGAGCATCGCATTCGAAGGCTGTCTATGGTTTCCCGACCTGTCCGTTCCCGACCCATATCACATTCTCCCCGTGGCGCTTTCATCTTTGCTGGTTTGGAACATGCTTCCTAAATCCCAAGCGGGGCTGCGACAGCTAGCTGGGCTCAACCCTGAAGATAAGTTTATAGTTGAGACCCCGGCGATAACGAGGCAACGCAGGTTACGTCGAATTCTCATCGTCCTATGCTCACTCATAGGACCTATGACCGCAGACCTTCCGGCGGCTCTTCACCTTTACTGGTTATCGACTGCCGGCACGCAAACAATTACAAGCAAAGTCTTGGCAAAGTTTATGCCGATCGACACGAAAGTTGTTCCAAGGGCTCTGGGTGTTGAAACTGCTGTCATCCGACCAAGAAGAGTTGAAAAAGAAGTAAAAGCTGCAGATTAACCAGGCATTGGTTGTGAAAAAAAAAAAGCCAATTCATACAATCAGCGGGTAATGTGTTTGTAATTACCTAAGACTATATGAAAGAGTCCCGTGTCTTGGGAGTCCAAGTGTTGGTTGACGCCAAATATAGATAACTACAAATACCGAAGCTATATTCGTAAATAATATGGTTACATGTAACCCGTGAACCGCAAAGGAGGGAATAGAAACCTCTAAGTTACCCCAAGAGATGGCAGACTCTTATCAGCCATCGTCAACACAGCCCTGATACAACTAAGTAATAAGAAATTGGAATTGGCCCAGGCTAACTCCGAAACGCCTCCAGATATCGCTCATACACTGCAAAATGGCTACAAGGTTTGGCTTATCCTAAGAATACAGCCAAAAGGACGATGGCCATAATTACGGCTAGAATTAGTAGCAAGCAGCATGCTTTGCTTCGAGCGTTCTTCTGATATCTTGCAGCGCTTCTCAACTCATAGTCGGCACCGCGAGTATCGTCGCGGATGTTAACCGCATTACTCTCAATCGTTTCCAGCACCTCGCCCTGCTCGCTGACGATTTGCGCTACTTGCTGGAACAGCACGTTGAGGTCGCCAACACCTTCTTCTATCTGGCGGATCTCTTGCTCCCGTTCGGTAATTAGGGCCTCTTGGAAATCGACTTCGTCCTGAGGAGCTAGGTGCACCTGTTCTTGCTGCTGAAGCTGTAATTGCTCGCCGGCGGCGTCAAACGGGGCACCTTGGCCAGATGCATCATGGTCGAGTGCCGCTTTGGCTGCGCTGACAGAGGCTCGTTGTTTCTCGAGGGCGGTACGTTGAAGGTTTTGGAATTCGCTGAGGGCAGCTTTGAACTCGCGCGACAACTTCTGTTGCGAATACTTCTGGGTGGGCTGTTGTAAGGCAAAGAAAAATTAGACGTCCGTCGCATTGAATAGAGAATGCGAAATACGTCATCTTGTTACTTACAGTAGGTTCTTCCCACGTCTGAATCTTCTTGATGCCTTCACCAACCTCCTTGAACTGTTCCGTAGACTCTTCAATTACGGCGTGGACCCGCTCGCGCAATCGTGGATTATCCCGACGAGTACCGAGGAGGCCGATATCCGACTTAAGCTTGGAGATATTGCCCTGCAGATGAAACAGCTTGTTCATAAGGCCTTGGGATAATCGAGAGAACTCCGGGTCATCCGAGTAGGCGCCATTATTCTGGCGACGGCCAGCCCCGCTGCCGGATTCTATTGACGATAACTGATCGAAAGACATGGCTGGACGATTCTGGATTCGAGAGAGAGAGCGACAAAGATGCGATAAAGGAAATCCTTAATGAATTTAATTAAAAGAAAGAGAGAGAGAGATTAAGTTAGGTGCCTGTCCTTGAAGGATCGTGATTGCTTAGATAGCGCCTTGTAATGACACAAACAGTGGAAGGCGAGGAAAAAGAGTTGATGTCAATTAGGATCACCTGCAACAGATTGCGCAGGTTACAAGTGCAGGTCACGGCATAAGGCAACCGAATTGGGGACTCACCTTAGTTAGATGCAGAGTTGCGCATACGTTTGCTTACGTCAGTTAGCACTAAGTAGGTAATGCTAGTGCTGCATGATGTACTTGTACATCATAATGGTACATATCTGCCGCTCATGCAGCAGGTACCTACATACTGTGGCTAGTGCGCTCAACTAATGCAATTGGGGCAGATGACGCCTGGGTCCTAAAAGCAACAACATTCTTAGTGGGTCAAAAGAAGCTGGAGCTCTATAAGTTTTTTCTATTTTTTATTTACTTTCAGTCCTCCGATAGGTAACGAGCCTTTCCAACAGAGCAACAGTGCTCAAACCTAAACATTCCTTTCTTCTGAGCCAAGATTCACACGAGAATATCCACATACGCATTATTGCATCTTTTAATTGTCGAACCCCAGACCATGCGTTGATCTGAATATTTCTTTTTCCTTACAGGTGCGAAGATGCCTCCCACGATTGCGCGCCGAGCGCCTTACAAAGACTTCCTCCAGCCTGCCCTCCAGAGACGATTTGCTTCGACTACCGGGGTCCTGCTAGGGCTGGCTTATGTTGAAAACTTCTTGCTAACCACCTGGGATAACCGTACGTGACATTTCACTACTATCTTCTTACTATACCACCTAGATGCCTAACATATATTATCATCAGTTCTATGGCCATGGTTTCCATTTGGGCCCGCAGGTATTCGTACCTTAGCTATATTTGGCTGCATCCTCCCCATCATCATCTTGCGGATTGCTCATGCCCATATCGGTATTCGGACGGCTAATTCACCCTTCGACACCTTCCGTCGTTATGCATTTTCTTTCGCCACGATAGAGACGATAATCACCTTTGCTATCTCCGCATGGCTGTTCAGCCAAATATACTTGATCTCGATCCCAACCAGTGCAAACCTCGGTTGGATCACCTACTACAGCGGGGATCGCGCGCGGCTAAACGAGCGAGCATTGTTCTATACCGTGAATATTATCATCCTAGGGGTCGTTCAGGGTGTTATCCACGTGTCCATGGATTATGACCGAATGCTTCTAGGAATGGTGAAGCCGAAACGCGAAGGAGAAGAAAATACCCAAGTAGCGAGCGGTTGGGGGCGGTTAGCCGAATGGATACCCATAATCGTTGTTCGCGCCGGGATGCTCTCGATAGCTGTTGCTCTGGCCAACTACATCGTACTATACCATTTCCTCCGACCCTCTGCCTGGAGCTGGGCTTTGTCCTTTTTCCGATTGTTCTATAATCTGCCGAAGTCCAATATCCCGCCTTCTAAAGCCCCGTGGAGTATTTGGATGTTATCGCGATCAATATGGGCAGGGTTTTTGCTGTGCCTTATGTGGTACTTTGGCGACATGATTTTCAGGTTACAGCTTGGACGAGCGCCTCTGAAAAATGGCCAGCCCCTCAGCGCAGAGTCGAAGGACCCTAACGGCAGTCTATTAAATGGACTACAAAGCAAAAAGCCACGCATATCGGTAGGTTGCTCTTTTTTACCCTTCTACTAAAGCATACCGCTAACAGTATAGGCTTTTGCCATGTGGGAATTGGCATTGATCACAAGGGACTTTGATATCAGAAGAAGAAGCATATTCGAAGATATCGACCGCAAGGACGGCCCAATGTGGTCACAGATTTATGCTACATGCATGGGCACAATTAGATCGGTAGAGCAAAGAATCGACGAGTACGGAAAGCCACCAGCTCCGCCTCCTACACAGCCTACTACGGCACCTCCTCAACCACAGACCCGAGTTGTCCCACCCCCGAAGACTGATGACGTTTGGGCGCCCGTACCAAGTTCGAGAGGTTTCCGCAGCTCCTTGGGCAAGTTCGTTACTAACGTCGCGACGTCTCCGGGGAAGACACCCGCCGAGGTCTACTTGCCGGAAGCGAAGAAGAAAGCGTTAGAGGCTACTGAGCATCTACTCACCAAGGAGCAAAAAGAGGCCCTCTCACCCGAGGGCATTACCTCGTTCGCACAAACTATAGCACTCCGATTCCTGAGTTTACCTACAGTTGGCGTGTTATTCCAGCAGTTATTCAGTCGCCGATTGACTAGTACCGTGCTTGGCCAACCGTACGGCGAACTCAGCATATACGTAAACGCCGCCTACGCTCTATCCAAGCTCGCAGTATCGAGCTTGGCAGAGGACAAATACGGCAATGTCCAAAGGGATGTGCCGGCCATCATACGGACGTTTACGGCAGTGATCAGGAAGCTGGAGAAGTTCAAGGATACGCTACCAATGCACTGGACCGATCTTAGGAAGAACCGGGTGTGCCCCGAGGTAGACGAGCTATTGGACGCATTGAAGGACGGACTGAGCGAGCTCATCACGGCGTTTGGGCAGTACAGCAGCGACCTGAGGCTCACGCGGGCAGATATGAGATTGGCGAGGGAGGCGGCGGAGAAGAAGAATAAGACGCCGGAGGAAGAAGAGGGGGCGGCGGCGCAAGGACCGGGACGGGCCGCAACAGCAACTTGTCCGGCAGAGGCTCAGCCGCAGATGCAGCAGGTGCGCTAGTGGCAGCGGCTGCTGGCGGCGAGTCTCGAGGGTAAATTGACTGGGCTGCATTACGTGTAATAAAATAAAGCAAAATAAATAGGATGTAGTTGTGCGTACAACTTTTCACGATAAAAATTGTTTAATGAAGATGAAAAAAAAAATGAGGAAATATTGCTTTCTTTTCATGTTGTTGCTGATTGGGCGTGATGGTGCTGCGATGTTAAATAGCTTCTGCTCTGGATACCTCTCATCAGTTTGGTTTCATTGGTCTTAAGTTCATTAGGCCAGTTTCTTGAATCCTGATATAGTTTTGTCAATTCAATTAAATGACAGCTACTGCAGGTGACGCAACTAAAATGAAACAGTGGGTATACAAGGCGCCCAATGAAACGTCACTGGTTTAAAAGTGGAGAAACTAAAATCCCGACCGGCATTACCATACCCTGTAACCCCTGCAAATAGCATCATACAATCTAATCTCCCTATGAAATCCAACCACGCTTTATCTCAACTTCACCCTTATTCACTCTTTTTCCTTGTTTTCTTCTTTTTCTTCTTCCCTATCCATCCCAGGATTTCCTCCCACAGTCACCAATGGATCTGATAACCGACAACTCTTAATCGCATCCAAAAGCCTAAGGCTGATTGATATCATCATGAATCCCCGTCTGTTAATATGAAATTCGATTACACTCCTTCAACTTGGTCGCCCGTCGCATAATAGCCGGAGCCTCACCCGTCCCTGCGCCGCGCGACACAAGAATGTTATCTTACTCGATCCTAATACCTGGCGCGTCATAATGAAGAGCGCCACTAACCTTGTCTCTCGCATAGTCTACACTTCCATCTATATTCTATTATGCCTTCTTCTCTCCGCTTTACTTCTTGTCGTTCCTGGCGATTTTATCCGCCAGGATTTATTTTCCACCGGTCAATACATTAACCTAATCGTCCTTGCCATAGTCTTCGTCCTCACTGTACTTATTGTTCTATTCGTTTATATCCTGAGGCTTTATGTTACCCGGACCGTACTAGCTTCGATACCCAAGCCCTGGATACCCGTTGAGAAGGGAGACGTCCCTAAAGATGTCCGCAAAGTCATCGCTGCCGATCTTCGTCGCAGTGCTGCCATCGCGTTGGGCGCGCACCCAAAGGTCGTGGCGCCGGCGACCCGAACAACGTTTTTAGAAGATGTAGCAGAGGAAGGGGTCGTGGCGGATGGGAATGCGAAAAAACCGAGAGGGTGTCTTCAGCTATTCAAGTCGAAATCGCCCGCAACAGTAGAAGAAAAACTGGGTATCTCTTTGCCTCCCCTGCACCCCGTCTGGGGTGAGATCGAACACGACGGCTGGAGTTCACCAAGCTCGCCCGATTTGCCTAACCTTCAATATAGCACAGTCCTCTCCGAGTTACCAAACCTGATTGAAGCTAAAGCAGTCTCTCAGGCGGTCTCCCAGGCGCCAATGGATTCGACATCTGCAACAAATCACCCAATGTTTGATGCAGACGCTGTTGGTCTTCTTCAGCGTCGTTCTAACATGACGATGAGGGACTACGTCATGCATCTCATTAGCATCGGTGTGCTGTTGAGCTCTCAAGAGACGTTTGAGTTCCTCGATAGCTACGAGCGTGCCCGCTTCTCCACTCGTCCCATGTGCAATGCGCACTTCCGACAGCTGATGCATCTCTTTGCCGAGGTTCTTCGTGCAATGCAACCTCTGGATACTGCTTCTTTATACGAACCCAATAGTCCTAACGGCACTTATTCTGAAAGCGATGGACACATCGATGACGATGCCCCTCGGGACACTAATCCCACCACACCCGCGCGGAGCGGGTCGAGTTCCCTTAGCCTCAGCGGAAGCAGCATACGCTCGCGTACGCGCAGGCCGACATTACCGGACCGCAATTCTTCAGCCAATACTTGGAACCAGTACCGTACTGCGCCGACGACACCGAGAAGCAGGTTTGGCAGGAGAGCCTCGCAGTCTACCACCTCAAGTAGTATGAGAAGTTTTGCGCAAACGAGGAAACCGTACGCCGCTAGCCAAGCCTCGAGCGCAAGTTTTAGGTCCGCCTCCCAATCTTCCGTCATCCGACTTGCGACAAGAGAGGATCGCGGCGACCTGCCATATGTATTAAGAATCGGGGAATCGTTCTGAAGGCTCGCGTCTTTACTTTTATCTGGGAAACGGCATAGAGGGAGAAAAAAATGGATTGTTGCATAGGACCGGCGTTGCACTGCGATCACGGTTTGTATATGAACTTTTTGATATTTAATTTAATGTTTTCATTTCCAGGTCACGTCATACCAAGCGCATCAAACGGCATATATACATACGTACATGATTCTCTTTTAACAAAAATAGGTCTTCACTTAACCCTGACCCTTGGTATCCTATGCCAGACGCCTTGCTTCCATTATCATAAATCCAAACAGAGCTATATATGGTATCTCGCCGTACCATTTAGCGAAACTTAATGACCTTACCTGTGATGGTGTTAGCATACCTCCATTCCGAAGGGGGAATGGGGTGTATGGGAATATTTCCCATCTTTTCAATTGAAAGTTAAGACCAGAACTTATCATCCGAAGCGATAGAAGGCCTTAGCGCAGACTGCTCAAATTTGACCAATCAAAAATTCGCTAGAGTTAGCATATTACCTATCGTGGAATGGGGTGGTTACCTCTCAACCAATCAGGTTCAAGCAGCATGTACTAGGGTCTCGTGCCGCTTCGGGGAATAGGTTAGGTAGAAAAAGGACATGACATTATGGTTTATTGACAGGTTGGGTCCCGACGCCATGCGACAGATAGCGCATGAAGATATAAGGTTGCCATATAGGACTGCAGTGAAACGAAACGTACTGGTTGTCCCCCTGGTTGAGCTTGGCTAAGGCGCCTTCGACTTCACGATTGACCTTAGCCCTTCTGGCAGCTAGCTCCGCTTCGGGGCCGTGGAGCTGTAGGAGGGTATTGATGGGGGCATCACCGTTCGAAACGGCAGTGATGTATGCGAGGATGCCATGAGGGGTGTGTTGGGCGCGGACGGGTTGAGAGTTGGCTTTAGCGCTCTCGGATTTGGTGGAGCTAGGTCAAGGAGAGAGGGACGTTAGTTCGGGTTGGCTTAGACGAGAGCGGTGCCGCGCCCCGTGGGAAGACGACGATGGTATGACGACTCGACGTACTTGCTGGCGTAGCAGCAAAGCCTTGGACTGGGGAGGGAAGGGGAGGTATGATGGGTATAGGAAGAAGAGCGAAGGGACATGCCCAGGGCTTACCGGTTGGAGGCAACTTGGGAAGACTTGTCCATAGCTGCTTAGGATCGAAAGGCGAGATGAAAAGTAGGAAGTGAGTAAATATGGTCTTGTCTATGTGTGATGCGTGATGTGCCTGTTCGCCATTTTTTCAGGAGTAAAATGGTAGGGGATGAGAGAGGCTTTATAGAAAAACCAGTGGGATGGTTAAAGACAAGTATGAGTAATATATGGGTTAAGCAAAAGTAAACCTCCATAATGCCTACTTTCCGGTTTTTGGTTCAAAGAATGGCGAGTGATTATAGGTACCTATGTTCTCATAGAAAATATATTCGCTCCATACCGTACCTGGCTCCTACGAAGGAGTGACAGTAGACATGGATAATCCTGGGGGGCATTCTCGGCGGACACAGCCTTATAAAGGCAAACAGGCGAACCATACCCGTCCTTATGAATTACAGATAGGCGAACTATTTAAGGCAACTTATATGTTACGGTCATCCTAAATAGGTAATGAGAAATATGGACCATGCGGCAAAAACGCAAGATAGATCGTCCTACGGCCTGATTATGCACCTAGGTACTCTCGCCAATAAAAATGTCCACCTATCCAGGCCGGTGGGGATCTTAGGACAGGGGTATAATTCCAAAGTATCAAAGTTACTTGATATAGTATAGCCGTACTATATAATTTATATGTGCAGTACCTACGCAGATCCCGAGGTAACGGCCTACATGTGGGTTAAACCCTAGGCGGAGCAACTGCTAGGCATACACCGGTATATATTCCTAAATGTGTTGTGTGACGAACCTATATTCAGGTCCGTTAGAGTGTAATAATTGGGGTCTTGATTTTAGGTAAATAATAACAATACGGGTTAAGTATTAATTAAACGTTATAAATATTTGTTAAAAAGGTTTAAAGTTTTTCCTTTTATATAAGTTAAATATAAGATTTAAATTAATAGTTAAAAAAATATAAATAAATGATTAAATATATAATATTTTAAATATTTTATAAATTTTTTTTACTTATATAGTATTTTGCTTAATGTTTTTATAGTTTTTATAATTCTTAAAAATCTTAAGGATTTTATAAAATTTATAAAATCCAATTATTTAAAGTTTAACTGAAAAATGTTATTAATTATTCCTTATCACGAATTAATAACACGGGAACTATACTTTATATAAAAACAGGGTTTTTAAAACATACGATTAAGAAACGGCTAAACCTCGGATAACTTAATAAAGGGTAATAATCTCGTTAATTTTAATAATTTTAATAATCTTAGCAAAATTATTAAGATTAATAAAATTAAAATAGCTTTAAAAAAAGGATAAAAGAAATTTATAAGTATATTTAAACCATTATATATTTAATTAATTATTTATATTTTTTTAATTATTAATTTATATAAAGGAAAAAACTTTAAATTTTTTAATAAATATTTATAATATTTATTAATATTTAACCCGTATTATTATTATTTATTTAAAATTAAACCTTTAATTATTATATTTTAACGGATTTAAATATAAGTTCGTTATATTTTAATAATTCTTTAATTAATATTGTTATTAATTAAATATAATATAAATATTAACTTTAATAATAATATTCTTTTATTTATATAAATTAATTATAATTTATTTATTTTAAAATATTTATTAAATAAATCTTTTAAAACTTAATTTTTAATAAAAATTAATTAAATAAAATAACGTAATAAATTTAATATATTGCCTTTTAATTATATTTTAAGATTAATTAATAATATAATTTTAGCAGAAATTAGATTTTAAGTAAAATTATTTAAAAAAAAAAGTAAAAGAAATTACCGAAATTATTAATAAAAGAAAAAAAAAGCTGAAACTAAAGAAAATAAAATAAACTTCTTAAGAAAGAGATTTTAAAGAATATATAAAGTTTATTAAACGCTTAAAAATAAAATAAACATTTTAAAAAAGAAATTAACTAAATTTAAAGTTAAAAAGGATAATAATAATAATAATAATAATAATAATAAAGATTTTAACTTATATCCGGTACAATAAAACCTTATAGTTTTATTATTATTTAATAAAGGATTTAAACTTTTATTATTATTTAAGTACAATGGTATTATAGATGTAAAAACTTGGCTTAATATAGTTAAATTTTATTTAACTTTCTTTTGAATTAACTTTAACGAAAACGAACATAAGGTTTTAACGGTGTGTTAACAATTTAAAAGAAGCGCTTTTAAGTAACTTTAATTTATTATAAATAATTATTTAAATAAAGTTTAAAAAAAATTAAAAAAGTTTAAAAAAAATTAAAAAAGTTTAAAAAAAATTAAAAAAGTTTAAATATATTTTTAATAAATATTTTAATTTTAATTTTAAAATATAGTTAATATTTAAAAACTTACTTAAAAAAGAAAACGTTTATAAAATTATTTAAAATTTTAAATAAATTAAAAAAGCTTTAAAATATATTATTAAATTTAAATAATTAATTATAATAGCTTAATTTTTTAAAAATACTTAATTTAATTATTTTTATAAAAAATTAATTATATATATTAAAAACGAAATTTTAAAGGAAAAAAGGCTTAAATATATTAATAAATATATTAAATAAATTATTATTTATAATAAAAGGTTATATAAAAGGTTTTTTAAAAAAAAGATTAAGAAATTTATTTATATTTATATTAAAAAAAGTTTAAAAAAATAAGTTTTAATATTATTAAAATAGAAAAACTTAAAAAAGATATAATTAAAGTTAAATATTATAATTATAATAAAATAGATTATATATTTAAAAATTATAAAGTATTTTAAAAATAATTTAAAATATTAAAAAGGTAATTTAAACTTTAAGTTATAAAAGTAATATTTTTAAAAGTATTTAATATTTAAATCTTTTAAATTATTTAAAATATTAAAAATTATATTATTATTAAATATTATTATTAATAATTTGATTTTTATAAATATAATTATTAAAATTATTTATGTTATTTTAACAATAATAAAAAGGAATTAAGAAATTAGTTTTTATTTTATTAATTTTTATTATTTATTAATATTAAAAGAGGATAGGATATAAATAAAGATTATTTATAAAAAATATTATATTATATTAAGGAATAATGTAATTATAAGTTAAATACTTTAATAATTAAAAGAATTATTAAAAATATTTTAAATTAAAAGTTTTAAGTAATAATTTATTAAAATAATTATAATAAGAATAAATTTAATAAAATTATAGAATTTATAAATAAATAAAAAATTATAATAAAATAATAAAAAATAAATAACTTTTTTATAAATAAAATAAAATAAAATAATAAATAATAATTTATTAAATATATAATAATAATATAATAAATATTAATTTAAAATAGTTAATGGTAAATAATTGCGCTTATATTTAAAAATGAATTATTAAATGAAAAAAGAAATAAAATAAAGAATTTTATATATTTTTAATAGATTAAATAATTTTAATTCTTTTTATTATAAGTTTTACCTAATTATGGAAATTAAAAATATAATATTTCCTAATTATTAAAAAATTATAAAAATAAGACATTATATACGTAAAAGGAGAATTTATTGTATAAATTATTAATAAATATTTTAAAGTATAAGAAAAGAAAATATTAATTATTAAAATTAACTTAAAGATTATAAAAATTAATATTTTAAATATAATATATTTATTATAAAAAGCCATTAAAATTAAGCAATTTTTAAATATAAATAAATAAATTTTTATTTTTAGTACTAAAATATTTAATTTAAAATTAGAAATATATATATATATATAATCCGTAATAAAATCCAAAATATAAGAAACATTATAAAATATCTTAAATCTCATGCCTTTATAATTACTATTAAATATATAATTTAAGCAAAAAAATATAAATTTTTAACTTAAGTTTATAAAAAGATATTTATTTATATATAAACGTAAAAATATTAATAAAATTTAAATTAAGTTTAAATTAATTCCTTTAAATATTATGTAAGTAAATAATATAATTTTTAATATTACATTTTTTATAAA